TAGAATTAGATACTAAGCTTAGTAGCTAAGTATACGTAGATTTAAAATATCTAGCTTTTTACCGTAGAAAGCTTTATATAGAGTTATATTAATAATAGACTATTAGAGACGGTTTATAGTATAATTAATACCTAAAAGTAGTTTATCCTATAGATATTTAGGAAGCTAATTTTTAGCTAATATAGCGACTAGCGGCTTAATAAGCTAACGATTCCTAATCTCTATAATACTATTAAGCTAAGATATATAGGAGGAAATAGGGTCCTAAATAATATTATTTTCTTCGTAAAAAGTAGCGATTTTAATATATTCTTATATATTATTACCTAAAATTATCTTAACTTTATAGTTAAATTATATTAAAAAGTAGGTTACTAATATACGAATCTTATTAGTAATTTTACTCTTAGCCTTTAATAGGAAGACCTAATAGAAACGTATTATATTATCGGTAATAGTTATAAAATAATAATTACCTCTAATATCTACGATAGAAATAGGATCCTAAATATTAATATAAAGCTTCTATACTAGTATAGTCTAGATATACTTACTTTATCTAAAAAGTAAGATATAACCTTTACTAAGAATATAAGAAGGATAAGGATACTTAATACTAGATCCCTTTTTAATATTAATTCCTTCGGTATATTTAGCTATATACTTTATCTTCTACTTATCTATATAATAGGCTCTATAATAAGCTAGATCTATTAAAATAGGTTAAATCTTACCGATTTAAGAAGCTATAGCCGAATCTATAGCGGATATATAGCTATTACTAAATATATAGGATAATTAAATAGATAGAGCTCTAAGTATATTAATATAACTATTACTATTATAGGTATAAACCTAATATTAATCGTTCTCCTACTTAGCTATAATAATAAGCTCTTTCCTCCTATAGAGGAAGCTATATATCTTATTAAATCGAGTCTTAATACTAGAATCCTTCGTAAGTTACTATAAGGAAATAAGGTTTATATTAAAAGAAGGAATATACTAGACTCTAAGTAGCTTAAGCTTAGAAATATTATTTCTATTTAAAAAGTTTAAAATAATATTACTATATCCTTTAGTCTATACTTAATAACTATTTAGAAGCTTTATATTAGTAATAAGTAGCGTGAAATTAATAAAATTTATATAATAAGATATTATATATACTAATATACTAGAGTCTACTATCTAAATATACTATTTATCGTTATCTATTAATAGAGCTATAATATTAATAGCTAAAGAGCTTATTTTAGCGAAGCTTATTAAAATCTTCTTTTTAGATTTCTTCTTCGAATTTAAGTTCTTTTTCGAATTAGAAGTACTAGCTATAGCTATATTAACTCTGTCTTAAGAGATACCCTTAGATTTAGGATTAAAGAAGTACTACTTACTAGTATAAGCTATTAAACGCTTATAGTAGATATAATAATATAATAGCTAATTATTATTATCCTTATTATTTTAACTTTAGCTATAATCTTATCCGGAGCCTCTACTATAGTCTCTATCTTCTTAGCCTCTACCTCTATCTCTGCCTCGATTGTTATTTTACGTAGATCTCGTATCTTTTAAGGTAGAAATAGCTACGATCACTATATTTATAGACTTTTTATTCGACTTATATTTAATAAATTTACCGAAAATATAATTAAGTATACTATCCGGATTAGTTAGAGGTTTATATATATTTAAGAAACCTTTTATACTTTAGTAGCTATTAATTATAAGCTTAAAATAAGCTAGAGCCTATTTAGGTAGTAATAGTATATTTAGAATAGCTAAATTTATAAGATCTAGTATAGCTTACTATTTTATAATAAAATTATATAGATTACTAATAGTATAAATAAGCTTAATTAAAGAGAATAGCCTACAGCTTAAAGTAGTATAGTTACTAGTACTATATATATTACTAATATAAAGGAAGATTTTATAAGAATCTTTATAATCGCGTATAAAGCTATAAGCTAAATCGCTAAGTATATAATAGATAAGGTATTTCGAAAGCGTATATTTCCGGCGAAACTAGTGAAATTAGTTATTTAGTTAAGTTATATTCTTATTAATCTACTTATTAAATTCCTCTTCGGTAGGTTCTCGTCTAAATTAAGCGAAAAGGATATTTTAAATAGCTTCCTCTATAGGATTATTATAAGGCTCTTAAATAGGATATACTACTTTACCTATAATAATAGATTATAGGTCTTCGTCTAGGCTATCTATAATAAATTAAAGCCCCTATCTCTACTTCTCGAAGTTAGCTCTTCCCTTAAGCGTAGGGACTAATTTAGCGAAGGTTTTAGCCGCCTTATAAGCCTCGAGATCGGAAACTATATTAAATATATATAAATATATTAATCCTACTATAATAAAGTACTACTACGTAGGTAATATAGAGCTTAAAAGCTCTAAATAGCGTAAGAGCCGGAAGGTATAAGATCTACTATAATAAAGGTATATTATATAGTAAGTCTATTATAGCGAAGTACTACTATATAGGTAAAGAGCGTAAGAGCTCTGAAAATAGTATAGAAGCCGGAAGGATTTTATATATTTTTAAATAGCGTTAGAGCTAAAGGAGGGACTTTAGCGACGATTCGATACGATAGCTTCGGTAGCCGTATTCGATACGTAGGGATCGTTAAGTCGTAAAGAGATACGAAGTCTATACTCTGTAGAAGGCGTAAAACGCGCCGAAAAACGATGGAAAAAGAGGTTATTTTGTAAGTTATACCTAGGTAGTAAGGAAATATAAATAACCTCACTCTTTATACGCTAAGCAGGGCTTATAACCTATTAGAAGCTACCGGGAAACGTAGCAGACCCAAAAAGAGGGGAGAAAGGAATGGTGAGATTGCATCTGGTGAGAGGTGCCTATCTAAGCTACGAAGGTGGTGTGCGTGGGCGCGCACCACGCTGGTGACACGCCTGACTACCAAGCTATCTCAATAATTAACTAGCTAACCGATCTACTAGTTAATATAGTTCGCGGTAACTAACTAGTTAACCCTTCTAGCTAACTCCGCTCTCTAAGTTCGCTCTCGAACTAGTTAACCGACTCGCTAGTTAACTCTTGACTTTTGCCTATATATCACACGTTAGAGCCGAAGGAGGGGCTTTAGCGACGATTCGATAGCTTCGGTAGCTAAATTCGATACGTTTAGGACGTAAAGAGAGCGTTAAGTCGTACCGAGGTACGTAAGGCTATAGAAGGCGTAGGATATACCGAAAAGTAATAGAAAAAACAGTTATTTTATAAGTTAGTACTTAGGTAGTAAGGAAATATAAATAACCTTACTCTTTTAGCGCTAAGTAGGGCTTATAACCTATTAGTAAGCTACGGTGAAACGTAGTACTTACCAAAAGAGGGGAGAAAGGGATAGTGAGATTGAATATGGTAAGAGGTGCTATCTAAACTACTGGTGGTAGTGGTGTGCGTAGGTGTGCACCACGCTGGCGTGACGCGCCTGACTACCAAGCTATCTCAATAATATCTTTCCTTTAGGTAGTTAAAAAATAAGATTTAGTAATTATTAGGGCCGGGATCGTAGGGTAACTAGGACTATTAACTAGGTAAAGGATTAAAGTCTAGGGGGGCTTAAATTTAAAGACTGAATCTTAAAGGTCGGAACCCTTCCTCCCTTCTACGATTATTATATATATATCCCTTGTATATAGGGTTCGTATCCTTAGGGCTATAACCCGGTGGATTCGTCGGCGTTCTGCACGTGATTCCTCCGTAGTGTGACACATGGGCAAAAGTCAAGAGTCAACTGGCGAGTCGGTTGACCAGTTCGGGAGCGAACTTAGAGAGCGGAGTTGGTTGGAGGAGTTAACTAGTCAGTTACCGCGAACTGTGTCAACTGGCGGATCGGTTGGCCAGTTGATGGAGATCGACTTGGGGTACCGAGGAGGAGATCATATGACCGATGTTTGCGTTCATGAGATCAGATGGGTATCCACGCGTTGTTGATGGTTGGAACCTCACGCGTGTGTGTGTGTTGGAGCCTAAGAATTGTTTGCTTTTCTCTTTACTTCTATGGAGGAACCTTCCGTCTGGGACTTTCTAGGAGGATTCTGCCGCTTCCCCGTGGTCCGCCCACGATGAGTATTTGAGGCAGTACTTCGTCTTCCTCATTTCTTCCTTTCCTTTTTCCTCTTCGTCTTGGTTTCCTCGTTGCATAGGACACAGTTGCTTTACCTTCTTCCTTCCATACGTAGGTTCATGTAGCTGTACTGCCTGGGAGTCACACGTAGCCGCGCCTTAATAGGTCGCGCCGTGACAGCTATCTCCTAGCTTCATAGGGTGATTAGTCTATAGATTTTCTTAAATGATTACGGCCCCCGTATTGTTTAGGTCTACAACACCGATCTCTTTGGAAATAGTGGTATGTTTTCACTAAGGAGTATGGAGGTGATTTTTCTTCTTATAAGAACCCCTATAGACTTTGATTTTCAACCAGTTTAAAATCTGGACTTTGTACCAACGCTTGAATCTCTTATAGCTATACCTTGTCTACTTTCTCTGGTCTCTACGTGTACTAGTCAAGAATCTTATGGATTGTGAGAATCATGTGATTTTGTGTGCGTGAGACTATGCCACTTGATAGCTGGGCGCTTGGGCTCAGTCGAATGATTAGTCAGTATGTAATCAGTGGGATAAGAAGAGAAGTGAAGCAATATGGTTGAGGAGGATGGAATATAAATGTCACGGTCGAATGGTTAACATGCGTAAGTCGAAAGGATGGTGTAGGAGTTCCTCGAACTCGGGAAACCGCGACTCAGGACCCTCACAACGTAGCCTGTCAGGGCTGCTGGTATTACGAGGTTATCAGCCGTGCTTTCTAAACCTTCGTCCACTCAGATATGTCACCTGTACTTCACGGCAATGGAGTGGCCAGCTTGGTGATACAACGCCTTCGTCCACATACCGAAAGTCTCAACAAACTGTGCCTTCGCGTTCGAACGACAGCTATGAATGTGTGAGATACATGCTACGATTGTTGCTTCTTCTTCTCCGCCGCGATTTCTGTAATCAGCGGTGTGTTCAACAAAGCATTTTGAGCAGCCTCGTCCCCTGCGGCAACTTTGCTTGGTCCGTGTCCAGAGCCAAGATGTCGCTTGGTCCATCCCCAACCAGTGAGGTAAACTCCAATGAAGAAGGTTTGCGTACCAGAGCCCCTTTTTTGTACAGATGGACGCTCCTCGAGATATTCCAGCCTCACATTGCGGCCCATGATTTGTTGGGCCAGAATTTCCTTTGAGCGTAAAGTAGCCTTTTGGTGGCCCAGTCGATCAAGTTCCGGCAACCAAAGACTGGCCAACCACCTCTCCACCAGCTTGTAGCCGTCTGCTTCGGAATGCGATAGTATAACCGCAGCCACATAAGCTTCAAAGATATCGCCCTTCGTTTTCATCCATCGCTTTGGCTGACTTGAATAATTTGCGGGGACCAAGGCTTTGCGATCAAAGCCGTATGTTTCTGAAAATGCGGCAAGCGTTTCGTTTTTGACCAGCTTCTCGCGAATTTGCGACATTCGACCGGCGGGGATTCCAGGGAACTTCTTCCACAGAAGCTTCGTCGCGATGAGCTCGATGTAGGCGTCGCCCAGAACTTCCAGTCGATCATAATTCGTGTCATGGGCAGCACTGCATGCAGAGTGTGTAAATACTGCCTTGCGTAATCTTTCGTCTGGAATTTCAGGTGCGAGAGGAATAGGAATCCCGCTTGTAGAGGGCCCTGTTGTGGCATGGTCCTTGTGACCTGAAGGACTGTGGGCTTGGCTACTTGGATGCAAATCGAAGTCCGTAAAGCGCTGGAGTGTGTCGTTGAGTGTTGCCAGTGCCTTGGCCACTCCTGGATTGATCGATGCGACCTCAGGATCGGCCAGAGCGTCTTGGACGACGCATCTTAAAGAGAATAGTCGAGACTGGGCATTGTTCGTGTTGTTCTCATAGTTGTTGCTGTTGTGGTTATCTAGTACTGGCATCGGCGTCGACATGTCTTGTATGTTCTGTGTCTGTTGATGACCGTTCTATTTAACGCAAACTGTCAGGCTGGTTCTAGCAAGATAATGGGACAAAGTATAGCCTGACCATCACAGGCGCAAAGGGTTGGGGAGCATGACATACCTTGACCCGTTTCGAGTCTGAATGACCAGACCCATCAGATTCTGAAGGCGAATTAGAACGCTTTTTCCCCATTGCGCCGTCAACTTCGAGCTCTTATTGGGGTCTCTATGATAGAAAAAGTGATCCGAAGCCGCACTCTTACTCTTCCGAGCGGGCGCGGAGAGGCACGTCGAACGCCGCCAAAGTGGATCTCGACGCGGACAACCGTCCACGTGATGCCGCCGCGAAGCCGCAAGATAGGCAGCTTCTTCTGTCGAACTCACGATCCTGCTTTTTTGCGCGCATCTGCCAAAGAGCGTGTCTGAGCCGCAGAGATGTCGCAGTCCCGCATACTAGACCTGGTGAAGGTATGTTTCGTGATGATATTGCAGAATTGCAGTCGAGCACCCTTACTGATCTTTGAGTCCAGACGCAATGTCGCATCTTCTCCGCGACTTTCAACCCTCAACGTCTCAGATTGGGTAACAAGATCTTGCGGCAACGTTTGCGTGGTCCCACGTTAGCAGCTTGGTATCCAACGAAGATTGTATCCTTCCGTGATCTTCAGAACACATATAAGCCCCTTGGCTTGACGACGTTCGACGAAGCCGAAGACGACCGCGAGGAAGCCATCCAAATGTTCGTCATTCTATACTCTCTCACCCATTGTTCTATCCCCACTGACACCTTCTCCTAGTACCAAACTGCGAGGAAAGGGACGGCCGAAGAAAAAGAGAACGGCAGCAGGTAAGGCTACTCGCCATAACACGTTGGTCGGTCCGATCTGTGATTCGCTAACCCCGTGTCTCCAATAGAATCGAGATCCGCGAAGAAGAAGAAGTAGACGACACCCTATTCATAGACCATGAGTCGTGCTCGGCGTGGAAGAGTGTTTTTCGAATTTTCCTCGTCCATTGTCTGTGAGATCAGTGGTCATCGTTCCTTCGCAGCGATGAATTGTACTCGGGCCAGGCGCCGAGCATGATCAAGAGGCATGGGTCCCAATCATACGCCTGGGTGTACCATATACCTACCAACATTGTTCAACATCACACACGGCAGAGTTTGTAGTTTTTTTAGATCTCGTGTTTCACACTTTGTCAAGCATGGCTGGGTGATCTGAATCAGTCCTGCGGTGAGGGCTTTCAGAGTATGTAGGTGGCTGGAATTCATGCCAGAGGGCTCCTGAAAGTGCTACAAAATCGGCACCGGAGCTTTTTATAAAAAAGTAACCATTAATCACGAGCAACGTATTTCCTCTTGCAAGCCTAATTGAATGGGATGTGCCGAGCCTGTCACTGCCGCTGGTAAACTCTCTCAGCCATAGAAGCATACTACAGTCGAGAGTCCTATCAAGAATGAATACACAAGCCAAGAGCTGGAAGACCAATTTTCGCGATCTTCTCATTCTGTCACAACTGTCTTGCCGTACTTATAGATGACTACTTCAATACTGATCGCAGACTCTCGGAGGTTTGAATGCTGGGCGGTGAGCACTCGGAGCCAATCACTCCTAGCCGGTGGCAGTATGGTCGACCTCGTTATCTTTCCGCATCATTTCAGATTAATCGGCCGTCGTGCGACATCTTGTATCGGCTGCGGATTTCGTGGCATTCTCTTGCAACATCCTCCTTGAGCAAGGGTCCCATCACTGTCGCAATGCCGTCTGCAACAAAGCCTAGCAAAAATCAACTTCGAAGAGCCCGAAAGAGGGCTCTCAAGTCCGAGGTGAGTCGCATGGTAGCGCGTTTCTCAAAAATTGGCAAGCGCTGACAATTTCCAATTAGACCACTAGCACTCCTGCTACCGAGAACGCAGAGGTCAGCAAAGATGAGGCAGTCCCAGTTCCTGCACTCAAAGATGGAAACGTTCAGAACGACGAGCCAGCGCCTACCCCTGTGACGCAAGATGGACCTGAAGAGTCCGATTCAACTGTCATTCCGGTGGTCCCCGAACCAGACGATCCGCTATGGGCCATGTACAAGGATCTTGCCAGTAGATTTGATGAAGGTACAGGGGAAAACACCACGACCAAAGAAGCCGAGAAGCCAGAGGTGTACTTTGACGACGAGGACGAAATTCCTGATGAGGAGCAAGAGCGCGAACCGAAGTTGTCCAAGAAGAAGCGGAAGGAGATGAACAAGCTGTCTGTTGCCGAACTCAAGGCTCAGGTCTCCAAGCCGGATATCGTGGATTGGACAGATACCTCCGCTACGGATCCTCGGCTTCTTGTTCACATCAAAGCCCACCGAAATGTGGTTCCGGTTCCGTCACATTGGTCTCTGAAGCGGGAATATCTATCTTCAAAACGAGGCGTTGAGAAAGCGCCCTTTGCGCTTCCCAGGTTTATCCAGGAGACCGGTATTGCTGAAATGCGCGATGCTGCTCTGGAGAAACAAGAACAGTCTACGCTGAAGCAGAAACAGCGAGAAAGAGTTCAGCCCAAGATGGGACGACTGGACATTGATTACCAAAAGCTGTACGAAGCATTCTTTCGCTTTCAGACCAAGCCCGAACTCACACGGTACGGCGAAATATACTACGAGGGAAAAGAGCACGAGACCAATCTTCGACACTTGCGACCTGGGGAATTGAGCGATGAGTTGAAAGAGGCGTTGAATATGCCTCCTGGCGCACCACCCCCTTGGCTGATCAATCAGCAACGATTTGGACCCCCTCCTTCATATCCAGCTTTGAAAATCCCCGGTCTCAATGCACCTCCACCCCCAGGTGCCATGTGGGGCTATCATCCAGGTGGCTACGGAAAGCCACCTGTCGACGAACACAACCGGCCGCTGTATGGTGGCGATATCTTCGGTGTACTCCAGCCTCAGCAGAACGTCCAGCAAGGCGAGCCGGTGGAAAAGGACCTATGGGGTGAACTGCAGGAGTCCGAGGCCGAAGAAGAGAGCGAGGAAGATGATGAGGATGGATCTGAGGAAGAAGAAGAGGATGACGAGGAGAGGGAGTCTGGGATGCACTCTCCCAGTGGCATGGAGACTCCAAGCGGTGTGGCGTCGGCTATGCCTTCAGAATTTGGGGCCGCAGAGAACGTCGCGGGTGAATTCGACGTACGCAAGCACCACCGTGGTATCGAGACCGAGGAATCTGTACACCCGCGCAGCGCGTACCAAGTCATCCCCGAGAAGCAGACCAGTGTTCAAGGCTTCTTTGGTGGTGATCGAGCGTACGATCTTAGCTCATCTGGTGGGACCCATCCTGTCCTCGGCGCAGAGGATCAAACCCGAAAACGGAAGAAGCCCGGCGACGTGGAAGTGTCCGTTGATCTTGATGCGCTCCAGTCTGGGGACGGTCTTAGCAAAGAGCGCCTTCAAGACCTGTATGAGACGCAGCGGCAACAGCAGAATCAACCGCAATGGGGCTTCCAGGAAGATCTCAGCGATATGATTGCGCAGGAAAGCAGGAAACGCCTACGCAAAGAAGATGAGAAGCGAGGCAAGCGTTGAAGAGCCTCACTCTTTTGATCGAATGCATTCTGTATCAGTAAGACCGCCATAATCCAATGACTATCATCAGTGCTGCTTTAGCACATTTCGCTCTCCATATCTTGATGCTATTCGAGAACTCCTGTACGTTGTGCCCAGGAGCGCATTGTCTTGCATGGGAGTCAGCCTGCTGGGATAAGAATGACAAAAATGTCTCTTGGAAGACGTAGTAGGCTAGATTACTCTCTCATTGGTACGAGATCCAGCCTCCGCAAGAACGTGCGTCCCGAGTGTGGCCGAGTATAAAATTTAGGATCAAAAATCCCAAAAATGCTTATTGTTAGCTCGAGGATCTTCTAGAAATTCCTGCATCAGGAATGCAGAAGTCAAAAGTCCTGTCAAGGTAAATATGCTCTCTTCAGCCTTTCTTCGCCATTTCAGGTTAATAACAATCATGTCAGAGTCAGCAAAGCTGCACAGCTCCGTGAACATAACCAAGTCAATTACTTCAGCATCTAGGGTTGGATAAGCAGCTTGCTTCCAAGTATCATCTCATTTATCGTGAAGCGGTGGCACTAGCATCAGTGCGTCACAGTAAGCACCATCACATGATAAAGCATGTTGCCGTTAGTTACCGCCTTCTTTTTCTTATCATATCGGCTTGATCTTCACCCAAATTAAGACTAGCTTCCGCGGACGCCTGGGTCCATCTTCAATCTTTTGTCTCCATCAGCCCGCTTGGCTTCCGCTTCCGCGTGTGTTCACCTCCAAAAGGTCGTCCCAGTTTACAGAGGCTTCTTTGCTAAAATGGAGCGGGATCGCAGGAGGTATGGTCTTTCCACTCTTGGTTTTTTGTGATCAATCGATCTTTTACTGACTCTGCCTTTTCACAGATTCGATGACCGCCGCGGAGGGGAGAGTTACCGCCCAGCTGAGCGCTCCGGCCGGTCGCCCACTCGAGGCTATGACAGTCGCCGACGCTCCCCACCACGCAACCGTTCTCGCCCGCGCGCCGACACTTGGGTCCCCTCCAATCGCTCCTACGGCCGTCCTCGAAGTCGATCTCCTGACTTCCGGCGCCGGTCCAGGACGCCTCCTTTCCAGGGCCGAGGTTTTGGGCCAGGCTCATACGGCCGGCGACGGTCTCCCCCCGACGGTTCTCACCAAGAAGAGACGATCGAAATCGATCACCTCCCCGAATGTGGCGATCAAGATCACCTCTGAACACAGGATTGAGGCCTCGAGCTTTGTCCCGAAGTTGTAACAGCCCACGGCGTGCGACCCGAGACCCTTCTCCGGGCAGTCAAGACCTACGCCCAGCCCAACCTATTTCGCCTGCTTTACGCCATGCTGACAGACCTCTCCGAGTATTTACACCAGACGCGAAACCTTCGCAAGAAGTGAGTTGTTCCCAGGATGCCCCCGACGCCGATCGCCGCGAGCAGGTCCTCCACCACAAAGAACGAGCCTCGTCACGTTCGAGACAAGGATCCACTCACCCCATGAGTAGTGGTGGTGATGGTGCTGGTTTTGGTCTTCCCGTCACCGCACCTGATTCTGGTAGTAGATCCAGGCGCTGCTCTCCCTCTACCCTTCCAGATAGGTCTCGGGCCGCTTCGATTCGGAGCCGCAGTCGGTCTCGCACGCGACGATCGCCGTCTTTCCGTCCGCCAACCGGTCCTCGGGGCCGGTCGCCGAACCGAGAACCGCGCCGAGACTCTGATCACCTTGGTCCACGTTGGTCCAACGATGACCCGACGGAGAGACCGGCTCAGATTCCCACCGGTCCCAGTCAACTGCGCGATGGGCGATCGTCAAATTCGATTCCCACGCAGCCCAGGATCGCCAGCATTCAGGCTCCGCCGTCGGGGCCATCGCAAGGATTGAAGATGGGTGCAATAGGGCCGGGTCGCGGTCCTCAAAACATGTCTTTACTGTCCGCGCCCACGCGTCCTCGTCGCGGGCATGGCTCTCGAGATGATCCTTGGCATGGACCCTCCATGGCGCGCCGTGGACCACCTCCGGCGCCAGCGGGACACGGCCCTCCTGCTGGCCCTCGAGCATCATTCTCATCTTCTATGTCCGGTGGAGGTGGTCATTACCGCCACTCGGGCGCCCGTCAGCATAGCACTGCGTCCGCATATTCGTCACCCGGACCGAAGCCTCCCAATCATCTGTCCGGGTTGAGTGCGATCATTCCTGGCGGCAAGTTGTCATCTTCGATCTTGGATCCGCCCAATGAGAGACGTCTTGCGCAATTGGAAGCGGATTGTGAGAGGCTCAACGAGCAGGTCTTGGAGATTCAGAAGATCAAGCGAGCTGGCTTACGCGATTGGGACCGGTTGGATCGGGAGAGTTCGATTTGCGCTCTCAAAAGCGAATTGGCCGAGGGCCATCTGCAGCGCATGGCAGAAGAAAACAGCATTGCCGGCGGTATTTCGTTCTGATTGAAGAACCCCAGTATGGACTTGGTCTTCGGCAGCGATGTGCATGCTCTTCTCTTCTTTCAAGTTGGGACCGTGTGGACCACTGCTGGCGTTCGCGGAAGAACATATTTACGAGAGGCGTTGTTGGCTTTATTTTGTTTGGGTAGGGACGCAGGAGCATGGCATGGAACTGTATTTTTAGTGGCTGGGATGGGTTTCTTGAGTTAATTGTAAGCCTGAGCTTGCTATCTTCTACTCGCCGAGTCAAGTAATCCGATTGACGCTTTATGTTTTTGATGGAATCTGACACCAGCGATCGCTGGTGCTCGCGCCGGTGCTGCACTACTCTGAACTCATGTCCGTCTCCAGGTGGATACGGACTGGCTGCTCGACGCGGCAGACCAAGTTCGTCATCAGGTATGTCGACTCCGAGTCACTACTTCTGGGACAAGAGGTCGATCCAGCAGACCATAATCTGGACGACCTGTAGAGGCAAAGACTGAAAGTCCGATGCGATAGTCCAACAACAAAAAAAAAATAAACATTCAACATGCTGACAAGCGTTCAACAAGCACTCAATTGCTATAACCTTCAAGACGGAAAAAGAGTGTCTTGGCTCCCGTACCTGATCGGCACCCGGCCTTTTTCTGGTCTTCGTGTCAACAACTTCCCCGTCCCGCGTCTTTGCGATCCACACTTACCTACCCTTCCGTTCACTCTGGGCCCTTTCATTCCCTTGTCATCCCTACTTCTCCTAGCCTACAAACTCGGTCGTGAGTCTTGTCGTCAGCACGCCTGACTGTAAAGGTCTTCTTCATTATATTTTGGCTGTGTTCAGTCTGATCGATTCCCCTAATTCTTGAGCTGCGCTCCCCACCTTCACGATGAATATCTTCCGGTTACTAGGTGAGCCCGATAGCAGGCGATCACAAATGATTGCACCATCTAGCCTGGAGGCGCTAATCGACGAACAGCGGATTTCTCCCATCTGACCTCCATTTTAATACTTCTCCAGAAGATGAAGTCATCCAGCGTAACGTTGCTCCCTCTTCTTCGAATCTGCGCGCGCCCGATTCCGCCAGGGCCACGTTCGCTTTCTCTAACGTCACAATAGAGCTGCTCTGGCCTGTCATTCAAGTCGCAAGTGCTGTATTTCATAGTGTTCATCACGCGCTATCTGGGTAAGCATGGCCTCAACGGTCCAAGCCACTTCCACGTGCGCTGCGAATTCAATCGCTGACGCTTCATCGCCACCAATTTTGTTTAGATCTCTTCTGGACCTTTACCGATTCGCTATACCTGACGACCTTCAAGCTGCTCTTCATCGGCTCCTCCGCATACATCATCTATCTTATGCTCAATGACTACAAGCCCACCCACGACCCCAACCTTGATACCTTCAAGGTCCAGTACCTGCTGGGAATCAGTGCGATTCTGGCCTTGCTATTCCCTCGCGACTACCGCATCTCGGAGGTTCGTGACATATACCCGCAGTGGCCCTGTGGATCAGGAAACCCATTGCGTTGCCCGAAAATTTCCATCTCTGAGTCAGGACTGACCTGCATTCTCTCTCTCTCTCTTTTTCTTCCGACAGATACTCTGGACCTTTTCCATTTGGTTAGAGTCGGTCGCAATCCTGCCGCAATTGTTCATGCTGCAACGCACTGGAGAAGCGGACACCATTACCACCCATTATCTCTTCGCCCTGGGCAGCTACCGCGCTCTGTATATTCCTAACTGGATCTACCGATACTTCACCGAGACCAGTTTCCACCGATCCTTCCAGCCGGTCACGGTCATCGCCGGCATCATCCAGACCCTATTGTACTCGGACTTTTTCTATATCTACTACAACAAGTAAGCAGCTTCTGTGTCAACACGTGGTGTATTGAACACTTGAATACTTTCTGACGTGACATTGTGGGAAACAGGGTATTGAAGGGCAAGAAGTTCTCCCTTCCTGTTTAAGGGAGCGCGCCGAGCGTGTTCTTCTCTGTGATTCCCCTCGCCGGGCGGGAACACCGGGTCAATTTCAAGTGTCACGACGATCAAGTTTTATGCAAGAGAGCAAGCGAAAAAAGAAGACGGCTGGGGGATGAATGGAGAGAGGGAAAGTGCTTGTATGCAAGATTGTATACGTTCTTTTTCTGTTTTTGGGGGGAGGGGAGAGGGTTGAATGAGTGGCCAACTCTGCCAAGACCGGCGATGATCTTGCATGTTCGCTCACTCGGCTCGCTTTTCAGATAATCTTTGGAAGAGATGCAGTCGAGGGTGATGTACCACGCCGGGCAAATGAGTCCGACTTCATTTCGTGAAGTGACAGCCCTCTTCGCTTTTTTTTTGTCTGTGGTTGGTGTTTGGTGTCATCTCTGATCATGTTCCTGGGCTGGTTGATGGGATTCTATACTCTTTGCTGCTGATCCATTGTTGAGGGGGTCAAGATTCAGTCCTTCCTCGAGAATCAGTTTGGCGATATGTACTTTTACGATTGCGAAGGCGGAAATTCAAAACTCTAGAGCGATCTGGTGATTCTATCTAAATCAGGCCGAATTCGGTTGGGGCACAGTCATCCTGGAAGGTACCTAATTCAATTTGTAGTCGCATTTGCCGTCCATTGTCAGCATATCCAGTATATCAGTTCCGAGAGTGCAGAATCTGCGCTGCAATAGAGCCTGCTACAAATGACGTACGAGTGAGATCCTCGTGAATCTGCCGTCATCTTGTCAACGCGAGCTTGTTTCATGAATCGCGGATGACTAATCTGGGGTAACGTGGATGTTTCAGAGGGTGATGTTGAAGATTGGGTTTTCGAAATCGTAACATTGTAATTGTAGGAAGTAATTCGGGCTCACTAAGTTGCAGATCGTCACACTCTTGCTCGCGAAGATCCCTTCCGCCAAACGCTGAGAAACTGGAATCGATTTCTCTACCAGTATGGAGCATAAAGCAAAGACAATAGACATACCCTTGGTCTTCGTCAATGCGTAGGCACCCTCCGACTCTCATTATCCCTCCTCCGAACTACCTAACCTCGCATTGCAATAATTTCCAATCTTCTTTAACCCTTTCCAACCTCATTTCTAATCTTCCGAGTCCCCATTCTCCATCCCTCTATATCTACACATCCTCGTCTACCATTTCCTCCGCCAAATCGCAACACCACTTCGTTTGACAGGGCAACCACGGACCACAAAGCCCTACCAAAGACCTATTCTAATTTTGAAGGGGATGACTTACATGTTAGCTCCCTAGGTATGTAGTTGAAGCCTGATCGACCCACTTTTTTATTCTTATCCCAAACCACATGAGACGTTGCCGAGACAAGACTATGATTTGGAGAGGGTGAGCGGGAGCAACGAATGATTTCAATGTAGCTGTAACTTGTAAGTATGTGACTATTTGTAGATAAGAATATACGCTGTGAATTTGATTGAGCAGGTCCAGTTTTGTAGAGCATTACTCGTCGCTTCAGTGTGTCCGGATCGAGTGGGACTTTCCTAAATAGGTGTACCTCGATATGTAGATGTAGGTCTTAAATGGAACGAAACACAATGGACTCGGGTAGTCCTTGCACCTCCTTTTCTGAACTCATAAAAACCAAATCATAATTTTAAACATGACTTTTTCTTTCCGTACAAAATCGACGACGCCCCAATTCTTGAAGTCATTAAAAAAAAGGCGGGAGGGTCTTGCGTGCCCGTGATGCCATCCATGCTACACCCTTTTTTCTTTATCCTCGCCGCGCCAGTCCCTCATTGTGTCTTTTCACATGCAATATCCTCCCCTGCCTAAACCTCACCGAGTGGATGCAATTGCTTTTTTTTTTCTCAAATATGAAGACGCAAAGACCAGGAAAACTCTATCCACCTCTTTCTCCCCCAAAACTACCCAAACACCTCGAAACCTTCGACATTGCCCAATGCACCCTTTAGACATAATCGCAGCAAAAGGAACAGAAAAAAAAAATCAATATTCACGATGGCCAGACTCCCCATGATGAGAGGGCACATACCCCGTCGCATACCCCAGTTGCGAGGGTGTCAAGGCCATGTCTTCCGCAAAGGGATCCAACCCCTGCGCCATGGAATGAGAATGATGAGTCGGGTTCAACCCGGAACCCGCTGGGTACGAGCGCAGCGCGACAGCCGATCGACTCTGCAAGTTCTGCGACGAGGAGTCAATCCATGCATTGTGGCCGTGACTGTGACTGTGACTGTGGTATTGACCCATGTAGTCCGACTGGGTGGGAGTTACCGTGCCAGTTCCGGTCCGAGCTCCAGCTCCCGGTGCAGTGGTATGAGCACCATAAGATGAGGAAGAATCTCGCTTGACGATCGGTGGAGAGGGGAGTTTGGGAGATCGAGGAATCAATTCCAGACGGGGAGAGCCACGGCGGGAGTTTGGAGGAGTGAGACGAGATCCGCCACGACGAACTTGGCAAGTTGGACAGATTTTGACAAAGCGCGAGATGAGTTCTTTGGGGACCCTGGGAAGTAGAACAATATCAGCATGGGTATGTGCGTCTGGGGCGTTTGAGCAAAACATCTCGGAAGTTCTTCATCTCAGCCTCGGGTAATATTATGAAAGGGGTAACAGATATCCAAGTATCTATATCCCTCCCAACGAGAAGAAAGAAAGGCAGAATGGACTGACCAGGAGTATATGCGACGAACTTGAGCAGAAGTCTTGTCCCGACCCCCATGTTGACACTGTTGATGAGCTCTGGTGAGAATCTTGAAAAGTTTCTCACGAATCGCGACAGGCTTGCCTTCATGGCAGATCATTTTTCGGCACTGAAACATATTAGATCAGAGGAATTTCAGGATCGAAAAAAAAAAAAAAAAGAGAAAAGAGAAAAGTTGCCGTTCCAGCAGCTCAAGTGCACTAGACGGAAGGAAACTTACATCGGTATTTCCAATCCCTACGGTTTGAAGTTTGAACATCTTTTTGACCCAGAAGCTTGAGCGTCAAAAGTCAGCATTGGCCAGTCTCTATTCTGGAAACCACGATATGGAGCCAGAAGACCAGATAGAAGGAATCAAATGTCAGAACTGAGGTAATGAACTTACCGAAATTGAGCCGATTCAACAGCTGTATCTTTGGGATCAATCAGGACAGTGCGAATGTTTCGTGCTCGCTTCGAATGGATCAATGCCTTGTCCTGCTTTTTGACAGAGAGATCGTCCACATAGCTAGCTCGGAGTACTACGTTAGCTGCCGTTGTGACAGTCCAAGAGTTGAAGATTGTCTGTAAATTTAGCAACGGAAAATACACACCTTTGCATCAATTGATCGAATTCCTTCACATCCGGAAACCCATCCAAAGCTGGCACAACCGGCTCCGACAACATTGTGCCCTCGTTTCGAGACTCCTGACTCTCAATCTCCGTTTCGCTCAGGGCATCTCGGAGCGGCAAGTACCTAGGGGTTTGCATATACCGCGACTGTGCCATATACTGCGAAGGAGCATGCGATTGCGAATGAGAATGCTGGTGTTGATGCTGATGTGCATGATGGTGAGAGTGCAGTCTCAGATCGTCTACCATGCTCATCGACGAAATCGTCTGGTCCGAAGCATATTGCAGGTGCTGAATGCCCGGCGACAAGGTGGCTTGTTGCCCATATGGAGAGCTGAATTGGGATCCATAAGGGTTGTAGGAATGCGATGGGAAGTGATACGAGGCTGAAGAAGCTGCGGTGCCAAAGTCATGATGACTGCTATCTGGGTGGGTGTAAGGATTGGGCACGTTCATGGGAGGATTCATCAATCCGTAGGAGTCATTTGTATCGGGGCGTCGGGAATAGTTGCTCATCATGAAATTGAAGCGGAGGAGGGGCCTTTTTGTCTTCTTTTCTCGCTTTTTTCCCTCTCGTGTCTTTCTCTTGCCTGTACACTTTTGTTCTCAGGCTGTCGGTCTTTTCGGAATGTGTATCACACGAATAGAATCTTGGTCAAGTTGAGATTGCAACTGAAACGAACAGATCGACTCGCAACGGACCCAAGAGAGGAGTGTATGGCCTCGCCAGGAGAACAGATCCCTGCAGTTATAATCTGAGCGCAAGTCACAGCACGGTTTGTATCGAATAGAGAAAGACCGGCAACCAATAGACAATGGAAGAAGGTTCTTGGAAACGATGTAAATCCTGAACGACTGGGAAGACTCAAGGCCGAGGCACTCTAGACGTCTTGAATGAGATGTCCAATGTCGAAAGTCGAAGCTGGCGTCTTGATCGTCTTTGAGGAAGAGGCAAATCCGGAATCAAGCAACAAAATTGAAAAAAAAAAAAAAAAACAGGAGATCACAAAATCAGCGAATGAGTAATTAGTTCATCTAGAGCATGATCTTCCACAAACAAGTCGACGGTGGTAAGAATGAATCAGCCAGGTCAAAAGTGAGGGCGCAACATCTCCTATTAAAAGAAAGATTCCATGGATAGCAAGTTCCTCGTTGCATTTCTGCAAGGTCCATGTCAGTTCCGAGTCGATGCCCAAAAGGCAAAAACATGCACGCAGCAACTCAAGCGGCACGAGACATCATCCCTCCTTCCGGGGAGTGTTCGAGGCAAAATCCAAGCCAGAAGTGGATAGCTTGCCAACGGTGAGGATGATCCCTGAACAATCGGCAGCAGGTGGCATGGTACAAGGGGCCATCGAATGAAGCATGACAATCATCCAGAAGGACAGGAAGGGAACACAACCCCCCAAGAAAGAAAAAAAAAAGCAAAGAAAAGAATAAATTTTTGCAAGGCATGGAGAAGCTAGAACGAGTTCGGTAATTGCTCTGTCAGGTACGTGCAGCAAGTTAAGGGCAGGTTAGGTCGGACTGGAGATGCAGCGTGCATGGAGTTGAAAAGCGCAAAGGGTGAACCCAACGCGACGGAACATGGGCTAGAGAGCTGGGAGAATGGAGAAATACTCGACCCGATTCCGAGGAAGAGGACATTCCAAGAATAGAATCGAGACAAGAAAGAAACCAGAGTAGAACAGCTCGTGCCCCAGAAGAGAAGAGATCACGAGATCGACAGGAATGTGTATCGGTTCAGAGTGACTCAGTGGGTGAATGGAAAGATACACCCACGAACAATCTCCAATTAGGTTCAGACTCAAGTCAGAAGAGTACACGAGTGGTCAAGCCCAGCTTTGTTTTAGATCGTTCACGAAACTCAAATACTCTACATCAGCCACCATGGGACAGCGCATGATGACTAGGGTTCGTGGTCAAGGAATCTTCCCGACCCGCCGAGCAGAGGGCAACCGACAAGCGCAAAAGGAGTACCATTTCAAAAAAAAAAAAAAAAGAAGATGACCAAGTGTGGAGAACAGCAGCACTGCCATAGAGTGAACTATTAGTTGGCGTAGACTAGTCGTCGTAACTACTATGTGAACTAGTAGTAACTTAAAAGACTACTGTATAAATGTAGTACTTGACGGGTAGAAAAGCGCTTCATCATGTGACAAACATTTCTCCCCAGTTCCAACTTCCAACCACCAAGACGAGCGCCACGATCTACCTCTCGAGGAGCCTAAGTTTTGGTCACAACCCCATACTCTCAAATCCAGCTCGCCTCAAGAGGAGACCGTTCACCCACACCACCGTCGTTGTCATCCTCCTCGTGGAGAGAAAAAAACAAAAGGCCACGTTGGGCTCGTCCGAGGCCACCTATGAGAGTGAGAAAACCCCCCCCCCTCCCAAAAACCAAGAGGTGCGCCTCCTCTCGGGTCGGGCTCGAGCAAGTGTGTCGCATTACATCGCATCGCATCGCATCGCAGATCGCATTGTTTTGTGTCGCGACAATGCACCCAGGGGACACAATTAAGTCCTCCCCGACCTTGGACAGCGAGAGAAAGACGAGTTGAAGGGACAGCCAGAGGAGCCCTGCAATCATGCCAACAAGCTCTCTTCACGGAACACGAATCTTTTCTTCCGAGAGGCTGGCCGGCTGATCAGCCTGCAACGAGGTACATGTACATTTGGTGATTCTACTTAGTACTCGCTAGTAGTAGTACTATTACCAGTACTACCTACTATACGTAGTACCGAGGTAGTATACTTATAAGACCTAGTTCGTAACCCACCGATACTGTATTTCGAGAATAACATGAGTCGTTGAAGTAGGGACCTTCTACCGACAAGTACAAGAACCCCCCAGAATAGGGCACTGACAACACAGCCAAAGAAAGAAAAAAAAAGAACAATATTACCGGAATAATTCAAGAACCCCACCTCGGCCAAACATTATGACGGACCATCGTGTTCTTTGACGCTGGAGATGTTTGAACGATCTAACGCTTGAACACTCCCAAAAATCTGACAGGGGGGGGGGGCTTGAGTGGCTGGAAGCTCTTGCTGCTGCAGGTTTGCCTCCCGTCAAACAAAGTCTGATTAAAGATTGCTCCGGCACCTGGAAAATCCAAACAAATGCACGTAGCCGACGCCGGAGGGAACATGGATGCTGATCTCAGTTCAAGGAAAGGAGATTGTCATGAGAGGACCTCAGCACCCCATATCCCAGAAGGAAGAATGATAAGGTGAGCATCCTCGAAGAAGCCAGAAAGATGGATAGCCGATTTTACACTGGCGAGATGTCACCAATGACTAATAATAGTATACTCCTCACGACCTCATGGGTATGATCTACCACCGAGTCGTATCCTCGGGAGTGAGGAAAGGCGCGACGGTTTTCTGTCATCCCGGAGCCTAACAATCAAGATGCAGCCAGAAAAGCCGAACGTATAGGAGGTCAACGACCAACTGGCATCGAAAACGCACGTATGAGGTAGGGTGCACTTGCAGTCTACGAAGTACAGTGACTACCTACAGACTACAGTACTTATGTACAGTATAACCACCTGCATGTACCGGACCCGACCTCCGAAGCTCGAAGCCTCGTGGATGATGACGATTCACATGGATACGAAAAGGGAGGAGCCAGAAAGGGGCAAAGAAAGGAGAATAAAGTTCCGCCAATCTATCCCCCTCAATCCCACGTAGAAAACAACTACACAGAACGGCAGATACTTGACCGAGCAAAGAAGTACACACTTCGTCGCGGGAGCGAGATAGAGAAAATGTCAAGTGAGGCGCAAAGGCGCAGAGGCGCAATTTAGCGGGGAGAGAAGCAAACTAGTAAGAAACTGGGGCCGATCAATTCCGTCCCCAATCAGTTGTTCACAGTAAACCACAGAGCTTGGGCTTAACGCGCCAACGCATTCGTACCAAAGTACTCTGCCTACCTCATAGAAGGTATTACCCTATCGTACTCGGCTGCAAATCGTCACCGCTTACATCATCCCCGATTCGTAGTGGTAGAGGTACTAAGTCGTAGAAAATTAAGGGACTTAGACAACAAGCGTCCCCAAAACATAAAAGAATTGCGGTCCTACAGCCTTCCCTTCGCCTTTTCCATACCCGAGGCGAAGCCGAGAAACGAGGGTACCTATCAGTGGCGTTCAGATTCGGGTAGATTGTCATAGAGATGCCTTCCATAGCCACTTGTATCCTGTAGCTCTCCTTTCCTTCTCTTTTTTGTTGTCCCTCTCTGTATGCCTACCTAGGGCAAGCCTCCTGATTTCTTTTCCAATGTAAATGTGTCGTCATGATCAGTGCACAACAAGCACCGGATCGAATAGGATGATGTCCAACTTGATCGAATACGTCCGTCGAGGGCCTCGCAGGTGCATACTGTCATTGGCCAATGTCTTGCCAAGTACGTGTATGTACACTACAGCCCGCGGAATGGCAGGATGGTCTGCGTTTGGTCCAACAAGTATACCGAGTCGTGGACAAGTGAGACAAGGATGCTCAATGCTGGGCACTTGACACTTTGACGTGCATGAGAGTTCCTGATGTACCCGCGCTTAACGTAGATTCTCCATCTGTTTACTGCAATGTTGCACCTCGTGATGATCTTGGTCCTATACGTTGCAAAAGAGTAGATAGGAGAATAGGAGGCACAGGGTCTAGGCCGGTCGTAGACTATCTGCCAAAGACCTTGACTCTCGAAGAGAAGTGTCAAGCTACATCGATATGGATCTACCACACTTCAAGATTGAAAAGGACCAAAAAAGAGAAGCAAATCCCCTCCCCCTTAACCCTCGCTCAGTCAAAATCTAGTCCAGCACCCGGTGTAACGATGCTGCCTCCCGAACCGCATCGCGCGCGCGCGAGTCAGTCAGTCAGTCAGTCAATTACTCTCGACTCTTCAACTCTTCCCATTCAACACGTTAGCCAGTCTTCCCAAGTACATCTCATGCAATGAAGACAAGGCAATGAGTCTACAAGGATCTGGAAGCCACAAACAAGCCACTTCTGCAGGGCCAAAGTATACAAAACAAATTCCATCCATAACAATGACAAATTACCAGGAATACACTCTGACAGTCCCCGACAAGCTCAGTCAGAAATGAGAAAGGAGTGGCCGAGAAAGAAAGAAAGGTCAGATAAGCTTGAAACACGAGTTTCACCCTTCTCTTCCGGCGGCCGGTGAATAGACCCCGGAGGATGGAGACGTGGATCTTCCTTGTTCTTGGGCATTGCTGCTCAGTCAGAAAGTCAAGGCAGTGGTGAGGGCGAAGGGAGCTTACTCTAGTACTGAGCCCGGCGGCGTGGTCATCCTCCAACCAAGCTCACTTTATTACAGTACTCGAGTGGCTCGGAGTTCTGTGCTTGACGTATACATGTGGCAAATGGATCATGTTTGGGCGTGGACCTCGAATGAGGTTTCAATTGAACGGGGATCCTTCAGTATCTGTACGCTAAGTTCTTGGGTAAAGAACAATTAGGTGGTACCACTACCACCAGTATGCAGTATGTACCTCTTACTACTCACTAGTCACTCACGATACGACTCAGAGAGACGCCCTACAGACTCGGCGATACCTTGACGCCTTCAAACCGTCCATCAACATCCAAGAACAAAGAGCACCCCAGAACGGAGAGGCTGGCCTGCAACTGACAAATTCAACAACTTCCCCGAAACCACGTACTGCATGCAGGTCATCCGCAACGGCCCAGCGAACAAATCCACCCAACGCCCCGAAGAATGACAATGTGTCGAACAACCACTTTCGTACCGAGGTCGCTGCCTAGCCACCTGCTAACTCACCTTACGATCTTACTAGTATTCTACTATATTTTATTGGAGCATCTCACCTACTCATTCACCTACCTACCTATGTACCTACCGACCTATTGGGCTCTACTACTTACTGCCAGGCGAGGACGGGGAAAAGAATCAACAACGGACAGGTACCCAACTGGACCTGGACCTGGACCTGGACCTGGACCTGGACCTGGACCTGAATCGGGTGCTTGATGATGTGAACACAAGTACGTCAGGGCCAAACTCATACTCGAGATTCCCATTTATCAAATTGGAATAGGGTGCTTTACCCTTATCTCCCGAGAACACACCATCGTCAGATTCCATTGCATAAGTGGGTTATTGTGCTCGATGCGGTATGTAGTAGGTAGTAGGTACAATGTACTGTACTGTAGACGAAGAAGGATGCAGAGGAGGAACTCAGGAAGCATATAGGATACGGTACACTCGATCATATTAAGAACGAGGAAAAATGGTCTTGGGCGAGGCGCTGCGTGGGAGAGCCCCAGGAGTATAGTTACATGACATGATGACGCCGAACAAGGGGGGGGGACAAAAAAAAGGGAAAGGGTTCCCTCTCAAGTGCCAACAGTCAAACAACCTTCCAAGAACAGTAAAAAGTCCACACGCCACCATTTTTTTTCCCTTCTCCCCTGTTTCACCTGGACATGATGGTAGTAATAGAATAAACAGAAAGAAGCAAACACATTATAGAACCACCAACTGGTAGCGTCGTAAAAGTCGTTGAGCCAAAGATCATCATGGCTATGGAAGGACATGGGTAAGAGGGGAATAGGATCCATGTCTTTCGCGTCATATATCTCGCGTCATAAGTTCGTTCGTTGTCGGGGAAAGCTGGAAGGGCCAAATTGTCGAATCGGCTTGGAGCTTGCGCTCACAGTGACAAGATCAAGAACCTCTCGTCTTCTCCATCAACAGTCTTTTCGCTGCTGGGTAATGAATTATAGTCGGCTCTCTCATCGAGATCGCCTCTTTCAGATTGATCCTTGTAGGATATTTTTTTTCGCGTGAATTCCCCCCCCTTTTTCCTCGTTCTCGGAGTGCCAATCATTTGACATCTATGCAACCAAATGTCCCATCTCCTCGGCCACCAGATCGCGAATGGTCCAGCGCCATTGCTGGTCGTCAGCGCCTCGAGCAGGCCCAACCCATCTCGCCACCTTCCGTCTCCACTTCTCTTCCTCCGCACGCTGACGTCGAATGAACTCTGGTCCAACATCAAATTCTTCCGTGATGGGACAATCGTCAGATGACTCGCCTGCACTGCCGTATTCGCCACCAGGCGTGTTGGGCGACAGGTTGCCCATCGTGCCCGAGTTGCGGCGAGTGGGAGCAGCAGTCTTGTCATCCTCCAGGTCATCCAACCCAGCAAAGACATCCTCCTCGTCGTCGAGGGGTCCACTACCGGCAACCCCCGGTTTCAGAGCAGATGCTTTGAGCCAACACATGCGCTGAGGATCAAAGACCATCCCGCCGACCGACTGGACGTTATGTAACGGACCCACGTTGGCGATGAGAGCCGGTGCCGGTTTCGGTGATTTAGGCGCAGCCACCGTGTCAAAGTCATGGATCAAGTTCTCATTGCCTTCCCAACGGTACGTCGATGGGTTGTACCGCATCCCTCGCACGGCTACTCATCATGATTAGTATGTCTCTTAGAAAAATTGAGAGCGGCAAAATGTTTCAGCGGGAGAAAAAGGAAACGGAAAAAAAGAAAAGAAAAAAAAAGAACAAGAGAAGAACACAGTTCAAATCCAGCGAGGAAAAGCAAGGAGACAAGGCAACGAACGCCAGGAAGCCGGGGAGTTGCGCTGTTCTCGGGAACTTACATTTCGTTTCATGCACTCCAGACCCGAGAGGCTTGATCAGCTGGGGTTTAGACGAAGACTTGGTCACGGGTTTGGTCTTGCGGCTTCGTACAGACGCCGAACCAGGTGAAACGCGCGGGACAGCCGAGTGGGGTTTCCAATTCGACGTCAACGAGGTCAGTGGGGTGCTCTGGTCTCGGCTACGCGAGTTCAGCGAGGCAATCCGCTGCTCACGTGCATTCCGAGATGCATTGGTGTCCTGAGCGAAGCGCGGAGTCGTCTTGAGCGGCTTGGTAGCCGACGGAGGGCTCCATTGGGTGAATTGCGCGGTAGGAGATTCAATAGGAGGTGTAATGCGGCTTTGGCTGAGACGAGCCCGTGCGGTGCGAGGGGCCCCTCGCCCAGCAGGGTTCTTGGTGAATTTGCTCTCGAGCGACGCTGAGGTGGGGAGATCATCAAAGACCTCTAATTCTGTGCCATCTCCGAAATGGCGTCGTCGAGTCGGTTTCGTCAAGGTTCGCTTCTTCGTGGTGAGGCTGCTGCTGGATCCCGGGTGATCTGTGCGGGTCTCGTCTAGACTCAATCGCAAGTTCTCGGGACGCGATGGTCGCGACAATCGGGAGGTAAATGGGCCTTGCGTTCCAAGCAGATCGCCCGAGCTGTCCGAGTTGCTTCGACGGGAAGGACGATAACTGTGGAGAGAGGAATTCTGAGATCGCCGTTCAGAGGCAGCAGTGGACAGGTACGGCCCTTGGCTTCGACGGATTGAGCCCCGTCCCTCTTGGGTCACGGTCACGGTCCGTTCCACGGGAGTCTTCGGTCGGGGGAGGGAGATACGTGTGGATCCGCCGGCATACGATGGAGGAGTCTGCTGGGATGCCAACGAAGACGCGGACGACGCGGCTCCGCGGATGGAAGGTAAGGACCTCTTTGTGCGAAGCTGGCGCGATAAGGGCCGGCGTTCTTCGAAGTTGGAGGAGGAGGAGGAGGGGAAGGAGGGAGACTCTTTGGGAGTACGTGATCCAAGAATTTTTCGACTGGATAGACTGGGCGTGGGTGATGGGGACTTGGTACCCGTTGCGGGCATACTGGACACGGAGGACTGTGCGGAGTGACCGAGTCGAGATTGGGAGCTGCGAAACCTGGAGAGCGGCGCACCACTCTCGGAGACGGTCTCCAGATGGGTCGAGCGCGGGCGTTCATGACCGGATAGTCGAGGGATTCGAGTCTTTGGAGAGGACTCGCCGACGGTGTTGGTGAATGTGAGGGTGGTCGCTGGCCGACGAGTGGGACTGGTGGGCAATTCTGTTTTACATTTGACGTTGGGGTTGAGGTTCATTTTCCCCTGTCCAAACACTCTGCCATGTTCAACTTCAATGCCAGAAAAGAAATCATTATCCTCTGCCGGTGGCGTAACTGGTCTCTCCGCCGACCTTCCCTGTCCCGTAGTAGATTCTGGAGCCGTTTGGGCTTCTTGTCGACGCCGGAGCGAAGCGTGAAAGTCCACTTGACCCTCTGGGAACAAGATTCCGTCCAGACCATCCTCCTCGCTTTCAGCGGTGAGACAGCTGGAGACGCTGGGACTGGCGATGGAGATGGAAGAACTAGGAAGGGATCGCCCGTCCCGGGTCGTCCCACCCATACGAACACCGATACTGCCCTCGGACCAGTCCAGATCGAAGTCGTCCAAGCCGGGGCTCAAGACCTCGGCACGGGGCTTCTGGTGGCTCAGCTGCAGAGGTTGATTGTCCGTGGGGAGTTCGAAATCATCGTCAAAGTCATCAGCATCGTGGTCATCCGCAGGCGATGATTGGACGAGGGACTCGGCTGTCCTCTTGGGAGAGCGAGGCGCGGGCGCTTTAATCGTTGGCACGTCCAGATCGACGTCGATCTCGTCTTCATCCCGGAAGCGTGACAGAGGCACAAAAGCGGCCTGTAATCGGTTAGACAGGTCAATGTCCCACTTGGGAGCGGTGGAGGGTTTCACGGGACTGGTGGCCGTCGATGCGAGGTGTCGTAGTGTGTCCGGGAAGGTATTCTCGCGTGGCGTCTTGAGTTCCAGCACCGCGTCCGGGCTGGGGAGCTCGACATCCTCCGACCAGTCGTCCACAAAGGTGCGTTTGGATTTGCGAGCTGAGAGACGTTTGATGGCACCTCCAATGAGGGCCGAACTAGGAATATTGGAGGGAATGGGAATGCCGGCATGCTTGGCCGAGGCCAACGCCTCTTCCTTGGCATGGTCGTCGTTGTCGTGCAGCAAGACTTGCCAGTCCTCCTCGCCCAGGTTGGAATCTAGATCGGAGCGAGCGGAGAGACGCGATGAGATGGAGTCGCGGTGTCCGGACGGGCGAAACGAACAATTGACGAGCGAGCCGGTGCTGGAGGCGGTCCGGAATTGCAGACCCTCGCTGAATTGCAGATCATCATCGTCGTCCCAGCACTCGATCACTTCGTCGGATGCATGCGGTCGGGTTGGGGGCTCGAGTGGTAGCTCCATGGTGGAATCACAAATGCTCGGTAGCGACCTCACTGCCGGGAAATGGCGTCTCCGCACGAGATTCCGTCAATCGAATAATAGAGCGCCCGACTTCACGACGCTCACATGGACACTGGGTCAAGATGTCGGGTCACGGACAACCATGCCGCACCAAACCCTCGTGAAGCGTATGAAGGAAGGTTCTTGCTGTACTTTCGTGCTCTGCTGAGGTTGGGCTTGCTCGGGCTGCGAAAGAGTCGAATGGTAGGTTAGGGGATCGACAGGATTGTACCGTAGCTATGGTGGCATGTGTCGTCGATCGCAATATTGGAAACTTGGGGTGGGAGATTGTTCTTTTTGAGTGGTGTGAAACCAGGCTAGGGATCGGGTCGTTGGGCGTGAGACACACGTCGCGCGTGTCGCGAGAGCAGGTGGAAAAAGTCGAGTGAGGGCCACGGGCTCGACCACCACAGCAAGACAACAATCGAGACCTCCCGAGGCGCTGGTCCGTTGATTCTTGGGGGAAAATCAAATCCGTGGAGTGAGTTGGAAGCAGTGTTCGGTCATTCAGAGAGGAAGAAGTAGAGGTGAGGGTTGAGGAGGAGATGGAGAAGAAGGCGGAGGAGGAGGGTGAGAAGGAGAAGGAGAAGGTAGTAGTCGTAGTCGTAGTCGTAGTCGTAGTCGTGGTGGTGGTGGTGGTGTAGTTAGAGTGTGCGTTTTCCAAGGCTGGAATTTGAGGAGGGAGGGTGAATTCCTCGTGGAGGACGGGAGGACGGGGACCGTGCCAGGAGAGAGAAAGGAGAGCCGATCACAAGTGCCTGACGATGGCCTGAACACAGAACAAGCCGGACAATTGAGCTTCTTACTGAGAACGTGAGAAAGTGACTCGAGTGAGTGCTGAATAGTAGTCTTCCCCTCTGCTCTTGGTTTGGGGGCCCTTCTGTAAATCGCGAGCGTGGGAACTTCAAAATACCCTCATACTCTCAAGTTCTCCAACTTCCTCCTCGACTCATTCAGCTTCTCTGGTTCGAAGTCTGGTTTCACCAGTTGCACTGTTCACCCGAGACACGGTCTGAGCTTGCCCATCCGGTCGAGGAGAATTCAAAAAAGCCAATGAGGCTGGCTCCGGTCGGGTATGTCTCGGCCACGATGGGGGGGGATCAACAATGGGTCCCAGCTTTGAGGGTATTTGGGACACCGAGTCCGTCCACTTTTGTAAAGGTCAGGTACCAGCTGTCATGCCGGAGTAGACTTCATCTTCATTTGCACCAGTACAAGTGTACAGACTTCAGACTACAGACTACAGACTACAGACTACAGAATTCTATGCATTAGTGCAAGGGCTGCATCTGACCATCCTCATTACCTCACTGGATCGAGAGCTTCGAGTCGCGACTCCGACGACAGGGTCGAAGCTTTGCCGGTCTCCAATACATCATGTATGGCCATGCAGAGCGGCACGATAAACAATGGTCTCCGATTCCGTATACATCACAATCGGACTTGTCTACATGTCAGGTACGCATGTATGAGGTACATGGTGCAGCACTGAGCGTACCTCCACCCTCAATGACCGTGTGGGAGAGCATCCATCGTACACTGGAATAGCGACTAGTGACTACTAACTACTAACTACTACCTACTCACGAGTCCACCGAGTCCGGTCCAACCATGAGTAGACTGTCTCCAAGTGGATCTCGATGGTGGGCGTCATCCGTTTACATTTTGCTTCATTTGGGGATGACGGGTGGACTCGTGCTTCCAGGGGAAACCATCCTTTTCGCCACCGCGACTCCACTCGACGGGCAAGACGACGCATGCTTTCACTAGCGTCAAAGGTTCTTTTGGGTCTCTAAAATTGCGATGCTCAGTCGATGACAGATGGCGTTGACTCGCAGGACCTGGACCAGGGCAGGACTGCAGACCACTGTTTGACTGACGCGACATGTGCGACAGCGCCCGTCGTATCCCGTCGTAATCCGTTGCGGTAAACACTACACGCAGCGGAAGCTCTGGGCCCGTGGGACGAACTCCCAGTGTGCCGGGTGGTGGTCGAAGAAGAGGACTTATGACGAGCGGTTGGCCCGAATAGGACCTGTGGAAGGATCCCCATGCACTCCCTCCGTATGATGTATAGCACTAAACTCCGTGAGCAGGAACACCAGAGCCCGTGAGATCCATCGACAATCCAACGCCGAGTAGAGTAGTCATCTATCGCGGGCTCTGATAGATGGAATGATGAGGGGATGATGCTTACCCCCAGGCCAGGTCCACAGGACGAGTCCATCTTGTTGAGTGTAGGCTTGGAACAACCGTGACGGACTGAGCGATTCATTCGCATAAAATTGGTTGGAGGGGGTCATGTGGCTGGACAGATTGATCTCTCCACATGAAACCCTGGAGCGCGACTGAGATGACATTATTATTGACCAGAAGGGAGCCATGTACATCATCATCTGGAGTTCCGGGTACATCCGCCATCAGAGTCAACGATGCCGATCCCTTCTTGATGGACCGTACAGCCCAGCCTCTATTCGAACAGCACGTTCAAGACACAAAAAGAGATCTAGACGCAGAACCCAAAAAGTGAATGATTCAAGGAAATCCATCAGTCACTTGTCCAAGTCGCCGTAGTGTCTGGGGTGGCTGGGGTCAAGGGGAATCGGACACGAATGAGAAGTGCGATGGTGACCCAGAAAGGCAATTTGTCAACTTGAGTCGATGATGTCGTTGCTCGGCGACGCCTTTTCGAACGAGTGATTCTCAATTTCACTTTCATTTGAACCTGAACCCAGTGGATTAGGACATGGAATGCCTGATGGCCTGAGACTTTGACTTCGAGAATACACTGTATACAGTTACTAACTAACTAGTACAGAATGTACAACACTGAACTGAACACATACCTTAGGCATTCCCGCGAAAATCTACCGGTAATTGAGTATTCTTGACTTTTGAGCATCGAAATGGTGACATCGTATTGTCAGGTAGATCTGGACTTATTCTTAATGATCATGTACATGTGCTACTGACAAAAGTCACACTCAACAGTCAAGGCAATTAATTCATCAACACTCCTCGAGATCGTATTACTTCCACAATCCACTGCTTGGTGGGTGTAACCGTTCATAGTTGTATACTGTATAGTGTGAAGTGTCGTGTACACATCTACACTTTCCACATCTCCGCGATCATAAGCCAAGACTGTTCTGCAAATCAGGCAACCGTGTCGGCTGAAGCCCGTGCGGCTCTTCGATCCCTCCGCCCTCAAGAGAAACCAAAGGTACAAAGCTCAAAAGGTGCAAACGCCGAGTAAACGGTGGACCTGGAGAGACTCTGCCCGCCATCGTTGAGCCCAAATCAAACCAGCTACCCAACGTACTACTACTACACTTGCAGTACCGAGTCTACCGACTACCTCGACTGCCAGTCCATGTCACACCTGCACTGACTGCCACGTACCTGACCACGCGAGTCTTGGCTGCAGTATCAGTTTCAGCAGCACTCTTAATCGTGTCTGTACTTCACTCGTGAGTTTCGTACAGAGTGACTCAATACTGTACGCGCCGCATACTTCCAACCACCTCTGTGGACATCATACACGAATCATCTTGGTCGTCATCGTCCAGCCTCTTCGGAACATTGACAAAAGGAGGACACGCAAGAGCCACAACACAGGCTAACAGCCTCATCGAGTTATTCCTATCATGGTCCTGCCTTCAGTGCTGCGCATTCCGCGGTCGGACGAGCCGCATTCTTTCGTCCTGGTGCATGTCTCCACGACGGGCCACGGCCAGGCCCCTCTAGATTTGACACTCGTCGGAACGGAGGGCGAGAATCCATACGCAGCATCAAGTAAGTGATCCATCCCTAAAAAGAAGAAAGAATATCTTGAGGCGAATTTCCAGTATACAAGTTCAGCCACGGCATTCTTAATCTGATCTCTCTTTCCCTCTCTCTCTCTCTCTCTCTCTCTCTCTCTCTCTCTCTCTCTCTCAACCTATCATAAATCAATTCTAATCCCGTCATCCAGTTCGCGAAAGTCGGGTACAAGCCCTCCGCAGCAAAACCTTTCAAGGCTCCGATGAAGAGTGGACCACGATTGTCGCTCACGTGCTCAAGCAAGAGCTTGACTCTCCCACCAAAGATACAGCCTGGACGACCGGGATAGAAGTCTCGGCTAGTCTCTCCGGCGACACTAGAGGTCAAGACCAAGAGATTGTAATTACGATTCGGAGGAGAGTCCAAGATATCACTGTAAGTCCGAAGCGTTTCGCTATCAGCAACAATACCATGATACCCCATCGTCGACAATGGAGCAATTACCCTCGATCTCCATCCAAGCTCTAACAGAGGCCCTCAACAGCAAAGACTCGGCTCTATAGTCCTCAAACAAGACGATGAGCAAGAAATCGCTCTCTTCGAATGGACCGGTCTGGCCGTCGCCAACGCCGACACGCTTCAATCCGAAGTCACCAGTCTATCGGATCGGTTCCGCAGCGCCCAAGACACCATTGCCCAATTGACCCAGCAATTATCCGATCTCACGCAAGCCAAAGCTCAGCATGAAAATCAACTACTAGCCAACTTTGCCCAGCTTCTGAACGAGAAGAAACTGAAGATTCGGAACCAGCAGCGACTGCTGGCCTGTGCAACGCCGGATCCAAAGAGAGGTACGGGTACATTTTCAGAATTTTTGGAGAGCGTGACGTTTCAAACTAAGCTTTCCAAACGCAAACAGTTGCCGAGATTCAGGCTGCTGCCGTTCACAGTCGAAGCAATGTATCTCGCCAGGCGGGCCGGACCTCAATGAAGAGGCGAGCAGCAGCAGGTGAGAATGAGGACGACTCGGACTCGGACTCGGATTCTGCGTTCGAAAAGATGGATCTCGATCCGACACCTACCGCCAAAGACAAGACAGCCACCTTGGACGATGAAGAAACCGGCGACGAGAACGAACAAGAAGACGAAGATGACAGATCCACTCCACAACCTCTAGAAGAGGAAGAGGAAGAGGAAGAGGAAGAAGAAGGAGAGGAGGAGAACAAGGAAGTAGAAAGTGAAGGGCAACTCGCACCAAAATCACAAACCACCGCAAAACGATCCAAAGACGAAAATACATATACAGATGAAGCCACCACCACCGACGACGACAACGATGAGAACGAGGATAACATCAAAAACCGGCGCAACCCCACGACAAAATCCTCACCGCCATCCAAACAAACTAACCCGAACCTGAAAGCCCCCTCAAAAGAAGCCACGCCTCCACCTCGTCGTAGCCTACCGTTTCTTCGGCGAGCAGCGGGCGCCACGACCCACGTCCCGACACGAGCACAGGAACATGCGCAGGCCCAGGCCCAGGCCCAGGCCCAGGCCCAGGAACAAGAACAAGAACAGCCAAGATCACAAAAAAGCCCGCCAGTGCCAAAGTCGACGGGGACAGCAGACGAGGAGACTGAGGGAGAGACGGATGATGATGAGCTTTGAGGAGTGGGGGTAGGCAGTCCACTTTCATTGTTTCAGTATTAAAACAACGTCCTGATTCATTACTTTGTCGGTCACAGGAACTCAACGGTCCCGTGGGCTTGCTACATCCGACTGGAGGAGAGGATGAGTATGAGTATGAAGTGTGGAGTGTGCACTAGCTTCTACGGAGGGTCGTGTTGCGCGGGTGCATCACGTAGACGCAGACCCGACAAGTTGATATTTGAAACTTATCGATTACGATGGACATGGAAGGTCTTTGAAAATAAGACTATGTAAGCCAACCTAAGGAAACCAGTCACTCCACTCGTTTTCATATACAAGCCGCCTTCCACCCCCAATGTATGTTCGATACCGAGCCTCGTCAAGACATTCGTAACCAAGGTCGCTATCGTATCTTGCTGGGTAGGCACCTGGCTACTCTTTTTGTCAGCGTCGCAATCAATCAACACTACTTGGTCGCCATGGCCGACGAATACATCACCGCTGACTACCTCGCACTACTCCACGAGTCCACGATACTCGAGACGTCTTATCATATCCAATCAGGAACTGAGATTTCATCGACCTTCCAAGCGTTTTTATATACAAGTCAACCCACAACCGCAACCGCAACCGATCGAGAGCCTGCCCGCGAAAAGACGAGAGGGTTTCCAAGACCGGAGACAGGAAGAAGAGACCGAGTGATAGACCACGGGAATTACCAGCGGTGAGCACCTCGCCTCTGGGAGGATGACGGAGCCGAGAGGAGACCTCAAGGTGTTCCGGAAAAAAGATGGGATAATAATGGAAGGAGGACAAGGAGGAGGAGAACGGCACATTGGGTAAGAGGAAAGAGGGGAAGAAAAAAAAAAAAAAGAAGATTTGATGTGATACAAATATTGACAACGCCTTGCAACCATTATTGAAAACAGACAAGATTCGATCGGCAGCTCATGCGAAGAGGAAGGGGAAGAGGAATAAAAGAAGGGGAATTTTAGAAGATCATAGCTGAAAACTTTCTATCCTTCCTTTAACCGTACAGAGCCTGGGGAGACATCTCACCGGCGGCCATGAAGTTGGTTTCGGGGTTACCGGTAGCCTTGGCGGCCGAGCAGCGAGCCATGGTGGGCGAGCTGGATGAAAATCAAGAGGTCAGCGCTTTCACAATCAGGAGGAACAGAATGGAACACCTAGATGCAGGGTCAGAAAATTGGGCGGAAATAAACTCACCTTCGGGAGATGGGATCGGTAAAGTAGAAGTCCTCGATAACCTTCTGGAAGGGAGCTCCAGTGGCCGAAGCACCCTTGTTTTGGTCGGCAAGCTGAACCTTGCTCAGGGTGCTGACGGATGTGGGCTCGACAACGTCGTAATGGCGCATGACAGGGCTGATCTCCTCCATTCGGTCACGGAGAGCCTCAACATCATCATAAGGTAGAGGAACACCGAGGAACTCGCTAGAGGCACGAATGATTTTCCAGTCCTCGCGAGCAGCACCGGGCGTCGACGTAGCAGCGCGGGTGATCTGCACACGACCTTCGGTGTTGAGGTAAGTGACCGACTTCTCAGTGTAGGCCGCACCGGGAAGAACAACATCGGCGAGCTGAGCACCACGGTCACCGTGATGACCCTGATAGACAACAAAGGCATCCTTGGGGATCTCGCTCTGGGCGATCTCGTCGGCACCCAGAAGCCACATCATCTTGGGGGTGGTCTGGGCGACTTCGGGGGAAGGAGCAGTGAATCCGACCTCGTACGCTCCAGCGCGAGAGGCGGCACGCTGGAGAACGTTGTATCCTTGCCATTCGGCGGTGTTGAAGTTCTTGGCGTGCTTCTCGACGAAGCTGCCGACGGTCTCAAAGATAGCCTTGGCGTCAGCGTGCTCGGCAGCGGCGCTGCCGACAATGATCATGGGTCGGCTGGCGTTGGCCAACTTCTTGCCAAATTCGCCAGACAGAGCAGACTTGAGAGCAGACACATCCGCACCCAGATGGTTGTAATCAAAGGTGCTCTCGAATTCCTCGCCGACAAGACCAATCTCCATGTCAGAGCGCAGGTACTGCTTCCGAATACGGGCGTTCAGGACGGCAGCCTCGTGACGGGGGTTGGTCGCGACGAGCAGAATAGCGTCGGCCTCCTCGACACCGTAGATCTTGGAGTTGAACAGGTAGTTGGAGCGAACGTCGATACCGTGGGCGATAGGGGCGCTGCCGCCGGGCTGGTCAAGGGCCAGGTTGTCGGAACCCAGCTTGTTGGCCATGTCCTTCATCGCGACAAGGGTTTCAGTGTCAACGAGGTGACCGGCGACGGCCTTGAACTCGTTGGGCTGCAGCTGCAACTTCTCCTTGGCCTCGGCGATCTCGGCCAGGGCTTGCTCCCAGGTTGCGGGAACAAACTTGCCATCACGACGAATGAGAGGGGTGGTCAGACGCTGAGTCTTCAGACCGTCACAGGCGAAGCGAGACTTGTCATTCAGCCATTCTTCGTTGACATCATCATTGAGACGAGGAATGATGCGCATGACTTCCATACCACGGCTGTCAATTCGGACGTTAGAACCCAGCGCATCGAGGACATCAATAGACTCGGTGTGCTTCAGTTCCCAAGGACGAGCACGGAAAGCATAGGGCTTGGAAGTCAAAGCACCGACGGGACAGAGGTCAATGACGTTTCCAGACAGCTCAGAGTTCAGGTTCTGTTCCAGGTAAGTGCCGATCTGCATGTCGTTACCGCGTCCAGTCGTGCCGAGTTCGGGAGCACCAGCCACATCGTTCATGAAACGCACGCAACGGGTGCAGTGGATGCAGCGGTTCATCGAGGTCTTGACCAGAGGGCCAATGTTCTTGTCCTCCACCGCACGCTTGCCACCCTCCTCATGGAAACGACCACGGTCAGAGCCATAGCGCATTGACTGATCCTGGAGATCACACTCACCACCCTGGTCGCAGACGGGGCAGTCAAGTGGGTGATTGGCCAAAAGGAACTCCATCACACCTTCTCTAGCTTTGTGTACAAGAGGGGAATTCGTCTTCACAACCATGCCGGGTTGGACGGGCCAGGCGCAGGACGCGACGGGCTTGGGGGCGCGCTCGACTTCGACGAGACACATACGACCTATAAAAAAATCACGCGCGTGAGTAATTGTCATGTCGCGGTATTCGTTGCGTTCAATGAGCTGTTCACCAACGTACAGTTTCCTGCAATCAACAATTTTCTTCACGGAGCAGAGTTAGTATACACCGGAACCGGAGGTTTCGACTGAGCACCAATCAAGCACGTACTCGTGATAGCAGTATCTAGACAGAACATGTTAGCGACCACAAGCTGCGCATACCAATAAAGACCTCCATCCAAATGATCTTTCGTACCTGGGAACGGTAGCACCTGCTTTCTCACAGGCCTGGATAAGAGCCGAACCGGCTACCGAGGATGTAAGTTGTTGATCATTGCGTATTGAGCAGACTCATATTACCTTCGACAGACACCTTCTTGCCATCTACACACTTCTATTAGTCTCCAGATCCCATTCAATGAAGAAACAGCTGCAGATCGTGACGAACCAATGGTCAATTCCACCTCGGCCGTGCGAGGGGCTGTTGTCGCAAAGGCACGGGCTCTGGGCACCCGGAGAGACCGGGCGGCCGCACGGAACAGCTGCGGCCGCATTGTGTTGTGAAAAGCGATGTTGAGGAGGGGAAGGATATGGAGGAAAGGGGAGGATCAAAAGAAGTGGTGGAGAGACTGGGGCAAAGATGGGGGTAAGTCAAGCGTTGACGTTGAAGGAGCTTCACGGCCACTGCAGAAGTTCGGAATCTGCTGGGTTACCTAATCCAACTGCTGGGGTGGTGCTGACCGTCCCGGGCTGCTGACTAAGGAACGGTTCTCCCGCGTCGCTGGGAAATCCCAAATGGGCTCGTGGCCATTGGCTCGGTTACGCGGATAAACACTGGTTCCGGAAGAATCCTCCTTAAATAGCCGTCGCGCTGGCCCCGTCATTTTCTGGAAATCATCTCATTTCTGGGCATGATTTATTGTAGGATGCCGGGCTGTCAGTCCCAGTCTCCTCTGCAACATAGTCCTAGAGCAGAATCTGCACCGAACTGGAGCAGTCAAGGGTTGACCTCGTGTCTCTCGATGATGACATGTTCTTTACCGACGGTAGCTACATACTGACCAAAACATAACAATGGAGTTTAGTGAGATCATTGCGGATGGAATTGGAGCTTCATTAGTGAAATACATGAACTTTTTCATTCACTGAATACCTCTAGTCCTCGTAAATGTATCGGCCAATACTCAAAATCGCTGTCGCGTCTCGCTCAAGTCGCAGGCAATGGACGCGTTTTCTGTGAATCCCTGCCTCGTAGTTTGAATTGTCCAATTGACCTGTCACTGTCAATGAATCAATGAACCTGCGGGCGAACGGATATTGGTGTACTAGCATTCGAGCGTCAGTAAGAGAATGCTTTGGGAACAATTTCAATGAACCATGTGTACTTGCTTGTCATAAGGTTGTACATCCTAAAAATACCATTACTGTGGAAAGAGCTCGCAGCAAAATGCTTTGCAGAAATGAGACTGAGGTGATACATTTATGAAAGACCGGCAAGCCTAGTGCAAAACGATCGCTCTTTACGCGGCCGCTGTAGAATCACTAGGTTGCCATGTAGATTCTTGCTTCGTTCCAGGAAGCCAATTGCGGTTCACGCTGGCCCCTCGAGGTCGCATTCGGCCAGGACCATCATCTTGCTTTTTCGAGGCATTCAGTGAGTGAGAAGCATTTCCGCTTGATGCCTCGTAGGCCCTCATGCCGGGAAAAGCATAGCCATTCGAGTCCCACGGCTTGCTCGAGTGCCGCACATTCAAGGGCAAGACGGTATCCTTTGCGTGGAAATGATCAGCATTCGCTCGCTTGTCAGCCACGTCATCATGGCTGTTGCGATCATATAGATAAAGTCCCAAGAAGGTGAGAGCGATGCCAACCGCTTGAATTGGCGTGGTGGAGCTGCCGAACCAGATGATGGCGGCAACAATCACGAACACTCGCTTCACCAACGAGGCAACGGAGTACGAGACGGGCGAGATCATGGACAGCAACACAAAGGCCAATATGTTTTGCGCAAAATGCGAAACGCCATTGAAGACGAACTCCAAAGCCAGTGCGCCGTGATCGAGGGATCCTTGTTTCCCTGAAAGTGAGATGACACCGTCATGAACAAAGTCAGAGATGAGGGGATATCCCTCACTGACGAACCAAATAGGCAAAGTGAGGAAGAACGCCAGACCGGAGCAATAGCAGAGGAGGTTTAACTTGTCCAATTTGCGCCGGGCGGGATTGGCGGCCTCCGCGTCCGAACGCTCCGCCTCATTGAAGAGCTTCTTTGAGAAGATGTTCTGAGACACAAAAACCAAGGCCGCGAAGAGTGCGCACAAGATTCCATACAGGTTGGTAGAGATTCCCGTCGAGCACGCAAGCATGACGCCGACTGTGAGGGGCACCAACGAGAGATAAGTGGCCTTGGCATACCGAATGTGGAAGAGGACTCGATATGCGAGAACGGTGAACAATGGAGACAGACCCTTGATGGTATGCACCAAGGAGACAGGGATCTGAGAGGTGGCCATGGAGCTGAGAATATGCCCTGCGAGCTGGAAGACTGCCAGAGGGAGGGCGGTTGAGATCACATCGCGGGAAGGATACCGAATCCCGTTTTTAAGGACGGGGATGCTTCGCCGAAGGCCGGGAATCACACTCGACATCCAAACCAGGAACAGACACCAGAAGGAGACGAACGCGAATTGAATGATTGTCAAGGTAATGGGCATCGGGAGGGCGTTCAGGATTGACTTAGAGGAGGTATTCGTAAGGGCGGAGGTCAGGTACCACACTAGACAGAGACCCTGCATCATGTGCCAAGTGTTAGCGGAAAGAAGCGCAATGCAGGGGCAGGGTACTCGAGATCATATCGTTTCCGTAGAACAGGGAGATCACGGTCAGATTCCGAAAAGTCTGAGTGGACCACGTACAACGAGTCGATATGATACCGGAGCTTTCAAGGCTTCCGCAAGCTCGTGTGCATTGGCGCTCACGCTTCCGTTTCGATTGCGAATTGTTGTGATCGCTTCACTAATACTTTTGCGCGGTCGGTGCTTCGAGTTTCGCATTGCACCCGTGGGATGATCCCGTGCCCAAGAAGCGTTCTTTCGTGGCTCCCATTGATCGCCAAGGGCATATTTGACCGAGGGGCTTCGATGCGGACGGGTGGTCGGAGCCGTGGACCCCACGGCGGCGTCCAGAGAATCTTCGTATGGAGGGAACTTGTCAATGGGACTACTTGTGGACTGAGATGCAGAGTTAATTGTGGGCATCTGCAGTTCGGGGTGTCGCATTGAGGGTCTCCGCCCGTGGCCGGTCATTGTCGCTGTGGCCATTGTCGTCGCAGCTGTGTCGTCGGGACGTTCGCTAGAGAACTGCGTTAACAATGGATCACCCTGTCACGGTGCTTTGGTTCCACCAGAGTCGCTGTCGTTCGATGTCGCAAGGAACTGCAGACTTACCCAAAAGCAAAGCAGAATGCCAGTCAAGGTATCCGCGATTGAGGCAAGAGGGGGGGCGTTGGCATCTCCGAAGAGTGTCTGGCCAGAGTTGCAGGGAAAATGGATTGCAGATGACGAATCCGCGTGGGCGAATGAGCATTGAGAATGGAGCACACTGCAGGTCCTCAGGTACCTCGAAACGGGGGCGGAGCCACCAAGCTTATCGCGGGTTTCCCGCCGGAATCGATGTGGGCGCGGTGCAGCCAAGTACCGGGTACTTCTGGTCGCGCATGTACCTCACTAGTACCTTTAACCAGTACTAAGTGTACTAACTACTAGGTAGTACCTAGTACTTACTTTACTACCTACCAAACAGTACCTGTAGGTGTCCGTTGTGCTAGTACTCAAAGAACCTGACAACAGAGGTCGATCATCTTAACAGTAGGATCGAATGACTGTAGCTACAACTACTGAACCACCCTATCGATACTGACTTGCGTTCTCGTAGTGAGGAACAGCACAGAAGTATTAGAGAGTCCATTCTAACAGGACTGTGGTGAGCTAAAATGAATTCATGTATAAGGTACCTCCACCAATGTACATATATCCACAACACGAGGCAAGGAGGCGAACTGAAGATAGTTTAAAAAGAAAGAAGAAAGTCCAGAAATGACCTCGTCATGCGGGGGTTGGCGGAATAACCATCTTCAAGATCATAGTCGCAGCCGAGTTTTCTGAAAATCAAACAGGCAAAGTCGATGGTCCAGATTATCCTGCAGAAATGGTCGTTCTCGATCAACGAACAATACTTGCGCACCGCGGAAGCGGCTGAATCACCCGATTAGGGCACCGTGAGCGCTTGTGAAGGGGTTGAGTGTAAGGTAAGCTTCTTGTATGCACGTAGGCATAGACGACCTCCGTCGAGATTTATACAGTCATTATGCGGACTCACCAACAGACAAGTTTCAGCTTGCATCTGTCTGGAAGGTTGCGTTGCGACACAACAGCAGCAAAAGCTAAATTTCCAACTTTTTTCCTTCAGAGCCACAGTAGAGGCCTTACTCAATGGGGGTTGGGTGATAGCTACTAACAAGCATGTATATGTGAGAGTGGGAAAATCTCTTAGCACAAATTGGAATGGCTATAATAGCTCGTGTCAGCTCATGATCCAACTGGAGACTGTACATAGTTACTAAGCCGCTTGACGATTTCCAGAGGAAGAATGTTCCGCAAGGGTAGCAGCTAGGTATTAGGCTGTACCTCAGTAAGCTCAATGTTTGCATCCTTCATCGGTCGAGCTGGACTTCAAATACATGTTAGTCAACCCGATAATTATCGCTGAGTACTAATCTCTGTACCCAGACAATTCCACTTTCCGATTTTCCAATCCCAAGGGTGATTTGATTTCCGCTCTATTTATGGTGGAAGTAACGAGAGATGTTGGTCGAGTATAGACCTGGCCCACCTGGACATGTGTAGTGTACTATGGAGGAGGTAGGTTTTGTACTGTTATAGTATCGCTTCGCTCCGCAATCATGATCCCAGGTTGTCCGAGAAGTGGGACTAGCCCGGTGCATATTTGAGACATCGATCTCTACCTACCATCCAATTTGAAACTATCTTGCCATCGATGAAAGCCTGAATATTGTGGAACGACAACTGACCAGGACTCTGTCTGCTCAGTATAAATGTATGGCCAAGAAGACTGGTTTTTGCTTTTTAGGAAAGAGGACTCATAGGTAGTACTCCGTGAAGCTGCACTTTTGCAACGTGCATGCTCGGAAGTAAGTCATGACTGAGGTCCGAAGGTGAGTAAAGAGGCCGCAAACGTCGTTTCTCATAAGCCTACTTATAATCGGTGTTAGGACATTCTATCGTTAGTCGTCCTCTAGTCAATGTAGTTTGTCTTTTCATCAGATATATGCTTCGTGAATGTCGCTCTTCAATAGGTACCTTATCTCAGCGTACCAGTCATCCGGACAGGTCAAGAATCAATGCACATGAATCATGGCTTTATACTACTGACTAACCTGAGCTGAATGAATGATTGATTGCTCACAGCTCCCTGCAGTGTGTATCCTGCATTCTCGTAGACTAATCTGGATCGAAGTCACAGAGTACCGAAAATCCACAAGACTGGAGTCGTCGACTGAACCTTGATCCCTTCTGAGATGAAACTGCATAGTTTGGAAGATTGCTCGGCCGTGTATTGCCGAATTGGTATGGAACGTCTCGATCTCGATTTAGACCCTTGGTTGCCTACCGGTGATACATTGGCTTGAATTCAGTCATCGGTGAGACCGACCTTTGGCAGAGCGAATCTTCCACCGATGTGATGCCGAATATCATACAAAAGGCCGTTCTAAGCTACATGAGAAGAAGAGCAGGACGTATCAAACAATGAAAGCTGTGTTTTAGCTTGCAACAAAACAATGTGGAGATCTGCGTGGTTCTTCCTCCTGGCTTGCAGTGATTTGAGCAAAGACCAAGAGAGAATGATAGCTTTTCATTGCTATTATGTCCTGCTGCGCCATTGAGTCACTCATCCGAAATGATGCCCGTAGGTGATACCTTCCGATGCATAGAAAATAGTATCCTGTGTACTGTTTGGTCCAAAACATCAGCAAAGATTGTCTTTTGAGCTCCAGTAGCAAGCATGCGACATCCACGCAAACTTCTTATACAGTAGGCGCCCTGACTCGCGCAAGGTTGCTGCCTTCCAAATTTTGTCATCCCGGCTTGACTCAAGCCGGTAAATCAAAATGCATGGCTGCGTCGAGGTCGTTCTTGCCTCTCTATTTTCCCTTTTGTGGATTTTTGATTTCTCGACTCTTTCCACCTCTGCAACAACACTTCCCCATTTCAACTACCGCACTTCGAATACTTCACTTCCTGACTGACTCCCCTTCCCCATTTTATCCATCTCGTCTCTTCATCTCAAGTGATCTTTTTTTGGTTGTTACCATTCATCATCTCATCGGCTTCCCCTACCGTCTCACCTGACAATCTATCATTGGCTGTCTCCAGCTTTGCAGTGTCCCGGCGTGATGGCTGCTGCCGGTGGACAGCCGATGGTCGCCCGGATGGCCAATGTTCTGCCCCACGATGGAGGTCAGGAAATGTCCCATCTCTCATATGATCTCGATCTCGGTGTAAGTCCTTTGGAGTGATCTTCTAAATTTGTCTACTCGATCTTGAAGTGGCTGACATGACCTCATTCGAAACATGACTTGTAGCATGCAATCGGCCGTCACATTCATTCGGATGCCAGCCAGATGTCAAGCTACACTCTGGGCGTGAGAGTATCTGGCGGAGATGTCAAGTCGCCATCTATTCAGGTGAGTCAGAGTCTGTTATCTAGACATCACTGTTGGTCGGAGACTGACAACTACAGAAGTCAAGTCTAGGACACGTCAACGGAGAATCCAGTCATGGACAAACCTCGAATGGTGATCGGGTCCTGAACAAGATTTCTCCTCATGTCTTCCCTTCACGACATCTAGACTCTGGCCAGCGTGCTCATTCTTCGCAAACCACACAGCCCAATGAAGCTCTATCAGGCTCAAAGCTGAACGAGGCCCTCGATTCTCGCCCCCCGAATGACAGCGCGGCTGAGGTTCTTCGCCTCAAACAAGAATTGCAGGCGGCCAATTCGAAGATCGCTTTGCAGGAACAAGAGCTTGCTCAAACCCGTATCATGAAACACACACTTGATCAAGCTCTTGGTCCTCCATCGGAGGCAGACTTCAGTCCTCGAGATATCAACGAACCGACTTTGACAAGCCAGCAGAGAGCGGCGTTCATGGCCTTCCGCCAAGATCATGCTCCTTGGGCGAGTTCAAACAGTCCACAGGCAGATGCAGCCGATGTCGCTTCTACCGATACCTACAATCGGTTGCGGGCACGGCTACTTCAAGATGATCAGCAAGCTCCTGAAACGAATGAGCTTGGGCGTCCATATGATGGGTCTTTCGCAAATCCAACTGGTATGTACCATTCACCAGAACGCCAGGATGCGAGTCGTTACTGGGCAACTGCATCGATCTATCCTACTGGTGTTCCTGCTCAGAACCACATCGCACCACCTCGCACAACTCCCACTCCTACGAACAGCGGATACGGTCTTTACCCTCGTCAGCACCCGGAGCAACCTTCGACGCTTCCAGCGTTGAATGCTACCCCGACTCAAGTCATAACGCGGGGGTTATACTCTCAATCTCCAAGAATTGCGGCCCATGGCAATCAGACTTTCGGCACTGCTTTCAACGACACCAACTCAAAGCCTGCAACTATTGCAAGACCACCTTCTTCCATGGCGTTCCCACAGTATGGAAGTCATCCTATATCCTCATACCAGACCGCACCTGGCGCAACCACTTTGTGTCCCACCGCTTCAGAGTTTACCGCTACCGGGTCCAACGGCTCTCTTTGGATGAGCTCTTCAGTACGTCTCCTATTGCGCTTTTCCGCCCCCAGTAGTCGTCTTAATTTGGCAGATCGCTAATTGGTGCTCAGGGTCCGGGCATGTCTGCCATACCAACCTATGTCTCGCCTTCAGAACCACCCAACTACAGACGCCTCCTTGACAAAAATATTTCTTGCGACTGGAAATACATCGTGGAGAAAATCATTTGCAACAATGATCAGCAGTCATCTATCTTTTTGCAGCAAAAGCTCAAAGTAGGTACAGCGGAGCAAAAGTTCGAGATCATTCAAGCCATCATCCAACAGGCATACCATTTGATGGTCAATCGATTTGGGAATTTTCTTGTCCAGCGCTGCTTCGAGCACGGAACGCAGGATCAGGTCATTGCCATTGCCAACGCGATTCGAGGGAACACGGTGCGCCTGAGCATGGATCAATTCGGCTGCCATGTCATCCAAAAAGCGTTTGACTCGGTTTCTGAGGAGTTCAAGATCACCATGGTAAACGAACTACTTCGCAGTGTTCAGGAAACGGTTGTTCACCGTTATTCCTGTCATGTGTGGCAAAAGCTCTTTGAACTTCGATGGAGTGAAGAGCCTCCACAGATAATGACGAAGGTGAATGAATCACTGAAAGGTATCTGGCATGAGGTTGCTTTGGGAGAAACAGGAAGTCTTGTGGTGCAGAACATCTTCGAAAACTGTGTCGAGGAAGAAAAGGTATGTTCCTCTATCATTGAGTTAAAGCTTTGCGACGATCCTGCGAATTTACGAGCATAACATTGACTGACATGTATCCAAGCGACCGGCTATTGAGGAGGTGCTCGACAAGATTGATGTTCTGGCTCACGGACAATTTGGGAACTGGTGCATTCAGCACATCTGCGAGCATGGTGCTCCTCACGACAAGAATCGCGCCATCGAGCATGTGATTGCTCACTCTGTCGATTACAGCATGGATCAGTTTGCATCCAAGATCATCGAAAAGTGCCTGAAGATCGGAGGCACTGAGTTCTTGGACCGATACTTAGGTCGCGTCTGTACCGGTCGTGCCGACAGACCGCGAATGCCACTCATTGACAGTGAGTCGAATGCTGATGAGAAAGCTGATTCATATACTGACCTCCTCCATCAGTTGCTGGTGACCAGTACGGAAATTACCTGATCCAGTGGATCCTGACTCACGCTGCCTCCCACCAGCATGAGATCGTCGCGAGTCACATTCGGTAGGTCCCCCAGAACACTTCAAGCTCTCAAGTTACTAACAGTGACTCAAAAGTAAACACATGGTGTCTCTCAGAGGTTCCAAGTTTGGCTCGCGAGTAGCTATGCTCTGTTGCAATCCTTCTCATGCAACCCGACCAGGGCCCGGAACAGGAGTCCAAATTGGTCGCTACGGCCACTTCAATGAGGATCGGTTCGGCTCAGCTGCCCCTAACACTAGTCGTTACCATCGTGGTAATCAGTGGAATCCGAACTATCCTGCCTACCGCTGATATTATTACGCTCGGCGCAGTGCGACAAGGATCCCACGCCACCTCTGGTGAGTGTGAACTTGCGCCCAAGCAATGAAACGGTCTACGAGAAGGAGGGGGAAAAAAGAAAAAGAAAAAAAACCCTCAAAAAAAAGAAAGAAAGAAAAAGGAAAAGACTCTCAAAAGCCATACTATGCGTTTCACCGAAAGCGTCCTGTATCAATACAATTGGATCTCATTCTCAAGCCTGAAGGCGGTTGTTGAAGTGTTCTACTCGGCAAAGGTCATGCGCTTATGATCTCACATGTCGATTCAAGATGTTTGGATCAACAATGCTTTTATTCCTGTTCGACACACACGCGCCTACATGTCGCATTCGTCCCCAACTTTACTTCATATGCGTGCCACTTCTTCGGTGTATGATTCGATCATTTTCTGGTTTGTTCTTCGTTGAGCGTCCGTGAGCGATTCCATCAACTACATCACACCTTTTTATGATGGCTGTATTGCATACACGTCGAGAGTTCATTGCTAAGTTTTGATCAAATGACATTCATATCCATCCATGTCTCTTACATGCTCTATACGGTAGATGATTCAGCGGTGTTGCCAGACACCACCATGTCTGGTGACGATGTCCCGTTCTCATCCTTCTCCCAGGGCTTGCGACGGCGTGGCTTCTCACTCGAGATGTCATGACCTTCCAAGACAGTATCTGGGATCTGTTCAATGCCGGGAATCGGCTGACCAGTTGTGATAAGCTCGACGATCTGAGCAAAAGAGTTTGGATAAGCCGGATCAGGAGCCGATGGACGGGATATTTCACCACTCGTCTCCGCGGATGGCTCATCTGATACTTCTGGCAAAGCGTGCACTGAAGCGGTCTTTGCTGGTCCAGTGTTCAGCCAAGCCTTATACGCAGCGAAATCAATCGCAGGTGTGATGTTCTTCTTTCTGCCCGGATCAATGAGTATTTGTACCGGAGTTTTTTTTTTCATGTTCTCATTTTTTTGCCGCACGAGGATCCCAATATCATACCGTGAAAAAAAGTAGCATTTCGCTTTCATAACAAGATCATCATCGCGTGTGATCTCTTCCTCGGAGGCAGGTGTACCCGGGTGATTCAGGATGATTGCAAGACCATTTGCAAATTCGGAATCAGATGTGAATGAGTATGCTCTGAGGCTCTCAAAGTCGCTGACAGGGCTTGAGTCGGTCATTTGCATTTATTTGAGAACTGAGGCGAGATGTATAGTTGTAGTTTGGTTCAGTGAAGACTGAAGAAGTAGAGGGAGGACGTCAGGTTGATGTATCGATACAATTACATGTGGTCCATCGACGATGCGGAGGCGCGGAGGGCGGAGGTTCACCTGAAGACGTGGGGCGAATTGTGAAGGGTAAAGCTTTGATTTGGTCTTGGTCTGACACTAGCCGAGGCTTTGGGAAGTATACCGCTCCATAGCATAACTGGACATGCGTGCTGCAAATTACAGTCTTAAATGGGCGAGCCTTGACATTGAATGCATTTGCGAGGTCCTATCTTGTTGGCAGAATGTAAGACTCAATCAATTTTTCTGGCGATTATGGTAAAAAGCACTGAGACCCCCTATCCAGGTATTTCCCATTGGTCTCGAGAAATCAAACGCCTTCCCATGCTATGCAATGTTCCTTAAAAAATCCACGCAAGGACGCTAAGCAGCAGTATCCATTCCCTCGGGCGCTGCTTGGATACTGTGACTTTGACAACCGGGGCAGTTGTGCACGACTTCGTGGGCAAACAGATCGCAGTCGATGCAAAAGTGGTTCCGACACGCCTCACACTGATAGCGACTGCTCACGCTCATCCCCTTGACTTGACTTTCCGTCGTCGACCACTGGTCTTCGGGGGGAACCGGGGGAAAGGCAAGACCGCAGGCAAAGCAGGCTTTGCTTGTCGCTCGACGCCACGGTACCTCTACCCAATTCATCAAGGGGAACAGATGATGGTACGAACGTGCCAAGTGGGTGGAGAGGATAAGGGTCAATCCACAAGAAGGACACTCGGCGGGCAGATTACACACTTTACTTCCACAGCGTGAACAAAGGTACCCCCCACGAGAAGGCCGTGAGTGACACGCGCATAACGAAGGGGTAGGCTCCACTGTGCGCGATGGAAACCCCATCATGAGGAGCGAACTTGCTGACTGTTTTTGACTCGCTAGCGGTGTAGTCACGTCCATCAAGAGTTCACGGAAGTGTTGCTCGTTGAGTACAACGCCATATGCTGTCTCGTCACCTGGATTTGTCCGGCTGCACAACTCTTTGCAGATAGCCACTTGCGCTGCGAGACCGACAATGCGCACTCGAACTTTGTCGGTGATAAGCGTATTGATGGTCTGATGGATGTCGCCGGGATCGGAGCTGAGCAAAGAGCCGAAAAGAACGAGGACTTCGCGGGTACCGTGACTGGGCGTGTGGCTAGATGCAGGTACACACGTTAGCTAAGTTCGGCAACGATGTGAGGACAGGTAAGCCCGAGGAAAGAAAAGACGACACGTACAAAAGAGCACCGCGGGCCATTTCAAGGCCATTCTGAAGACTCGGCAATCCTTTCGGATCCTGAGTTTTCAATTCTTGAATCGCTGTCAAATGCTCCGTAGGGTTGCCGCTAATGTCGCTCACCCGGATCGCAAGGCCATCACGAAGGCCTAGAACACCGAGTTGAGAGATGGGGTTTTGCTCGAAGAATTCTCGGACGAATTCCTGGGCGTATCGCAGTGCCAGTAAATATCTCGTGGGTCGAAGATCTTTCTCGGCCATGGATTGTGAGAGATCGAGAATGAGGATTAAATGTCGAATAATACCACGCTGGAGAGGGGTGGTGTCTTTGAGGAGCCTGCTCGTGTCGCGAAAGAATTAGCATTGATGAGCCATAGAGGAAAAAATCGTATCGAAGCTTGCTGATTATGATCATTTCTCACTGACCTCTTGCGCTTGCTGGCCTCCAGCAACCCTTCGACAGTGGAGCTGATCGTTCCATCAGCTCCCTCAACTAGCGTCTCCCAAGTACGAGAGAGCTCCCATTCTGCGGCTCCTCTCTGCTTTCGCTTCCTTGGCTGAGAGGCGTCTGTCCTCGTCACTTGGAGATCATCTTCATCATCTGTGACACCGCCCACGTATTCCTCATCCGAATCAGCCATTGCGATCCGTCTCGCGCGGGCTGAAGCTTTCTGGATCGTAGCTCAAAGAGGAATGCGGTCGAAGAAGACGGCCCCAGAGGCTCGGCACGTAATAGCCGCGCAGGGTCTAAGCTCCGCCGGAGCTCCGTCTGCGAAAGGCACCTTCTCGATTTGCTCGTCTGTACCAGGAATGCACACTACAAACTGGCCGGTTGTGTCGCCTTGAAATCTCAAATTGTGTATTCTGTAACCTTTCCCGACACTAGCCGTCGCTAAAAAGTCGCCGATGTGGGGGAGAAGATCCATTGCGGCGTCAAGACACGCTGGCGTTGCCATAATCCGCGGTAGACAAATTGCTCTCCGCCCCTCCTCTGCTTTCCCCTCCTTCCCCTCCTCTTCTTCTCTTCCTTGCAGAATTTCTTCGAGTCCGTTGACACCGAGGAATTTTACCACAATCACATCGTCTACGTCGCCTAGACCACGTACTCGACCTTCGGTCCCCATTCCTGGAGTATCACTAGGCCTCACCCCAATTCGGAATTGCTCTGCTGAGGTTCGCATGATGGCGTCCAACGACAGAGAAACGCTGCCCGACGTGTAAGTTGGTTTGGCTGGCGACGCAGACAACCCGTTGGTTCATTAAGAGTGCAAGGCGCTCAGCCCAGCATGTGAATTGAGCTGATATATACAATTCAGGGCCAAGCCGATCAACTACCATGTGTCTCTCTACGACTTGCAGTTCACGGGCTCATGGGGCTACAAGGGTATCGTGAAGATCGACGCCAAGATCACCCGCGCTACCAAGGAGATTGTCTTGAACACAAAGGAAATCGAAGTGCAAAGTGCCGAGGTCTCTGGCAAGGATGGTGAGTCTTTGACACCCGTCTAGCGGAATCGATTTCGCGAAAGGTGTAGTGGGAAGAAGTAGGGCACTTGCTGACGAGACGCTTGGCCGACGAGAAGGCTCTTCTGTAGGCAAGGCCACCGAAATCACCTATGATCAGAAATCCGAGCGAGTGACTTTGAAGTTTGCCGAGGAACTTTCTCCTTCAGATGTCGTTCTCGATATCAAGTTCACTGGTATCATGAACAACGCCATGTCCGGATTCTACCGATCCAAGTACAAGCCTGTCGGTGAGGCTGGTGCCGATACGCCCAAAGATGGAGACGACTATTACATGCTCAGTACTCAATTCGAGTCGTGTGATGCCCGCCGAGCGTTCCCTTGCTTTGACGAGCCGAATTTGAAGGCCACTTTCGACTTTGAGATCGAGGTTCCCAAGGGCCAGACGGCACTCAGCAACATGCCCATCAAGTCGGAGCGTGAGGGTAGCAATTCTGACCTGAAATATGTCACCTTCGAAAAGACTCCCGTGATGAGTACCTATGTGAGTGATGGTGCTAATCCGAGGAAATCACACGATGTCGCTTAGGAGGCTAATCAATCCGTGTCAATCAAATTATAGCTGCTTGCCTGGGCTGTTGGTGATTTCGAGTACGTTGAGGCCATGACTGAGCGCAAGTACCAGGGCAAGAGCATTCCTGTGCGCGTTTACACTACCCGCGGACTCAAGGACCAGGCTCGCTTTGCCCTTGAATGTGCTCACCGCACCGTTGACTACTTCTCCGAGATCTTCGAGATTGAGTATCCTCTGCCCAAGGCCGACCTTCTGGCTGTGCACGAATTTGTGAGTATTCCGTAAAGTCTTGAAATTTCCAACGGATACAATCATGGTTTACTAATCTCCGACTGACCTAGGCCATGGGAGCTATGGAAAACTGGGGTCTTGTGACTTACCGTACCACTGCTGTTCTGTTCGACGAGGGCAAATCGGACAACCGCTACAAGAACCGCATCGCCTATGTTGTTGCACATGGTATGGACGCACTTGTTGATTCGACTTTCTATCGAATGGGCGATTTTCGAAGTTCCAGAGGGCGTAGCAGCTGACATGAAGATGAACACAGAACTTGCTCATCAGTGGTTCGGTAACCTCGTTACCATGGACTGGTGGAACGAGCTCTGGCTCAACGAAGGTTTCGCAACTTGGGTCGGATGGTTAGCTGTTGACCACTTCTATCCCGGTAAGTACAGCGAGACCTCCACCCGCTCAGAGAGGAAACTGTGAGCAATTGACTGACTTTCCTTGGTTTTCTCAGAATGGAACGTTTGGTCCCAGTTCGTTGTACGTAACCATCGAGGTAATCCTGTTCTCTCTCTTCAGACCATTGTTAACCTTGTCCCAGGCTGAGGGTGTTCAACAAGCTTTCCAACTTGACTCGCTCCGTGCTTCTCACCCGATCGAGGTTCCCGTCCGAAACGCTCTGGAAGTCGACCAAATTTTCGACCACATCAGTTACCTGAAGGGAAGCTCTGTGATTCGCATGCTCAGCGTTCACCTCGGTCAAGAGACCTTCCTTCGTGGAGTGGCTGACTACCTCAAGACTCACGCATACGGTAAGCAGCTTTATGGAGATAGTTTGATAAAGGCACTGTGCTGATTGTCATGACCCTTTCTAGGCAACGCCACAACCATTGACCTGTGGTCTGCTTTGAGCAAGGCATCTGGCCAGGATGTTCACACTTTCATGGTGAGTCTTTATCATGCGCTACATAATCCTTCCTGGGGCTTTCTTATCTGATGTGTTCTTCATTTGCACAGGACCCTTGGATCCGCAAGATTGGATTCCCAGTCGTCACGGTCGCCGAGGAGCCTGGCCAAGTCAGTGTTCGCCAAAGCCGATTCCTCTCCACCGGTGACGCCAAGCCCGAGGAGGATCAGACTACCTGGTGGATTCCTCTAGGTATCAAGTCCGGCGAGAAGCTGGCCAACGTCGACAGCCGCGCTCTGACTCAGAAGTCAGACTCCATTGGAGACATTGGTACAGATGGCTTCTACAAGATCAACAAGGATCTGACCGGTTTCTATCGCACCAACTATCCCCCCGAGCGCCTCCAGAAGCTGGGCCAATCTTTGGACCTTCTGACTACTGAAGACAAGATCGGCCTCTTGGGTGACGCGACTGCACTTGCTGTCTCTGGCGATGGCAATACCCCCGCTTTGCTGGCGCTTCTGGAGGGATTCAAGGGAGAGCAAAACTACCTGTAAGAAATTTCACTGGTGGAATTCGAGCCTTTGAAATCGGTTCGAGCCGTTTGACATGACAATTGCTGACTCTTGTGTATAGTGTATGGTCGCAGGTATCCTCATCCCTCGCGAATCTTCGCTCCGTCTTCTCGCAAAATGAGCAGGTCGCCAAGGGACTCAAGAACTTTACTCGCAACCTGGCTTCCCCCGCAGCCGAGCGTCTGGGCTGGGAGTTCAAAGCCGATGACGATTACTTGGTGATTCAACTTCGCAAGCTGCTCATCTCCATGGCTGGGAACGCTGGCCACGAAAGGTATGTTGCAACCTGGTAGAAGAACTGAAGTTCTCCAAAGGTCTTTCTGAAAGCTGACATCGCGTCTCCCAGTATCGTCTCCGAGGCCAAGCGCCGTTTCGACCTTTGGTCTTCCGGTCAGGATCAGAGCGCCATCCACACTAACCTGCGGTCTGCGATCTTCAGCTTGAACGTTTCCGAGGGTGGTCGCAAGGAGTACGATGCCGTGAAGGACGAGTACCTACGCACCGACTCTGTTGATGGCAAGGAGATTTGCCTGGCCTCTATGGGCCGTACTCAAGATTCGGTCCTGGTCACAGACTACCTGGATTTCGTCTTCTCCGACAAGGTTGCCATTCAGGACATTCACAGTGGTGCTGTGGCTCTGGCGGCCAACTCCAAGATGCGTCACTTGTTGTGGGAGTATCTGAAGGACAATTGGACCTCGGTCTCAGCTCGCCTGGCAGCCAGTAATGTTGTGTTCGAGCGCTTTATCCGTATGGGATTGTCCAAGTTTGCCGATCGTGCTATTGGCGAAGACATTGCTCAATTCTTCAAGGGCAAGGACACCGGCGCTTATGACCGTGCCCTGGTCATTGTTCAGGACCACATTCGGACTAACGTCTCCTACAAGGAGCGCGACGAGGCTCTGGTCTTGGAGTGGCTTAAGGCTCACAACTATGTCTAAGCCTCTGACTTGGGCCGCTATCCAGGGTCGATGTCTACAAGGCAGTGAAATTTCTTCCAGATCTTGATGTCAACAGCTTGACACTAATAAAAATTACACAATACTAGGTTCAGATATACCTACTACCTATAAGTGAACAGCTGCGTAAGGCAGATCAGTCACCTGCTAGAAATAAATCACTTTACTTTTGGACCCGTGACATCTTCAGGCCGAGGGAACAGTGCACGGGATCAGCCACAATCAAAGTGCTATGAATGACGCATGTCATCATTATCCGTAAATCTAAGAGCAAACGTAAATACTATGCACTGGCAACGAGGAGCTGCGAAGGCGGGCAGTTCAGTTGAGTTGGAGGGTTAGAGGCAAGGGGTCATGATTTTCTCATGTCCATATATCGACGAAAACAAGATCACTTATGTACTTATTTAGTCGACTACCAATTCACATATATCATACGAAACGTTTATTGATCATCGGCATAATAGAAGAATTGCAATACCTTGTTCAACACTGTGGTCATTAGGTATAGCGATGTACCTTCCTAGGCGGTGGAGGCAGGTGACTGCTGAAACCAAAGCTGCGCATCAGGTGTATCTGGTCTCCTGCACCTCCTATCATTTCAGGCCTTCATCATTCAGTCCCCTCCGCTAACCACACCCCCCCCTCAACACCAAGACCATCTTCTCCGGAGCACTTTTTGCTTTCATCTCTCACTGACTCCCCTCTTTGCTCACCCTTTGACTCACTTGGAATCTCACTAAACTTTTCGCTCTCGCATTAATTCACCATGAACCCCGAGTGGTGAGTATTACGTCCCTGTCGAGTTGTCTTTATCGGAAACCGCTTTGTTGTCTCCTATAATTTATTTGGGGCGCCAACTTCTTCTTTGTGTTTGCTGATTACCGCCTGGCCACAAAAACAAGAGAGTTCTGACTAACGTGAAGTCGTGATCTAGAGTTGCACCAAGAGATGGCGATCTCACAACATCACAACGATCACCGCATCGCCGATTATGGGTAACTAATCTGGGAACAGATACGACTACCTCTTCAAGCTCCTCCTCATCGGAGACTCCGGTGTTGGAAAGTCTTGCTTGCTGCTCCGATTCGCCGATGATACCTACACCGAGAGCTACATCTCTACCATCGGTGTTGACTTTGTACGTGGCGTACTTGTCCCCCGCGGCTTGTGACATTCGACAGACAAGAAATATTTCCGGGTGCTAACGTAGCGACCAGAAAATTCGCACTATCGAGCTCGATGGCAAGACCGTGAAGCTTCAGATCGTACGTATTCCCCACTTTCGAGTTGGAGCATTTGGGTGGCGCTATGGTGATTGGGAGGCTAACCGGGTTTTCGATGTTTCTAGTGGGATACCGCCGGTCAAGAACGTTTCCGCACCATCACCTCCTCCTACTACCGTGGTGCCCACGGTATCTGCGTTGTTTACGATGTCACTGATATGGACTCGTTCAACAACGTGAAGCAGTGGCTCCAGGAGATTGACCGCTACGCCACTGAGGGTGTCAACAAGCTGCTTGTTGGTAACAAGAGCGATATGGAGGACAAGAAGGTTGTTGAGTATACCGTGGCGAAGGTCAGTTGACTCTCATCCCCTGATGATCTACGCTGGGATTGCACGGCTCTGCGGCGGCGAAGCCCATCGATCCGGAGCTGAACACTTGCTTTCGAAGCCATATTATGTTCTTGGCTGACTCGAAATTTCTTTGTTTCCCCCATGATAGGAGTTCGCCGACAGCCTTGGAATTCCATTCCTGGAGACCTCTGCCAAGAACGCCTCCAACGTCGAGCAGGCTTTTTTGACGATGGCGCGTCAGATCAAGGAGCGCATGGGAACAGCGACCGTCAACAATAAGCCCACCGTGCAGGTTGGCCAAGGTCAGGGCGTCCAGTCTGGATCCGCAGGCGGCTGCTGCTAGATGCTCATGGACTCAGTACGTGAGACGGTTTTTCCATTCGGCGCATGGCTACTTCACGAAGGAACGGCAATACTCGGAAAGACAATGCGGGCGACCACCACAGACTTGTCAGGTTCGAGTCCCACGGCCTGCTCTTCCTTCCATCCCTGTTTCTTCCTCCTTTCTTCCTGCTTTTAGATGGCACTGTGGCCTATCACTGCTTGTCTGCTTTTGTGATTACCGACGGTGTTGAATCCCCCGACTCCTCCTGCTTTTTTCCCTTCATACTCTTCTTCTCGTTTCCTCATTCTGGCCGTATCTATTTCTCTGGCCCTTTGTTTGATTGTTATTTTGTAGGTCGGATTCATTTATTCTGGAATGAACTAATGGCGAAACCCTCGCGGGTTTTCACGATTGATATTCTATCTTTGTTTTTCTACTTCTGAGGAAAATCCTGTATGAGCTACACTTGTTGGAAACTCCAGAGAATGTCTTGTCATTGTGTCTGCCTCCGTTTCCAGTTGATGAAATCGCGGTAGTCGTACAAGCCAGACAGTAGCGCTATCGAACAAGCAAGATGACTCTACTCTCCTGAACCACGCCAGTACTACGCGATCATATCGTAACAATCGACTAGTGTGGACTGTGGACACAGGGCAAAATAGCTGGTTTGTGAACTTGAGCTGCAAATGAGATTCTTCTTCGATGCTCCTCGCCCTCTAACTCTCGTTAATGCCGTCCAGACTGGAGCAGAACGAGATCAAGGCCCAGTGAGGATCACATGCCGAAACACCTGCGAAAGGGGTCATCCCCGGACTATCGTGACCACTTCCCTTTCCTCCATTTGCCCTAGATGTACTAAGAAGCTGGGAATAATGATAATACCAATAATGAAATAGTTGAATGTTTGTAAAAGTCTTGCCCTATCCTACAATTTCGCTACATTGCTGTCATTATTATATTACCATTGAGATGGAACGACCGGAGTCAACAGACTGTTTCAGGAAAGGAGTCGTGCTTTAGTCATCGACTTTCCCCGGTATCTCGGTCGTTTGCACAGTGACTTGTGAAGAAGGCTCCCTGTGGATGGGCGGCTCGGAGTCGCAGTACAGAGTGGAGTGATGGAGGAGCCGAGGCACAGCTGATTCGGCAAAACGTCATGAACTGAACTCTCTCCCTCTCTTCCTTTACTTGCCCAAGCCGAAACATTATCGCGCCCTTTTCTGGAACCACCCTCTCTTCTTGAGACTGATCCGCTCCTTTTCAGTTTACGTTGACTCTTGCCCTTTTCCATCCGTCAAGTTCGACTCTCACAATCTTCTTGCGTGTCTCTTGGTATACGACACTGGGCTAGCACCTGTCCGTCTACCGATCCGACAATACAACTTACCCGCACATTACCCCGGGTTCCCGTACACATCAATTTCCCAATCGAGCTCCACCACAATTATGTCTCAAGCTCAGCAACCAGCAAAGCCTGCACCCTCGGCTGCAGTGCAGCAGAGTGACAACATTGCTCACGCGCTCGCAGGTGCTGGAGGTGGTATTCTCTCCATGGTCTTGACGTACGAAATCCAATAATTACCCCACGTTCTGTACTCCCAACGGCCTCGTGTCTCTCGCGCGTTGTTGCTAATGGTCTCCACTCGGCAGATACCCTCTCATCACCCTGTCCACGAGAGCACAAGTCGAATCTAAGCGCGCACACTCGACAACTCTTGACGCTGTCCGACGCATTATCGAACGTGAGGGAATTTCCGGTCTGTACTCTGGGCTGGAATCCGCCCTGTTCGGAATCAGTGTCACAAACTTTGTATACTACTACTGGTATGAATGGACCCGCGCAGCCTTCGAGAAGGCTGCCATCAAGGCCGGTCGCGCCTCCAAGAAGCTCACGACGGTCGAATCCATGATCGCGGGTGCGATCGCAGGCAGCGCCACCGTGATGTTGACCAACCCGATCTGGGTGATCAACACTCGCATGACTGCTCGCAAGTCCGAGGCCGAGGAGCAGAGCCTCCCTGGCGGAGCTAAGAAGCCCAAAGCTACGACTTTTAACACCCTGATGGCTCTCCTGAAGGATGAGGGTCCCAAGGCTCTGTTCGCCGGTGTGCTGCCGGCTTTGATCCTGGTGATCAACCCCATCCTGCAGTATACTATTTTCGAGCAGCTGAAGAACCTGGTCGAGCGTCGGCGTCGGATGACGCCCAAGGACGCATTCTACCTGGGTGCTTTGGGCAAGATTCTTGCCACTAGCATCACCTACCCTTATATCACCGTCAAGAGCCGCATGCACGTGGCCAGCAAGGATGGTCCTAAGGAGAGCCTCAACGGCAGCTTGAAGAAAATCATTCGCGAGGAAGGATATACCGGTCTCTACAAGGGTAAGTCTCCTTCTTTCCCGGCTCTAGGATGGAGGTCAGCAAAGATCAAGAGTCCTAATTCTACTTTCAATATTAGGTATCGGTCCCAAGGTTACCCAGAGTGCGATCACTGCCGCTTTCCTTTTTGCCTTCAAGGATGTGCTGTATGATGCCATGATCTCCGTGCGAAAGGGCCGCTCTATCCGCAAGTAGATCAATCTGCTTTCACAGCGGTGACCTCCACTCCCACATGGAAACAATATCTTGGTTTCAAGGCACGTTGCCTATTGCCCTCCACTAAACTGGGCAATGAGAGGGAGTTTTGACCTCTCCTGAGCGTCTCTTATACATTCTGTCATGTATAAGTGAGACTTTCTACCAAGATTGAGAAGCTATACCGATGCGTCCGCTTTCTAATGACTCGACTGACAGAGTATAGCGAGTTCTCTTTATCTATCATCATGTACATATACAAAGCTTTTTGTTTTCTGAGTGAATTGGGAATAGTGACGAACGAGTTTCAATGCTTTTTTTTCTATAGTAAGAGCTTAGCCATGCTTCCCTTTCCATCTGCAATAGTTGCGAATTTGACAAACCGATCAGCACGTGCCTATGTCAACCATATAAGTATATAGTCAGTCATACATATGACCTCGCTGGTTTACTGCATCGATCAAATCCATACCGTACCTGGCAGGCACGGGGACGACTCCACTTTCACGCTTTATCATATTCACCGCCCGCCTGCGCCTCCGCGTAGCGCGTTTTCGCGATTGTTCTCCGCCGAGTTCTTTGTTCGCAGTCACTTTTTCTCGTTGAGCTGTGCGTGATTATTGTCGTTCCCAATAATTGACTACCTCCCCTCATCCAATGATTCCTCCGGCGCTTATGAGGTCGCTTGTACGGGCCTGAGTCGATAATATACACGGCTAGACTGCATTCTCTCGCCTCTCGAGTTCCTCCAGGAGACATCAGCATCGTTTGCCTTAGACAGTCCAGATTTATCGAACGCTCACCCTGACAATAATTACGCCTTTCGAGTGGTCATGCGAATGAGAGACATTTACAACTGAATTGAGTCTACCTAAGACAACTTGCAGGGAGCTCGAACGCTACGCTTGTTACTTTGCCGTCCCGCGGGTCTGCACTCGAAAATCGCACAACGTTGTCGACGCCCTTCACAGGTGGAGTCTTGTATTCGCGGCAATATCAGCTCATCAGATGGAAGACTGAAATTTCCCGATTTCGGTCAAAGGGCATGCTGTCTTGGTGACGGAACTTGGGGAAGGAAACAGGCCCCGGCCACTGGTGCAGATACCTGTTGAATTGCTTTAATACGACAATACGGAGAATGCAAAATGTCCCATCACTCTCTCTACTTCACTCGTGGGACTCCCCGATGTGGCCTACCGGCATTTACCTTGGATTTCTCGAACGCACATGCCTTGGAAGCTCTCACGGAGCGGCTCCGCCAGCAATATACACATGGCTCGCCCGTGCCACCGCGGGTGCCGAATTCAGACCAAGCGGAGCACGGCCTCTCTGAGAACAGTGACAAATTCGGGCACAAGGCGCAAGAATGGGTGCCCTCGCAGTCGATGATGGCAGAAGTGCCTCTGGTGACGCCCACCTTCAGCAAACCGAAGCCGATTAATATTGCCTTGGGAAATGGCATTCCTTCCATCTCATCTGCGCTCCCTCATTCTAGTGTTCAACGGCCCTCCCCGACGCAAACAGTCGTTCCGGCATATATCGTAACGCGTGACCCGATAACAAAGGACACTACTCCGGTCAAAGAAGAGCCGTCAGCTCGAAACGATGTACTTGCAGGAATCACCGCTGAGGGCTCTCCAGTCGCACCACAGAGCACTCTTCCGATATCTCAAGCGCAGCCTAGCAGGCCAGTGGCACCGGCAACGGTTCGGCCAGCCGATTTGAGAAGAAGCGTTGCCCTAACAAATGCGAATCGGAGCCAGACTAGTGACGAAGCACATCGTCTAACCCCTGGCACCCGGCACAACTCACCTGTACGAGCCACTTCACATAAAAAACAGGGGTCGCAGATGGGTTCACAATCATCCATGTCTTCTCCTGACTACAGGCCATCGTCTGGCTCGTCCCAGTCTTCCAAGTCTCCCGAGCCAAGCCTAATAGCCCCCTCAATGCATTCTGCGTCGCCGAGTCGACGTCGGTCATCTCGCGCCAGGGGCGAACCCGTCATCTACAACCTCAAAAAGTTATCTCGAAAAGCACTTGCTGCAGACTTCGAAGACAACCCTCACTTTCCCTACCGGTCTGAGGGGGAGGCGGCCAACCCTGTCTTTGATCTACCAATCCCATCGGCCGCTTTACCCCGGCAGAGGTCTTCGCAACCTCGTCAGTCGTCGCCCCCTCGTCCTTCTCACCCGCCTCGTGCATCGTTGCATCCCCGTCAGACACCTCAATCACGCGGGTACCTGCAAGATTTATCTGATGGACAGCAGTCTCCAAGTGGGCCCCCGCGGGAAGGTAACCTCATGAAGCTCCTATGGGCTCGAGAACTGCACGGTTCACGGCCGAATCAAGACCTGCTTCGTGCCACCGCGAGCTCCAACCTGAAGCCTTGGAAGTCCTGGAAGGGAACCTCGAATGATGTGGCGTCAGTGACATTCTCGCCCGACGGCACAAGATTTGCTGCCGGGTCTACTGCATTGTCCGACCAGTACAACCGCGCCAATAACTTGGTCTATGGGGACATCCCGAAGAACACTTTATATGAGCTTCCAAATCACAATGTCCCTCGCAGGGTGAATGCTGCCATGGCGGATGAGCGGCTTTTCCCGACCGTATCTACAGTCCAGTGGGTGGATCAAACCTTCTATACGGCTAGTTATGATCAGACTGTGAAGATCTGGGATGCGCAGGATCTGAGCGCCACAAGAGTACCTAATTGTACTCGGACACTCCAACACGATTCCGGGGTCTTGGTTATGGGCGTGTCGAGTAAAATGCCGCATCTTGTAGCCACCGGAACTACCCATCAATTTCACTTGTGGAACCTCAACGATCACCAGTCTGGCTCACAATCGCTGCAGATTAAGCGAGACCCTCGTCAAAAAGCAAATATTGTTCTCGGACCAACGGTGCTTGGTTGGGGAGAGGCTCCGGGATCCAAGCAATATCTTGTCGGAGGCATGGCAGAACAGATCCCCGATAATGAGATGGATGAGAAGAAGAGATTTCAGGTTGTCAATCACGGTCATCTGGGATTGTGGAAGGTCCATGAGTCCTCTGTCGAGGTGTGCCGAATCCGCGGTTTTGATTCGCAGAACATCTTCGACCTCAAATGGCACCAAACGCAGCCTCGATTTGCGATTGGCAGTACCTACAGCCAAGCCATGAACCTTCCCCTGCGATCGAAATCGGTCGTTCAGCTATACGATATCGAATCGGGAGATCGGGCCGTGGTGACTGGTAAATGCGCCTGCGCTGCCGCAGATATCAACGAGGTTACCTTCTGTCCCATGGACTCTACCTATGTTACCGCGAGCTGTACGGAGGGGAGCACCTACGTGTGGGATACTCGTTTCAATCAAAAACCGATCCATAAGCTCCAGCATGGGCCATCGGTCATGGCTCTCAACCCGCTGTACGCTAGGGAGTTGGTTGATTTCGGCGTGCGTGTAGCGCTTTGGGGCACCACGATGGATCAGTTCTACACCGGTGCTACAGATGGCTACCTCAAGCAATGGGACATTCGTCGATCGACCGAGGATGCCCTCGTCGCCAACACAGCCCATCTCAACGACGGAATTACTTGTGGGGCTTTCTCCGCCGACAAGTCGCAACTTCTCCTGGGTGACTTTGGAGGCGGTATTCATGTCTTGACCTGCGAGAACACGGACGAGGACCAATCGAGTTTTGCGTTCAAGCCAGCTCCGGACCCAGCTTCGACCGAGGAGCCGGGGATCCCTGTTGCAAATGAACTTCTGGACTCGAGACAGCTTATTATGCATCCCGTCTACGGCCCTGTTCAGGGGCCTTGCTACAAAGGGCCCTATGCTGCATGGGCGCGTGGTCTTCCCCCGATGACGCCGGCGGACAAGATCAAGCGGACACCCTTGTTGGGGAAATTCCAAGCTCGCCAATTTGATGGGCCTCCAATATACGATCGGCCCGAACTCGATGCTGGATCCCGTCGAGATCTTCAGTGTCAATTCAATCTTGCTCGCGCCCGTCACGCCCGCAATAGTTCTCTTGGCCTGGCACGAGTTGGTCGTGACACGAGTCCCCGGAAGCGTAAGCGTGATTATCTCACAGCATACGGTGGTATCGAAAAGGACTCCCAACGACACAAATCCCTCAGTCCCAGCCGGCGAAAGAGCAAAAAGAAAAAGAGAAAGAAGCTCTATCGCCGCAGCATCCACGTGATTACTCGGATTGAAGACTCCGTCATTGATTTGACTATGGACTCTGGCTCGGATGCGGAAGTAACAGCCGCGAATGTCGATCCGGCCGCGGCGCCAGTTTCGAACCCCGTCGCTGAATCTGCTCCTGTGCCGATGCCGGTGGATGAAACTCCTGGAGTCACTCTCGCAGAGTCGAGTGTGGACTTGCCCGAGGCACCTGTGGAACATCCAGGGTCTCGTGTAGTCTCACTCTCCCCGGTGATCAAGGTCCTCGATGAGGATTCAGAGGAAGACTTTGAAGACTACTGGTGGCCGGAAAGCGGGCACGTTGACGCCAACTTAAGCCCCGATGAGCTGTGAAGGGGAGACCTGGCAAGAGAAGAATTGTCACATTTCTATATGGTTCTTTTATGATTGACTCGTTCTAGCGTGCAATTCTATGTATGAGTGTTGACTGCGTACCGCAGTGTTCAATGTGATATGAGTAATCCGTGCGGTTCTATGGAGGTATCCCAATCTGATCGTTTATACTATTGATACTAGGAGGTCGGTACATAAGGTTGTTCATTGTTATAAATTGTCACCTGTCCATCAAGAGCGTAGTATAGCCCTCGGAGTCAGGAATCATGACCTCATCTAGAACGATGCTATTCTATTCTGACAATTCGGTCGAGTCAAGGTTTCGAAGATGACTGTTTGCCATGTGTGGTCAATTCGGGGCAATATCCGGCGCTGTACAGTATATATGTCGAAACTTAAACTGGGAGCGCGGAGTCCATACATGCATCGGTGGTTGACCAAGTACACCCTAGTCATGTAAAAACGCCCCCTGTATGCATTGTGTGGTCGGCCTTGTGTAGATAAAGACATTGATGCATAAGGTTATTGTGCTCGGAAGTATCACGGATATATTAGGAAGGCTTCTAGAACAAAGATTGAGCTTGCATGCATGGATCCTCGTGATCGTGCCTTTGATTGGCTTGCGTCTATTCCCGCATGCACTCTTTGTCGAATGCAATGTGTAATCATTGCATTATATGATTGCATGTAATTGGTTTTTTTTTATGATTGACCCAGAATCTGACGCGTTTCAAAATCATCGAGTCCGCATGAACTGGGAGGTCATCGACTGGTCTGGTGAAGCTTTTCATCCATTTTTGGTGGATGACAAATCAGCACTGCCACACGTACTGGCTGACCCAGCCTCACGCTGGTTCCAGAGACTTGAGCGAATGATCTCCGCTGATTGGCCACTTGGCCGCTCGGCCGCTCAGCCTCGTATTACATAAGTCTTGGCCCTCGATGGAAGGCTACTTTCGTTTGCTTGTCGCCTTGGCCGAAGAGCCGCGTACTGCTCCATGCGGTCCTGCGCCCCGCCGATGATACCATCCCTCTCGATGGGCCCTCCTTGGCTCCCGTATATAATCTCCACACTCTAGTGACCTCACTTGCCGTGGTCTCTCTCCTCTCGCGATCAACTTGCTCGTTGCACTTTCACCTGTCCTTGCATTCAGTGAGCAACGCTGTGAATAAACACTCTGATCTACCCTCTTTCGTCACTCACATCGATCTACGCCCATGTCTTCTCACGCTCCGCCTCCTGGGCCTCCCCCGCCCTCTGTGCCAGAGGGATGGAAGGCTCAATATGATGAGCGCTATCAGACCTGGTACGTTCACGCTTTCCCCTGCGCGTGTCTCGATATTCCAAACACACCGCGACTCTAACCTTTCATTCTCCTCCCCTCTTGCTCAACAGGTTCTACATCAACACAGCAACTGGCAAGTCGCAATGGGAACGCCCCGAAGTACCATCCGCACCATCCGCAGCCCCATCTGGCCCCCCACCCAATGCCGACTATCAATACCGTCCCCAGTCGGCAGGCCTCCCCGGCGACGACAAGAAAACAATGGCCTCCAACAATCCCTATAACACAATCAACCAGTCCACCACAAACAACATTGATGACGACGCCCGATTGGCCGCCAAGCTCCAGGCCGAAGAAGATTCTCGGGCGCGCAGCGCAACCGGCGATCGCGGCGCCGCATCAGACTACTACGGCGGCGATGCCTCTCAAGCACCACCCGGGTACGGCGCCAGTGCCGGCGCCAGTGGACCGGGTCCCTCGCAAAGTCCCATGCCTGAGCAGAAGCGCAGCAAGGGCGGGTTCCTGAGCAAACTGATGGGCAAGGCCAGCGGGTCTAGCTCATCATCGCGTCCACAGTACGGCCAGCAGTATCCCTCACAGCAGCCTCAGCAGTACGCTGCGTATCCGCCACAAGGACAGCCTCAGGGTGGCTACTACGGCGGAGGATTTCCGCCACAGCAGCCCGGGTATGCAGGGTACCCGCCGCAGATGGGCTACGGTGGTGGTTATGGACCGCCGCCGGGTGGGATGTACGCGCAACAGCCGGCTCGCCGAACTGGCGGAGGAGGTATGGGTACTGCGGGTGCGGCGGCGCTGGGTGTGGGTGGTGGATTGTTGGGTGGTATGTTGATTGCGGATGCGATGGAAGACCACAATGATTATGGCGGTGGTGGTTATGGTGATGACTATGGGGGTGACTATGGCGGTGGAGATGATTTCGGCGGCGGTGATTTTTGATTGCTGAGCTGATGTTTCTTCTTTCCCACTGTCTTGCGATTTTTTTCCCCCCAGGGAATGATGATCTTCGAAGCATGAAAGCGTTGTCCTACATGCTCACCACTTGTCATGTTTTACGTTTTATGACTTTTTAATGCTATCTCTTAGCTTGACGGGATTAGGGCGGGAAACTTTCTTCTTTGAATCGAGATTCTTGCCTTGTTTTTTGGACTCATGAAGATCGCTTGGGCCTTTGTTTTTTTCTTTTCTTTTCTTTTTTGCTTCGTTTTTGGCACTATTCAGTCTCTTAGCTACATCTGATTGATGAGTTGGCGGAATGCATGAGCAAGGCACTGCCCATGCTTATCTGATATTGCATCCTTTTCGATCTTCCTTTTCCCTAATGAAAGCATATAAACTTGGGTTTGGATAAAAAAGAGTGCCTACTTCGAACCAACACCCTGCTACCTTTTGTAGCTTGATGTGTTTCTATCTTTCAGAAGGAAGCCAGAATGGCACACCTGATAGAATGTATATAATCCGTATCGCAAGGCGCAGTCTATTTCAACGGAATCACATGATATATGCATTTGAACCATCATGACAGGGTAAAATCCGAGACGAGCGCAATGATTACGTCCACGAAGTCAAATCCCACCCGCCATCTCCATCTAATGTCGTCGCATACTCGATCTGATCAACCACGTTTTTTTACGTTCCCCGCCGCCGCCGCCTCTCGACCCGACGCACTCTCGCGTTCCTGGGCTTCACGGGCCTGGGCAACGGCCATGGGACTCGGGGCGGTCCCCGCCATCCAGCCGGCGAGATCGAAGCCACCGCCTGCGATGGCATTGTTGGTGGCGCCGGTGAGCGGGGAAGAGCGAGATTGTTGTTCGAATTCAGCGCGCATCTCGGGGTCCACTGGTGGGATTTTGTCAGTCAATAGGAAGGATGATTTGCAAGAAAGGGGGAGACGAATATGAGGATTCGCTCTGTGGATGGAGTGGCTCTGTGTGGTTGTTTGTATGAACGTACTGTTTTCCATCAACTTGGGCATGCCGAAAGTGAGAACGAGAGCGACGACGGCCATGAGAATCATTGGGTTCTTGAGAAGGCTTAACGGGGAGACTAGAAGGCCATCAAAGTTAGTAATCTGCCTGGTCACATGGAATAGCACACACTTCTACTCGGGCATGCTTGATTTGACCACCCCGATCATTGACCCCGCGTATCCCAAAAAAAAGCGGCAAAAAAAAAAGACGCATTGCCAATCCCATAGATAGAAACTCACATGAAGCACGCTCCTCATAAAAGGCCTTCTTCCCCAACAACTTCGCCTCAACCAAGACATCCTCCCCGGCGGTCTCGGGCCGCCTCTCCTCGCCGGCAACCACATCCACCACATACTTTTGCGCTCCGCGATTCTCCCACGGATTCCCGCGGAAGGTCTCCCAGATCCCTGTCACCGAGCCATCCGCGGCGACATCGACCCGATACGGCGCAAAGACATACTCGCCGGCGCGGATGTCCAACAGATATGTCTCGGGATGACCGGCGGGGAGATCGCGGAAGACGAGGGTGGCGCCGCGAGTGAGCGAGGCGGTTAGAATATGAGGCGGGTCGCGATCACCGGCGCCGGGGGCAGGTAGCGTGGTGAGAGTGGCGTGGGTGGATGCGGGGAGGGAATGGGGGTTGGGCAGGTTTGTCGAGGGAGGGATGGTGATGGTGAGCAGGGAGGCGGTTGCGAGGTAGCTGAGGCTGAGCCCGAGGCCCAGGAGGGAGGATAGACGGAGATGCATTGTTGATGATGGAGAGAAAGTGATGACCGTTTCAACAGGGTAGTCAGAGACTCGGAGTAATATGAACAGGCGCAGGGCCTGGAACAAGATTGACGAGCTGATTCTCCACACACAAATCGACGCGATGCACCACTCCAACTCAGAGCTGCCGATGTGGACTGCGGAGACTGGAGAGTGCGGTTCAAAGGGAAGGCGGTGTATGATCTGTCGTGTTTGTTTGCCCGATGTTTCAGGCCCCCAAATCTTGCCCAGCGTTTTGATGCCTAAGGCAGAGATTACTAATCGTCACCTGCCAGACTTGACTGGCCTTTTGTCTTTGGAGTTATGCCCTTTAGAGCCTACTCCTAGTGTGAAAAGGTATGGACGTCGGTCCTTTTTCTTCTTGCAAGTCCCAAGTGGGCCGTGCTTCTGCACCGACCGAGGGCCTTTTCTTTTCTCATTTCCACCGCATACACTACACTTAGTCACTGACAGTAGGTGAGTAGAGCTTCCGGTCGCGATCGCGCAAGAAAGGTACCGCAGTCGCGGACGCGAGAATCACGCGAGTGAATCCATATTTCGTATTGTGATCGACTGGGGCCTTATCGCAATTGCTGACCCACAGAAGGAATCCTGCCCAGAAATTTGCTCAAGACTAACAGCCTTCCATGGGATCAACAAAGTCAATTTACAGTACATGGACCGCGTCGACCCCAGCCTGTCAATCATCGGGGGGGGGGGGGGGGGGGGTATCCAGTGATCCACTCCAGTGGAGGAGATCTGGCTCTGGGACTCCTGTCAGACCTCAAGACTCCATCCGGTCGACGCCTTGAGAAGGTCAATTCTCAACTTTCACGGCCGGGTTGGGAGGGCTTGGACCCCCGGCACACTTTTGAAGAACGTTGTGGAAACCCGCGAAACCACAGGAAGAACGAGAGCTCGTAGATCGGCTCCATCGTCCCATCCGTAAAGTCCCTGCAGATGTCGTCATCAAAGTACCGGGCAAGAAGAAAATGGAAAGGCAAGTGGGACGGTAGGCAGATCAAGATTTTCTCCGAGCATCAGTCGGGGGCAGATAGTGCTGTAAGTGTAAAGTGTAAACGAGGTTGGTCGTAAAGAGTGAGACCCTGGAATGATAGTAATTGGCGTTTTTGGTTGCAGTGATTACTGGCCGGTGGGTACATCGTGCAGAAGTCAAGCTAGTCAATATTATTGTTCTGCGAATGGCCGGGCTATGAAAGGTGTTCCATCGTAAGCCACTATGAGTATGCAGTGTGCACTATGAGTATATACTGATGCAGTAGTATGCTGAATGCTGAATACTCACTTTATACAGTACTACGGTGCCCTGTAGATTGCAGCCAGCCCCCAGCCACAAATGACTTACGTAGGACTTTGGACAAGCAGAGACCGGGGTTGTTGTTCTCCTCGGCTCGCCTGACTAGAGCTCATAGTTGAGTAAAGTACAATTCTGGCTCTGCCCGGGCTAGTCGTGTCGTGTCCTGTCGACTCACTTGTCGGATGCTGTACCCGTGCGCTCATTTACTAGGTGGTTGTACACTGGCAGATGTTCGTTGCAATTTGCATGATTGCGCGTTCCCTTCGTACTTTACCACCTCCTGAAACCGTTTCTCCAGACTGTGTACGAAAATCTGACTTGGAGGGCCAGTGGTCAGTGGTCGCAGTAGTGCCATGGGAGTCAAGTTTTGTATACCAGAATCACTACCTCTAAACAACAAACAAACCTTACCTTCCTAAGGGACTTCCTTGTACCACTCACTACCAAAGTACCTAGTCCTACTACTAGTACCGCATAGATAGTCCATTCATCCAAATCCGAACAGACGCCACTAACCAAAAGGACTGAACCCTTCCATCTCCCCCTCTATTCCCCGAAACTCCCTCTCCCAGTCATAGAACAAGACCGCCCTGCACCCTTGTTGCAACAGTGCAAGCTACTCCCCGAGGAGGAGTAGCAGAGTGTAGACCCTAGCGCAAGGCGCATGCATAATGCAGAGGCCTGCCGCATGCGCCGCACTGCATGGCATCGGGGGCGTCATGGGTCCCGTGCCCTCGTTTCAGCGCACGGGGGCATGGCATGGGCGCATCGCAGTGCATCGCATCGGCCAGGGGCCCGCCTTTAGCGCCAGAAATTCCAGAATGGGGTATGGCAGGTTGGTGGCAGGTTGGAGATTCAAAAAGTTCGTTGCTGGATGTCGAGGAAGAGGCGGGAGCATGCGAATGGTTGGAAGATGGGGGTATCCAGGAACTATCAGGGACTCGTGTAGGAGTAATCAATAAGAGAATTTTGTGCGTACTACGTGGACGTTTTCACTTCGTGGAGTGAAATATGCATTGTAAACTTTACGATTAACACCGGGTGCAACATAGAGTGTATACTCAAAAAGTGTATAGTCATACTGTATAACTAGTGTATAGTATACACTTATAGTGACTATGCACTTCGACGCAGACCCGGATTTCGTTCGGAATACATGAGTTCCTCACTACCAGTACCACTACCTTCGTGCCTAACTGCCTACAACGACCTAGTCCTATATTAGGCGAGCAGAGCACAATTACAAGGAAAAGCCCACGCGACACGATCACCATAGTCTTTCCAAACTAAGCCTTCTAGAAAACCCTGGTACCGGCTATCTGTTCTCCAATCCTATGCAGACCAGCCACTTGACCTTCTAATGATCCACTCCAAAAAGGCCAAACTTGTTCCCGAGTTTCGCTGACACCAGACAACTCAAATAAACTCTACCATTCGTCCTCAATTAGGAAGAAACAAACCACCACCCACAGGAAGCGGAAAAGGAAGTGAGTGACGATGGCCAACTACCGGCCCGGGAACCCCTCTTGGTTCCAGATCCGAGCCGAGTGCGGAACGGACAGAGTTTGGAGGCCAGTCGTTCCGGCCTTTTTACACTTGGTAAGTTGGTACTACAAGTTATCCCTTCGGTATGTGGTAACTGTACTTGGTAGGCTGGTAAGTCTGGCAGTAGTTAGGGATAGGTAGTAGGTAACTAGGTACAGGAGATGTCGATCCGAGATCGTACACAAATCAAGTCACGACTACTTAGTAATTCCCGAATACTTCTGCTGCAAGGCCCAGGAGTACTTACTCTCTGGATTCTGAATATTGAAAATCTCCGAGTAACGAAAACTACGTCCCACCTTGAATCAATGACATTAAAACCTCGGCGACCATTACCGATTTACAATCATTAGATGTCCAAACAAGAATATCCGACGGGATCATTCCCATAACAAAACCCCACCAAGTTGCCATTTAAAAGTGACAGGGAGGATCTCCTGCAGAAATCGGGTGGGAAAAAAAAAAGGTTGGAGGCTCCGAGCGCGGGAAATCTGGGTAAGAAGGGCCCTGCAGGCTCTGCAGGGCGAAGGATAGACTTTGCCTTTATTGGGCATGACGACGGTGGTGGTCATTGTCGCGGGTTTATCTTACCCTGTACGGACTCGACGGAGTATAGAGCAGATCAGTAGAGTAGATCAGTAGAGTAGATCAGTTATATGGACCATGGACTACGGTGACGGGAGTGGGACTTGTATGGAATAAGGAATGTCCAGTGCGCACACCATCATTAAGTGGAATCTTAATATGGATCATTCCATAATTAAGTGTCATGTTCATAATGTTAATATTGATCATTCCTCGGAAGAGAAAAAAGAAAAAAGAAAGACCTACACGGGGCTGAAACAAGAATCCATACTTCCTCACGAATACTAAAAATGCTGGACATTTATCATCGTACGGTCCAGTCGGTCAATGGACTCAGTTCCCTGTCAAACACGAGCATGTCCCCCATCGAATTAGTGACTCGATGTGTAAGAGATACTGTGATTACGGACTAGTGGCTTTTCCAGTGTTTTTGTGCTCGACTGCTTTCGTGTCGGCTCGACCGGGCTCCACTGTGTGACTGGAGTCTGGACTGATTCATGCAGGCACTAGACGAGTCGACTCGAGAGACGAGACTAGAACCGCGGAGGCTAGAACCAGAACAGTGCAAGAGGGGGATGGTCACCTCGTGGGTTCGGATAAAGTGAAGTGCCTTTCTGATCTTTTTGTGTTTTTTTAGCCGTGCAAGTGGTGATTCACTCCGCTGGTGTGGTTGCTAGACAGGTAGAGTACTGGAGTTGAGTCTATCCACTTCTGTGGTTACTAGACTGCTAGAGTACTGGAATTGATTCTGTCCGCTTCTCGAGGTGCTGGACAGCCAGAGAGCTGGACCTGATTCAGTCTCTCGGAGTTTCCGAGGTCCTCCAGGAGTCCATCGAGTCAGCCCCGAAGCCGGACACTAGTTTTCAGCGACATTAACCTGCAGGCAATCTGGATGTAGGGAGACCACACTCCAGTGTCCACAGTCACACTACTCTTCCAAAGTCTGGCAAGACACCACTAGTGCATCGGTTCGAGGCAAAGACAACCACTCTCGTGGAAGTGGAAGGACATCATGCAGCGAAGTCGAAGCGAAGGAATTATTTAGTTATGCATTCGACGCGATGCCATAGACACGAAGCACCCGTGACCCCGCCCCGTAGTGGAAGAAGAACTAGTCAAAAGAAGTTTCTAGAGAACGCCTCATTATGAGTCTCGCGTTGACCCGACTCTTAATTAAACTCTTGCATTGGATGCATTTAGAGTCTGTCTTGCAGCCTTCTGGTCGCTTGTTTTGACCTTGGCCAGTTCTTCATGGGACACGCTAGAAGCTTTAGGGGAGGATGGCTGGGTCTTGTCGACTTACAGTGACACAGCAAAAGTTTTAACACCCCTGGCCCCACACCACCTAGATTATATAATATTCTGCCGGTCCAAAACCTCGCCGAGAACGCCATGAGATTAAGAAATTGACTACATATCAAGTAAATACACCACACACCACCACTACTACCTAGTAGGGCGTATACCAACCTTCCGATTCAATAATAGCCTCTACCCTATTAGGTATAGTCTCTGATAGGTGCTCTAGGTGCCGTATATCAATGTTTTGCTACGCAATCTGCGCGGTTTCTACTAAGATCCGCTTAGTAGTCTCGTTATTCTTTATATCCATAAGATCAGGTCGAATCTTGTAGATCTCAGCTTTAAGAAGCGCCCAGAGGTTCTCAATTGGATTGAGATCTAGCGAATGAGGCGGCCAAATCATCACTTCAATCTCTATCTCGGCTAATACGTCACGTACAACGTATATAGTGTGTGTTAGCGCGTTATCATGTATAAATATACTATCCTTAGTTAGTAATAGGATAGGTAGGACTCGGCGATATAATTCTTTAATAACGAAGCGGTTAATACTACCACGCTTAGAGGTAGGATCGCCGAATAAAGGTATTAAACCCGTGCGGCGCGAGGCCGAGAAAGTAGCCTAAAACATCTGCTTAACCTAGTTACCGCGATAGGGTAGTCCCTGGCACTTACGTATCTTCGGTTAATCTCGAGGACGTATAAACGTCCATTCACGGCGTATACTAATCCCACGCTTAATAGTATATTTATCAGACCAGTAAATACGGGCCTAATCTACCGGTGTAAACGATCGATATCGTAACGCCTACTGCAGCCTTTTAGCGGCGCGTTCCTTATTAAGATAGGGCCGCCAGGAGCAGCGCTACTTACGTATATTTTTAGCGTTTAGAAGACGTCGAATTAAGTTCTTTTTAACCTTATAAGATACCTCAGAGAGTAGATCCTCGTAGGTAACGCGTGGTGTTTCGGTAATAAGGTTAAGGATTCGAGTCTTATCCTCCTCCGTGAGCTTCTTCGGGCACCCAGAGCGAGGCTTAGATATACCTATTCGTCGCTCAGGCTCCTTTTTGATAGTATATCGCACAGTTGAGAGAGAGATCTAAGGGTAGCGCTTATGAATGCGTTTATATCCCTATCCGATAGCAGATAGCTCGTAAATACGCTCGCGGAGCGCTGGTGTAAGCTCTGGATTGCGGCCTATCCTAATTGCTAGTAGTATCTGCTAATAAAAAGAATATCTGCTAAAGATGGATGCGTGGATATCGGTGTGTGGCGAGTAATTAGCTATAAGGTAGCAGCGCGCGTTGACTCGCGTTGTTATCTACTACGTGTTTTAGGTAGGCGGTATGTGGCAGATTCAGGCGGTCTGGTAGTGGGTCCCGAGAGGGTGTTAAAACTTTTGCTGTGTCACTGTACTTTTGACATGGATGGGGTATCGTGAAAGGTTGGTAACTCGGTAGTCATACACCTTGCACTGACCATAGTCAACATTCACTACCGCACCGGTTGTTTGTCCGTGCTCTTGTACTACTGTAGTTCGCATGTTGCTGATTGCTCGCCCATTTCCCTTCCTCAAAGTGGTTCTTCCACTAACGAGACCGGAGGTCCAAGATGGTCGTCGCCCGGCAGTTTTCCGCGGCCAGATCCACTTCCATTTGGACGCGGAACAACAGGCAGGAGTCCACGTAGTACCGCGTCCCACCTGAGGGACCATCTCCCAAGGAGCAAGAGGATCAGAGATGGAGAAGCCATGCGCCTGATGGATGATTGATATTCTCCTAGGCGAGAATGATGGATGGTCTGATGATTATGTTCTCTTGGAGTGATGGAAGTACTACACTACAGTCCTAGTCACACACACTTGAATCAGTATATCCCAAGAGTATAGACTATATAGACTACAGGGTGTATTTTCTAGATTCTACAGGTGAGAGGGGAAAAAATACGCCCTCTTATCGATAGGACCAGGTCGCGCTAAGCCATTTCCGACTTTTCTTCTTTTCCCGTGCCTCCCTCTTTCCCTCTTTCCCTCTTTCCCCATCGAGCCATCCCCAAAGTGGTCGTAGCGTCCCGCTGAGCCTCGCCAGTCTCGGGCATTCTTCTGGAGTCTTGCTCGTGACCGATTCTTCAATTGACTCGCTGTTGTCTCTTATCCACGCTTCATAGGATTTGTCCTTCTGGAACAGACTACAAGGTAAGGAAGGTTGGTCTCGGTTTGATTTCTATTCTCTGCAGTCTACAGTCTATACTAGTCTGAGAGTCCATCGTTCCTGGATATCCGTTTACTATCTTTCTCTCTCGAGTTTCTCTCTAGTCTACTATGTATTTATTGCGCCCACCGAGTACCGCTTATATTTCAAAGTACATCCACCTACAGAACTTCCCGCCCGCTTGCCGTATTCTCTTATTCCCATGTATCCCTCTATTCTCGTATTCCCTTCCAAGGCTATATCGCCCGGCGTCTCTCCGTCGCAACTGGGAAGATTCCCGTCCGCTCTTGTCTCCCCATCGTCAGATAACTCACTTAGCCGCGCCAGCCAACCAAAAAAACCTCGTCTGCGGAAAAGAGAGGGGAAAAACCAAAAACAAAAAAAAAGAGGACCAAACCTAAAGTAGCAAAAGCCTGGTAAGGTCGCCGTCAGAGGAGATCAAAAAGAAAAAGAGGGACCTTTTGATCGCCGATCCAATTGAATGATGGAATCGTCCTTTTTTCCGACTTTCTACTCTTTTGCTTTTTTTTCCCCAAGTTTCTCATTCCACGGCCGAGGGTGAGTAGTAGAGTAGGAGTAGTACTAGTACTAGTAATACTACTATTACTACTACTACTGACTTATTAGTAGTGACTCAGTGAGTAGTACTCACTGAGTACTCATTACTGGTAGTAGTTTACTAGAGTACTCACCCTCTAGTGAGGAGTTCCACCAGTCCGAACTGATCCCGTGAACCAATCTATCAAGCGCACCTAATCACCTATTTCATTCTCAACATATCAAGTCACGACAGACCGTTGCGGCTCGGGATTCCCCTCGAGGGATCATTCGGGAGGAAGTACTCTTATGTACTTTCGTAGTCAGCCGCTTCCTCAGGCGACGGAACCGCCAAAAAACAAAAAAAAGTGGCCGTGGCCGTGGCCAGTTCTGAACCCCGATTTGCGCAGAGTTCGAGATTGGAAAAGGTACTTGCGCTGATTTGGGGATAGTATTCCTCTGGTAGTGTCCATTGTGTCCAACCCAGTGACGGGGATACGTCCAGAATGGTGCTCATTTACACAATACAAATTGCATAGTATGATGGTATCATGGTAGTAGTCCCATTCTCACATACGACTACTTTTAGTACCTGACTTGCTGATAGTCTCCTAGTAGTCTAGTACCAATTTACCACTTCTGCTCATAATTCATGTTCTCCCTTCTCAGCCGTCGGACCCAAAGAGTCGGAAACAGGAAAAAAACACAAAAAAAAAAAAGAAGCATCGTTCTCCCCCCACTCCACACGGTCAACTTTGCGAACCACTGAAGTTTACCAACCGTCGCAGAGCAGGAGGATTACCCGTGATACCAAATCTCCCTTCTGACCCTCTAGTGATCCAGTCTTCTGCTCCTCTCTCTGCCTCTCTGCCTCGCTTCCTCGCTTCCTCAATCTCTCCCCCTCCCTCTCGTTCTTTCCTCTTTCCTCTTTCTCTCATTCTCGATCCCACCGATCATCTATCGACCCTTCCCGCACCATCTCGGTCGTTGCAATCCCCCGCCATCCCAAGTCGGTCACCGTTCGGGAAAGAACCCTTCTGTCGCTATCTCGCAATTGACTCGGGTGGCCATCTTCGTCCCCACCGGACGGACTTCCACCTGCGCAGCCGACCACCCAAGAAACACCCCCCCCCCCCCCAACTCGGCCCAGTAGTGTCGGTCCTGTCGGATTCTCGCAATCGCTCGACTCGGCCATCTGGACCTCTCTTCTCTTCCTCTCGCGCTCTCTCACTCACTCACACACCCTCTCTCTCTCCCTCTCTCTCTCCAACCCCCTCTCTGTCCTCTCTTTCTTCTCTACACCTCTCTCCCTCCCCTCCCACCATGAATCACCAGCCCGCCATGACGTGGCCGGAACAGATCCACGACAATCAGCTCATCACGGCCCCCGGCGAAGATGAATTCTCCAACTTTCTCGAGTTCAACATGCAATTTACCGATCTCGATGGGCACGGACCATCCCAGCAGCAACATTCCATCATGCCCACAACCACGACCGCCGACCAGACCATGATCTCCGATCCGCGGTCGCATCCTCAATTCACCTCGCCAATGGAAGGTCTCACAATGGATTTCAGCGGTCACCCATCCATGCAGTCCGCCATGCAGCAACAGCCGCAGCAGCAACAGTCTGTCCCACAGCAGCCCGGTCCGCTGCCATATTCAACACCCGCCATGACCCCCGGGTTCTGTGCCCAAGATACTTCCTCTCATCATCATCAATCACAGATGATGTCCCACCAACCCTCACAACAACAGCACCAGCAGCCACAATCAAATCTTCCCAATCAGCAGTATATGCACCAGAATCCTCAGATGATTCCTCCCACGCCCAATAGTATCGAGATGCATGGCAATGCCACTCGATACCCGCAACGAGTGGATGAACATAGCGATATGTATGATCGCTACTCGCGCATCAATGAAGAACAGGTATGGAATCATCCGCACAACTTTTTTCCTCCCAGCGCCAACCCACCACCTTCGACCCGCGATGGAGTCGGGGGAGGTAGTGGGTGCCCCCCTCAGGACGCGTATCTCCACCCTTCATGCGCTCTTCTTTTTCCCCAAACAAACAGGGCCGTGATCACCACCCTCATTTTTTGGGGGGTTTCCCACTAATAGTCTCGATCAATTCCCAGGCCCTGTATACTCCGCTGGTCTCTCCCGCCATGACCCCTCTAGAGAGCCAATTCCGCCTGCCTGAATACACTATCCCCGGCGAATATTTCACTCCTCTCACCTCTCCCGCCTTGGAGGCACAGCACTCGCATAGCTCGACGAGCAGCTTCCCGTTCCATGCGCGACAAGTCTCCGATGTGGGCTTTGTGCCCACCACGGCCGAGGTCAACCCACTCTCCGGCATCTCTGCGCCTTCCTCCCCCAGCATCCTCCGCAAGACCCGGCGACGACCCTCGGCGGCATCGTCTCGCTTGGCGGGACGCGCCAGTAAATCTCGCCAATCGCCTCACATCCGAGCCCAGACCACGCAGACGCAGCGCATGCGCGGGAAGCCGTTTGCCGCCGGCTCCGAGGATTTATATGGCCACATGGCCTCGGAGATGGGCAAACTTCCCAATCATGATGTGCGCTCACTGCAAGAAAGCAGCAATGAAGGATCGGGCCAGGATTCGGTTTCTCCCGAACCTCTCCCCGATTCCTTGATGCCGCCTCCCGCCGTACCTCCATCCCGCAAATCACCTGCCATCCTCCCTCAGCTCCAACCCCAACTTCCGTCTCAGGCGCAGCAGCAAAAACCGCAACAAGAACAGCAAAAACAACTGCCCGGTGCAGCCGCTACGCCCGCCACGCTGATGCGCCTCCAGCGATCTCAACATGCGCAAGAATCATCAGATCAACTCATGGGCCAGGCTCAATTGGAGATCCCCGACGAGATCATGGAAGATATATCTCTTCCCGAGGCGGCGCAGCCTCGACCCAAGGTTGGTCGCATCGATACCGCTGTGCGTACCGCGGCCAGTCCGAGCATATCTGCTCACGGCACCCCATCCATTGAACCACGGTCAAATCCTTCCGCAGACCGTAAGCCCGTCTCGGTCGCGCCCAGTCCGCGCACTTTGGCGATGCCCTCACCCAGTGGTCCCCTGCCCAAGAGGTCGGATCCTTCCCGAGCATCTATATCTAGTCGCAAGCGTCCCAGTGTCAGTTCGACACATGCCAGTCCTCTTTTACGTCCAAAAATCAGCCCTAGCATCCAACCGTTGATGCGCGGGAGTGATAGTAAGTTTTTCTGCCATCGAAATAGGAGCCGTTCAATCTTGAGTGCCCCACGGTTCCGAAAAAAAAAAGTGATTGCTAACGAAATTCGTCTTTTTTTGGACAGGTCTACCGCAAGACGCTCTATATCTGGCGTCCAAGTCCAATTACCAGCACATTCTAGACGGCACTCTTCCATCGGGCGTCTCTTATCCCGAGACTCTTGCGGAGAATCTCAGTTCCAAGCGTACGAACCACAAGCTCGCCGAACAAGGTCGTCGCAATCGCATCAACAACGCTCTAAAGGAGATTGAATCATTGATTCCTCCGGAGTTTATCCAGATGCGCCAGGCCAAGGAGGCCGCCATGTCGGGAGTCAAGCCCGGTGAGAAGGACAAGGACAAGCCGGCCAATCAGGTTATCAGTAAAGCCAGTGCGGTGGAGATGGCGATCGACTATATCAAAGCCCTGAAGAAGACACTGGAAGAGACGTCGTCGAAATTGATAGCTGCGGAATCCAAACTGAACGGGGGCAACCAGGATGATACACCCAGAAGCTCCTCGCCCGCAATCCCCGTGGTGGACAAGGCTAGCGCGGAAGCTCCAGCGGCAGAGACAACAACAAAAACAACAACAACAACGGCCACGACAACGACAACCGTCAATGGGGTCGGCTCGGACTCGTCGGCCGATACGAGCTAGTCATGATCGCCAAGTGACATTGTATATCAAAATTAATCAAAATTAGCCAATCGTTCTTCCTTTCCTGCGCAGAGTCATGGAGTGATCGCACGAGGGGAGGCCATCTCCGCTATCGCGCAATCTTTTTCTTTGGCTGCCGCATTACATTCGACAGACCTCAATCGCAACGCTTTTGACGAGACGCAGTCTTCTACATGGTTATTGAATGAGGAAAAACTTATTGTGATGCCTTCGCTTTTGACCTTCTTCTTTCCGCTTGTTCTATCCCCTTGCATGTTGATTCAGCCATTCTCCCATCACGTTATTTGTCACGCAGTCGCACAAGCATGTCTACACTTGAGCTCATTCTAAAACTTTTATTATTATCGGTCTTTGGGAGAAGCCGGTCTTTCATTTCTTCTTTTCAAAAGGACCCTTCCCGATATTTTATGAATTTTCTCCATTGTGGCTATATGATAGCGTTGAAGTTTCGCTTGCGCAGGGCCCAGTTTTGCCCTTTTTTTCCTCCTTGCTGCTTGGACTTTGAGCCCTCTTATTTTGCATTCTTCAGAGAAATGTATTTGGTGGCTATCTGATGATTCCAGTGTTGATCCACGCAATGTCTCGACTCCTGTCACCTGTTGTTTTCTTTCTCCCCTATGTCTGATTGCCATATCGTCTATCAGAGTAGGGCTCAATTTCAGAATAATACACCGACTGACTCAAAACAAAATAGACGCCAAGTGCAAGGGTCCAACTTCCTGAAGGCAAAAACTGTTGTAAATGCAGATTATACACAGAGACAAATGTACCATAAAAACACGACGCGCACGCCTCCAACAATACGATGCACGACCAACGAAGATAATCCCCCATGTCCTCGGCGAAAACAATAACCCATCCTTTCACTTTCAGTCCGAGTGGTTCGAATAGAGCGGGATCCGCAATCCTTCCAATCGACTCCCGTTCAAGCTACGCAGTCATTTTGAAAGGTCTGTCGTGCATGGCGCATGCCGCATACTGCCAGTACATGGTGGATATGTTTTCGTTTTGTGTTTATTGTGGTGGGTTGGTTATTGCTGTAGTGTGATTGTATTCGCGGTTGGGATGGAGGGGGAGTCGTAGAGACTTTGGATTATGTGAGGTTCGTGATGCTCCGGTCTACGGGTGCGTGCTCGGGGGATTCTCGGGATACTTTGAAGTTGAGGTGCTTGTGGTTCTTGAGTCAAGAGTGATGGATGCTTGGATTTATAGGAGGGTGTGTCACTAGAGGATGTATCCGTGGTTCTTGGTGAACATACACATCGAATCAAATGTGATTTCGGAAGCGAAAGTATTCGGAAATGCAAACGGAAGAGGACCTCAATGTACAACGGACGCTAGAAACTTCATGTCCACGTCCATGTCCATGTCCATGTTCATGTTCACGCCCGTGGCTATGGACTGTTCTGTGGGGGTTTTTTTGGGGGCTTTTTGGCTTTTTGGCTTTTGCCTTAGAAATCCCTAAACACAGCAACCATATCATCTAAACGAGCAACCACCCCCAACAACAATGCTTCCGTCGCTCTCCACCGCCGCAATTGTTCCAGTTCCCCTTCGCTCAACCACCGCTCCTCGTTGCCCTTGATATCACTTCGTTCCGTCTTCTCCAGGAAATCTCGCCTTTGGGCCCGCTCGAATTTGATTCGCTGCAACGTGCGTGACATCGCCTTGTACGTGTCCTCCAGTAGGGTACTGCTGACGCGATCTGGATCAAAGTACCACAGGAAGATTGTTTTGGACGGTTGTCGCTGCGCATCTTTGGGGACTTCTTGCAGATCGACAAACCCGCCTGTTTGCATGCTGGAGAGGGTTTGTCGAAGATCTTTGAACGGCAGGAGACTGATTTCCTGAAGACGTTTTTCGTCGAGTTTGCCCTTGGCGTGCAGGACGCGCAGGACGCGGAGGGCGACGTCGCCGTAGCGCATTTCCACGAGGCGTTCGATCTCGAGATGGCGCAGTTTTCGCGCGAGTCCGCGGAATCCAATCCGCCATTTGACCACGCCGGAGAGGTTGACTTGGGAGACGAGGTTGTTGGGAGCTTGTTCGAGGAGAGAGAGGTGTTGGTTGACTTGGTAAGCGCGGCTGACTTCGTTGTCGGCCCCGTCTACGTTGTCGTTGAATTGGTCGTTGTCGTCGTCGTTGTCATCGTAGTGGTCGCCGTTGATGCCGTTTCCATGTCCGTTTTCCAGGGGCCGTTTTCCGCGACGGTTGAGAGTGTTGGATGTTGTCGTTGATGATGATGATGATGATGTCGGTGGTTTGGACGGGCCCATGCAGCTGGAGAGTTCTAGGTCGGGGTCGAGATCGCTCACGATTTTGTATGTTTCGATGGGGATGGAGAACTGTTCGCCTTCTTCGCCTTCGCGGGGGATGTCGGTGACATCGCGGCATTTTTTCGTCGAGTATTCCACGCGGCGGAGGAAGGTTTCGTAGATTTCTGCTGTGACTGGAGGCGCATTGGCTTCTGCCATCTCAACGAAGCGCGCATTTCGCAATGCGACGTCGAACTTGTTGTAGTTGACTCGTACGACTAGGCCGGGCTGTTCAAGGTAAACCCTTCAGTATGATCATACAAGGAAGAAATTGCCAATCTCAAAAGAACACGGCAGAGAAGTGTTCCTTACCTCCATTGGACTACTGTCGAATCCATCCTCGTCCTCGGACCAGTCGTTCTCGTCGTCGTCATATCCATGATCCCCGTTGATGCCGTTCTCGCCAGTGTGCCGCTTATTGCTTGCCTCAGAGTCACCAAGTCCACCTGCAGACTTCCTCTTCAATCCGCGCGGTAGGCCGTTGACCATCCAGGCCTCGGACAGATCTCCTTCCGTGCGTTCCCGCATGATTTCATCGGTCTTGTTGGCCAATTCCTCAGTCAACCGCTTTCCCTTGAGAATTTTGATGTCGGACCGGTTGGCCGCGGCCTTGTGCGCCTCGATGTAGTTGTCCTCTGGACTTTGGAAATGCGCATCTTTGACCCTCAAGATGTAGCCGTGTGAGGCAAGCGCTTTCAGCGTGGAGTTCAGAGGCGCAGGTCGATTGTCGCCCACATCTGCGGCATGATCACCATTTGCGCCATTCGTCTCTGCAACCTCGGCATCAAAAGCGACATCTTGCTGTTCCTCCTCCTCCGGAACGGGCTTTTGGTCGAGCTCTTGTTCAAACTCATTTCCGTCCTCCTGAACTTGCTCTTGATCAGCGTCTGCTGGTGTTGCCTCCATCTTGACCGTTGTATCGGCGCCGCCAGAAGTCCCGGTCTTGAGATATCGTAGTTCTGGCAGTGTTTCAAGGTGCTTGATCGGCGCATGTCCCAGGTACATGATCGTTTCCATCACCCGAGCCGCATATTCACCCAACCTACTCTCCACCAACTGGAGGATCTTGCCAGAGCGCACGAGATAGTACGCCGCGTGTGGGTTCGCGGCATAGTAGGTGTGGCCGTCTTCAAGTGATGTGAAATGAAAGACAAGGTGATGTTGAATCATAGCCGCCAGGCCATGTTGGAGCTGACGATCGGTAAGACGGGAGTAGAACTTGATTCGAGGAAGAGGAAGCCTCTCGTAGCGCTGAAGAGTGGTGAAGATGCGCTAGGGGTAACATCTCAGTCAGTTTCAGACAACTCTTTTGCATATTCAAGTTCTTTTCTCGGCAGAACTGAACGGCGATGTACGCGCATCAAATTGGGTCATATTGCTGGTGATATCCGCGCGCTCTCTGTGAGAAACGACGATCAACCTACCGCGAAAAGATCTCCGAATTGATCCTCGATAAGGAGCGCGCAGAGCTCCGCGGCATACTGAAGAATATCTGTGTCAGTCTAGAGTGAACCATATGAGGGGTTGCGCGGGGTATCTGCGAACCTGGGACATCATCATGGCGCCGGCTGAGAAGCAAGCTGCCTCCAGTCCTTACGAGGGCAAGATTCAATCACCACGACAAATTCATGAGGTGAACCCCAAATGACTCTACAGCTCTTTCGAGTGAGTCGGCGTCGCGCAACTTTTTGCTTATCAGTCACGTGATACGTATCAGCTGACCCGCGATATGAAGAACCTCTCGGGAATTCGAGGATGCAGTTTGGAGCCGATCGACATTTTGAATTGAACACGAAATTGGACACCGCATAGTACCCAATATCTTGCTAGAAATTCTAATTCTTCCAGATTTTTCAAGCTCGCTCCTTCCAAAAGCCCAATTATCATAGTAAAACCCACTTCATCATCAACTCTATACAAGCTGATGTAGAAAAGATATTCCGGTTCCGTCCGACTCGTCACTTCAGCCAATCAGCAGTGGAGTAATCAGCCCGCCCCGACCATCTTGAAGCTTTTCGTAACCCGACTGCTTCCCTCTCCTCTCCCATCCGAAAGGCTTTCCACCCCTCCCTCCCCTTTCAATTGCCCTTCGCTCCTCAGACCCATTTGGGTTCTTGTTCCTCTTCTTTCCTCCTTCAATTGCTCTTGGCGCACAATGCTGTCTCGGTCCTCCCTCAGCCGAAATGCGCCTCGCGCGCTCTCCGCAGGCCGTCGGGCCATGGCCTCTTCTGCCAACCCGTCCTTCCAGTACGATGTCACCGAGACTGCTGGTGTGAAGGTCGCCAACCGTGAGGTTACCGGCCCTACCGGCACTCTGGCCCTTGTCGCCAAGGCTGGTTCTCGTTATCAGCCCTTCCCCGGCTTCGCCGATGCCCTCGAGAAGTTCGCCTTCAAGGTTCGTCGTCGCCGTCATTTGTCGTCGTGATATCCAAGCCAGGGACCAGCTTTCATACCCATTCGAGCCGTGTCCGTTCCGGGCTGAGTGTCATTAAGCCATTGCAATGCTGATTGAAAGTGCTTGACATAGACCACTCTCAAGCGCTCTGCTCTCCGCATCACTCGTGAGGTTGAGTTGCTCGGCGGTGAGATCACATCGACACACTCACGCGAAAACGTCGTCCTCCGCACCAAGTTCATCGCGGACAAGCTTCCCTACTTTACAGAGCTTCTGGCTGAGACTACCAGCCAACCCCGATTTGCTGGTGAGTGTACACTGGATATTTTGAAATCATCCCCGTGGCGGGCTACGTATTGCGGACTCCGGCGGAACGATTGGCAAATCTAATCTCGGCGGGAAGATCAATCACGGCGGAATCCCTTAGCGGCTAACTCACAAGTATTACAGACCATGAGCTGAACGAGGTTGTCAAGGACCTTCTCAAGTACCAGCAGCAGGCTGCTTTCGCCAAGCCCGAGAACGTCGCTCTTGATGCCGCCCACGGTGTTGCTTTCCACCGCGGACTGGGTACCTCCATCACTCCCTCTACCAACACTCCCTACGAGAAGTACATGTCGGCCGATGCCATCGCTGAGTACGCCAAGGATGCTTACTCCAAGTCCAACATTGCCCTTGTCTCCGTCGGCCCCAACGCCGCCGATGTCAACAAGTGGGTTGGCCAGTTCTTCAAGGACCTCCCGACCGGCTCTTCCTCCAGCCAGTTCAAGGTCCAGCCCTCCGCCGCCAGCAAGTACTACGGTGGTGAGCAGCGCATTGCCTCCAAGGCCGGCAACGCTGTTGTGATGGCCTTCCCCGGCTCCAGCGCCTTTGGCTCCTCCGGCTTCAAGCCCGAGGCCACCGTTCTGGCTGCTCTTTTGGGCGGCGAGTCCACCATCAAGTGGACTCCCGGTTTCTCTCTCCTGTCCCAGGCCACCCAGGAGTTCCGTGGCCTGAACGTGTCTACCCAGAACTTCGCTTACTCGGATGCCGGTCTCTTCACCGTCACCCTTACCGGTCGTGCCGAGCAGGTTGGCGCCGCCAGCAAGAACGTTGTCGATGCCCTCAAGAAGGCCGCCGCCGGTGAGGTCTCCAGCGAGGATATCAAGAAGGCCACCGCTCTGGCCAAGTTCCGTGCTCTTGAGTCTGTCCAGACCCTTGAGACTGGCCTCGAGGCCACCGGTTCCGGTCTGATCCACGGCGCCAAGGCTTATCAGATTGGCGAGATTGCTCAAGCTATTGAGAACGTCTCGGAGCAGCAGGTCAAGGATGTACGTTATCCACAAAGTTCCTCCGCCCTTCCCATTTCTTTCTGGGCAGCTCTCACTAACCTTTTCTCCTTCGCTTTTAGGTCGCCAAGTCCTTCCTGTCTGGCAAGGCCACCCTTGTCAGCGTTGGTGATGTCTTCCAGCTTCCATACGCTGAGGACCTCGGCCTGACCGTTTAAACTCCCTTGTATACCTACCATACAGTCCCCTAGATCGAGGGAAAAGCGTGTTTCTCTCGTTTGGTTTTGACATGATCACCTGTGCCTAGATTCTTTGCCGATATCTCTTTTGTTGTTAAAGGGTGTAGTTGACTGTAATCCAAACAATTGTACCTTATTATGTTTCAAATCTCCCTCTTGGCTGTGGATGAGATACTGGTAGAGAGTGTAGATAGGGTAATAAATTTCATGGTACCTTCAGGCTAGCAGTTTCAGTCGAGGTCTGCCCTCCAGGATGTTCCGAGTAGTAAGGATCTCATCGTCGATGGTATTCACCAACTGCGCGCTCAGCATCCCACATGCGGAATATCTGCCCATCCTCCTCGCATAATTCCCAATCTGACCATGATTGGATCTCGCCCCCTAAATGTAGGCCTTGCTATCTGGATACCTCTTCCTGAAGAAAGGTCAGTGCAACAACATCAATGCCACCCGGACACCCTCACTCGTAAATCATGCAGAGCACGGGATGAAATGCCTGAATCGTCATAGAACGCGCTCAGGAGATGTGGCTCGCCGAGGACGGAAACCAGTTACAGATTGCGCGGTCATCCATGTCAGATATCCCATTGGAAGTCCTTGTGCAATATTGGATACACGATATACTTGGTGAAGACGCCGTCCTGAATGGGGAGGATCAGACGCCAGTCTGCACCCGACTAGTCAGAGATTACAGCGCTGTCACTGCACGTTTTTCTGAGCCGTGAGGCTAACGTTCGCCTGTGTATCAGTCTGTCAGGTCATTCGCAATTTAAAAGATCGACAGTGTCATGTAGTCTTCTCTATCACTTGACAAGAAATTCAAGCTGCGGCAATACCCCTTGATCGTGTCACCTCTGTCGGGTCTAATGTTGTAAGATCCAAGGAGTCCCGTCAAGGATCAAGGGGATGATGATTCAAACCGCATCTCGTATCCTATCTGTTTTGAAGGATCAACCGTTCTAGAGCATCTTCGATATATGAACAATCAATGCAGCACAATGGATATACTTAGTGCCAGGCGATCCACACAATACTGATGTGGAAACAAGAAAGTACACTACCTTACTACCTACTTACCTAGTACCTAAGTACCTATAGCTCATGTCTCAGTAATATCTTCCACGATCTCGAGACGCAAAGACAAGAATTCGCCATTGCAATCATGGCCCATGAATGAGTGAAACCCTCAAGTGTCAAATAGCCGAGGCCGAGATCGAGGCCGAGGCTTCTGGGCAGTGATACACCGGCCATGCTAAGAAAGAGGTAAGGCCGCATTCATGTACAAGTAGGCTCCTGATTGTTTGTAATTTGCACGTATCTGACGCTCTGTTGCTCAGCAAATCTAGCCTTGACTTTTTGCATCAACATAGATTTCTAGAGGTATAGGGTTGTGGTGCATGGAGGTGTCGTTTCAAGACTTACTCTGGTGTTTCTCTGAAAATAAGGTAAACTGTACGGTGAGGATGGCGAATCGGATTTCAAACGCGATGGGATCTAGATAGAGCCCAGGCGAGGCTTATACAAACCAGTGCCAACTTACTCCGTGACACAGACATGAGATAGGATTGAATCGGTGACGAAAGAAGAGAACCGTGAACTCGTCCGTTTTGCTAAGGTAGGAGAGGACACTTTCAGTTCATGTGAGGTTCAAAACACATCGTCAAGCGTCGTCACTCGACTCCATTGAATGTGCAACATGTCACTGGTATGCTGAACTAGCATACTTGATTCTTGAAAGATGATGCTGCTCTGGCAATTGCACTATACGGAAGCATCAGCCCGCACTCGTGAATTGCATAGTAAATGCTTAGTACATAGTGCATCACTGCATGGTCATACTGCATATATCTGTCCCTTTAAAGCATTCTGCTCATATTGCAATAGAAATGGACCTTGAAACAAGTCCGAGCGTGGCGTCACTACAGTGCGTTTCAAGGTCTCTCTCGTCGTCTAACGGGCTCACCGCGCACATGCCAAACTATCGTCCAGGTAGGCTAGGCAGGTTCCTACATAGAATTACCTGACCCGGACCAAATCCCATCAAAACCAGATACCACCTACTACCTAGTACTTTACCTACCACTTCAGTACTACTACTAAATTAGCAAATTAGTAAACAACTAAACAAACACCATTCCACACCCACAAACACCGCAGCACATCAAGTCCCGCGATCATCCCGAGACCCCCCCCCCCCCCCCCCCCCCCATCCTCCAGAAAAAACACGCCCCGCAGTAGCAATCTACCAGCTACAGCGCACTTCTTCACCGTACCGACTACCGAGTCCACGAATGAGCGCAGGGCCAACATAGCACATGCAGTTTGAAACAGAGAACCCAAGAGCCGATACCCGCAACAATTCCAAGGGGTTGTTGTATTTCCCCGAGATCGGAAGATGGACCTTTGTCGGAGACCCGGAGACCCGGAGACTCGGAGGACATACGCGCAGCTACGCACTGCGCACTGCGCACCGCCGCATACTTGTTCTTTGCAGTCGCAGGCGGTCTGCTTCGCTGGTGAGGCAGGCTTGGACCCGAGGTTATGGGTTGGGTGGTTCTTGGTTGTTTAGCCGGTGTCGGGAATTGTGCGCTGAGTTGGTCTGAGGCTTGCTTGTATCTGGCACTGTGAGTGTGAGTGTGAGTGCGGAGTGCGGAGTGCGGACTGCAGACTGCAGACTGCAGACTACAGACTACAGACAGTGACACTCCGATCCTGGACGGGATCGATTAAACATGCCCTTGAATCAAGCTATAGTAACTACTCGTGCTAAGGCTGACCATTCTCAAAGACCAAAGTTATGGCATTGCAATCAACAGTCTAATAGTCTATCTCGTACTTGAGGGCAAAATCGACAACTCGCGTCGTTGGAAAAACGTAGAGAAACGAAACACCATGACCATTGCAAAATAGCCATGAAGTAGCAGGAGAAGAAAGTGGAAAATAAAAAGCTATGAGACAAGGCATCCTCGTCAAAAAATCACATGCGTAATTGCGGATTCATTTCAGGAGGGGGTATCGATCGATTCTGCTTCCCCGTCTCTCCAAAGTAAAATGGGGAAAATAATTAGGTGTGAGGGGAAAAGCGAAATCTCAAAGAGCATGATGGATGTTGATAAGCTGGATGCGAGGGTCAATTCGCGGACGGTCGTAATTTGGATTCGGTGTCGAGCTCGGCTCGTCTTGCTCTTGTTGTTTTCTTTTTCTGGCAGCGGTGGCAGCTGCTTGGCCATAGCATAAAAGGAGGAGGGTATTTCAAACCTCCTCTAGTGCTTAGCGGTAACAGTCTCGCCAGTCAGCTTCTCGACAGCTTCCTTGGCCCTGCAGGAGAAGAGAAAAAAAAAAGACGTTGGTTAGTTCACCGAGGTGTCACATGCAAAAAAAAAAAAACAGATCCGAGAAGGATGGCAGGGAGAAGAACGTACATGTCACCAAGAGCCACCATGCAGACAGTCTGCCAGATACCCAGGCCAATACGGGGAGCGACACCACGGTAGAGACCCTTGAGACCATTGCTGTCGTAGATGTACTTGAAGGTCTTGCCGACAGTCAAGTTTTTGGGGCGGTTGGGATCCTGAGTCTTGCTCTGCATCTCGACACGAATGACCTCAATGGGCTGGTTCCAAGCCGAGAGACCACCACCAAGACCGGATGCAAGCACCTTCTCCCAAGCGGAGAGCTTCTGGGTGTCATCCTTGCCGGTGACCTTACGAATGGCCGACTCGGCCAGACGGGACAGACCGAAACGGGAACCCCAGTTGGTGGTCTGACGGATGGCGACGGCGTTGACACCACGGTTGATTCCACGAATACCCTCCTTGCGATAGATATCCATGAAGGTGGCAAAGGTGCTAGGGGGCTTGACACCCGCAGCGGCCATCTTGTGCTTGGTGATCTCCACGGTCTTCATGCAGGTGCAGAACCCCATGGTAGCATATGCCTGGGCAATACCTCCGACCATACCACCAGCGATGCCACCAACAAACTGGTTCGCTCCCAGGGAGCGAGCCTGGTACTCGGCCTCGGAGGCCACGAAGAGGAGCACGGCGCCCTTGGTGGAGGCCTCAATCCAGGCCCACGGAATGAGTCCTTGGTAATCTGTAGGGATGACGACGAGTTAGTCTAATGATGCACCAGTGCGCTTTGTGAACTTCAGCGTTCTATGACTGCACCACCATTGGACGACAATTGTGTCCACAACGTATGCCGCCCCCAGCTTCCGGTTTCTCCCCTCCCCCCACACTATAGTCTCATGGTGCGTATTTCGGAGGAAACCTCGCAAGAGATGCGGGAAGAAGCTCCGGAGAAAGGAAGAAACGAGTCGATCTGGTGCAAGATAGAAGAGAAAGGGATGTCATGTCACGTACAACCGAGGATCCCGCCACGACCCCAAATCCGACCCATTGCGCCGGCGAAGCTGTCGCCTCGATTCGCGGCCATGGTTGTCTTGATCACTTCCAGCGGCTAAATTATGGGGAGACAAGAAAAGGTCAGCATGGCTCACAGAATGATGGTTTCAAACAGGCCAGAGATGTCTGCATTGGCACATGAACAGATCCGTTTGTTTTGACCAGGGCGGAGAGCTCTGATCTTCAGAAACACCACGCAAGTGGACCGACAGTAAACAAAGCTGGAAGAAGGGATCCGATTTACCTGACCCAAAGTGGTGACCTCGAACATGTTCAAGCCGGCGCCGAGCAGCAAGTTGCTGAACTTGACGGGCTTCTTCTCAAGCTTGGGCGCGACGGCCACGTCGGAGGTAACGGTAGACATCTTCGAGAGAGTTGTGATGCTGAAAGGGGCCCTGACCAAGGGATATAAGGGGCTTCGTCGCGAGAAGGATGGGAGTGTGGGAGGGAAAGAGAGGAGAGTTGAGAAGGTGTGCAAAAAGCGAGTTAGAAGAGGAGGAGAAGCGGAGAAGCCCAATTGTCTTATTATAACAATTACTGGAGAAAGTCAGCAGCGAACGAGTGCCGGAGGAGAGGGGGTGCTGAGGTGTACCAAGTAGGTTCGGGTACTGGGCTGGGCTGTAGACTGTAGACTGCGGCCTGCGGAGAATGGTACCTACGTCGGTTGTTGCTCGGCATGTACCTCTCTCTGTCTCGCTCTCTCTCTCTCTCTCTCTCTCTGGGTCTCTGCGGAGATTGCCCTCCTGTCTCCGGGCGATCCTGGGACTTCTACGGCGCTGGTTGAGTACAGATAACAGACAAAGTGCAGGATAAGGTAAAATACCATATAGCTGATTACTAGAGTCCTCTACATCTATATTTACACGGGGAAAGCTCATGATGTTCTCAGCATTGGAATATGCAAAACCACACATTCACCACCTAACAAACACCTCTCAACAGACACTGGAGACCACATTTGGATGGGACAGGATCGGATCGGAGGTTGGAGAACTTGAAGTGGTACCTGAACCTGAGACTCCGTACTCGGTACTTTTTTGCTGGGCCTTTCTCCGCTCAGACCACCGGGTACTGGGTACGTCCCATACCGACTTATTTTCAACATCATCCTTCCGGACAGCAAGACCGTGAGATCGATCCATTACGAGTATAACGGGATGGGTGATGATGGTACATTCGAAATTTTGTGACTATGATAAGCCTTGTGGACCAAGTGGTCCAAAGCCGGTGCCACTGCTTCTCGATTGGAGTCTGCTGCAGTCCGTCTACTTATATATCTCTTGGGACTTCCCTCGACCGAGCATGTGAAGGATGGGGATCATCGCAAAGCTTGACTTTGCACATGTACCTTCACCGTGAAGCCCGGTACCTTGATCCGCTTGTCACCGACCGCTGAGTCGATAAGGTTGCAATATACAGTGATACAGTTATACATTGCCCTAGCAGCCGCAACTTTTCATACGCTACTCTGCTTGTTGAAGTTGAGTACCTAGTGTGGAATTTGGGGCCTAGCAATCTTCTTTCAACATCTTGTTCGACATCCATACTACTACGAGATCCATATCCATCGGGATGTTTATCGACATGCACTGGCGCAATTGTCGATCTCCGCTCACATTCTCCAAGTCACCCAATACTAGATAGTAGATATCCCTTCAAGGCCCGTGAATCACGGTCCATCGTCCATACATTCTAATGAGACCCCTCGATGCACTGCATAGTGCATACAATCGACAATTTTATATTCATTAAATCCTCCCTGACCGAGTCCTCTGCCCGATGTGTTGAAGTATATCCAACAACACGTCAAAACACAGGTTCCGTCTCATCTTCACTGCTTACCCTTTCCAGCTGGTTGAGTGGGTCGGTGAGGGCGGTTGAGAGCTCCAGAGCCTCCCAATCGCTCAAAGCGGGTCCCCCCAACAATTTAGGGCCGCCTCGCAGTGCTCGATTCTACGTTGGTAGTCGTCAGAACAAAAGTAAATAGATGCAATTGAGGCTCATTGAGACACCTGCATCAGCGCATAGATACGGTAATATGTTGCTATACATATCACCAGTATATGATGTAGATAGGACAGGACACATGTCACATGGAACGTAAAAAGATGAAGACACGTCTAGACGATGTTACCTTATTTGACCGTGTACCGAGCATGTCAAATTCATGATTGTCCAGAGCTAAAGGAGAATCAGAGGGACCTTCATCTCTCGAGCTAGATGGTGAGTGAGAGATCGCCGTAGACGCTGCTTGAAGCCTTGACGATATCGTGGATGTACAGGTCATAATTCGAACTGGGCTCAGACAGCCGGAGAGCGTCGAGACGGGATGGATCCATTGCATAAGGCAATAGCATCGAGGGGGTTTCTATACATCGCATCATTCCTATATCTAGATGGCTACATTCGTACGGACTGTGGCATTGAGCATCCTATATTCCAGCATTGATTTTCGCTGTCACAAATTCTGCCAAGCTTCAGCAGGATCATTCAAAGATAAAGCCAGAAAACGTTCCAAAAACGACCATAGCTACGTGGGCAAAGAGATCAGCGTGACCATATTTCATGTAGATTGGTTTTTCTGTTTAAAATAATATCGAAATTGGAGGAAGTGCTGTTCCAAGGCCCGCTCGAACCGATCAAGTCCTATCATACAACATAAAATAAGAGTATCCAAGACAAAAGAAATAATACACGAGGTAAACCCCCATCCCCCCCCCCCCCAAGGTATCCCCGTCAGTGGAAAAGAGAACCCGCGGGATCAGGGATTCCTCCCACATCTCACTTCATCAAATATAGAGGAAATAAGATGACCCTTCATGTGAGATCGTACCCACTTTTTACAGCTTGGCACCAACGAGCTTGGCGTAGGCCTCAGTGCTGAAAGACTTGGGGCGCTCGATGGGCATGCCGAGAGCACGGTCAATGATCAGCTGGGGCAGAACACCGAGAGCACGGGAGACACCGAACAGGACGGTGTAGTAGTTGGCCTCGGTCAGGCCGTAGTACTGCAGGAGGACACCGGAGTGGGCATCAACGTTGGGGTAGGGGTTCTTGGTCTTGCCGTGCTCGGTCAGAACACCGGGGGCGATCTTGTAGACCTGGCTGACCAGCTTGAACATCTCATCATCGGGCAGCTTGCGGAGAGCGAACTCGCGCTGGGACATGTAGCGGGGGTCAGTCTTGCGGAGGACGGCGTGGCCGTAACCGGGAACGACACGGCCGGAGTTCAGGGTGGACCAGAGGTAGTCCTTGATGGACTGGTCGCTGAGGTCGTTGCCAATGGCCTTCTTCATCTCGGTGAGCCAGTTCAGGACCTCCTGGTTGGCGAGGCCGTGGAGAGGACCGGCGAGACCCTGGAGACCGGCGGACAGGGAGAGCATGGGGGAGCTCAGAGCACTGCCAACCAAGTGGGTGGTGTGGGCAGAGACGTTACCACCCTCGTGGTCGGAGTGGATGGTCAGGTACAGACGCATCAGCTCAACAAAGTCCTTGTTGCCGCCGAAGCCGAGCTGGTTGGCCAAGTTGAAGGAGTAATCCTTGTCCTTCTGGATGGCGGCAACCTTGCCGTCTTTGAAGACGTTGCGGTAGATCTTGGAAGCAATGGTGGGCAGCTTGGCGATCAGGTCCATGGAGTCCTCGAAGGTGTAGCTCCAGTACTCCTTCTTGTTGATACCCTTGGCGTAGGCCTTGGCGAAGGAAGACTCGTGCTCGAGGGCGGTCACGGCCAGAGAGAACTGGGCCATGGGGTGGAGGGTGCTGGGGCAGCGGTCGATGAGCTCCTCGACGAAGGCGGGAACATCGGAGCGGGCAGCCCACTCGGCGGAGAGGGCGCGAACCTGCTGCTCGGAGGGGATCTCGCCGGTCAGGAGGAGCCAGAAGAGACCCTCGGGCAGGGGCTCCTCACCACCAGGAGCCTTGGGAAGGAGCTTCTGGAGGTCGGGGATCTGCGCAGAGAGTAATATGAGCGATTAGCGGAGAGTTGCTTGCAATGACTATCGAGTGTAGCGCGTTCTACGCAGGATCAGCTTACAGTGTAGCCACGGAAGCGGATACCCTCCTCAGAGTCGAGAACGGAACCCTATAGGAAAACATTGTTAGAATGTCTTGTTGCACCTATGCAGACCATTTTGCAGGGCGTGGGAAGCGACGCTTCTTGAAGACCCCTAGTGATGACTTACCTCCCACACAAGGGACTTGATACCACGGGCACCACCGTAGGCCTGGTCGAGGGTAACCTCACCGATGACCTTGGAACCGTGCTCCCTGAGATTGACGCGATGATTAGATACAATTTTCGCGTGAAACGTGTAGTCTCAATTGACGTGCGTGAATGACATACTTGCGCAGCTTCTTGACCTTCTCGATCTCAGCGGGCAGACCGTCGGCGAAGGTGTCCTTGAGAGACTGTTTTTGAAAGCGTTAGCAGATCAATTGCAGGCCGAACGTCACCAATCTTCGGATGAAACGGTGCTCGTTCTCAACAACATACCTTGACCTTGGCGGCGGAGTAGCAGCGAGCGCCGTTCAGAGCAGCAGTCTGAACGGGCTTCGCGAAGGAGGCCCGCAGAGCGGAGGTACCGATCCGAAGAGAAGTGGCCATTGTGAAATGTGAATACCCGAAAAAAGAAGATTTCAAGGATATGGGGGAATCTGGAGGAAGGAGATCAGAATGGGAAGAAGGAGAAAGAAAGAAATACGGGGGAAGGGCAGGAGAAAACCCATTCCGAGAGCTCCCTGGAATTTGCTCGGGGGTTTTTTTTTCTTCGGAATCTTTCCAAGCTGGTAATTACCGCCGGTATCGTCACAGTCGGGAGCCCGTGAGTGCCAGAGTGGGGGTTTCCTTACTCTTCCATGGCCCGTTTCCTTTTGGGGCGATGCTGGCGGGAGTTCGGCCTGCGGGCTAGCGGACGGCGGGAGGAACGGGGTCACGGACTTGGGTGCCATTGCAGCTTTCCAATCATCGGGATCACAGCTCAAGATGGGGCGGATACAGGATACTGTATTGGTGTATTGTGGTATTGCCTGATACACTTCTGTACCACTTTTTCGAGCTTTAAATTTGAACTTTCAAAGTGACCCGAGGTGGGCGACCGAAGAACAACACAAGGCTCCACAACCCAGGTCGGCCTGCCGGTACGGTCGATCTGCCCGTGCAAAGACGTCCGGGTTCGAGAGCACTGGTTATGGGTCTGTGCCTCTGTGGAACTCGCCGTTGGATCAATTTTACTAATTATTATGAGCCGGGCACTTGAAATCCTATACTGAAAAGCGAGGGTAACGTCTTCCTAATGGACGACCTCGTCAGATGTCGAGAGAGATAGCGCTATACCCTACGAGCACCTGAGATTGCGCAGATGTACTTCGCTGGCCACCATGGCGCTCTGATGACCTCATTCCGTCATGCTCGATTCGGCCTCACTCGTCGGCGCGATTCCCGTTTGAGGTAATCAGCAGCTACGGTACCCAGATACATACAACCTGCAATAGAGGAACCTGGTCAAGAAACTTGCTGAAGGCAGCCACTGCACTCGATGTGATGCATAGTATACTGCCGGTTGCGTATAGAAATGGGGAGTGCAGTCGTGTACCGAGCTCGGTGAGTTGTGAACTGGCGAGTTACAGCATCCTCAGATTCCTCACAGCTTTGCTCGTCATTTCATACAGTACAAGACTTGAAACTGTATTACCAGCTCCTTTGTTGATGGCTTGATGCAGGGCAGTGACGTCGGCAAGTCGCTAGCTTTTGTCCCGTGCCGCCATCCGGAAGCCCGACAATTTCACAAGAGCATCCTCGGCATGATTGCGACTATGAGTATTCACTATTCCAGTCTTCACTATTGTGTTTTTGACACCATTGCAGTGGTCGGATTTTGGAGAAATTTACACCGCTTCAAAGACAGACACAACTTACGTACAGTACGACGAGGATGGACGTGCATTCAGCATTGTGCAGTCGATACTCGATACTCAACGAGTCAACAACCAACAGTGAACCTACAAATACACACAGCATCGTGGTCCGTGCAATCTTGCTAGTATCGACTATCGAGTATCGAGTGCGCAAAGCGTATCCTCAGTTCCGTACTAGAGAAGCGTAGCCGACGTAAGTTGGCTGACTGAAATATACTTCTGGGGCTAACACAAAAACAACTGACAATGACATACTCTCCTTCGAGACCTGTACCCACATCGTCAGTCAGCTCAGAACTCACTGTATCACTATCTACCTACTACCTGGTGCATTATACAAGAAATGCGATCTACAGGTGAAATCCATACATACCCCTTACTCGTGTTGTGATGGTCTCCCGTACCTAGCCGGCATTTTCTGAAAGGGTTCACCGAGAACGGAAGCTCGATGCACTGACAAGGGGCACATCGGGTCCTTCACCCAGGTGCACCCTGCGCTTTATTTCGAAGACGCTTGACCGGAAAAATTTTTGGTGACCTTAGGTAGCACCAACATTGAATCATTTGGGTAGTGCTTATAAGTATATAGTCGGAGTGCACTGCAGGATAATGTCAGCCCTAGGCTGATGAGACCTACATTTTCGAGGAACCACTGCCTCGGGAGACGGGAGTTCACGTGATGTATGTATGTTTTACTGAACAAGCGGCACACTAATGCGATACTAAAATTATGAGTATATGAGTATGGAACAAGATCCTCGTTCGTGAAGCGAAGTGACCGAATGAAAATATCAACAAGAGGGTCAAGACCATGAGTCATTACATCGGGTGACAATGTATACTCTACAATCTTCACTCATTCCAATCAACACTGTAGCTGGACATACTCGAGTACCAGACTGAAGGTTGGCGCATCAATTTCGATCTATGCGCTGCTGAACAGATCATGTGACTATACATTGTACGCTACTATGCATTATGCAATGACATACGTAGGCCACATCCTTCAGATCCTGAATATCACGTGGCACTGCCCCAAAGTAGACTAGTGCCAAGAATTTGACAATTGCACAGTGACGCTAATGCAAACCATGCAAAACAGAAAAGCCTTACAGCCACTCCCTTTTCAACCCAACTCTCCAACCTTCTCCTCTCTTCCGCATCATCCCCTTTGTCACCTCTTCCTTTTTTCGCTCATTCTCTTCAACCTCGCCGCTTGTCACTTCCATCACCAAAAACTTTGACGCCATCCACGGATTACCTAAACTCTGTAAATCCGGCTCAGTCGAGGCTTTCAGGAGGAGAAAAAAAGGTTCTCCCTTCACAGTGCGCTTTAGGTTGTACTCCAGTACCCAGTACCTCGTACACTCGTACCGTACATTCGATAGGGCTCATTTTCCGTCGAGGACCTTGGTCGTCACGAACAATCGTCTCTCTTGTCTCCACGCTTTAGGCTGTATCTCAGCTGTAGGTGGCAGTTTCTCTGGTCCTTCAGTGAACACGCACGTGCTGTAGTGTGAAGAACCTTCCGAGAACAGCAAACCCAAGAATCCAAGGCCTCGCCTCCCGCCGCTCTTGAGCTCATAAGAATATAGCGAGGCTTGAAAGCCCGGAGAACAAAAACCGACTCGGAACTTAAATTTCCCCAGGGATTTTCAAGATCTCTCACTTTTTCCTCTTTGTTACCTCTCGCTCGGATCGTCTTCGCTTGGAAGTAGTGCGCCGACTTTCCAGTATTGGCTGTGGCATCAGTCATCGCTCAATCGCCCATCGGCCTTCTGGAGATTTGAGAAAAGTCGCTGTTCGGCAATCTCAGCCCGCCGTCTAAGAGCCGCGTGAGACACATCAAGTCACTCCATATCAACTTCAGGACTTGCATTCAACTCCTTCGCCAATTCTTTCAATCGTTGTTCTTTCGACTTATTAAACCAACCATGTCTTCAGCCGTAGCAGAGTTGGAGAACTATCTCCAGTCCATGCTCGCTTTGAAGCCTCCCGGTGTATCTGGTACCAAGATTCAAGGCATCACAGCTTTATGTAACGCCAACGTCCAGGTATGTCAACCTAGCTGAACTTGCACTCCTCAATCTGAGACGAAGACGAAGCCCCTAGATGAATCATGTCAGCTAATCACCATCATAGAATGAATCCGTCTTGATCCAAAAAATCTACACACATTTCAAGAAGACTCCGGGAACTCACAAGCTGGGCGTACTCTACGTCGTAGACTCCGTAACCCGACAATGGGTAGAGGCTGCTCGCAAAGCCGGTCAACCCTCTGGTAGCGCGGCTCCCGATGGAACGTTCGCAGCTGGTGTGAATCGCGTCACTGAATTGTTGCCGGTATTGATGGCCGACATCATTAACAATGCTCCCAATGACCAAAAGGTATGCCGTGATAAGAAAAACTTTGTTTCATGCGAAAGGCTTTGTGTCCATCCGCATTTCCCTGACTCCGAATCTCATCCATTGAATCATGGCATGGACGCAATGTATCGCACTAGACCTGCATGCCTGGCTTGATCCCGCTCTTATAATAGGTTGGACAGATCTCCATTTGGGGGCTAAAATTCCCATTATGGAGCGTCATGATTGTCTGCATGTATCTGGACGAGGCATTGAAGTCGGCAATCGAGTCGCGAGGGCTTGAATGCCCATTGCTTTGATTCACCCGATCGGAATTTCCCCTGCGTGATGTTCTGTTCATCGTGAAACCCTTGCTCATACCATCTTTGCGCTGTAGGAGAAAATTAAGAAGCTCATCGACATCTGGGAGCGCGGCGGCACTTTTCCCACTACCATGTTGGCCTCGTTCCGCGAGAAACTCAACGCCCCTGCACAGAGTAAGCTTGTTTCCTTGTCCCTCGTCCTCAACCATTAGCTCGAAGCAGTGAACTAATCTGCTCCCCTCGTACAGATGTTGAATCCACAACTCCCGAGGGATCTCCTGCTCCGGGTTTCAACCCACTTGGCTCTGCCGCTCAATCTCAAGCCCCGTCGGCCACCAGTGGTTCTGGAGCGCCGGCTGACACTTCGAGCATTCTGAAAGCTCTTGCCGACATGGCGAAGCAAAGCTCGACCGCTGCTAACTCTGCCGCCCCTGCTGCACCAACAGCTTCGGCCGTGCCCAATCCACTGGCTGCGTTGACGGGTGCCATTCCTCCGGCTGCCTCTGCCGACTCGTCATCTGTCACTCCCGCCGCCAATCCCTTTGCTGCCATGGCTGCAAACCCATATGCCGCTTTGGCTGGAATGGCTCAGAATCCGGCCATGCCTCCTCAGCCTCAGAGCCAAAGCAACACTCCTAACCCTCTGGCTACGGCTCCCAACCCTTTGGCTGTCATGATGGGCCAACAGCCCAGCGCCGTTCCTGGAATGCCTGATGGAAATGCATTCTCCCAACAACTTCAGCTCTTGCAGTTCCTGTCGACTCAGGGCATTCCTCAGGATCAGTGGGCCACTGCGCTGCAACTTCTCAACATGTCCGGTGCCATGGGCGGTGCAAACCCGGCCGCCGCGATCCCTGGATTCCCCATGATGCCGGGTCAGGCGCCTCCTCCTGCCGCTGCTGGCGGCTGGGGTCAGCCGGATACCCAAGGTCGTGATGACCGTGAACGTGACCGCGACTACCCTCGCTCTCCCAATGGTTATCGTCGCCGCTCTCGCTCTCCTGGCTGGGATCGTCGTCGCACCGCGTCCCCTCCTCGTCGCCGCGACAGCCCTGTGTATGGTGAATACCACGGTGACTCTCCCGGCCGCCGCGGTGATCCTCGCGATGGTCGTGGAGGTCGTCGCGGTGGTGGTGAATATCGTCAGCGTAGCCCTCCTGGTGGCCGTCGCCGTCGAACTCCTTCTCCTCAGCGTAACAAGGATCCCAATCTTCCCCCTCCCGGTCCTAAGCTCATCGAGTGGGACTACTCCATCGGCCAGGGCAACATCAAAGTCCTTAGCCGAACCCTCTTTGTTGGTGGTGTGACATCCTCCGAGGCACACCTGCGATCTCTCTTCGGACAATTTGGTATTGTCCAGACTTGCATCGTCAACGTCGACAAGCGTCACGCTTTCATCAAGATGATCAGCCGCCCCGACGCGGTTGCTGCTCGTGATGGAATGGAATCCTATCGACAGGGAGAAATGCAGCTGCGTACTCGTTGGGGTGTTGGTTTCGGTCCTCGTGACTGCAGCGACTACCAGACTGGTATCAGTGTGATTCCTATCGAGCGTCTGACAGAAGCTGATCGCAAGTGGATGCTGACTGCCGAGTATGGAGGTACTGGTGGTCGATCCATCGAGTCGGGCATGGTTGTCGAGGAGCCAGACATTGAAATCGGCGCTGGTGTGTCTTCCAAGGCCATCAGCCGTCGCATCGCAACCGACACTGGTGGTCGACGTGGACCTATCTCATCTCGCGGTGGCCATGAGCAGGGACCGCCTCGGTTCGGTGGAGGTGGCCGCGGTCGCTTCGATCGTGATGGCTACGGTGGTGGGTCCCACGGCTCGCATGGTCAGGGTCATGACCAGCAGCAAGACATGATGGGTGCGCAAAATCCCGGTGTTCCTCCTGCCGTTCCTGCCTATGGCTTCAACTTCCCCGGCATGCCTGCCATGCCTTTCTTGCCTCCGGGATTCATGATGGGCAACGCTCAGCAGCCTGGAAGTCAGCCTCCTCCCCCTGGACAGGGCAACTAGGTGGATCACGTGCGGAATGAAGTCGTCTGCTGCACTACCTGTCCTTCCCACTACTTTCGTTGCCAGAATTTGCATGGGTCAACCTCCTTTCCATGATCTGTTTTTTCATTCTCCTGCATTGGGCGACTCCCTTTTTTTTTCCGAATTATGGCGTTTTGGAATCGCGAAGAGAGGGGGTTAAAAAAGATCCACGAGTCCAAGGCTGGCGTTGACATTGAACTTCTTTTTGTTTCTTTTTTTTGTTTCTATTTTTTCTCACCACGGGTCATGTACCATAGTTGGGAACTTGGGATGGGTTTGGGCGGGCCAGCTTAATCGTTGAACCTTGAGTTCGTGAATGAGAGAACGAAATCTCATCAATGCTTCCCTGTTCGTACTTTGATTGTCCCAAGTTTGATTGTCCCAGCATAACGATCAGACGGACTCAATTAAGCCACAGACATCGTCAGCACTCTCATAGAAGACCAGAACGTAGTTAGACTGGAGAGCACTCCACATCTATATGCACCTTTTCTGACTTTCTACGTGCAGTTGCTAAGAGATATCTCTTTCGGGTAAGACACGATGATATCGGAACGAACCTAGATGCATTCGCGAAGCACTTTAAAGTAACTCAATCTTTAATGACTTCAAGGAGACCACACGCCGGTCGTCTCACGTGAAGATTCTCCAAACACATGCCATGATTCAGATTCCGCAGCGTGGATGTATGTCCTTTGGTCTTGTTTACAGGTCACATGCTCGCACATCGTAATGCTTCAGCTTCTTATCGTTATTTTTCGCAGATTTCGCAGCCACCACTCCCCCAACTGCGTCAATTTGCGTCATACTCTTCAAATTTATGCACGGCCGTTCAAGGTCTCGTTCAACAATTTCCGCGACAACTGAGGCTGGAGTAATTTCCAGCATATTCCATGCTTGCCCCCTCCCCCAAAGATAGGGATCGGGACGTCAAAGTGAGCCACTGTCAATGCGCATCGCGGTGAATTGTCAACCTTGAGTCCATGCTCTGGAACCCAGCTCGGACAAAAAAGCAACGTCCAGGTGCTACGTCCGACATTACTTTGGGATCGTTGCAATGGGGATACACTTCGTGCATCGAAGCGCGCTACGAGTCATGTCACAGTTCGTTCATCCGTCTCCAGTGATCGCCTGATAAGATTACCCAAAATTGACCAACTAGTGGCCAAGTGCGGGGAATGCGATGAATCGATTCGTAAATGTATTTGATCTCACGCGATAACTACTTTGGTCAGTCCACATGTTGCCCAAGGAATTCCAGCAACTGAAGCTCTTAGCGGCACTTCGGCACCGGTGAAATGACCGGACAACAGCGGTGATCTCCCATCCTTGCGCATCAGCTTCCCCGCTTCTCAGCGAAGTTACAGCGAAGAACAACAGAGTCTTTGCATCCTGAATGGAAGAGAATTGTTGCCTCTTCCAGCTGATAAGGGCTTGGTTGGGAAGCGGTCTATTGCCTCTGCGTTGCTTGAGAGATAATGTAGCTTCGGAACAGAACCGATCATCTTGTCTCATGTCAGAGCGCTCGTATATTTATTTGTCCGTATTGAGCGCTGAACCAATTCTCATGGTGTTGGTGGACCGGCTTAGTTCGCAATCATTATAAGAGCACAAGTCGAAGAGCCTTGACACATTGCAGTCTGGATTCTGGCCGTTCTTCCTCGTCTCCCTATCCTGCTCACCTTGCGCCTTCCTCGTCAGCTCGATTCTTACGTTGGCGATCTTTCTCTGCCCGCGTATACATCGCAATCGAGAGTGCTTTTCACACCGGAGTTGTGACTCGCAGATGAAATCTCGGCAATCACCGACACCTGATTATCATGGGAGGAATGACCAGCGAAGGTTCGGTGGTGGAAAAGCAAGGCGAACCCTCTATGAACGCCGATGAGCTACGTCTAGCGCAAATGGGTAAGTGCCAGCATGGTGATATACAGGTATACGAGAAAACCAATATGTTTGTACTAACGCCAGTGTACCCTTCTAGGCCACGCACAGGAGTTGAAGCGGCATTTCAGCATCCTATCGCTGATCGGTTTAGCATCAACCACCACCATCTCATGGACAGGTCTCGGCTTGGGCATTGTCACTGAGATCAATGCCGGTGGTCCCGGTGCCATCATTTATGGATTCATTCTGGTCACCGTCATGCAATCCTTTCTAGGGGCCTCGCTGGCCGAGTTCGTGTCGAGTTATCCTACCGAGGGTGGCATGTATCACTGGATAGCGGCTGTGGCGCCCAAGCGGTACAGTGCATTTTTGAGCTTTCTCACGGGCTGGTTGACAGTGTGTGGATGTGAGAGCAAATCCAGTCGTCACACGACTTCCTAGAGAGGAAGCAACAAAATTTACGGTCGCTGATCAATGGGAAATTCTGAAACAGGGATCTTTACGACTGCCTCGACGAATCTAATCTTTGCCCAAGTTGGTAAGTGCACATCCACATAAGATTAGGGTTTCACAAGAATCACACTGATGGGAAGAGGACATCGTGTGATAATCAAGTCCAGGCTTTATATGCGCTTTATCATCCTGATTTGACTTTTCAGGCTTGGGAAACATTCGTCATCTATCAAATTCTCAATGCTTTGACGGCAGCTGTCGTCTTGTTCGGCAATGCAATTATACCGGCCTTGAACCGATTCTCTCTCTTCTACCTCCAAATCGGATGGCTGGCAGTGTTAGTGACGGTTGTTGCGTGCGCACCGACTCATCGAGATTCCACTTTTGTCTTTCAGACTTGGATCAACAATACTGGCTGGAAGAATAATGGGATATGTTTTATCACCGGACTCGTCAATCCACTGTATAGTCTTGGGGGGTTGGACGGAGTCACTCATATCACTGAAGAGATGCCGAACGTGAGTTTTCTCATACAACTTCTCTACCTATTAATCTCTCTCTTTTTGTTTTACGCCCATGCAACTCAGCAGCGACTGATTCCAATGATCTCCCACAGCCCTCTCGTAATGCACCACTCGCCATCGCCATCACCCTCTCTATCGCCTTCGTCACAGGACTCACCTACTTGGTCGGTCTCATGTTCAGTGTGCAAGACTACGCCGCCCTCTCAACCACCAGCACTGGTCTCCCACTTGCCGAGCTCTTCCACCAAGTTACTCAATCCGCCGGAGGAGCATTCGGCCTCACCTTCATCCTGTTCATCGCCCTGGGCCCCTGCGTCATCTCTTCACAGCTATCCACCTCGCGAGTGCTCTGGGCTTTTGCTCGCGATGGAGCGATGCCCTTTTCCCACATCTGGAGTCGAGTCAGTCGACGCTTCGGCATCCCTTTCAACGCACAATTACTCGTTGCGTCCGCCAACGCTGTCCTCGGGTGTCTATACTTGGGCAGTAGCACCGCCTTCAATAGCATGCTGGGTGCGGCCGTGACCATCAACAATGTGGCCTACTTGGTTCCCATCGCCACGAATATGTTGACTGGACGATCGAACATGCACCGCGGAACGTTTCACATGGGGAAATGGGGCTGGCTGGTGAATGGGATCACGGTGTGTTGGCTAGTATTTGCCATTACATTTTTCAGTTTCCCGTATACTATGCCGCTGACGGTTCAGAATATGAACTATACTTGTGTGGTGGTTGGGGGGTTGCCCATTTTCATCCTGTTGTGGTGGGTTGTTGGGAGTAGACAGTATAAGGAGAAGATTGCGGCTGCGAAGGAGGAATGAATGGTCCTTTTTCTTATTTCCTTTCTTTTCGATCGAGATAATTTGACGGATGATTGAATTGACCCATGCTGAATGCTTTGAATAATGTCCATCCATACATAATCACTTTTCAATTTCGAGCCCTACCACTTGCAGACCATAATCACTACTGTCGTAGTGACCTCGAGATTCTATACGGTACTTCACAAAGTCTCTCAAAAATCATGTTCCTATCACCATAAGCAAGAAGTTTCCCATGAAAAATGAGAGCCGAACCATCAATCCCTAGCAGGACACCACGCTCAGCTAGTAAGCCGAGATCGAAAAATCGCACGCTGTGTCCTGTCCTGTCGTGCCCTCCTGTCGCCTCCGTCGTGAGATCAAGTGGAGACCGGCGAAACCCGGCCAAAGTCTCAAGATCTCCGGAGATGTTGTGCATTTCGTCCAACACAATCGCAAGGTGGGAGTTTTCAAAGCAGGACGCACCCTTGACCCTATCTTTGGTCATCAGGTCTCGAGCGATCATTCATACGGACTATGGTAGTACCATCACGTTGTTCTTCAATTTGAGTGCTGAGCCACATTGCTCAAGATAGCCGGCGATCTTTGCCGGTGAATCTAGTCCCGTTGACTGGACTGGCACGCCATCGTCTCCTGCGGTCACATATTCTAGTCTTCTCCTGACGCATAACTCGAGGGACATTTCCGATTTTGAGCAGTGCTTTCTGGACAGTATTTGGGCCATGCATGGTCAAGACTCTCCTCACTATGACAATATCATCACAAAAAACAAGCTCCGACGTGGTACCCCAGGCTCAGCATATCGTCGATGAACTCGATCTAAGCCCAGACGATATCCGACGAGTGACAAAGCACCTCGTACAAAAGCTAAGTGAGTACACCATGTTCAAGTATATCACATCCTCACTCGCGTCAAATGCTCATCTCTTCGTCTAGAGGATGGCCTGGTCCACGATCGCCCCTGGCAACTACCCACATACGTGACAAACGTACCAACCGGGACCGAAAAGGGCCGATTCCTCGCCATCGATCTCGGCGGAAGTAATTGCAGAGTGAGCATGGCCGATCTCCACGGCGACTCGACGTTTACCGTCGTGCAGAGCAAGCATGAAGTCTCTGCCGCGGTCATGGTGAACCAGCGATATCGCCCATTATTCGACTTTATAGCGCAAAAGCTCGCGGAGTTTCTCGACCGGCATTTGGATCGTAGATCCACGTCGCCGTATAGGCTTGGTTTCACGTTCAGCTTTACCTGTGAGCAGGAGTCGCTTCGAAGCGGTCGTCTTATTCATTGGGATAAAGGGTGGGATATACCCGAGGCAATTGGCCGTGATCCGTGCGTGATGCTGCAAGAGTCTATTGATCGGATGGGACTTCCGGTTCGGGTCGCGGTCCTGGCAAATGACAGCGTAGGGACGTTGTTGACTCGAGCGTATACTTCTGGTCGAGACGTCTCGACACTTGGCGCGGTGATTTTCGGGACGGGGACGAACGCTGCCTATGTGGAGAAGGTGCGCAATTTACAGCGACTCAGAATGAAGAGTTTCGGAGGTGATGGCATCATGGTGGTTAACACTGAATGGGGATCTTTGGACGATGAAATGGCTGTGCTTCCTCGCACAGTACTGGATGACCAGCTTGATGCCGCGTCCGTGGACCCAGGGTGTCAAATGCTGGAGAAGCGAGTTTCGGGCATGTATCTCGGTGAAATACTTCGACTTGCGACGAGACGACTGGTTGAGACGGGGGCCTTGGATATGAGTGCGGAATTGGGTTCATGTCTGCTTGTTCATCACGCGATTGACAGTTCACTGCTATCACAACTTGCAACGGCAGGTGATAATGTCGGCGAGGTAATTCACTGCCTGGAGAAAACGCTCTCGGTCAAGAAAGTCAGTCCACGAGATGCAAGGTCTATCCAAATGATAGCTGAAGCGATTACTCGACGGGCGGCTCGCTTAGCAGGGGCGTCCATCGCAGCAGTCATCATTCAGAGCGGCAGACTCCAAAGCCCAGCCAAGAGCAGTGCAGCAGTCAAAAGCAAAACCGAGTATGCCGCAGCCATTTCTGCTCCGATTTTGAGCTACAAAAGCTTGTGCAATTACACACCTATGTTCCTGCGTCGTCTCATAGACTTTGTCCGAATTGTCTGCAAATTGCCCTCGTGGATGATGCCCGAAGCTGCCGTTCACGAGAATACTCTCGACCATACTACGGATACTACGCTGGATGGTACTATTGATTTTGGGGCTGACGGGTCCTTGATCGAGCTTTACCCGGGCTTTGAGATTGCCTTGCGTGAAGCGATGAGAGAGGTTACGGAGATTGGAACGATTGGTGAGCAGCGAGTGCAGATTACGTTGACGCCGGACGGATCTGGCGTGGGCGCTGCATTAATGGCATATGCGACAAGTTTGGACGGGGAGAAACGATGATGATTACAACAAAGAGAACATTGCAAAGAGACTCAGCAGAGTGTGTTGATTCTGTCTCGAGTCATGAGAAACCTGCATTGGAAGGAATTTGATGCTCACTCTGTACTGGACAAAGGACAATAAGAACGGCTCTAAGCATGGAAGCTACAATGTGCTTAGCAGTGATCTTGTAGAGATCGTTGTTTCTTCTTAGGCCGAGAGAGTATATCTTCGGATTCTAACAATATCCCCATTGCACCAACTAGAAGCTGACGCAGAACATTCGGTCTGTTACACTGTTTCACGCTCAATGAAGCGCCAATTTCATTCCTCCATGCAAGCATTCCTGTCCTTGTCTACCAAGGTCTCCGAACAATTACTTTGAGTCGGTTTCAAGGCGGAGTCCTTTGTCTCAACTGGGTCACATTATGACTATACTATAAAACGAGACTGTTTCTCGTGCAAGTACTCATAATCCTACCTATCTTAAGATCACTATTACAGACAAACTCCAAGGTCATACCGAGTCTGTCGGGTCAATTGCTGAGTTTATCCAGGGAAATCACTAGTTCTTCACACGTCACAGTCAACACTATCCATTCTTTGCTAGTAAAATATTCCTTATCCTCCCAACTCACAATGCCCTGCTGATACCTTGTCTGGTGCCTTGTTGTTGATGTTGCGATGGACAGTCCTGACACTGTAGTTGTCGACCGAGCAAGTGAGGAAAGGCGGGTGATCATCGGTTCAAAACTGAAGTGGAAGGACTCTAGGCGCTCGGTATGAATGGCTTGGCTTTTTTTTCAGACTATTCTACTGACCTGCGGATGGTTGTGTTATGCTAGGTTGAAGACTTGTACTAGTTTGCAATTGCGGAAATGCGTCTGTAGCTTTGATCATCATACCTGGTGCGTCGTGTGTGATAAGACAGATGGTCTGCCACTATCGCAGGAAGAAAAACCATAAACTTCCAATTTAATGCGCAGATGCTAACTTTGGTATGATACGAGACTTCTCACAAAAGACAGTGATTCCGGATCTCGACAGATTTTCAAAACGTCAATCATGCCCTTTCTTGTTCAAACCACTCCTCATGCCGTCCGATCTGGGAACGCAGCCTTGGACGCACGCAGAGATTGCTCAAAATCGGCAATGATATCGTCAATATGCTCAATACCCACCGAGATCCGAATGGCATCCTCCGTCACACCCGAATCAAGCTTCTCCTGGTCATTCAGCTGCTCGTGAGTTGTCGACCAAGGGTGAATGGCCAGAGTTTTGGCATCACCAACGCTGTGTGATGGAATCGATGCAGGTTAGTCAGTGTGTTTTTGAACTTTTCGTCTTCCCTGATAGTCTCTTCTCTGGTATCCACCGGGGCATAACTCACTTGGCAAGATTAGAAATCAACTTGAACCCATCAACAACCTGACGCCCGGCGGCCGCACCGCCCTTGATACCCACCGACAAAACACCCCCAAACCCACGAGTCAGGTACTTCTTCGCCGTCGCATGCGACGCATGCTCCTCCAACCCGGGATACGAGACCCACGAAACATGCTCGTTTGTCTTCAACCACCGAGCCAGCGCAAGCGCATTCGAAGCATGGCGCTCACAGCGGAGACTGAGCGTCTCCAGACCCAGGATCAACTGCTGCGCTGCAAAGGGATTCAACGCTGAGCCAAGGTCTCGCAGGATCTCCACGCGCACCCGAATCGCAAATGCAATCGGGCCAAAGGTCTCCCAGAACTTGAGCCCATGGTATCCCTCGGAGGGCTCGGTGAATTGAGGGAATCGGGCGGCGTTCTTGCCCCAGTCGAAGTTGCCGCTGTCGACGACGACGCCTCCGATGGTCGTGCCGTGTCCGCCAATCCACTTGGTGGCGCTTTCAACGACGATGTCGGCGCCGTGATCGATGGGGCGGGCAAAGTAGCCGCCTGCACCGAAGGTGTTGTCCACCTACCACCGGGAAAAAGGCTGTCAGTGATGATACTGGACGGCGATGGGTAGCCCTGATCTCCGGCCCTGATTGCGGGTTCTTTTCAAAGAGCCCGTGGAACAGATCATTCGCGTATCCTTTATACATACCACCAACGGAACGCCCTTGTCATGCGCCACCTTCGCAACGGCCTCAAAGTCCGGCACGTTGTACCGCGGATTCCCAATCGTCTCGACATAAACCGCCTTGGTCCGATCATCAATCGCCGCAGCAATATCAGCTGGGTGATCGCCATTCACAAACTTGGTCGTAATGCCCAGCCGCGGCAGCATCACCTTGAACTGATTGTACGTGCCCCCGTACAGATTGCTCGTCGAGACAATGTTATCGCCTGCATGAGCCAGGGCCGCGATGGCCATGAATTGGGCAGATTGGCCGGACGAGGCGGCCACGGCAGCCACGCCGCCCTCGAGAGCGGCTACGCGTTTTTCGAAGACATCGACGGTGGGGTTCATCATTCGGCTGTAGATGTTGCCGAATTCTTTGAGGCCGAAGAGCCTCGCGCCGTGAGCGGAGTCATTGAAGGTGTAGGAGGTGGTTGCGTAGATGGGGACGGCGCGGGAGTTTGTGGTCGAGTCGGGTTCGTGACTGGGAGGTTAAAGAGAGGCAATTGATTAGATTTGTTCTTTCTTGGTCATAATCACCCGGGCAGAGATGCAATGACTTGATCATTTTCAGGATACAAGGTCATCCAGGGACGTCTTACCCAGCGTGCAATTGCAGGGTATCAAAGTGGAGATTCTTCTGGTCCGCCATAGCGGTTTTATTTTTCCTTTTTTGGAAAATGAAAATGCGGGGATTCCGAAGATCGGAGTGAGAATCCGGGGTAAACAGAAAAGTACGGCGGATGACGCTCGACAGACACACACGAAGTGATCAAAGAATGTGTTCACTGAGACCAATTCAGAAAGATCCTTTTAACAATTTCCAATCTTCATCAATTGAGGAAGCCCGACTCCTAATAACTTGGCCGCAACGAGGGGATCAACGACGACGGCGGGGGCTGCGATGGCGTGATCCATCCGACTGCGAGAGTCATTTCCCCAACGGACACTCTAATTTTCTTCGAAGGCTCTTCAATGGCCAAAGGCTAATTCGCCTTGCGGGTATGAATGGTCAGAAACTTGGTTTTCGTGTCCGTCTCGGTGACCTTTTCGCGTCTAGTAGTCTAGTAGCTCGTTGACTCATTTCTTGGCGAGGTTGTTGGGGATTGATGGGGATGGACAATGTAGTGTATACCTAGTGTATACCTAGTGTATACCTAGTGTATACCTAGTGTATACCTAGTGTATACCTAGTGTATACCTAGTGTATACCTAGTGTATACCTAGTGTATACTGTATAGAGTATAGACTGCTTGACACTGGACGTAGCGAGTTCCTGGGAACTGAAACTGTGCGCTTGGCAATATAGTAGTTTGGAGACTTCTAGAAAGAAAGGTATCGGGGTCGACCCTTGAGAAGTTACAGAAGAATTGTATTACCCGGGATAAACCTGGAAGATCGATTATCGGATGAAGCAGATGATGGGTTTGTCCTCGATCTCTACATCATGTCAGGTTGCACGCTCACCACCACACTCAGACGTGGGGTAAGATCCGGAGCCATGGATTGAGCGCGTGAAGGGGGATGTGTCAAAGGCCATCGCGTACTCTTGTCTCTAAAGTTGCTCCTACAGGGACATGAAAGAGTCGCTCGAATCGAAGCAACAGGGCAATGCAATGCTCGCTGACTGACAGGAGAAAAGGACACAGTGACAAAAGAAGGATGCAGCAGGGGAATCTTCAACCTACCCAGAGACATACAATAGGGTCACAACTAATGGATACAAAATTTCCAAGCACTTACATGAGAAGCAACTTCTCGTTCCACTCCAATTTGCAATGAGGTCTCTGTTCGAGCAATTCATGGATCTGAATTTGAGCTAGCTCTTCTCTACAGTGTCCCACCCTTGGCTTTTAGAGCCCCTGAGATTCCGATCTGATGGAGGTGGAGCTCATTTTGACAAGTTGTATATTAAGAGTTTGTCCCCAGGAGCCTAGCCCTGGATGAAACAGACGCTCATACGTCTTCAAGTCTCTATGTTGGGAGCCTTGTCTGAGATAGCATTATACCACCATCCTTCAACTGGCCAGGTCCCTTGCATGGAGACTCCGCGGTTGACTGTCGAGTACGGGCCGCACATGATGCTTCCTAGAAGAATGTTCAATCATGATGCAAGTTCAAGGTCAAGGAAAAGCGTCCAGTGTAAGCAAGCCTGAGCAATCTTGTATGTCCACAATTCTTTCAGACTGTACAAGTTCACAATTTTGGCTTACTATCGCGGCGTCGCCTGTGGCTTTGGGCGGATTCCACTGTATTCCAATGACGTCATTGTGTATTTGGGTGGTGTCTGACCGAATTTGTCTTCTACAGACCTGAGGGTAGTAGCTTTCAAGCAAAGGTTGAGACAGAGAAATTTGTCAGTAATACTGCACTGTAATCCTGAGTCTAGTCCATCTATCTGACCAAATGGACTTCTGCGGTGTACTTGCTGCTTCAGTGCTTACTGCTTCGAAGCCGCAGGACCCTCATCGTTGAAGGGACACCTCTGCCCCTCGGCTGGGGCTTCAAATTTTGGGCCGGCGCGGGATAGAGAACGATGTACAATCGAATTACCGCATTTGGCCTCACAATCACATGCTTTCCTCGCCATTTTTGGTGAAAGTGGCTGTGCTAAAAGTTCTTGCCAAGTCTACCAAGTCAGCCAGGCAGCAGGATATCAGTTGGATCATCAACAACAAGTGAGTAGTAGTGAACCTGAAATGAAATAGGTTCAGCCACAGTTCTGTTACCCTTGCAATCCAATGTGGAAGAACCCTCGTCGCACTCGGTTCTTGGTCTACCGCGGTTACACTTTCGACCATTTAAAAAAGCCATCTAGGCATACGGTGAACGGCCTCACCGCTCTGTCCTGTCTATGACTGTAGTTAAGCATTCAGCATTCGCTGACTTGGACCATCAACCTGTCTTCCATGCTACTAATTGTGGAACAATCCCCACGTGGAAATAAATACTGAACCGGGGAACACTCTGACTCAACAAGAGCGAGATACACGATTTCCGTCGGCTGAAGAGTCAACCCCGATTCGATCCACCCAGGGGCCGCTAGTCAAAAGGTAAAAAGCTCTAGCGGGGCGCGCAGTCCAGGTAGCAAAACAGAGTCGACATCATACTTCAAGTACATTAGGCGCCGACTTGATGGGCGCATTGCATACTATGCAGTATGCACGTCCGCCCTGCGCCCATTCAGGAATGGTCGTCAGCCAGTATGCGCAGGGGGTGCATCTCGGCGCAAGCCCCCTCAGCCACTGCGTGCGACTCTGTCGGCACATGACAGCCACGTCAAGGTGTCACGGATGACGATGACGTTTGCAGTAGTATATGTATGGGCGGGACTGCCTGAGGAAGATCGTTGAAAGATTTCTCTTTTTCTTTGTTGGAACAGCGGTGGCCTACTTGAGACGACATTGCACTACACGGCGTGCTGACGCAGTAAACTCATAACAAACCTGAAAGGACCATTTTGCCGCACTTTCCATTTCGAGCGATCGTGACCGGCATCTTCTATACTCTTCACAAAGAGAAGAATCAAGCTTCTCGTGCGATATTGCAACTCTCTATTGCTCGTCCTCTCTCATCTCCTCATCAACCCCTGTCGGCTCCTCCATTTTCTCACGGACAACGATACATCAGCACTTCTCCACAACTCAACGATTCCAATACGCTATCCATCACATCAACAATGGCAATGCCCTGGATCTATGCCGTGCGCTTTGTGCAAATCCTCTTTGGATTGATTGTGGTTGCGTTGACGGCGTATGGTAAGTGAATCAATCGACAGGTTCTGCCCAGATGGACTATCGTCGACGTCTCCCTTCTCGCCCGTCAATCAAAGAAACACCAAGCTCACCCTCGCCATCTCAACTCCACAGTGATCAGCGTCTGGGGCTACCCCTGGACCAGCTACAATACCGTCAACTACCTCCTCTTCCTCGGCTGCTGGACCACCTTTGTCGCAACACCGTACCTCCTCGCAGCCCCCATTTATGCCCCGCGCCTCGCACACCGCTATGTCATCCCCGCAGTCGAGGTGATTACCATGATCTTCTGGTTTGCCGGCTTTATTGCCCTGGGTGCAGAGTTGCCTGCCCCGATGTATTGCCGCTGGAGTGCATGCCGGGCTTTGCAGGCGGTGACGGTGTTTGGGGCTTTTGAATGGTGAGTCAATCCTACAGCTGAGTTGATGTGGTTCTCAATGACTGATTGATCTTCTTGCCGGGGCTGATTTAGGGTCCTCTTTGTGGTGACCACTTTTTTTGCCATCATGGATCTCAAAGAGCATCGTCGTAGTGGTGAAAGTGCGCAAAAGACCAATAATGCTCATTTGGGTGTCTAGTGCAGGGTAATGACGAGGGAATCGAGATATGATTGATGAGATGACTTTTTTTTTTTTTTTTGGAGCTCAGCGATTGCTTGAATTGGGTTGACTTGAGCGTATCTGATGAGGGCGATCGATTACGAGGCCCAGTCCGTGATCTTTTTACGCTTCTTTTGGTGTTTCCCCACGATACCCTCTGTTTGTTTTGCGGTTCTGGGGGGGGTTTATCAAATCCAGGGATATTGAGATTGAATCAGGAGATGAGATGGTGAATGTCTTTACGACCAGCTCATTCTTTGAAAGACCTGCCGTCTTGGTGAACTACCGAGTCTTGAGTCCTGACTAGCGGTGACTCGGGAGTCCGCTACTCGCCAGGTCTTTCACTCTTAATCTTATAACAAATGAACAATACATTGCCCTTGCCCTGGTAATTCTTCATGAAGATCAGATGGAATCCCGGTGCCGTTGCTCACATGGTATTACCATTAGACCAAAAGGTCTATGCCAAACCATTCGATAGAATGGTTTGCCATACATCGGTATATCTAGTCAGTTGATCCCGCGTCCCGCATCCCGCCTTACGGCATGCCTCTGGGATCAGACAAGCAGTGAGCTTTGAGGACTCATGTCAATCTGGATATGAGATCGGCTTGGTTTCCCACGGGCTCCAGCCGATGGGTCACTTCTAGCCATTTAGAGTTTTTTAAACTCGGGAAATGTTGGTTCTTGCCTGTTTGATTCATGGATATCGGTAGGATTGGTAGTGTATTTCTCCCTGGGTTCTAGTTTCTGGTCTGGGTCTCTCCTCTCTACTCTCTACTACTGGAAAGATGATCTTTGCGTTGCGGAGAGACTCGAACGGGGCTTCTTCGTTAGTATTTGGGGGTTCGGGTGAGTTGACCGTGGACTTGGATCGGGAACACGAGCCTGTCTAGGGATAGTCAGGGGGATGTCTTTTCAAGGGTAAGTTGTGTAGATGGGGAGCTTGATGTTGGTAGGTCAATAAGCTTCATGAGTTGATGAGTTGATACTTGATACTTGATACTTGATGAGTTGGTACTGATAGTCATCGCAGCACCAACCAAGTGGCTAGTGGATATTGGATAATGAGATTGATAATGATAATCCAATAAACTATGGAGTGAGTAGTCCATGTGGATAATGCGTGTGCTATGCGATGACATAGTCCGCAGATGATTGGCTACCCATGTGGCTGAAGTCTTTGATGGCCCAGCCTTCCAATGGGACAGTAACAGGATGGACTAGACGACAGGAAAGACCAAAGACCCTGGCAACTGTACTCTACTACCCTAATACTCAGTCTCTCTCGTGCTGGGGCGGAAAAGACGGCAACGCAGAACCACCTGCACACTAACCCGCGTGGGTTAGTAACCGCGCCTCCAAGTATGGGACGGTCCACCGAGGCGGTCTTGTCCGCGATCCTTGTCCAGGTTGAGTCATTGGCGGCACGGGCTGACTCATGGCATCGGATGGAGCCGAAACCGGCGTAAAAGTGTAAATTACAGTTGTACGTCTGGCGGGTGAGGACGGGCAATTCCCGACCGGGAGATTGAGAATCGCTTTCAACCTTTCGAATGGAAAGTCCAGGACAAGACTCGGATTATAGAATATAGACTAGGTTGGTTCCATATCGGTGTCTGGCAGTCTGCAGACGCTGCAGACGCTGCACTCTGGAGATGGTGAGATGATGACTGCATGAGCCAAGCCCTCATTTGAGATCATCATGATGATATCCATCAGTTGAGAAATCCATCAGTTGAGAAGGACTTGGGGAGCAGCTGATCTATTTAATCCCCGCGACGGTGAATCTGTGATTAGTATTACTAGCACTGATGAGTGATGATCACAACTTTGACTTCCAAACTTGACCGCGGACACGCCGCCGGCCGCCCAAGCCAAGACCGAAACTGACCCGAAGCGGCTCCTCTTCGGGAAACCCCCGATCGGCGGGTGGCGCCTTCCTCCTGCTGCAGTCCGAGTCTCCGAAAAGGACAGTTCTGTACAGTGTACCTGTATACTGTACAGTTGTACACGAGTGACTGACGGTGGCTGCAGTTGAGTCACTGAGAGAAATTGGAGACCGTCCATAGTCTGTACTCTGTACTCTGTAGACTGAAGACTGAAGACTCGGTACTTGAATGTGCATTGTGGACTGTAGACTACTAGACACTCCAATCCATCTGTACAGTGATTGATACTCGGCGGATGTTCTCACAAAACTCTTCCATGTAGTCGTAGTGACCATTGACTGCAGGAAGATGGTCGATCAGTAGTAGAATACCAATTTTGCAGGCAGCAGAAGTAGTCCCGAACAAATCTTGGACGAATTGCAATGGTAAAAAGTAAGAACGTACAGCAAGAGTCAAGAGGCCTGAGCGAAGAGGAGTGATAGATAACGGGCACCTTCATATATAGACGAACCGCGTCGGAGCGACTAATCAGTAAGCATCATTCCAATTGCCATGTCATATCGGCTGGTCATTCTCTCTTTCTTCTCTCTCTCTCTCTATCCACAGACTAACACTAGTGTTGGCGACTTTTGACCTCCTGTCGCCACCAGCAGGCTTGAAAATTTTCAATGGATGCGGCGCGGCCCACATGGCCAGGGCGAACAGGAAGGAAAATGTGGAAAAAAAAGAAAATTCGGCATCCGTTAACGTTTTGGGTTTCGGAGCTCGTGCAGAGATTTCTCTTTTTTGGCTTTTCCGTCTGACTTTGAAAGGTCTGCCGAGAAGCTAAAACTTTTGATACAAGAAGAAACTGGCAGGGCTGAATGAAATTGAAGAGTAGTCAATGATCAATACCTCTTAAATCCTACATCTCGCACATTGAGAACGCAGGTTGGCCAAGAACTACCTCCCTCATCCATCATTCCCCAGATTTCGTCCGCTCTCGACCATTTCTTTTACCTAAGGTTATACCCGTCTTGGGCAATCAGAGGGTCGGAGAGGAGAATTCTTGACGTCGCGTGTGGATTTCCCTCGATTAGTTCCTCGAATCCACCCCGAGACTCGGGAAAACTCGAGACGGAGAGAAATCACAGACAAGTTACAACCATTTCTGGTACCGACCGTGCAGTTATCAGTGGGATTACTCCATTGCTCTCACTCAACGGTGGAGCCGGTGCTGTAATCTGCGGTCCTCGAACGGTTCCCCTCTGACTCTTCTTGCCTGGGGTCATTGGGAGAGAAGCGTGATTCTTGACACTCCGTCGCTGGGTGCAAATATTTTTTCTTCTTCTTTGGGGAATTATACTTGTCTCCTCTTGTTCTGTCCTTTATTTCACCACCTGCAGTCCTTGTTTGTTTTCCGATCATCCAGTCTTGCGCTGTGGTGACTGTTCCTCTCTGGATCTGCTCTCCTCCTCATAGCAGCAGCAGCAGCAGCAGCAGCAACATTCCATCATCATGGTCGCCGACAAGTTCGAGTCAGGCAAGGGAAAATTGGAGTCGGGCGGTCCCATCACGCAGGTTGAGCCTCAACCGGCGAGCAATCAGTACGATGTCGATTATGAAAAGCACGGCGCCAGTCGGGAATCAAACCCGCTGCCCGATCTGAAGCGCAAGTTGAAGAGTCGTCATCTGCAGATGATTGCTATCGGTGAGTGCAAACCCAACCCCCCTGCCATTGGAGAGTTGACTCTCTATCTGTATCGAGGAGCAATGTAAAGACCGTCTAACATCATCTTCTGTCCCATCCCAGGTGGTACAATTGGTACAGGTCTGTTCATCGGAAGTGGTACGGCCATTGCAAATGCCGGCCCTGTCGGTGCGCTCATCGCCTACATCTTCGTCGGTACCATTGTGTACTCGGTCATGTCGGCATTGGGTGAAATCGCAACGTACATCCCCATCCCCGGTGCTTTCACCTCGTACGCGGCCCGTTTGATCGATCCCAGCTTGGGTTTCTCCATGGGTTGGATCTACTGGTTCTCATGGGCGTCAACCTTTGCTTTGGAGCTCACCGCGACCGGCCTCATCATTCAATTCTGGGATGAAAACATCCCAATCGCCATTTTCATCGCCGTCTTCTGGGTCATGATTGTCATCTTCAATATGTTGCCTGTCGGATTCTACGGAGAAATGGAGTTTTGGTTTTCGAGTATCAAAGTCCTCACTGTGATCGGCTTTATGATCTTTGCGATCTGCATGAACGCCGGTGTGGGTAAGGAGGGTTATATCGGTTTCCGCTACTGGGTGAACCCCGGTCCGTTTGTGCCTCACCTGATCGAGGGCAATCCGGCTCTCGCCAAGTTTGTCGGCTTCTGGTCCTGTCTGATCCAGGCCGGTTTCTCGTACCAGGGCACTGAGTTGGTCGGCATCGCTGCGGGAGAGACGGAGAACCCACGCAAGACTGTGCCGTCTGCCATCCGCAAGACATTCTTCCGCATTGTCTTCTTCTTCATCCTGACCATCTTCTTCATCGGTATCGTGGTGCCCTCGGATGACCCCGGCTTGGTCGCCAGTGGTGTCAGCGCCTCCAACGCCAACGGCTCGCCCTTTGTCGTCGCTGCTCGTCGCGCCGGCGTCAACGTCCTTCCTAGTATCATCAATGCCGTCTTGTTGACCGTGGTGCTCTCGGCTGCCAACTCCAACGTCTACAGTGGTAGCCGTATCCTCATCGGTCTGGCTCAGGAGGGCTTTGCCCCTCGCATCTTCAAGCGCACCAGCAAGGGCGGTGTGCCTTATTACGCGGTCGCCTTCACCGCCCTGTTCGGTCTCCTTGGTTTCCTGAATGTCTCCAATTCGGGCTCAACGGTGTTCAACTGGTTGTTGCAGATCTCCGGTGTTGCCGGTTTCATCACCTGGGCCTCCTTGAACGGCTGCCACTTGGCGTTCCAGCGTGCTCTCAAGGCCCGTAACATCTCGCGTGATATTCTGCCCTACAAGGCGATCCTGCAGCCCTGGCTGTCGTGGTACGGACTTTTCTTCAACTGCCTGATCATTTTGACCCAGGGATTCACTGCCTTTATTGGTGGTTTCCAAGTGGAGAACTTCTTCATCAGCTATCTCAGTTTGATCCTGTTTGTGGTGTTGTATCTCGGTCACAAGATCATCTTCCGTCCCGCCTTTGTCAAGCCCATCGAAGCGGACCTGGACACCGGCCGAACCACTGCCGACAGTGAGAATTGGGAGACTGTCGAGCCTACCACCTGGTACGGCAAGATGTGGCAGTGGATCAGCGGCTGATCTGCCTGTCGCGAATGTACAAAAAAAAAAACAAACATCCTCTTCCTTTCCTTTTCTTCCACAGTCTCACTGTCTGTTGTCCTTTTTGCTTGGGTACAATAGAAGGACATTGTTTGCATGGCGTTCAGGTTTCGCTTTCTTCCTTACGCCGCTACCCTCACCCTGCGTTTTCGTGTCCTCGATGTATACTTGGAGCTGAAAACGCTCTTCCTGTCCATAGTCAGCATCTGGGGTCGCTTCCCGCTTGTATGTAAAAAATGAGACATGACCATATTCTAATTCTCTCTTCTGTCATTGTTGAAAAGCTTGGTCTTGCGCGTTGGGTTGGTGTCCAAGTACATAGAGTGGTCTTTAAAGTGGTAATACTTGGAATATCTCGCTCTCATTGTAATCGAGGGTCTGATCAAAATCTCGAGATGAAGAAGGATCGTCCCAAGTCATCATCCTTAAAAGCATCTATGAACACCGTTATACAAAGAGACAGCCGACCAGATCAAGACTGGGACCTCAAGGGGTAAGTAGTAAGTACTTGATACTGATAGTAATCGGAGGAGTACTCAGTCTCGCTACTCAGTACGTCAGTAGAGTCAGCCATATCACGGGACTTCCTTGACTCTCACGGAACCACGTGAACCCGACATGTGAGCGGGACCCACCTGGACTTTGGGGGCAGCCGAGCAAGTGATGAAAGGGGATCGGCTACCTCGTGGGCGTGGAATTGGCCCGGCAAGTGGTACCTGCGTCCACCCTACATAGTACATACAAACACGATGTATCTTCCCGCGTCAACCGTCCAATTTATGCCGAGGTCCAACCATTGGGGCCTTGAAGCCTGGCCCTCTTGTTGGTCGCGATATAGTTCCAACTAGGCATGGTACGCTTCTCCTCCGGATTTCCTCGTCTTTGCTTCTCCACAGTCTCTCTTCTCAGTGCCCACTGCCCAGTGCCCAGTGCCTTTTCCCAAGTCCATTTCTAATCCCCGGCTCCCCCGGGTTTCCCCTGATTACTGCTTCAACCTCCCTCTTGTCTTTCTTTTTCTACCTCTCGGATAACTATCATCTTCGTCGCTTTGGGCTGTTTGCGAGCCTCTGGCGTGTATAACTTTTTCTCTTCTTGTGTGAGACTAGACGACCGTTGAACCTCGGCTCTTTCCTGACAGGTAAAGCATAATAGCCCCCGTTCAGATATCCTCGAACCGCTTCGCTGTTCATTTGTGGTGACCTGCCAATTATTCGCTTGACTGGACTATGGAGTGCTAATACGTGAAAAATCACTTGCGCTCTCGTTAGGCTACCCTCGTCATGTTCTTCTCACAACCGCCTCACCTCGCAAAAGCCGAGGAGTTGAAAAAGGGCCCTCCAAAGGGAAAGCCTTACTCGGTGGCGATCCCCGGCACGGAGCAGCCTGGTCGCAGTCCAATCTATCGCGCATGGAATTCGTCAAAGGAGCTGCTGAGCACGTTGGATCCCGAGGTACGTGGAGACAAGCAGGCTTGTGATTGCGAACACACCTCAAATCAATTCCTCAAAATCAACTGGTCGATTCGACTCCTTAAACTGATGACCGGTTTCATTCGCGTAGGTTCTCACTGCGCATGATATCTTCGAGTCCACGGCCAACCGTCAGCCCAAGAATCATTGTCTTGGCTGGCGCCCGTTCAATTCGGCAACCAAGACTTGGGATGATTACAAGTGGCTCACGTATGAGGAGGTTCAAAAACGCCGTGCAAACTTTGGTGCTGGTCTTGTTGAGCTGCATAACAAGCATGGTTGCCACCGTTCCGGTCAATATGGTATTGGTCTGTGGTGTCAAAACCGCCCGGAGTGGCAGATTACCGGTATGTGAAATACCTACCTAGTCCGTGAACCAAAAACGAAACAGAATGGCCGCCCGCAGGAAGGGGAGGGGCGGACGGCTTCGGGAGATGATCATCCTTTACTGATTATATTGTCATGACTAGACCTGGCTTGCATGTCGCAGGGCCTCTACTCCGTCTCTATTTACGATGTGCTCGCTCCCGACGCTACCGAGTACATTATCAACCACGCCGAATTGAGCTGTGTCGTGACTTCTCTCCCCCATATCCCTACCCTCCTCAAGCTCAAGAATGTTCTGCCCAACCTCAAGATGATTGTTTGTCTTGACCCTCTTGATGCGGGCGAGCAGAATGGCTACTCGAAGCGCGCCATCTTGGAATCCATGGCCGCCGGCCACGATCTCTCCATCTATTCCATCGACCAGGTCGAGGCTCTGGGTGAAGCTTCCAAGCGTGGATACAACCCTCCTGGCCCGACTGATATCGTTACTATCAACTACACTTCCGGCACGACCGGGCCCCCCAAGGGTGTGGTTTTGACTCACCGGAGCGCCGTTGCCGCCACCTCCGCAGGTCTGATCACTTGTGGTCAGTCAAAGAACGACACCATGGTTTCCTACCTCCCTCTTGCTCACATCTATGCTCGTCTCTCCGAGCACTGCGCTTTCTGGGGCGGTGCTCGGATCGGCTACTTCCACGGAAACATTGTCGAGCTGGTGGATGACTTGAAGCTCCTCAAGCCCACTGCTTTCATGTCCGTGCCTCGTCTGTACAGCCGCTTCGGTAGCGCGATCCGGTCTGCCACCATCGAGGCTCCTGGTTTCAAGGGCGCCATGTCCCGTCACATCGTGGCTGCAAAGACCGCCAACTTGAAGAACCCGGACCCCTCCAAGGCGACCATCCGGCACGCTCTGTATGACCGCATCTGGGCCAAGAAGGTTGCCTCGGCTATTGGACTGGAGCGTGCTCGCTACATGGTCTCCGGCTCTGCTCCCCTCGATCCTACTCTCCACAATTTCCTCCGTGTCGCCACCGGCACCGACATTGTCCAGGGATACGGTCTGACAGAGTCCTATGCCTGTGCGACTGCACAGTCCACCGAGGATCTCAGCTCAGGCAACTGCGGAATGATCGCCCCCTGTACCGAGGTCTGCCTCTTGTCCCTGCCAGATATGGAGTACTCCGTCGAGGACAAGCCCTATCCTCGTGGTGAGCTGCTCCTACGCGGAAACAACATGTTCAACGAATACTTCAAGAACCCCGAAGAGACATCCAAGGCCATGACCGAGGACGGCTGGTTCCGCACCGGCGACGTGTGCCAGATCGACGAAATGGGCCGCATCATCATCATTGACCGCCGCAAGAACGTCCTCAAACTCGCTCAGGGAGAGTACATCTCGCCTGAGCGTCTGGAGGGTATCTTCATGTCTGAGCTGGGCTATCTTGCTCAGGCGTACGTGCACGGTGATAGCATGCAGACCTTCCTGGTTGGTATCTTTGGCGTTGCGCCCGATCTGTTCGCCCCCTATGCCAGCAAGGTCCTGGGTCAGACGATTGCCGCTACCGACCTTGAGGCGATCAAGTCTGCACTTTCAGATGAAAAGATCCGCAAGGCCGTGCTGCGTGATTTCGATCGTGTGGCGAAGAAGCACCGTCTCGCTGGGTATGAGCGTGTGCGTAACGTTTCGCTGAAGTTGGAGCCGTTTACTGTTGAAAACAACCTGCTCACTCCTACGTAAGTCGTCCCTTTCAAAACCGGGGAGATTTCCCTCCTCCGTCCCGCTCTTTTCCCTTTTTCTCCTCTTTCTTCCCGAGGGAAATCAACCAAGAATCATAATGAAGCTAACATACCCCCTCTCCCCCATCTAGTCTCAAGCTCAAGCGTCCCCCCGTCGTCAAGGTCTACCGCCAACTTCTGGACCAATTGTACGAGCAGGCTCTGTCCGAGGAGTCTGCTCCTCGCGCCAAGCTATAGACAACAGTTGACCGTCATCGTTTTTCACTACTTCATCTTGTCATGTTCATTACTAGTCTTGCCTTTCTGGCGATATATCACCATTCCTCCCTCGTCGAGACGAGGAGCGAGAGTCACTCGATTTGCGAGTACTAGTCACTTTTTTCGCACGCTTTCACGTCTTCTTTTATTCCATCCTGGATCGCCAGAGTACCTGGAGGAGGGAGTTGCGTTGTACATAGATCCGGTACCTCGTTGCGAGGCCACGTATAGTTATACATTCAATTTTGTGACCTCGGTCTCTCTGATGATAATGTAGCGTCGTCACTTTCGACATTCATATCAAATGTCCGAGCTTGAGATTCAACAAAGGTCTTACGTTCAACTTCCTCCATTCTCGACTCTTGTATCTAACAATGGCCTGTTTACATGGCGATCCAATCGAGGCTCCACTGAGCTCATGGTCAGCACCACCCTATTTATGTAGGCGATATACATCGTCGATCATTCAACTGTGGAAGTAACAGTTCTGTTCTGCGTCTCTGGGCTTCACGGTCAATCCAAGTACCTGCCCGTACCACGCCTGGCAATTGTCGAGTATGAAGCGAAACCTGCGCGCCGATTCTCACTTACTGCCTGGTACAGTTTTGAGCAAGTCTTTCTGAGATGCTTTGCGCTGTATGGTTGTATGATTGGTGACACTGCACAGACGTGAACCCCGGTGCACATATAAGATTTACTAAGTGGAAGGCCTCTTTATTCCCCTACGGCGACGCCGACAACGACGTAGATATGATGGGTGTGTCGTGGTCATATGACATGAGCAAAAAAAGGAACCAACTCGCCGAACCAAGAAAAAGCAAGAAAAAAAAATAAGGGAATTCAATGATAAGAGTGAGATTCGAACTCACGCCCCGTAAACGAGATCAGGAATTTATGCTAAGGTGGACCTTAACCTGACGCCTTAGACCAACTCGGCCATCTTACCATTTGATGAAAGAATGGGGTAAATGTGTTTATATGATTGAACAAAACTACTTGTTTCGACTTGTGCTTCTCTCGCATCGCGTCTGGTGTCGGATGTCAACGGTCTCGGCTGCGGGCGCTTCCTGTTGGAGCATTTGTTAGGTTGGGTCTCGTGGGTAGATTAGGTATATATATCGAGTATCTTGATTGATTTTGGGACAGGTCGGAGAGGTTGGTGCGGTGGGGAGTACGTCCACTTGCTCGTGGACTTGATTGCTCTCGTTCGGGAGAGATACATTGTGGCTGTCTCGGAGTATATATTTTGCACCCGCTACGTCAAGGCACTCGTTGACTGGTAGTAGAACAATAAACAACCGAACACGGAACCCGAAGGATACTTCCACCGAGATAATAGAGAATAGGTAGCATCCATACTGAACAAATTTGTTGGTCTGGCGCGAGAGCCGGTTGTTCTTCTACATAACACCCTACTACCTACTGGTGGAATACCTAGTTACCTATGCGCATTCATGTAGATTGAAGGAATCAGCATGGAATCGACAGACATCTATTCCGTCTATCATCCCTAGTCCGCGACAAGTCTGGTGGATCCCTCAGGATCTGCTGGTTGGCAGTTGGGAATCACCAAGTAATGGAACAAAGTTCTCTAGGCAAGGAAAAAAATAACAAGACACCATGAGCATCTAAATCTCACAGGGAATGAAAGAGCCAAACTAAAACAAAAAGATAATTTGTTGACAAGAGTGGGATTCGAACCCACGCCCCTTTCGAGACACGGAAGTTTGGACCAGGTGAACCTGAACCGTGCGCCATAGACCAACTCGGCCATCTTGCCTTAATTGATAATTGCTGGGATCATCTATCGTATATCAGCTTATTTTTGGTGGACTAATGACAATCATCTGCGTTGATATGGCAGGATGTACTCCGTATGTACTTGATGTTGTAGACAAAGTGGGGTGTGACGAAGAACTACTTCGCTATTCATATACACCACTCGCCTTGGACTCATGGAGAGTACACTGGAAGTCAAACCCTTTAAATACATATTCACGTTCCTGAACATTCTCCTATGTGATGTATCTGCTTGTTTAAGCCACCCCCTTGACATTCCGGTTGCGGTATGGATTGGTGTCAATGTTAAAAGACCAAAGAAGGTAAGACCGAGAGTAAGACTAAGCACTGCAAGGCGTCAGCAGCTCCAGTGCCGCACCATAAGTTATCCTACCACTAGTAACTAATGGCTTTTGCACTATCAGTATCGACAAGGTTCAGATATCACGCAACAAATCTTTACACCCTTCTTATCATCGTAGAGTATTTGCGCAAGATACGCCCATTCTCCCCCTCTGTTCACAATCCCTTGTCCATGCCAATATTTTCTGTTTCTCTTCGACCACCAGCACTCCGCGGAACCCCCCCGCGAGCATCCCTCGTTTCTTCCCCGCGGGCTGTCACTGGTCCAGCTTTCCACTACCCATCGCGTGATGCTCGGCTTACATACGCAGCAAAGACGGACACACGGGACTGATTAGAGCATCATTCCACCCCCCTCTTCTCTGCTCAACACCATCTCCAGTGCTTAATATTGACCCTATCTCATTTTCATCAGCCCTGGTCTCACTCCTCACAAATGTCTCCACGATGCGGCCAGTGCCTGACATGTCACCACTTCCCCGAAAACATTCTGCGGATCTCCCCTCCTCGAGCCCTACACTAGATCCCCGCTCCGCCGCCCCCGCAACCTTCTTTCTCTCCCGCAATCCGTACGCCGATGAGGAGGATCGCAGCCCCTCGCCAGATGCGACCGGCGAGGTAAAGGCAAGCATGTATGGAGTCCAAAGCCTCACTGAAAGCTTTGGTCAACCAGAAATACCTACCAGTCCACAAAGTGTCCCCAGCGCATTCAGTCAATGCACGCGCAGCTCCTCATCGGGATCGGACTCGCCACAAGAGATAAGGTGCTCGCGGCGCCGGTCTACCATTATCCAACTGGGTCAAGCCGAGATACGAGATTCCTCAACACAGCCACCATCTTCCGAGATACTGTCCCGTCCTTTGACACCCTTCCATCCGGATGAACCACTGTCGTTACCGAGCAGCCCAAAATCCATCTCTAATCGATCGTTGCGACATCTGGACGATGTGTCCATCACCGAGGAGATCAATAGCCAGGCAATGGCTTCGGGCGATGAAGAGGAAGACCAGACCCGAGCGTCACCACGACTGGGGTTTGTGGGTGCTTCGCAGCTGATCATGCCGAGTATTAAGATGCCCAGTCGCCGACCGTTTACGGAGCGGGGAAAGGCCATGGGGAGGTTCAAGGTGCTGGTAGCTGGAGCCCCCGGTTTGTCTTCACACACATATAATTTTCGAGATTCATGACTCGTGTACTAAACCAAGGTCTTGCTGCAATATCTAGGATCTGGCAAGACTTCTCTGATCAAGGCGATTGTCCAAACATGCGAGGATATCGTTCACGTTGATTCTATCGATGTTCCTTCGTCGGTCAATCCGCTGGACAGGCGCCGAGCTGCACGTCTCCACTCCGGTCCGGTCCCCACTCGCGGAATGCCCACTTCCATCACCGAGATCTACGCTAGTACCAAGCCCTATCCGCCGTGGTGGTCGGATCTTGAAGATTCGCGAGTGCTTCGACGCCGGAAAAGCATTGGCGAGATTGTGCTCGAGCGGAATCTATGTTTTGTGGATACCGCTTCCACGGCGTTGAGTCAAGCGGGCCAAACGCATTCGATTTTGCAATACATGCGACAGCAACTACAACGAGCCGCTCTTGCAGGATCGGGATCGGGTTCTGATGTGGATTTTCAGAATCTGCTCGCTGGGAATGGCGGTACTCAGGTGGACCTGGTTTTATACTTGATTGCTCAAGGTGAGTGAAGTCCACTGGCACTGCAACTTCTGAGAACTACGGCAAACTCACCCCCGCCCTGTGACAGACACTTTATCCACGGACGTAGAGTGCATTCGCAAGCTATCCGAACTGAGCAATGTGATTCCTCTCGTGGCCAAAGCGGATACCCTGACGCCCGAAGCTATCCTTGCCTTGAAGGAGGCGTATCGACAGCAGGCCCAGGATGTCGGCACTAAACCCTTCTTCTTCAGTAGCAACTCACCGTTTGGTGTAGACAATGCAGCGCCACAACCTCCATATGCGATCTCGTCGGAGAAAACCACCGATCTGGAAGTCATGGATGCAAGCACGTTGATGAGTCCTGATTATGAACAGCCCCTTGTCTCCTCCGAGCTGGGCGTGTTGGTATCGAGCATGTTTGACCGGGACAACCTCGCCTGGTTGCGTCACTCGGCCGCCAAGAAACTCATCCAAGGACGCACTGACTTTGGACCGAGCTCATCACCTGCGAGCTCAAGAGACACTCATCAACATGAACATGTACTTTCTGGCATCTCGTCTCCAAGCTCGGGTTGGAGGTCTCCGCCCGGCACCTCGCTGAACGCCTCGGTCTGTTCGTTGGGTGATCCAATCCCGACATATACTCTCGCTCGCTTGGCCGATTACACGCGCCACGAAGAGCGCATCGCCCAGGTGCGACTGGCTCAATGGGCCACCGATCTCCAACGTAGTCTTCAAAACGAGCGCGAGAGATACGCCGCCCTTGCACGAGGCGACCGGGCCGTCTGGCTGACCGAACGACTCAACGAGTGTGTGATTGACGGCTCTCTCGTCCCCGTTGGCCAGACAGCGACAGACGTGCACCGCGGTGTGATGAAAGAGATGCGTTCACGTGGTGGCAATGGCCACCAAAAGTACCGCATGGCCGGACTCAGCGCACATGACCCGTTGGGCGTGGTGAGCTGGATCGATGACCTCGGCCGACGTGGTTGGATTCTGGTGCAAATCGTGGGTAGTGTTGGTGTTGTCGGGGGTCTGGCACTATGGGCAGCCCGGTCTTGGGGATTTCCAACCAAGAGTCTAGCCGAACTTCATCTTGATCACTGGCCTGGAAGTATGGAGCAGTGAGCGTGTAGCGAGGGGTATGGGTGAAGAGCCGGGAGTTGAAGGGGGAGGAAGAGAGAAGCACGGACGTGGACATGCTGGCTGGACTGCGCCTGTCCAGGGTCTCCTCTTCTACTGCTTTATGCTTTACGATGATATATCCAATTGTCTTTCAGGGGTTTGCTTGCATGCGCGTTATGAGGATGGGAGTTTCTTATGCTCGTGGAAGACGAGGCAGGCTTAAATAAACCAATTTCACTGCTTTGAGTTCAGCCTAGAAAAGCTCGACATGGTCATTGCCGCCAACAGCCAGACATTCCCAGCTCGGTAGACAGACCCGACGAGTCACAGACCCCGACTTGGTAGAAACGAGAGAAACCGAACGGTCCACTTGCGACATTTGTACACTATACAGTCAACAGTATCCACTGTCCAGTGTCCACATATATATATAGATATCCCATCACTCAACACCACTCTCACTCCTGACAAACCCAGCATCCACACGACCCATCCCTCAAACCAACTCCTCAAACCTCCTCAAATCCATCTCCTTCTCCAACAACGGAATCACATACGGATCGAACGTCTTCCAGTACGGATTATTCAGATGATACTCCTGCGACGACTCGTGCAGGTAGCGCTCGACGATGGTAAAGTCCTGCTTGTCGTGGACGGACTGCATGACGAACCACGACAGCGTCTCTTTGTCCTGCGAGTAGACGGCCGATGCTTCGAGGAGTTTGGCGTGCAGCTTGGCGATGGATTCTTGGTCGGGTTTGGCGCGGAGGTCTGCAATAAGAAGGGGGGTGAGTTGGTGAGTTGGTGAGGGAGATGGGAGATGGGGTTCAGGTGGGTTTGGGTGTGAACTCACGGACGACGATTGTGTAGACCATTTTGGCGGGTTTTGATGGGGGTGTAGATGGGGATTTTCGAGATGGTTGAGGGTTGAGGGTTGAGAGTTGAAGAGTGTGGATTGTAGAGGGGTAGACCGCTTATAATGTATGCTTAACAGTGGACAGGCTGAGGAAGGACCTTATATACGGAGCAAAGCAAAGGGTGAAACTGGAAAAAAAAGGGATTGTCAAAGTCAAGTCTGAAGTGAGAATTCCAAGCCACGAGGAACAATCAATGTTTAGTTTCTCACTAACACTTCTGACATAGTTAACTACAGGGCTACTACTAGTTAATCATTATACAGCCCGACCTCAAAACCTGTAGCCAAGTCGTCGTCCTACTGTGAAACCCACCACAATCACCAAAGACACTGAAAACCTCAATCCAGGAGCCTACATAGTAGTGCAGCACAACCAACTTCCCAACTTCCCAAAGTCCAATAGTGGACCACTGGAGTCCTGGACCCAAAAAGGTTGACCTCACCGACTCCATCTTCATGCCCTGTTCCGGTCCGCTCGCCCCTCCTTGCCTCCTCCGAAATTGGGTTTTCGATGGCGGGGTACTTACTACTTAGTCTTGCAGAGTCATAGTCATAGTCATAGTCATATTCATATTCATCCTCTACAGAAATTAGTATGGTGAATGAAGAATATCCACGCAAAAAGTGTTCGCTCTCAAGGAACCGTGTCGAGCTCGTATCGCGTAATCCAACTGTGAACTGTCTATTGGATTATATACCGTACATTGTACACTTAGACACTCTACCTTGTACACTCACCGTACGGAATGTACTTCATTCATCAATGTCTGTGTCGAGTGCATGTTCTCGCCTTAAGAGGAATATATGGGCATGTAAAGGGAGCATTGCTTCGTCTTACAATCTACACACATTATACATGATACGAGTATAGCTCTGGGAAAAATCTACTAGTACTTGCATTGACACCTTCCTACCTACGTCAACGTCAACATCAACGTCAACGCCCACGTCCTCTCCTCGACCCATCCACCAAAGTCCCGCTATCCCATGTAGCTACTAGCTTCCAGCTACTGCCAGTAACTACTAGCTAACCCTCCATGACTCCACGACCCCCATCCCTCGGTGAACTTCCACAGAGACAAAAAAGGTGGACGGGTGGAGTCGTCTGAACAGTTTTCCCGAAGTGCATCCGATCAAATAAGTTTTTGAGTTCACGCCGCGTCCACGCATCGGGATTGAGTATTCGATTATTCGTAGAGGGCAAATGCAGTATGCACTGTAGTTACTAGTTACTACTTAGTAAGTAGTACTTACTAGTCAGTTGTGCACGGGACTAGTGAAGGGAACTAAGTTACTGCCTGAGAGACAGGGTTCGGAATGGGTGTGGCGGTAGTATATCACTGATCCACGAGTGACAAGTTGAGGAGTTGAGTCAGTTTACAAATTTCACAATTTATCGGTCTACTCGCAGAACAACGCAGACAGGGATGGTGATGAGGTCGGGATTGTCCCTGGGTACCACTCTATCAACTTCACTGTTGTTAACGATTTGGTTGAGAATGTAGAGTCAAATTCTCAAAAGTCTAGTATCACTGCCTCGTCTATCGTACTTGTCTTCTCCATCGACACTAGCCTCAAGAACTCAAGACAACGTTCTTATGATTCTACAATGATAAATGAACCATGTCAAGAATAATGTCAATTCATTCATCTTGAATTGTGAAATTTTTTTTGAATAAGAACGAAGAAAGATAAAACATCAAGGGTCGTAAAATCCCATATCCCATTTCCCGTAAGAACTTTGTCAAAACAAAAAGAATTATGAGGGTAATGCCATTCGCCAGCAGACCGGAAAAAAAAAGTAACACGGGGAAAACGAAGCAAGTGGTCTTGTCTTCTCTTGTATAACCCCAAATCCTTTTTTTCTTTAAAAAGAGCTATGGCGGAAAACACAGCGCTGCAATGCTGGAGAGAGAGAAAAAGGCAACCAAAACAGAATGCTTAAAAAGAAAACTGTTTAGTCAACCTCCTCCATGGCAGACTCACCGGTAGCCTCCGCCGGGGCGGCAGCCTCGGTGGCCTTCTCATCAACAGTCTCGGCCTCCTCATCGATGTTCAGACCAAGGGAGACGAGCTTGTGGATACGCTCGGCGAAGCTGGCGGGCTCCTCAATAGTGAATCCGGAAACCAGCAGGGAGGTCTCGAAGAGCAGCTGGGTGATAGACTTGACGGTGCGGTCGTTCTCACCGTCAGCCTCAACCTTCTTCTTGAGCTCCTTGATGATGCTGGACTTGGGGGAGATCTCAAAGGTCTTCTTGGAAGACATGTAGGAGGACATGGAGGTGTCACGGAGGGCCTGGGCCTTCATGATACGCTCCATGTTGGCGGACCAACCGAACTGGCCGGTACGGATGGCGCAGGGGGCACCCATGAGTTTGTGGGAGACAACGACCTTCTCAACCTTCTCGCCGAGAATGTTCTTGAGAGCCTTGGCAAGGTCCTCGTACTCCTTCTCCTCCTTCTCACGCTCGGCCTTCTCCTCGTCGGTCTCCTCGAGCTCAAAGTCCTTGGTGATGTCGACGAGCTTCTTGCCATCGAACTCCTTCAGCTGGGTGAAGGCGTACTCATCAATGGGGTCAACGAGGAACAGAACCTCAAAGTTCTTCTGCTTGAGGGTGTCCAGGAAGGGAGACTGGGAAACGGCCTTGATGGACTCGCCAGTGATGTAGTAGATGTTCTTCTGGTGCTCAGGCATGCGAGTGATGTAGTCGGTGAGGGAGGTGTTCTCATCACCGGACTTGGTGGACTGGTAGCGGAGCAGCTTGGCCAGAGCGGGGCGGTTCTGAGCGTCCTCGTGGATACCGAGCTTGATGTTCTTGCTGAAGGCAGAGTAGAACTTCTCGAACTGCTCACGGTCCTCGGCGATCTCCTGGAAGAGCTCGAGGGTCTTCTTGACAATGTTCTTCTTGATGACCTTCATGATCTTGTTCTGCTGGAGAGTCTCACGGGACAAGTTCAGGGGCAGATCCTCAGAGTCGACAACACCCTTGACGAAGCTGAGCCACTCGGGGATGAGGTCGGTGGCATCGTCAGTGATGAAGACACGGCGAACGTAGAGCTTGATGTTGTTCTTGGTCTTCTTGGTCTCGAAGAGATCGAAGGGAGCACGCTTGGGGACGAAGAGGATGGCACGGAACTCGAGCTGACCCTCAACGGAGAAGTGCTTGACAGCGAGGTGGTCCTCCCAGTCGTTGGAGAGGGACTTGTAGAAAGAGGCATACTCCTCCTGGGTGATGTCGGAGGGGTTGCGGGTCCAGATGGGCTTGGTCTTGTTCAGCTCCTCCTCCTCGATCTTGGACTCCTTGACGGTCTTGGTCTTCTTCTCCTTCTTCTCCTCCTCCTCGTCGACCTCCTCGACCTTGGGCTTCTTCTCGTCACCCTCCTCCTCCTTGGACTCCTCAGCATCCTCGTCGGGAACCTCCTTCTCGGTCTCCTTCAGGACGTGGAGGTAGATGGGGTAGGAGATGAACTCGGAGTGCTTGCGGACAACCTCCTTGATGCGGGCCTCGTTGAGGTAGTCCATCTGCTCATCTTTCAGGTGAAGAATGATCTTGGAACCGCGGCCGAGCTGCTCGCCCTCGGTGTCCTGGGTCAGGGTGAAGGTACCACCGGCGGCGGACTCCCAGACGTACTGCTCATCATCGTTGTGCTTGGAGATGAAGGTGACCTTGTCGGCGACGAGGTAGGCAGAGTAGAAACCAACACCGAACTGACCAATCATGGAGATATCAGCACCGGCGGAGAGGGCCTCCATGAACTGCTTGGTACCGGAGCGGGCAATTGTTCCCAGGTTGTTGATGAGGTCCTACACAGATGATGCGTTAGTCCTATGTTTTTTTTTTTTTTTTTTTTTTTTTTGACAGAGTCTTTTTTTCGTTTCTTTTCCTCAGTAGCGTTGACAGGGATCAACTTACAGCCTTGGTCATACCAATACCGGTATCACGGATGGTGAGGGTCTTGTTCTCCTTGTCGGGGATGATATCAATGCGGAGGTCCTTGTGGGAGTCCAACTTGGAGGGGTCCGAGAGGGACTCGTAGCGGATCTTGTCCAGCGCATCGGAGGCGTTGGAGATCAGCTCACGCAGGAAAATCTCCTTGTTGGAGTAGACAGTGTTGATGATCAGCGAGAGCAGCTGAGAGATCTCAGCCTGGAACTCGAAAGTCTCGGGCATGATGGCGATGTGTGTTCTGAAATTAGGCGTAAAGGATTAGAATGGAGAAAAGAGATGATCAACCGGCGATAGCGGGATGTGTCTGATCAAGATGGATGGAAGAGAGTGTGATGGGCCCAAGTGGATGAGGGGATAGTTTCAAATCTTGTGATCTCCTGGACAGATGTTTCCAAAAGTCAAGAAAAAGACGTCGAGATGAAGTGAGGAAGAGGGTGGAAGTGACGGAGAGGCAATCGTAGCAGTAGTGGTGGCAATGGCAATGGCAGTGGCAGTGGCAGAGGCAGTGGTAGTATGGGAAGAGTGATGGAAAGGAAAAGCTGAATTGGCCTTGAAGACCGGGAGGGCAAGAGGAATTAATACGTACAGGAGATTCTGGGGGAGAGATGAAGAAAGAAACAGAATCTGCCACAGGATAAACGCAGATCTTATGGGGTGGAGAGAGGGACCAGAACGAGGAGGAGGTGAGGGAGCTGGCCGTGATTCCAAAAAATTCTGGTGGGTTCAGCGAAACCGACGGATGGTGCTTCTACGGCGGTCCAGCAACTTCCACCGGTCGCCTTTCCACCTTTTCCACCTTTCCACCTTGTTCCAAGCAACGGGTCACCGCCCCCCGTAGTCCATCCCCGTGCACGAGTGTGACTGTAGTTGTACTAGTCGAGTCACTGTTGCTAATCTTGGAACTGATTAGGACTACAATTGCTTCTCTTGCATTGCTTAGGTTTTCCAGTAGATTCTACGTATACTACTGACGGGATAATGGTCATGGTGATATGCATATGCTTGGCTGAATAGTCTTCCTATTCGGTGATTCATCCCATTCCGATGCGGCAACTGGTGAACCATCGCTTTTTGGCTTCTGAGCTTGGGGATCGAGATACATGCCTGATCCACCAGGCATCTAGTGATCTAGAACCTTCGTTCCGCTGCAAATATACTTCTGAGAGCTTGTTACTTGTGCTACGTTGAAAGGGGGAATTACCCACTGCAGTGTGTACTTGTGTGCCTATTCCAGATGTCAATCACCCGAAATTATGCAACAACATCTTTCGAATAGTCTGGGTCAGCATCTGAATATGAGTTGAGGGCAGCTCTCCCACAAGCAGTTAATAACTCAAGAGAAATTGTGTGGCCCGCAGCGGCTGATGAAGTTAGTAGATACTTAGATAGCAGATACTACTAGACTAGTAGACGACTAGACGTACTGTCTGACAAAAGTACTTTGGGGACGGTGCATCAATGCAATAGTAAATGAAATGCCGAATGAATCAAGATGATAATTTTTCTGCGATGAACCTCTTTTCCTCGAGAGACTAGTAGAAGCAGGAATTAGACTGAAATAGTCTCAATGCATGACTCAATTCTTCTACTCACGAGACTACTAGAAGTAGTGTATGTAATTAGATTTAGAGAGTCTTAATACGTGATTACCTTACCCATCAAAGCACTAGTCCGCTAATCACTACATACTGACATACTACATACCGAGGTATATAGTTTTAAAGCCTCTCTTTTTGAAAGCACTATCCAACATCTTATACCTCTCCGAGTCTGAAAAATCTACTCAACCCAGACATGGTCATGTATCTGGCTCATTGACCAAGAACACGCGACCGACTTCAGCCCTGAACAAAGCCCATCAGAGACCCAAGACAGGACGTTGATGCTTTACTATGCAAATTCCCTTATGCCCGCGGGGCTAATATAGTACGCTATCATGATGAACAAAGGCTTCTGGCCCGTTGGAATACACAAACTAGTCACTAGCTAATTTATATTCACTTGAGTTATCATTATTTCCTTTTGGTTTGGTATCAGGATCAACGACCTGACAGGAACCCTACACCCTCTCAATATAGCATATGCCAGTCAGAGCTTGCAAAGCCAAGCACGGAATATGGGTCAGACGCAGTATCCCAATCAAGCGAGAGTGGCTAATAGAAACAAGCAACAGACGTGTGCACTGAGCAAACGGAGGGGACTGAAAAAAAAAATCATTGACATGGGGAGACCATTGAATTCGTAAAAATCAACAGACACCACAGACACCAGACATCTACCGGCTACCACAAAGGAAGAAGAATGGGACATATGCATGAAGAGAAAACACATGTCAAGATTCTCCCACCTTTTCAGAATAACCTATAGAGGCGGGAGAAGTACGTCATAGAAGGATGCAGAGTCAAAGACAGGGAAAGAGGAAGATGAAGAAAGAGTTGCCCTGACAGGAAGGAGAAAGACGAAAACAACTTTTCCAGCCAGCCCGGACCTAACCGCTAATATGCATGGTGACAGCAGACAGAGGAGGGGAACAAAGAAGGGGAAAGGGAGACAAGGGTTGCGATAAAAGAAAAGAAGGGGGAGAGAAATCAAATAAAGAAGTCACGTAACACATGTCATTATTGGCAAAACGGAGAGGAAAGGATGATGAGATCAAACAAGAGGGAGAAAAAAAGGTGGTCACAATCCGGAGTAATACAGATTTCGGAAACTGGGAATATAAGTCCAGCAAGTGGGAGAGAATGAAAAGGCGAGAACACTGTTCAGATCTCCAGCGTAGATAAGCCAGGAAGCTCAACACTTCATCAGACATGGGCTTGAAAATGTGCAAGTAAGAGCGAGGGAATATAATGGAGGTTTACTTCCAATCCTCCTCAGTCCGGGAAGGGTGGGGGTGGGCCATTCCTGAGAAATTTTCCGCTCCTGGCGGGGGTTTACATGCCATAGCTTCATGATAGAGAAGTCAGAAGCTTTAAGCAGCGGGGGCACCGTTCCGGCCCTTGGCAGCAGCGTTTCCACCGCGACCTCCACGGGGAGCGAAACCGCCACGGCCATCACGCTGGAATCCACCACGACCTTGGCTGCCGCCACGGTCACCACGACCACCACGGCCACGACCAGCAGGGTAGCCGTTGCCAAAGGTGTTAGGACGAGGGCGGCGCTCCTCAAGAACAATCTGCTCGGTACCAACCTGGTGAGGGTTGGCAGCAACGGCAGCAGCATAGGCAGAGGGCTCAGCAAACTCAACGAAGGCAGAATTCTACAAAAAGAATCATCAAGTTAGCGAAATCAGTTTATCCGGAGGGGTGGCGCAAAAAAGATGCAGTCTCAGATCAAGGAAAAACCGGGCACGAACCTTGGGGCGGTTGACATCGAAGTACTTCAACTTTCCAAATCGGGCAAGAGTTTGCTTCAAGAGACCGGCATCCACCTTCTCAGTAACGTTCTTCATGTAACCGAGCACAACCTGGTCCTCGCCGGCACGAGACTGGGTCTTCTTGTGGTCTGCGCCGGCGGTTTGCCAGCCAGCCTCAGCACCAGCAGCATCCTTCTCCGCAGCAGGGGCAGGAGTCGCAGCAGCGCGGGGGGCAGAGGCGGTTGACTCGGTGGAGACAGGAGCAGCGGTTTTAGATGTAGCAGCAGCAGCACCAGGAGCAGCCGCGGAAGTGGAAGTAGTGGGGGCAGCAGCAGCCGCTGGAGCAGCGGCAGCAGAGGCGGCGGCGGCGGCCTTGGCAGCGTTGACCTTGGAGGCGATGCTGGCCCAGGTCTTGGGAACAGCGGGGACCGGAGCAGCCGGGGCGGCAGGAGCGGCAGCCGGGGCCGGGGAGGGAGTAGAAGCAGCCTCCTTGACAGCAGGAGTCTCCTTCTCGGCGACTGGAGTAGGTTCGGGAGTCTGAGCCACCTCCTCCTGCTGAACCTCGGGCTCGGTCGCCTGAGCAGGCTCTTCAGCGGGCTCCTCAGCGGACACATCAGCGGACACATCAGCAGGAGCGCCATTGGCCTGGGGAGTGGTCTCCTCGGACTGCTCGGTCTCGCCATTGATCTCCTTCTCCAGCTTCTCATCAACCTCAGTAATCGCGGGCGCGGCCTCCTCGGAGACCTTGGACTCCTCGGTAGCAGCAGGAGCAGGCTCCTCGGTAGCAGCAGGTGCCTCAGTCACGGCAGGGGTGTCAGCCTCGGAGACAGCCTCTTCCTCCTCGTTCTCCTCAACAAGGTAGCGGAAGATGTCGTTCAGGACATAGTAACCGTTGGGCTGCTCAGCGAGAACGAAAGTCTGGACGAACTTGCGCGAGGGCTCCGACTTGTTGGAGATCTCACCGACCACAGAGACCAGGATGTTCTCGAACGAAGCCTGCGAGTCAACGTTCAGGACGCGGACCTTGCAATCCTGGAAGTCAAGGCTCTTGATCTTCTCGTTGATAGCCTTCATATATCACAAGTTAACCACTGCGCGGGAGAGATAACATATAGAAGTTCAACAGTCCGATGAGACTGCGGCACACTGGGATGGGAGGTAGCGCTTACCTTGGTACCAACAGCGACGGGCACCGATTCAGCCTCGGTGCCAAAGACGAGCTGAGATCGCTTGGAATAGAAAAGGTGCAGCTTGTCGGGGTTTCGGCTCATGGTGGTGTAGAATTGCTCCACAAAGAACCAACCCACCTCATCCTTGGTGATCTCGCTCTTCTGCTGCTCGGCGCTGGTGCTGGGAGTCGCACTAGTGGGAGTGGAGGACTGAGCAGGCTGGAAGTTGGCCGCAGTGTTCATGGCGGCGTGAGCGGGGTTGAAAGCATCAGGAAAGCCATGCTGAGCACCATAGTTGCCATTGACGGGAGCCTGAGTCATGTCGGACATTTTGAATGGATGAAGCAGATATGAAAGCTAACAGATCGACAGGTGAGGGGGACAAAGTAACCGAGGGCTAAGAGTAGCGTGGATGTTTGCGGGGAGCTGTCGAAGAAGGATCTTATCGGATGGAAAGACTATCTGAACGATGTTCTGCTGAAATTCTTCCACACGCTCAGACTATTCAATTCGAGTCAGCTGTGGGGTTCTGACCCAGTTTAGAGTGGCATTGCACCCAATGTGCTGCGAGTGTTGTGGGGTGAGGATGGGCAGCACACTTACAATGCGACAGAGGATCAAGCGCCAATGCAATGAATCGATAGGTCCGTAAGGAGAGGAAGAAAATGAAGAGTGAAATCAATCGCAAGGACAGGTACGGTCACTCCTCACAGTTGCGAAAAAAGCGATATGAGAAAGTATGAGGAACGTGAGAGTAAGTCGAGGGTAAGATGAGTCCTGTATGAAAGCGACCAAACCAAGAAACACGTGGCTATTGATCGTAAGACTGAGAGGAGGGCAAGGCAGACAGGTGATGGCGGAGACGGGGTTGGAGAGAGATGCGATGAGAGAAGACGAAGCTCGAAGTAGCTGAGTAGGGAATTCGCCGTCAAGAAAAAGCGACGGTTGACTTCGAAGACTGCGGGCTTCGCGTGGGCTTGGCATCATCTCACCGCTCGGCAGAACCCCCCGAATCGGAATAGTCGTTCAGATATGATTATGGCATACCCGAGAGCATGACGAGTAGAGTGATGGGGCATTTGGCGCATCGCAAATTGCAGGTGCAGGTGCAACTTTGCGCAAAACCGAGTAGATTAGATGACGAGGGAATCCCTGGAGCAAATTTTATATGATAATACTATCTGGAGCTTCACTGTGGGACCCGTGTCAATTTCTGTGTACACTCTGTATGCAGCAGCAAGCCGAATGCATGTGCAAGGAGTCTCGAGTCGTTGAACCTTCCGCATGAATGAGACGATAGAGAGCAAAACTCGATTCGAGATAAGATGCGAGAGATAAGATGAAGTAAGAATTATAGTACTCGTACTAAACGGCTAGGTACCCATTGTTTTCGATACATCAGCCATGATAATCGCATACACGACGCGGTAGAGGTGGCATTCGCAACATGGTCGATGAAAATGCACTGAGTGGTGCAGCAACAGATGCGTTTCAACAAATCATTGTAAGTTCGACTTCAATTGACAAAAACGCCGGTAAATATAAGGTTCAACAATCCAGAAGACAGCAGAGGGAGGGGACAGAAAAGGGTATGAAGGTTGCGAAGCGTTTCAAGAAAACAAAATCAGTTCCGAAGAACATGGTAGGTAAGTGATAGGCAGTATCACAGCATGTCGCCATTTCAGCACGGCCAAGATGGAGTGAACGCAGGCACCGCAGGCAGCTTGATGATCGTGGGAAGAAGGTAAGACGGGTGCAGGACTGCCAAAGAGGAGGGACAGGGACTGTCTTGTTCGCTCGAGCTCGAATGGGCGGTCGAGGCGCATATAGCATGCTAGGAATCGTCGAGTATTCAGTCGGGGGGACTTTAGCTGTGACCAGGACCAGGTGCGCTCGCATGAAATCACGAGCTTGCAGCCGCGGCGGCCTTCTCAGTCAAAACTGGCTTGCGCATCACGGCGTCCTGGCTGGTCATTCTGCGACCCAGCGCGCGCTCCACCTTGGCCCCGAGAGCCAGCTTGTTCAAGTCATCCGTCTTTTCCGGCGTAGGCACAAAGCGCTGCTTCTGTAGGGGCTTGTTCTCTAAACGCTCGACGCCGTCGCCGTAGTTGGTGATGTCGACGACCCGAGGGTCACCGGGGGGCAGACTTCCGATCGTGCGTTCGGAGTTGGCGAGCGAGGGGCTACCACTGACAGTGGAAAAGCGCTTCGAGGTGCGAGTCTAGATCAAGCCCGATTAGCATCCTGACACCTTTATCATCCCACGACATTGCTGTGTGTCAGGGGGCCCAAATGGTGGCCCAAATGGTGGCCGAAATGGTGACCGGGTAAGCGATGGAGCGGGGGCGAGGTAAAAGGGGAGATGCCGTTGCATACCGAGTTGGCCATCATGGGTCGCTCAGAGTCCAAGGAAGGGCGGCGCGCCATGACTAGAAGATGGTGATGTGGGCGAGGGCGAATTTATCAACAGGAACTTTTTTGGGGACTAGAGAGTCGAGATCCAGAGTGGGATGGGATTAATTTTTTTTTCCCTTCTGCTCCTGGCACATGGAGATGGGCAGATTAGCAAGGATGGTTACCGGCTGGGCTGGGCCAAGCCGTGTGGCCGGGAAGGGGGAAAGGATCGCCACGTACGACAGTCGCGGGTAATCAGTGAAAGATGACCGGCAATGACCAGATCGACTTAATCAGGTGGCTCAAGATGTCTTGAGTTGGAGGATTCGGGAGGGTCAAAGAGGATTGAAGATAGAATAAAGGGTCTGAAACCCCTAAGTAGTCTATTCCTGCTGAGCTGGGGGCCAACCTCCAACTCGCCGTGTTCCCAATGTCTTGAGAAACAAGTCCGACCACGAAGAGCCGAACTGGCGACGAATGTGGGTCACCCTAAGTAGTGGGGACAGTTCGCAAGACAAAAGGAGCAGAAGATGAAACGAGGCGAATCTTTGCGAAGAAGAGAGCATGAAAGGAGGCGTCGGAGATGAGAGGTATGTGTTGGGATCGTGGCCCGAACTTTACATCCATGAGGTGCGCAAGCAAATGCCTAAAAACACGCAATTTACAATACCTACAACTGCAAAGTCGAGTAACCTACGAGCAGTAGCAACTAGCAACTAGCAACTAGCAAGTAACAGCTGGTATCTGTAGGACTTGAAAGTCGGAGCAGGTATACAGTATCCCTGAACGATGGTTGCACATATGTTTAGATCAGTTCGATTACTCCGGTCGATCTTCGATCGTGTTGGATGAATCAAACACGGCGTTATACTGCTGATGTAGGAATCGGAGGATAGGCAGGATGTCATCGACAACGATGGATCGTGAAACAATGCATGTACAGTACATCATGCATGCGAGATCGATCGGAATAAAAGATGCTGTAGTCGATGGATCATATAGTCTGGCATGGGCGTCAGGCGAGCAGATGAACACAATTTGCGCCGACTTGCGTCCACTTCGCGTTTCGTCCTGTCACCTGCATGCTTATCTGAGACTGTTGACTCAGTCATTAAGAGCAAACCCAGAGTCCTTGACTCAGTATCTGTTCCCTGGGCTCTGCAATACCTGGAAATAAAGTCATGACGACGAAAGGAAGTTTGGGACTTCTGCCAAAGTGGGCTTGGCCACGTGGGATTCACGAGGAGACTTCTAAAGGCAAAGCGTTAGATTAGAGCAGTGGCAGTGGCACTGTCATCTGACCAGTGACGGGTTTGTCTCAATCTAACAAGCGAAAGGAAACCTCTTAAGCTCTAGAATTGTCCGATTGGAAGAAGGGTCGAGCCTAGTCCTTTGGGTTCGATTCATGCGCGTTTATGTCTGCGGAGGTGGCTGCAGCACTGGCGGTCCGCGGAATCTAAAGCTCAAATTACGTGCGACACGTCGACACGTTTCCTAGCCTTGCGATGCCCTTGTTCTATTCTAGGAAACCACCGAAAGCAAATTTGTTGTACGTCACTGCCCACTAGCCCATTGTCCATCATTGTTTGGTAGAGCACTAGAAATTGCCTAGTAGTATCACCCACCAAGTACACCTGTAGACCTGTAATTACTACTTGGATGATGGAAATAAATTACCTACAGCGGATAATTTAGTGGTGACTGGTCAGGTCACACGTCTTGGCGACGTCCAAAAAAAAAAAACGAGCATTCGCAGCTTGCAGCTCAGAAACTCGGAAACCTCGAACTGATTAGACGAACTCCTTGTCCGCGCTCCACTACTCGGACCGACCGACTCAAGACAGCTCACCAGGCGAACTGTAACAACCACTCATATCGAGCATCCAAGTTCCGAAAACATCAGAAGGCTGCAACAAGACGTCGACGGCTCTTGTCCCAATTCTTCGTGTCGATTGCTCGTCCGAAGCAAAGCATCCATCTACGCAACGCCGCGAGCACCCACATTGCCGACTGTACTGAGGTCATCTCATGCAGAACTATCCACAAGGATTCATCATGCCGAGGCCCAAAGCGTTTCTGAAGGCGTCTAAATCGAAGAAGAAGAACGCTGCCAAGCAGGTACAGTACCACTAGCTTGATTTCCGTCATTGGAAGCTGGACGTGTCCAAACGGACCATGTGACCCAGCCCGCTTCGGTATTCTGCGACTGTTTCCAGTTTCTCATTGTGCTCTTATTACACGACAGGTACCCGTCACCGCCGACGATTATCTCGCAGGTATGTGGTACTCCCTCCTCTGAGTCTTGCGGAAGGATCGCAAAGTCTGCTCTTGTTTGGCTCAACTCGGGCTCATTCATCATCTATTCCCAGCGGGCGTCGAGCTCGAGGAAGCAGGCGAGAAATGGCGAGCCGGAGATGCAGCCAAATCGATGCGCTTTTTTATGAAGGCAATTGCCAATTATGATGAAGGGCTGCAAAAGCATCCGGGTGCCTTTGACTTGGCCTACAATAAGTACGTATATGTAACAGATGGTGAAGATGAAGACCAGGATCGTGAAAAGAGATTAGGATCTCACATCCCGCAACTTGGACATGTCAGATGCTCAAAAACTAACATCCATCCCCTTACAGAGCTCGTGTTCAATATGAGATCACTCAGCACCCCAAATTAGCAGCGCAATTGCCGGCTCCTCAGGCCGAGCTCCTGGAAGTCGCGCTGCAGTCACACAGAGATGCTTTGTACCTCGAGCAGGATAATGCAGACGCCCTGTTCAACAGCGGGCAGGTGTTGAATAGTCTCGCCGAGTCATTGACCGAGTCAAAGCATCCCAGCGAAGACCAGCTGGTTCAAGCAAGCACCTACTTGCAAGAAGCCGTCGAACTATTCCAGCGGTGTCTTGCACTGCAAGAAATGAAGTACACCGAGATGGAGGAGCAAATCATGCAGATGGAATCAGGCGAGATGGATGCTCCGGAATCTGTACCCCAACCCGAATCCGCGGCTCCCCCAGCACAAACCGAAACCGCGGATGGCGAACCACAAGAGCAATGGGCGGCGATCGTCGAACCTGTCACGAAGAATACCCTGGCAGACTCGGCCATCGCGCAGTTGGATACATTGACAACGCTGTGTAATTTGCTCACATTCAATCCCGGCGCGGGCGGAGTGGGTTGGGTGCAAGAGTACTCCGCAGAACTAATCGAGACTCGATTGCCATCTTATGTCGACGGGTCTGACAGACAATATGAAGCGGCTCTGGCACGAGGAAAATTCATTTGTGCACTACATGATGTGCTTTATCGCGGTGGCCATACTGATGCCCAGACGTATCAGCAAGAAGTCAGTCGAGCTTTTGGGCCCGATCTTGATCTGTCTGAGGATCCAGAGGGTCTGTGCAGTAAAGCTGAGGCATTGACCTCACTCAATAGCGCTTTCGCAGAGGTGCCCCCCACCGAAGATGAGGAGAATGCCAAGGTCTACAATGCCACGCGTTGGCAGTCGCTATCAGCTGCACTCGACGCGCTGACCGCGGCTTCGAAATTGCCCAGCGCCAACAATCTGCCCAAGATCCATCTCGCGCGAGGAGATGCAGAATTGTCGCGCTGGCGACTTGGTCGGGCGCCATGGAATCACGCCCTGGCGGCACAGTATGGGCCAACGCTCCTGCGGAATGCGCAAACCTACTACCGTGGAGCGGCGGCGCTGGCCCGTCGGGATGGCGACGCAGAAGCGCAACGCGATGGAACATGCAAAGAGGCTATCGCTGCAGCACTGGAAGGTCAAAGAACAAAGCTCGATCAGATCAAGACGACATCCCTTGACCAGCTGATCGCAGTTGCCCAGGAGATGGTGGAGGACGGAACGGTGGAGGCTACAGAAATGAGCGCTCTCATCTCTTGAATTTCCCCTTTTGGATCGCTCGATATGAATTCCCCACAGGATGTCGGGAAAGGTGAAGACCGCAGAAAGCCGGATAATGTATCAAACATTTGGGCGAGCCTTGACTTCGCGATCCATCTGAATTGCGTCCTGACGGATATGATGTTCCTTGCTAAACTCCGCAGCCGCCGTAGCAGCACCTTCAATGTCCCCGACGACGGACTCTAGGGAAGCCAGGAGCCTCTCAATCTCCTGCCGCTGTGCTTGCACCGTTTGGGCCAGTGCCGTATTCTGCGCATGCGTTTCCTCTAGTTTCTGGTTCAGTGTTGCTTGCGCTTCTTCCAGATACGGTGTCAAATGTGCTTTGTAAAGCTCCTCAGCCCCAAGAGTATGTGGCCTACACCGCGTAAAAAAAACACCCCCCCACCATGAATCAGCAATCCCGTAATCCACTTCAAATCAAAAAAACCATCACCGACCAAACCTGAAGAAAAAGCCAAAAACAACAACAGGATAAGATCAAACTCACGGATTCCCAGGCCCCCTCGCCTCCCCATTCTCGCCCGCAAGTCTATCCCTCTCGCGTCGCTCCTTCGCCTCAGACACCAACCGATCCAACTCATTCAAATGCGCCACCGCTTCTCGCTCGGCCAGAATCTCATCGAATTCCGCCTTTGCACTCTCCTCCAGCTTCGCATTCAATTGCCTCCACACGCTCTCCAGACTCGCAGGTACATATTTGGCGGGCGTGGGGAAACATCCGGCGAAATTGGCATAGGAGTTGGCTCGGAGAGTGCGCGCCAGGGCCTGGTCAAAGACTTGGTGCAGACGGGAGGCGCGCAAGCCTGGAGCTGGAGCTGGAGCGGACGTGTTTGGTGTTGTTGTCATGGGTGCGGGATGTGAATTTGGTGCTGCCATGTTGTTGTAGTGTTGGTGTGGAATTTGGTGTGTTCTTCTGGTAGACTGGAGCGGGCGCAGAAAGAATGTGAAGCTCTAAAGATATGTCGAGGTGCAAATTATGGACATTTGAAAGCTCTCTGTCGTTTGATGCTGCGCGCGCTTCTTAGTAGAAAGATGTCCTCATACAGTTGGGCGCGACGCGACAGCCACACGTGACTGATATGCGGGAATGCGCTCATGGCCAGAAGCCGGACTTGCCCCACCTTTCTCGGCGGAGACGAGGACTATGTTTAGTTGTATACTACGCTATGGAATGCATTAGTTACAACGAACTATCAATGGATATGTACGCCAGTTGCGACAACAAGTATTCCGGCGGAATCTACAAAGGCTCAGAAAGGACTCACGATCCGCAAGCATAGCCCTTTGAGACCTCTGACTCTTAACAGTATTCATTGGCGTGACGCATGAACCTCCTCAAGCTCTACTTTTTCTTTTTCGAGACCCTCATCTAAAGCGCCGCTGTTTCAATTTAGAGATTCTCACGAGACATCTCGCTTCAAACCAGATAAGCTGACACGCAACTTCGTCCACAATGCTTTGAATGCAGGCCAGGAGATCGACACGTAAATCAAACTATTCCAGAATCCCTGGAGCGGCAGCACAAAGCTCGAAGCGTAATTCAACGCAAAAGAGAAATCGTCGGGACGAGCCAGCGAGTATACGCGATTTGCAGTAGACGGGACCTGGTGGCGACCAAAAGAGTCAGAACAAGGACACGCTCCTATGGATATGATAATAAAATAGAATTTTTTTCATGAACTAGTACACAATCGAAAGATCCAAGTTGGAACTCACCCACGTCACAAGTAATGCAATGAAAAACAACATCGCATACTTGGTATAGATCCATGCAGCCGAGCCAATATCGGCTGTTGCCGTGCGGCGAGTCGGACTCGAATCCGCACCGGTGCATCTGGCATTTTTCAGCGCGATTGACGCATCAGAGTGCGACACGGTCGAGTTCTGTCTCGAGCGGGACCCTGGTCCATAATGAGGGGTCTGTTCTGGCATCGAGTTCAGATACATGATGATGGGATCCACAGTCCCGCTTTCGACAGAGACGGAGTACGGAGTGAAGACGGGTGAATCGAGGCCGTGGATACTGGAGGCAGCAGAGCTGGGGTGGTTGGAAAGTGCAGAGCATGGGCGCTCTGGTTCGAAGAGGGCAACTTCATGGGTGACTTGAATTCCGCAAAGAGAGGACGAGATGGGTGGTGAGTCGGTGGCTGGCTGTGCATCTGAGCAGTCCGCATTTTCTAGTGCTTCGAGTTGGCGACGCTTTTGGTAGATGACGGAGCCGGCGCGCAGATAGATGGTGAATGTGACGAAGATGACCATCCAGACGGGTCCGTAGAAGGTTGCGATGCGCAGAAAGTCCCAGGGACGGGAGACCCAGCACCAGAGCTGATCAGGAAGCAGGAGTCAGCGACCGCGAGATAATTCAAAATTGATAAAGGGCGTTGATGGCCGGAAGAAGATCAGTCTTACCACTGCCGAGCCATAGACCCGTCCAAGACTTGACGTGCTGATGAAGAAGTACACAAAGGCCGGGATAAAAGGTATACCATAACAACCAGCCAGGTACTTCCATTCCAACTGACGAAGTTGGTCTGAATTATACTTGTGGAAAAAAGTCAAATAGACATTACACGCCATTGCAAATGTCCACAACGCATCGGCTGGCATGAACCTGTGCCGTAGGTCAGTAAAAAAGTTCACCTCTGGGGTTCACCTCGCAACACCAAATGAGCTTTGATGGCCGAAGAAATACTTACCACTGAATGAGAAAAGCCTGAAACTGGCACAGCGGATTGTCCACACCCGAATGAATCCCAGACTGTGAGATCAGTGTGGCTAGATTCGCCATGATATTGCCCCAGGAAGCATAAAAGACTAAGCGGTTGATAGGCTTTCGAAATGACCAGGAACTCATAAAAGTGGTCACGATCACAAAGGCGCCAAGCAAAGAAACCGCTGAGCAGACGCGCTCTGTGATGGAGATCGCAAGCAGCTGCTGTGGTGTTGGAGACATTGAGAATTTTCGTGCTTCAATCCCTCATGTTGGGTTTTGATCTCAGATACCCTTGGATTGTCCAGTCCTCTCGTTATACAGGGTGGACTCGAGGCAGTCAAACTGATCGATCGTTGCCGACACCGTTCTCGAGATCTGGGCTTGAACAACGGGCACGGCTCATGAAACAAAGAACTATTCTTCTCAACACTCTGAACTCTCGAACTATAGAGGCCCGTTGCTTTCAAGCCAAAATATTTGATGAGCTCTCGCTAAGTAGCCTTACCTTGAGAGATCGGAGTGCCGTAAGTAGGTAGGGTTTTGTCCGTCGAAATTTCAAGATTCACCATGCAACTGGCCCGAATGAAACAGTGCCAACGACAATGATGTAAGATTTGGAAGAACAGCCGGTCAAAATATGAAGATCGTCGGAGACAGAGGATGGTATCAGATATCTAAGAAGGATGACTCCGAAGCTCGTCCTCGGGATGCGGTCGGGTTCATGAAACTTTGACCGATTGAGACCAGCAAGGTAGTTCCCAGTGAAGAGGATAGGGTTGATGAAGGTTAAACAAAGGGAAAGGCGCTTAACAAGAAGTAAATACTGATTTGATAGATACCGACCCTGCCCTGATTGCTAGTGACTTTCAGCTTCTCAACCTCAGTACTAATCCGATTACCTGCTATCTAAGCCGAAAAAACGCTCCTCTCCCTCGAGCGGAAGTACTTGGCAGGGTACAGAGTTTCATTGACACATGTTTAACAGGGAGAACCATGCGTTGAATTCGGCCAGGCTTGACCGCTGAACAAAAGGTCAAGATCTTGTCCCCGAGCATGATCAGGGTTGACCCTGGTGGCGAAGATCCACTGGTAGATGTTGCTCTTGTCAATTTGTGTTTTGCCTTTCTGGGCCTTTCCGAATCCAGTCCACTAGACTAAAGTTGGACAGGAAATGGTGAAAGTCGGTTGATTTGATTTCTTGATATGGAAGAATCCAAGTCAAGGTCGGATAGTCTTCTCATGTAGAGGACTATGCAATCGACTTGATCAGAGACCTTTGTAACATTCAACAGTAAGTGTGGGTAGTCGAACTAATCCATGTATTGAGGGCAATTCGAATGAGCGGGCGGAGCATCTGATAAACGAAAAAAGATCACGACTCCAGATATGTAAGATAAACACCTCCCATATCAATCAACGCCTCATGTCCGTCCTTAGTAAGCCCAGATATTCAGAATACCCCGTCGCTCCGCATCCATAGAATAAGGAACAAGATATGCAAGCCTACTCAGGCATATGGACTCACTCATGCACCGTCGGGCCTCGCAAAACTCCAGTCAATAGGCTCGTCGACTTCGAGGATAGACTCTGACACAAAGCATACTTCTTCAAGGGGCCTTTCAGCTGCCGGGGAACTTGGTTTGCGCATTTCGAGCAGGCGAATTCAAGAGTGCAGTGCAGAGGCTATGTGAACTTACTTTGTCACCTCGGGCAGGACTTTGTCTTTCCACTCTGAGCCGCACATATCGACCTTCACAACCTGACGGTTAGAGATACGAGATCAGCACGTGAGTATTCGGTTCTTATAGTTGTATCATGGAAGCAGGAATTTCATCATGTCGCTTTCGTCGCTCATGATGCAGGAAATAAGGAGATATCAGATTGTCCTGCCGGCGGGATGAAAGACTTTCAGTGTGACAGATTGAGAAGCTTTCCTTGAACTTGATGGATGCCGCTGTGATCCAAAAAGAGAGAGTCCACAGGAGTATCATCTCACCTCTTATACCCTGCACCCTCGACTCTTATCGTCCTCATCCTACCTTACCTACCAGCCTTTCAGTTCTCTCGAGAGGCGCTAATAGCAATGACCTCAGCTTGATACCTTGTTCACAAGCTCATACTCCCCTGAAAACTCGACGATCACATCAATCATACACGGATCTAGAATTCCGCATCTTCCGCGCGACGATCGCCCATATCCTCCGGTATTACCCATATATGATGCCGAGCGCGCGTGTCCCAGTAACCGCACAAATAGAAGTCCATCTCACTTTTGAATGTGCGTCTGGAGGACTTTCAGCTCGCTAGAGTGAACTCCACGATAGACGGGAGTCGATCTGATCTCTCGGCTTTGAATCGTACCCAGGAGCTCGGACACACAGCAGATCATTCTGATCTAGGAAAGTCTACCAAAGTGCTGGTACTAGGCGAATGGGTATGCATAGCATAGTCTGATAGACCTTTATAAATTGTGGTCTGAATGCTGTACAAGGCGATCAAGCTTCATGACTTCATGCCCGCTATACTGGACGTTTGGAACTTGGTACAATGTGACTGTACCGTATCCTATGCATCGGTTGGTGTCACGCCGTGGGCAAGGTTAGATCATAGCGACCTTCTACGTACACTATGGAAATTAAAATCTCATAAGAGGTCACAGGCATCGTGTCCCCAAACGCTTAAGTAAAAGTCGCTACACCGAATAAGATGACAATTCCAGCAAGCTGCAACCTGCCCTAAAGATATGCAAGAAGTAATGCAAAAGAAGACACGAAATAATAAGAGTATTCAGAAACACAAAAAGAAACACCAATCATTCAAATATCAACGCCATATCCACCCATTTCCAAATCTAGACCGAGCTCATCATCTCGTAACGCGCGAGTGTGCAAACATAGGCACAATAATAGACAAAAGACGCACAAAATCAACAACAAAAACCATCAGTCTCAAGCCTGAAAGGCCGGGAAGGAAACGGTTTGACTAATATGCTGACTGAGGGGGAACCATTCCTCCGTATCCGCCGGCCATCTGCTGCTGCTGCTGCTGCTGCTGCTGCTGTTGTTGTTGTTGCTGCTGCTGCTGTAGTTGGGCTTGGACTTGAGGCAAATCATGGAACCACGGGTGCTGCAGGGCATCTGCGGCGCTGATGCGCATCTCGGGACGAAGTTGGAGCATGCGGTTCAGAAGGTCCAGGCCTAGCGGATCAATCTGGGGCAGGAGTGCGCCGAGGTCTTGCGTAGCATACACGTGGAAAGTGGGCTTGTACTCGGGTAGCTGGGAGATACCGGGCCATGAGCGCTCGGATGGGGTGCCCATCAGGCGGAAAATCTTGACCAGCTGGTCCTCGTTGGTAGTACCCGGGAAGAGAGGACGACCGGTGTACATCTCCGCCATGATACAGCCCGCTGACCAGATATCAATACTGGTGTTGTAGGTTCGTGAGCCAAGCAGAACGTCGGGAGCACGGTACCACAAGGTAACGACTTCGTTGGAAAAGGTATTGACGGGGATACCGAAGGCACGCGCGAGACCAAAGTCACCGAGCTTGAGTTGACCCTTTTTGTTGATCAAGAGATTCTGAGGCTTGAGATCACGATGCAAGACGCGGTTCTCATGACAGAAAGCAATTCCCTTCAGCAGCTGGTGCATGAACGACTTGATGGTGGCCGGGTCTAGCTGGCCGCGATCTCCGCGGGTGTCCATGTACCGCTTCAAGTCCCGATCCATGAACTCAAAGACGAGCATCAGCTTGTTTTCGGTGTGAATGACATCGTACAGGGATACGATGCTCTCATGCTTGAGTTCCTTCATCAGTGAAATCTCACGGATTGCTGTCGAAGGAGTACCCTCTTCCGAATCCAGGTGGATTTCCTTGAGAGCAACCATCTCGCCCGTCTGGCGATTACGGCCCTTGAAGACCTAGAACGATCATATTTCAGCGATTCATTGTCCATAAAAATAGGAGGCAGAGGTCAAATGGGAACGGAAGAGAAGCGGAGAGGGCGGGCAAGTTCAACGGTCGCGAAAGCACGCTGGAGGGGTTGGCCGTAGGCTATCCGCCATGGGGTATGTATCGCGAGGTCGGGATTCAAGCGACGTGGAGCAGAGCGAAGATCACACGGAGATTTTTAAACGTACAGTGGCATAGGTGCCTTCTCCGAGCTAGCAGCCGTATAGTCCCCCGGTCAGTATTCTATTCCACATGCCACATTCCATGTCCTGGAGTGACTGATCCATACCTTTTCCAACTGCTGGAAGGAGCTCGGCTGCTGAGATTTGTCCATTTTGCGACGCTGAGAAAGCCGAGATGCGGAGACCGCAGAGGGTTTAGCGGCACTGGGATTGAAGAGAAAGAAACCTGGTGAGACGAGGGTTGTTGGAGCCGACTTTAAAGGGAGTGCTGCAGGATCCCTGAGACGCTCCATGCTGATGGAAGGAGGAGCCCCGCGCGTCAGGAAATGGGCCAACTAAGTTCAGTCCCTCCGCTTATGTGTACAAACGGCGGCTGAGAAGGGCAGCAGAAAATCAATCTGGACTTGCACTTTTGTCTTCGAGGAAAGATCCTGGGTGTATAGCGTGGGACAATTCCTGGTTATTTATTTTTCCTTTTTGTTCAAGAGCTGAGAACTTCTATTGACTAATCAAAAATTATGCGTACTAATGTTACAGGTGTCTAATCAGGCACCTCGATCCAGGTCATCTGGTCCAGCATCCAGACTCCAGACTGCCGACTCTTCTGGCTGTCACCGTGGATTGTCAGGCAGCATCGACACCACGGTCGGTAAGATGTCCTGAGTGGGATGGCTGCAGCGCACATGGCCAGTCGTAGTCCCGCCCAGCTTGGAGCTCAAGCCTAACTCTGGATCCCCAAAGAGCATCGTCTCATTACGGACGCCTCCCACGTTGATGATGCCAATCGGCATGCCCCGTTTATAGGCTCGTTCCACCAGCCGCCACGCCGAGTAGGTCGCCAGACTGCTGCCCAGCACAAGTAAGCGCCCGGCGTCGTCGATGGCTTCTTCCGCCGCCGTCTTCACCGCCGGATCGATGTTCTCGCCAAACATGATCACCGCGGGCTTGAGGATGCCCGCGTTGGACGTGGGCAACCAGGCCCCGTCGCTTTCTACTTCCACACGGGCGGGCGTCCCATCCTTCAACCGCGGTGGTTTCTCTAGACAGGTGGGACAGGAAGGATACCGGAACGTGGAGTAGGGGGCCTGCGGCAAGTCGACATCACCGTCCGGGTTCAGTTTGAAGCCCTTCTTGCGTTGCTCCTCGGGATTTCTGGTGTCGAGTGCACCAACCTCGACCATGCGAGCCAGGAACTCGGCCCACGCCGGATTCAGTCGCTCCAGCGAGTTTTGAAACTCTTGGCGCGAGAACTGGTTACGACAGCTGACACAGACCACCGAGCGCAAGTAGCCATGTAATTCGATGGTCGACAAGTCTGGATGGGCGACGGAGTGGAAGGAATCGACATTCTGCGTCACCACAGAACTGATGTAGCCCTTGACTCCGAGGTCCCGAATGGCATGGTGTGTGGAATTCGGCCTCGCACTCACGAGACCCGGCCAGCCCACGAAACTACGTGCCCAGTATCGCTTGCGCGCTTCATGACGTGCGGTAAATTCATGGAAGTAGATGGGTCGGTAGGAGGTGTTGCGACGATAGGTGCCTTGGTCTCCTCGATAGTCTGACAGACCCGAGGCGACGGAGATGCCGGCGCCCGTCAAGAGTACGGTCTGGGTATTGCTGCCCACATCGACGCCTCGGAGGTGGAAGGAGGGCGGCGAGGCGAGGAAGGTGCTCACGGCATCGATAGCTCCCGCAATGGTTTTGGCCGAGGGTGGGATGATCAGAGCGGGAGGCAGTGGACCCGTAAAGGGAATGCGGATGGCCGGCGAGGTCATTGAGGACGCATCCTCGTGAAGAAGAAAGAGGACGTAGGAGGGCACGGAAGTATGCCAAAGGTACTTCTGGTGAATCAACAGAGCTCGAGGCAGATGCAAGGCTTGGCAATGACGAACGATCGGACGGGAGGCTCAGCGATCGGCCTGGATCTCGTGGGTGACCCGTCGCCGTTCCATAGTTGATTAGTATTTATATTTACTATTTACTGTAGTATTACTGTAGTGGTAGTATTTTAATAGTATCTAAGTAGTGCGATTTACTTGTAGGATGGTTCACTCATCCCTTGGGTGTGCGGTTCTGTAGATCTCCACGCCGATGGCGTCGTCGAATTCTGGGGTCCAGTCTTGGCTTGTTCCGGCGATACACTTTCCATATGTCCCATGTCCATGGTGCTTGATTTTCTTCCTCTACGACACAATAGCTCTGCATCTTTACGGCATACGACATGGAAAAAGGGTGATGGACTTCCAACTCTTTTAATCTAAGATGATTCGTGTGTTGCAGATTTCCTCGGAAGTTACACCTGGTTGTACAGAACGAGTCGCGTTGCCTTGATACAACCCGTGTCCAAGTGTAGACTGTAGACCCAGCGATGATGTAGTTCTTGAGAAATTCCGCTTGCGCTCTTACCATGCGCCTTGCGCATCGAAAACTCGTCATCCAGATTTTCACAAGGACAAAGAAAAAAATTGAATCATGCCTCCGTATATCCACACCGTTGATCTTCACAATCTTCACAGATCGTATTCTCGAGGATATGGAAGTTGCCCATCACAAGCTACACCATGTGAAGATCTTCCTCTCGAGCAACCAACTCCGCCACACGCTGCTATCGCCGACCGACGGAGCCGGATGACATGATCGGACCACAGCACAGGCTGGAGGCTGGAGATGATGCCATGCCTTTTGAAGGAAAAGCATTGGGGGCGTCCACCTTGTTTTTAAAAATAGCCCCTTCCCCAGTTCCTGAACTGATCGTTTACTCCCGTAGTTGAGTCTTTATTTTTTTTTTGAATCGATCTTTTCTCGACTCTCGCATGTGCCCTGGATGTTGCTCGATTACCTAGACGGGCTGTGTTTCTTATTTTTTTTTTCTCTTTTTTAATATCCCTTTTTCCTTCCTCTGCGTCCGAGCGTGAAGAAAGAGCCCATTCCGAATTCTATAGCCTCGCGGGTTCTAAGACGCAATATAGTCTGTCAGAAGAGAACACCTTGTCCACTTGGTGAACCCTGGTGCCACCAACTAATCCCAAACCAGGCCCGGCCGCGCGATGCTGCTGACGCAGCCCCTGCGGTCCTGCTGGAGGTGCAGACCTCGTCCGGCCCTCCGCTCGCGTGCTCTCCGCGCAGCGCCTCCTGTCAAGCTTCTTTCATCTCGTCGAACACCCTCGTCGCACCTCGGCACCTTCACCTCTTCCACTCCTTTACATACCAGTGCATCCCCCCCCGTCGTCGCTCGGTCGTCCCATGTTCCGCCCCGTCCATCCCGTCGCGCTCTCTTAATCACATTCCCGATGACGCAAACTCGCGCCCACGGTGGCCATGGCCATTCCCATCATCACCACCACCACGACAATGTCTACCTCACCTCTACCAACAAACATGATGCGGGCGTGCGCATCACACGGATCGGTCTTGTCGCGAATCTGGGCATGGCCATTGGCAAATTCATCGGCGGATATGTCTTCAATTCACAAGCTCTGATTGCCGACGCCTATCACGCGCTGGCGGACTTGGTCTCGGACTTTTTGACACTGGGTACGGTGGCCCTGTCGCTGAAACCCCCCAGCGAGCGGTTCCCCAACGGATACGGCAAGGTGGAGAGTATTGGTGCGCTGGGCGTCAGCAGTCTACTTCTCTGCGGTGGTGTCTTGATGGGGTTGAACGCAAGCCAGGTCCTGCTTGCGCAGTTTTATCCAGATTTGGCGGAGATGCTCGCTCACACGGGCCTGTTGGGTCATGGTCATTCCCACAGTCACGGACTGGACGTGCACGGTCCGAGTATCCATGCTGCCTGGCTGGCGGCGGGCTCGATTGTGATCAAGGAATGGTTATATCATGCCAGTCAGTAACCCCCTGAGATCCTTCCGTCTTCTGATGAGGATTCGAAGGTCACCGGCGGGGCGTCCCCGCGCATCGGAACTTTTCAGGACTAACAATGTCTCCTACAGCAATGAAAATCGCCAAGGAACGGAAATCATCCGTCCTCGCTTCCAACGCAGTCCACCACCGCGTGGATTCCCTCACCAGCATCGTTGCGCTCTTCACCATCGGCGGAAGCTACGTCTTCCAAGATGCCACCTGGCTGGACCCGGTGGGTGGTCTTTTGATCTCCTTGATGGTCATCAAGGCCGGGTGGGCCAACACCGCCACCTCGCTACTGGAATTGGCCGACACGACCGTGGACCCGGACATCAAACAGTCCGTCCACAAGGCTGCCGTCAAGGCCCTGAAGGAGCTTCAGAACGGCGACCAGGTGGTCGTCCGTGACGTGCAGGGCATGAAATCGGGTCAGAACTATCTCATGGACATTGAGCTCGCCGTGCCCGGTGCATGGCCTCTGACACAGTCGCGCTCTGTGGAGGAAGTCGTGCGTCAGACCGTGGGCGAGAAAGTGCGCGGTGTTAAGCGGGTCAAGATTCGTTTCGTCCCCGTGGAACAACCAGAACTTACCTTTTCCGAGGAGTTTGTGGCCCAGGACACTGCGGTGATCCAGGAGCCCGAGGAGGATGGTCACGAGCCCAATCACGAGCACGACCATGATCCTCATCACAGCCACGTGGACTCGCAGTCCCGGAAGAAACAATAAAATCTGCCTCGTGTTTTTTGTGGGGGGGGGGGGGGACTATGTAACATGGTTGAAACACACGACACACGCGCAGACGGTTGGAACCTGTCTGTTTCTGTTCAAGTATATCTCATCGTTGGCATTGCAATGATACCCCGGAGTGATCCGTCCTCTCTTCAAATCTTAGTGATTGCTGGCCAGAAAGACAGCGTGTCGGTGAAGAATTGATGCTTCTCCCCATTTCATCTATGCGTCGACGGACCCCCGAGAGACCCAAATAGTACCTCGCCACGTCATCAACAAATTATGTTCAACCTTGACCACGTGGGAGCTTCGGATCTGTAGACTGAGAAAATTCCCATCTGATCGAGCTAGGTGCCTGTCGATCGGTGTTTGACTGGCGAGTAGCTGCTCTGAGATGAGCTCCAGTATGTGTCATGGTACAAACTGGGGCGTTCCCCTGTCTTCGCAAGCGGTGAGATTGAGTCGATCCTACCCCCAGTCACCATAAGTTTACCTGGTTGACCGTAGTGCTAGCTTGCTATGCCGGGACTATACTATACCCGTGTTAGTAGCCGTCTGTAGTTCTGTACAAGGTACAACCCGTGTACAGCTTATTCCAATGGGTACACAGCTACACTCCCGTTGACACTGAGTACCTCAGTAGGTAGTGGTACCCCGTGAGCCGCCCTTCAGGCCTTCGGGCCAGCCGGGCAACCCCAAGAAGTGGGGCCATCATTCGGCCTCGCTGAAATTCTACCGCGTCCCCCGAATGAGAATTCCATTTAGCAGACCCTCGGTTCCATTTAGCCGGGCTGCTGAACCGTCCAGCCTGAAGACACAAGCTCCAAACGGGTGCATCAATTCCACTCGACGTACAGCTACAGCAGTAGTAAGGCACATATTATTTTCCTGTCCCTGATGATGTTCCTTTCATGCTCCCTCATCGTGAGTGTTTTCAAACGTCTCCCCCTGCTCAATGTCGCGAGGGGGCGATTGACCGACTACTGACGTCGTCTAAAGAGGGTCCCTCGCCAATGAAGTGGACGGGACTGCTTGCCATCAACACGGTGGGGTTCGACGCGGGGTCCCTTTACATCATTGCCGACCACTTCCTCAAGGTTGAGGTAGTTCACTCTCGCATCATTCCGAATCCCCCACCAGACGGTGCGTAGTACTAGTGAGTAGTACTAGTGACTCGTGAGTAATTAGTAGTACTAGTTACTAGTCGGTCACGAGGCTGTACTGCTCGTGCCAGTAGCCCGGGGTAGCTGCCCAGCTGCTTTTTTCCCGAGCTGGTTAAATTACTACGTCCCTCCTCCCATTCCCCAACTCCCCATATCTGAGCCTGGTCTCGTCCTCGTGATTTCTTTTTTTTTTTTTTGGTTTAAGAAGATTATTCCACCTTTGGACTTGGTCGTTATCTATACGGTTTCACTGTCACGAGTCCCAACTCTGCCCCGCCTTGTCAATTGGGACGCTCGTGTATAAATAAAATATTATCCGTGCCAGTCAGCCGTCTCCTCCCTGGTTCAGACTGTACCTGAACACACGGAAGACAACCCTCTGTCGCAGCGCAATTGATCAACTGGACTGTTCATCGACGACAGCGCGCAACCATTCCCTACCTGTTCCCCCTCGTGTCCTGTTCGAACACAACCCCATTGAAACCTCCTAGCTACCACCAATCTACTCCCCCGCCATGGCTTCACAATCCCCCCTCTACATCGGGTTCGACCTCTCGACCCAGCAGCTCAAGGGCGTCGCCGTCAACTCCGACCTCAAGGTAGAATACCTGGCCAAATTCGACTTTGACGCCGACTCGACCGGCTTCTCCATCAAAAAGGGCGTCATGACCAACGAGGCCGAGCACGAGGTGTTTGCCCCCGTGGCGCTGTGGCTGCAGGCCATGGATACCGTGCTCGAGAGTCTGCGTAAGCAAGGAATGGACTTTGGCCGGGTCAAGGGGATCAGTGGTGCGGGCCAGCAGCACGGCAGTGTCTACTGGAGCTCGAATGCGGAGCAATTGCTGCAGGGGCTGGATGCGAAGAAGACGCTCGAGGACCAATTGTCCGCGGCGTTCTCGCATCCGTATAGTCCGAATTGGCAGGACGCGAGTACGCAGAAGGAGTGTGATGAGTTTGATGCGGTGCTGGGAGGGCCCGAGCAGCTTGCGCAGGCGACGGGGAGCAAGGCGCATCACGTAAGAAAGGACCCCGATCGAGGAAGGAGGAGGGTGTTTGAAGATTGAGTGCCGAGATGATGCTAATTTGATTTTGATGTTGCTTTTCGACAGAGATTCACGGGTCCTCAGATCTTGCGATTCACGCGAAAACACCCTCAGGTGTACGAAAAGACATCGCGGATCTCCCTGGTCTCTTCTTTCATTGCCTCTCTCTTCCTCGGCCACATTGCGCCCTTTGACATCTCGGATGTCTGTGGCATGAACCTGTGGAATATCAAGCAGGGCGGCTATGATGAGAAGATTCTCAAGCTGTGCTCCGGCACGTTCGACGTCGAGGGTCTCAAGAACAAGCTCGGCCCTCTCTACGAAGATGGCGGCAAGCACCTGGGCTCGGTTCACTCCTACTATCGCGAGCGCTACGGCTTCAGCCCCGACTGTACCGTGATTCCCGCCACGGGCGATAACCCCGCCACCATCCTGGCCCTGCCCCTGCGTCCCTCGGACGCCATGGTCTCCCTGGGCACATCGACCACCTTCCTCATGTCGACTCCCAACTACAAGCCCGACCCGGCCACTCATTTCTTCAACCACCCTACCACCGCCGGTCTGTACATGTTCATGCTCTGCTACAAGAACGGCGGCCTCGCACGTGAACACGTCCGCGACGCGATCAACGACACCTTCCACGATCCCTCCCTCGCGCACAGCTGGACACACTTTGATGAAAAGGCCCTCTCCACCTCCCCCATGGGCCAAACCTCCCCAACCTCCCCCATGAAGCTCGGCCTCTTCTTCCCCCGGCCCGAAATCGTCCCCAACCTGCGCGCCGGCCAATGGCGCTTCACCTACGACCCAACGACCGGTGCCCTCACCGAGTCCACCGGCCTTTCTACCTGGAACACCCCGCACGACGAGGCCCGCGCCATCATCGAAAGCCAAATGCTCTCCTTACGCCTGCGCTCCCGCGGCCTCACCCACAGCCCCGGGCCCGGTCTCCCGCCCCAGCCGCGCCGCGTCTACCTCGTCGGCGGCGGCTCCAAGAACAAGGCCATTGCCAAGATTGCCGGTGAGATCCTGGGCGGCGTCGAGGGCGTGTATAAGCTCGACATTGGCGATAATGCGTGCGCGTTGGGGGCGGCGTACAAGGCCGTGTGGGGCATTGAGCGGGCAGAGGGCCAGACCTTTGAGGAGTTGATCGGGCAGCGGTGGAAGGAGGAGGATTTTGTCGAGAAGATTGCGGAGGGGTATCAGGAGGGGGTGTTTGAGTTGTATGGGAAGGCGGTTGAGGGGTTCGAGGCGATGGAGAAGAGGGTTTTGGATCAGGTCCGGGCGGAAAAGCGTGCGTAGATCGTACATAGCTGGAGCCCGTTTTGAGTCCGGGCCCCTGTCGGTCTGTTCCCATGATATGTCAAGTACGAGATAGAGTACCGTATGATCTCTCAATGAGTGATGATGTTTCAGGGTTTTGATCAATTACCGAAATAAACCACCGGGGAACCTAATGCAGTACAGTAGATCGAATACGCTCAGCTTATGATTTCTCATCTCAGTGGGAGATAGTCTTAATTCCTTGCTTCCTATATCGATCAAGTCATTTCATCTTGTACAGCGGTAACTTTAGGCTATGGACTCGGTCACGGCTGTCCTTTTGTCCCTGTTGAGCATATGCAATATGCATTCTATGTAGTTGTGTACTTGGTACTTACTGCCCGAACTATAGTACTTTACGCCCCCGGAGATGGAAATGGCGTACTTTAGTACCGACTACCTACTACCTATAGCCAATTACACTCACAAATAGAGCCCGTACAATATGCATGAAGGATTGGGGGGCGTTATGAATATGTCTATTATCGTAACCGGAAGCAGCTGCTAAGCGGTATTGACTATCATGATGGGCATAGATTGTGTAGTCGTACTTTATGTGAGAAGGGCTGGTTTTATGGAGAAATCTACCCAAGGAACTATGGGGGGGGAAGAGTTTAGTGTTCAGTGTTGAGCTGGATAGAGGGTTTTTTTTTTTTTTTTTTTTTTTTTTTGAAGATCTGCGGTGTTTTTTGGCTGTTGTTTTCGGGATGAGGGTGATATTTGATTGATTCCGGTATTATTGCTGGGAAGTGCAGTTTCATAGATTGCATGACTATGATTAGTTTGCTTTTTGAGGGATGTATTAAACACGGTGCCGGTGAGACCGTGAGAGCTTTGGTACACGTTCGTAAATATCGTTAGGTAGAAATGATTTCAGATGCTGACATTTCAGGTGCTGACATATGTTAGGTTGTCTTTCAGGTCCCGCGGCAGCTTGACTTGGTGGCTTGTAGTACAGAGACTCATAGGTAGCTAGGTAGCTCATGGTTTCCTCTGAATCAAGTCAAATGAGTCATGTTTCGTACTTCTTTGTTTCTAGTAGGCTCGTGCAGAAGTATAAGGAAGAGGTAGTGGTGAGTCGATGACCCGCCCACCAGCTGTATTGTCATTGTTATAATGTGCAGTCAAATTCAAGTCCTCGTCAAGTCAGCATGTAGTCATGTACTCACTGCAGGACGGTAGTAAGAGGTAATCACTGCTTTTGCGAAAGAGCCAAGTGGCATAGTCAGGATGTTGATAACGTGATAGTGGAGGATCATGGATGACATGTTCAGTCTTACCTCGACTATGACGTTCTTCGAGAGCCGAGTCGAGTGTGCCAAACGTATTTAAGGTACCGCAGTCCAGTCCACGCTGCCACTTACCTAATGAGGAGGCTGAAAAAGCCCAATCCTCATTCCTCATTCCGTACCAGAACGGGCCTTGTCCTACTTACGTACACTCACCACTCCTTGTACCATAGCTTCAAGCCTTGAATTCTTCATGTTGTTCACTTCCTTTTTCTTAGATCCTTCCTCAGAGCAGCACATTTAGACCCCGTGAACGCTGCACCAGACCGAGCGGACCCTCTTCCCCGAGTCTCGAATTTCGATTACGGTACCCCCAATTTCCTTATGGGGACGGATAGTAGTCTTCCACTGAAAAAAACAATTTTGGATCCAACACACCTCTGCATCATCCACCCCCAAACCCTTCCCACCTTTGCTCTCTTCTCTTCCCTCCCCACGCTCTTTGTCCAGGGATCAGGAAGAGCTCGGCTGGTTGAAGATGGAGGAACAGGTGAGTGTTTGTTCTCTCGCCCTTCACCCCCTCCCCGCAGACCTTTTCGGTCCTTTCAAGTCTCGTTCAAAATTCTTCCATTCGTGACCCCTCCAAAACCCAATCCCCTCCCCCCACGGGACCATCGCCGTCACCGCATCCCGCACCTCTGCCTCCTCCTCCTCCTCGACTCCGAGATTGTTGATTGCAAGAAAATCCATTCCAACATGAACAGACTGGTAACCTCTCATTGTGTTTTTTCCACTTCTTCGTTGGCTATTCTAGGTAGCGAATGCAATTGAAATTGCCTCCAATCCTCATCCCGACCTCGCCCTCAAATCTCAAGCTTTCGAATTCCTCAATCAACTCCGTTCCGATCCCTCCGGCTGGCCAGTCTGCCTGCGACTTTTCCTCAAATCCCCCCCACAGTCCGAGATTGTTCGACATGCAAGCTTGGAGGTCATCAACAGTGCTGCCCAGACGGGGCTGATCGACCCGGACTCGCTGGCTTATGTCCGTGATGAATTGATGACCTATGTTCGGAGTGTGTACGGCCCCGAGAGCGCTACGACCCCCGATGCACCTTATATCCAGAATAAGCTCGCTCAGACGGTCACCTACCTTTTCTCCGGACTCTACGCCGGCCGTTGGGAGACTTGCTTCGATGACCTGTTGAGTCTGACGTACAAGAGCTCGGCAAGCACGGGCCGCGACAACCTGAACGGCATTCTTTTCTACCTGCGGGTGGTCAATTCGATCCACGAGGAGATTGGGGATGTGCTGGTGTCAAGGTCGCGCGGCGAGCAGGACAAGGCGAACAGTCTGAAGGACCTGATCCGAGAACGGGACATGCAGAAAATCGCGAATTCGTGGCAGGAAATTCTCTCTGCATGGCGAGACGCCGACGACACTGTGGTGGAATTGTGTTTGAAGGCAGTCGGTAGTTGGGTCAGCTGGATCGACATTGGTCTGGTCGTCAACCAGACCATGTTGGACTTGCTCTTCCAGCAGTTGGGCCGTGCAGAGAAGCAGGAACTGCGCGGGGGGGGAACAGCGAGTTCGCGATGCTGCCGTGGATGTATTCACCGAGATCATCGGCAAGAAAATGAAGCCTGCCGATAAGATCGAAATGATCATCTTCCTCAACCTCGACTCGATCGTCACCCAATTGTCCAACAGCCCACCTCTGCGAGAAAGCCGTTTCACTTACAAGTACGATGTCGATCTTGCCGAGACGGTCGCCAGGCTCGTCAACATCACCGTCCAGGATATCGTCCGTGCTCTCGAGACCGACACGGGTCCAGTGAAGGAAAAGGCAAGCGACCTCCTTCAAGTCTTCCTCCCTCACATCCTCCGATTTTTCTCCGACGAATACGACGAGATTTGCTCCACGGTCATTCCCTGCGTCAACGACATGCTCGCCTATATGCGCAAGGTGGCCAAGGACGACGCAGCCTTGCAAGCGCGCAACAAGTCTATTCTGTTGCCCGTTCTCAAGGCTATCGTGGCCAAGATGCGATACGACGAAACCTCCAACTGGGGCGATGAGGATGAACAGACCGACGAGGCGGAGTTCCAAGAACTTCGGAAGAGACTGGGTGTTCTGCAGCAGATCATCGCCTCGGCGGACGAGCAATTATACATCGATGCCATCTCAGAAGTAGTGGGCACCACTTTCGAGAAACTGCGAGCCTCTGGTGGCCAGATTGACTGGCGCGATCTGGACTTGGCTCTGCACGAGATGTTCCTCTTTGGTGATCTTGCTGTCAAGGCTGGTGGATTATACAGCAAGGGCCAACCCAACGGACCCGCTGCTGTGCGACTGATTGAGATGATGCTCGGCATGGTCGAGTCGGACATTCGTTCATTCACACACCCGGCGACTCAGCTCCAGTATATGGAAATCTGTGTTCGGTATAGCTCCTTCTTCCAGAGCCACGTGCAGCTTATTCCCGGGGTGCTTGAGAGCTTCCTCCAGTTGGTTCATCATCCCAACCGCAAGGTCAAGACGCGCTCCTGGTATCTCTTCCAACGACTTGTCAAGCAACTGCGTGGTCTCATTGGCAACGTAGCACAGACGGTTGTGGAAGCGTTGGGCGACCTTCTTGTCATTCAAGCCGAGCTCCCCTCGGAGGGCGAGGACGGCGATGAAATGTCTTCGGAAGATCACGAAGGCTCCGCAGATGCAGTGTTCAATAACCAGTTGTATCTCTTCGAGGCTGTTGGTGTGATCTGCTCCACCAACAGCGTGCCCGTGGATAAGCAAGTCCTCTACGTTCAGTCCGTCTTGAACCCCATCTTTGCCGATATGCAGCGAAATCTCGAAGCGGCCAAATCCAATGATGAGAGGGCGCTGTTGCAGATCCATCACGACATCATGGCTCTGGGCACCTTGACTCCGGCCAGCAGTACCCCAGTCGCTGTCCCGGCGCCCGAAGTCTCCGAATGTTTCTGTCAGGTGGCCGAGGCGACTCTGGTCGCTCTCGAGTCTCTCAAGGCATCTTTCAACATTCGCACCGCAGCTCGATTTGCCTTCTCCCGGTTGATCAGCGTTCTTGGCGCGCGCATTTTGCCTCAACTGCCTCGTTGGATCGATGGACTGCTGACTCAGACTTCTACGCGGGACGAGATGGCTCTGTTCTTGCGCCTGTTGGATCAAGTGATCTTTGGATTCAAGGGCGAGATCTATAACATTCTTGACGCACTTTTGACTCCTTTCCTTCAACGTGTCTTTTCTGGTCTCGGCGAGACCACGACGGGGACTGATGACGAAATTCAATTGGCTGAGCTGAAGCGCGAGTATCTCAGTTTCTTGCTGGCTGTTTTGAATAATGATTTGGGCGCGGTGATTATCAGCGAGAGTAAGTGTTGTGAAAGTCTAGGCATTGAGGTGTGAAGCTGACACTAACCTGCGTGCAGGGAATCAACCTCTTTTCGATACCGTCATCACCACGATCGAGCACTTTTCCAAAGACATTGAAGACTTTACCACCGCCAAGATGGCATTCTCTGTCCTTTCCAGAATGGGCAGTGCCTGGGGTGGACCCGACGTCGCTCCGGGCGCCACCAACGGTGCTGCGCCTACTCAGGCGGCCATTCCTGGGTTCGGCGGATTCATGATCACTCGATTCTCGCCTCTTTGCTGGGCGCTCCCGACTACACCCAACTTCAACTCGAAGGATGCTCTCGCCAAGCAGGTCCTCGCCGAAGCGGGCGGCCTGCAAAGGACCATCTACCTCAAGACCGGAATGGAATATGTGGAGTACTTGCGGACTCGGGAACTCCCCGGCATGGGTATGGGGGGTGATTTGATTGAAGAATTCTTGACGGCTTTGAGTCAGCTGGACACAAAGGGATTCCGGCAATTCTTCCCCGTAAGTTTTGATCAACACTGATGTTGCAAAAAGCCTGTATTGGGACCACTCCTGCTGACCTCTTCCTCTTTTTCACCCTCTCTCATAGTCCTTCATCCAACGATTGAGCGCATAAAAAGCTGTTACTCTCATCTTGTCCATTCCCTTACTTCCACGACACACAACCCCGTCATGTCCACATCTCCTCCCGTCTGTTTATTTAGATTCCCCTTTGCAATACCAACCTTCTTCTCCATTGGGATTTTTTTTGGTGATGGGCCGAGCTTCAGCAAGGAAAACGATCTTCGTCCCCATCCATGGCGCATGTCCTCTTACTTGGCAAAGATGACTCTTGGGTGTCATGGTACCTGACACAGGGGTATTCAAAGAAAAACCCCATCCTACTAACGTCATATGCATTCTCCCTCGGCCTCATTGTGGTGAGCTAGCCTGAATCGCTGCATGATTTCTGCATCGCTGCATTTCCGCATTGTCTCTTTTCTTCAACTCTCTCAAACCTCCCCCCGTGACCACATCGCGCAAAATGAATCGATAGCGTACAAGCCGAGAAAACCCAATTCCGCCCACCCCCTTTCTGGCAATGGCAATCAAGACAATAATTTCCAAGTGAAGAATCACTGGCTTCGACGAAATAACCCTCGATCATGGCTAAACCGTGCACGTAACATCCCAGCTCTAAGCATTGGAAAATCGGGATGCGTCTCTTCCTTCCATATTGATCTAGTTAAAGGCGCGGGTCTAGTTATACTCGCACACTCACCTCCATGAGGTACACCCGATTTCTCCCGTTACATTCGAATCGGATCGCTGGAGCTTACGCGTACCGTGGAGATGAGGCTATTAAATGAATGTCTATTCTCAGGTGGGATAGATTTAAACATGAGATTTGATGTTTCTGGGTTCTTTGGCTGGGAAGTATCTCGCATGATTTGCATTGGATCGGCCTGTGCCGAACAGGTACTCTCGATCATCGTTTGCTGCGAACAGGTTGAAAAAGGGGGATTGAGTCATGATTCTCGCGATATGTCATAGTGCTGATTTTGTCATGTGCGTTTGACGGCTTTTTAAATAACATGCGTTGAGTTTGAGTCAGATTTCGTAATCTTCCAATAGATCGGGAGAAAGGCAGGATAAAGTGGACAAGGACTGGATCAAGAGAGGAACGGGCCCCGGATATGTGAACGACAATCTTGTTTAATCTTGTTCGTTCTAGTCTTGCTTTTTGCGTCTCTGTTTGTTTTCTCCGGCGCATTCAATGATGACTGTCGGGCTTTTTCTTCTCCTTGTGGAGTCGGGTTCGACGTTAAAGAAATGATAGATAGCTCACCCACTATTTCAAATATTTGGCTGCATGCTCGACGTGGTCATCCGCGAACGTGGCCATTGTGAAGTAGGAGTGGTCGTAATCGGGCTGGAATCGAATGTTCACGCCCTTGAGGCCGGCCTCGTCGGCAGCAGCCTGGAAGTGTTCGGGAAGAAGTTGGCCTTGCTTGTAGAAGTTGTCTCCGGTGCCCTGTACATGCGATACAGAGCGAGGATGGTGAATTAGCGTGCTGATTTGGAGAAAGAGGGGGTGAATGATGGGTGGTGGTATGGTTTATCTCGTTTGCGTATTGGGCACGTACCACGTCGATGAGAATATCGAGATCGGACCCCTTCCATTTCTTCACGAGCTCTGTCGCATCGTGCGCTTTCCACTTATCTTGCTGGTCCTCGCCAAAGTAGCCCTTGAAAGCCTTTTGGCCCCAGGGGCAGTTGATGGGGTTGGCGATGGGAGCAAAGGCCGAGACGGACTTGTATTTGCCCGGGTTGCGCAGGTACTAGATGGTTTAGAGTTAGTGGAATGACATGCACGTATATGTCTGACTCTTTTTGAAAGAGCCTTGAATCAAGACACAGAAGCGGAAGGTATGATGAACCTCCGCGGTTCAAACTTACCAAAGTAAGCGCGCCGTGTCCACCCATGCTATGACCGGTAATGCTCACCCGGCTCGAGTCCAACTGCGGGAACGCCTTGAACACAGTCTGGGGTAACTCCTCAGTCACGTAGCTGTACATGTTATAACCCTGGTCATAGGGGGCCTTGGTCGCATCGACATAGAAGCCTGCGCCGGACCCAAAGTCATAAGACTCGTCCTCGCCAGCAATGCCCAGGCCACCTTGTGTTGTCGATTAGCATCGGCTCTTGATGGGGAGGCAGTATACGAACATATAAAAGGCCTTTCGGCATGCCATTGAATTGAAACAGAATAATTGAATGCGCTTGGAAACTCTCAAGAAGGGGGCATGAACACTTACGAGGGCTAGTATCTGGGTACAGCACAGCAATACCCTTCTTGCTGGCCGCATGTTGAAAGAAGCCCTTCTCCGAGCAGTTGTCCGCAGTGCAAGTCAGACCAGAAAGATAGATCAATACGGGGAATTTGCCAGAGTCGCTGCTGTCCATAGCTCCAGGCGGCAGATACAAATTGAAGGACATCTCGCAACGGGTAGTCGAGGCATTGTGGCTCAGTTTGAGGAGCTTGCCGCCAAATGAGGCGATGCGTGCCTTTTCAGTGACGCCAGACATGATGAATAACTAGCACTGAATCCAGAGCCAGAAAGGTGAAAACAAAAGACGAGACGGAGACGTGATCGAAGAGACCAGAAGAACGGAGGGATGGAGTCCAGGGAATACAAAAGGGTCGAAAGATAAGGCGGAAAATGACGTTTTTAACGCCGCGCGGGGGGTTTCCGATGGTGTCCCGCATGAGGGGGAAAAAGCTCCACTCTTCACTTCGAGACGGTCGCTTCGGCCGTTGGAGCCGACCCGAAGGAAAGTCGCATGTATGGACCACGGGGGCGAAAAGGATTGGATCGCGGTATGAAGTGATGTGATGGTAGGGATTCGGTGCAAATGAACACTCATCTTCATGAAATGCTTTAGAGATGGACAAGAGGTATTACAAAAATAGAGGCCAATATAACACGAAGATCGGACCTATGACATCAGTTGAGAGTAAAGTGCGAATAGCTTCGTCGTACATTGTAATGTGGTAAAAAGACAGCTCGCACGCTATGATATATGATAATGGTATAGGGCAATGAAACCAAAAAGAATAAAAGACAAGAAGCACAAAAATATCAGGACACGACCTACTCTACTCCAAGAAGACCGGAACACCATATACAACCGGCGCAGCCCCATTCAAATACTTCAACACACATGATGCTCGAGCTCCAGCGACCGCAGCATCCAGACTGTTCTGACTTTCACGAGGTGAATTGCCCTTCCGGTCCAGGAGGCCCCATGAGTCGAATGTCGAGGTCGCAAATCGATCAATATCCTTGTCGGTCACATCCCAGAGAGTCGCGACCAGGGCCGGACTACCGGCTTGCAAATAGTTCATAGGTGTGCCGTAGGGCTCGTATTCGCCTGCTTCGGTGAGAGTGCCACTGCTACAGCCCATCAGAAAAGCAACTGCGCATTTGGTAAGGCGCTTAACAGTGCGCCCACGGATGTACTGTGCGCCGCTGCCGTGGCCAAAGTATAAGAAAAGGTCCTTTGTCTCCAAGGCAGATCGGAACTCTTCCTCGGACGGCTCACGATTGACCATTCCTGTCCAGGACTGTAACCTGGATAGGCCTGGCTCGAAGCTGTCCTGGGTAGAGCGCAGATCGCCCGTCGGGTTCAGCAGATAGGTACCAGAGGTGCGTTGAATGGTGGCGCCAGCCTGCGAGCCACGGAACTGAAGGACTCGATCTCGCAGACATTCGAGGGAAGGCACGCGGCAGACAGGGAAGCTCTGGAGACATGGTAGGGATTCCCAAGGGAACAGGTGCAGTGCTTTGTCAAGAACGAGTACAGTATGGCGTGGAGAGTCAGCAGCGACATCCTCCCGGGCAGCTTCATGGTAGCCTCGCAGAGCGTCAAGCGTATCGACGACCATCATATCAAAGTCGATCTCGTCGTAGGCGTTGCGCTCACCCTGAAATTGAAGAATGTCCACCACAAAGTAGAGAAGGTCCATCAAGATATCATCGGGCTCTTCCTGATCTTCCAAGTCGCGCAGACCAATGAACAACTCGAGAACATTTTGATGAAGAACGAGACGTGGGGTGGACGCTTTGCCGCCCTTTTGGCGCGAAGGCAGGTGCTTATCGAGGATAGATTGAAACGCGTCGACAAAGCGACCGAATGCATCGGAATTTCTTGTAAGAGGAGAAAAAATTCCACGGAAGCCCCCAAACCAGACATTTTCCACATTTTGAAGGAGACTCTCCATGCGTCGATCCAAATCCTCACGGTTCTTCCACCATTCCTTCTTCATCTGCTTCGTGGTCTGAGCCTTGGCAGCGTGTGCGCTTTGATTGGCCAATTTGATGAGCTCTTGCATCTCTTCCTTGCCGTCTTCAAAGGTGAATTGTTCTTCCTCGTCTTCCTCTGAATTACCTCGTCGCAGAGGCAGTCGAAGTAAGAACGGAGACCGGTTCCTCTGCAGACGCGAGACGTAAAATTCACTCCCATCCGCACTCAGTGACAAAGACAAAACATTCCAGTTCTCAGGCAGAATGTCGACATACTTTTCCGCAAAATTGGAGCAAATGTCACCACTGATTTCATCATTCTGGGGTACAGACGTCGGCCAAAGCAACGGGTCGCCAAAATCAGATAGCTTCCGGTCAAAGTCAATGGCCATACGTTCTCGAGCGAATGCACCGACACGACCAATCTCATTCATGTTGGCGGGTGATTGAACCCATGCGGCAGAGCCCCCGGGGGTGGTTGCATGAGAAAGCATCGAGATGCGGCTCATCAAACGTGACGCAGCATGGCTGTCCAGTGTTGAGCCAAGAACAGTCGCATCGGAGAACACACCCATAAGACAGTCGTTTGCCTTTGAGAGCATCATGACAAAGTCCTCGCTAGCTTTCTGAGCCTTAGTGCGAGTGGTCCTTGCCGGAGTCCGGGTCTTCTTCGCGGCCGTGGGCTTTACAGACACGGGTGTGATCTGCTCCCCACCCTTTACAGGTGAAGTCAGAGAGGGTAAAGAGATGGTTGATTCTGGAAGCACGCAGTACACGGCGTGGCTGGCGAAATGGCGGATAGCATCCGCAAGAAGATGCTCACTCTCTCCGATCTCGACAGAGACCTTGCTCTCCCGAGCGGTTGCGCATTGTCGAGCTTCGATGAGCGATTGAGCGGAGCCATCAAAGTCTCGGAGTGCACGCAGACAATCGGCTTGCTGGCGAAGAATCAGGCTTCTCAAACGCAAAAGAGTACTTGACTGAATTTCTGGCGGAGGGGCTTTGGACGCTGTAGCCTTCTTGGTTGTCCGAGGTGCAGCAGCTGAGCTCGCGGCCCGCGTTCTACGCGCCGGGGTGGCGGGAGCTGGCGTCGCAGCTGTTTTTCTGCTGCTGCGAACTTGCAACTTGGCCATCTTCTCGTCCAGGACACCCACATTAGGACTAACCAGAGAAGGGACTGCGTCAGAGGCGATCAGTGAAGTGATGAGCTTATCTGCTTCTCTCAACACGCGAAGAGCCTTCTCATGCTGCTCCTGCGATTCATAGAAAGACGCAAGTGCCAAGTGTAGAGCCACAGATTCCACGCTCGTCTGCAAATGCTTCGATGACTCGGAAGCAGCGGCAAGAAGTTCCTGACCTTCACTCAAATGACCACCGATGATACGATAAGATCCCAGCTGTGTTTGAGCCGCTATCATGCGCACATTGGCATCTAGTGTCCGGTCAATCTTCAACGCCTGCTCCCCGTAGTAAATGGCATCCTGGAAGAGCCCATGATGAGCGGACAAGGTTGCCAAATTCAGCAAACTTGAATGATGGGACCCCAGGTGTGGCCAGAATGGAGCTCCCTGGACGTAAGTTGTAGAGGAATCAGAGGGCATTTCATTCTGCGACAAATCAATTTGCGCGACACCATCAGTGACGACCTCAACATCCGGTGTGGTAGGCGAAGGCAAGACCCGGGCTTGCTTCTTCTGCGCCAGCTTCTCAACCTTTGCCCAGATTCGGCAATTGAGTCGCACTGCCAATTTAGCAAAGTACAGCGCCTGAGTCATGGACCCCTGCGCGGTCGAAAGTCGGGAGTGAATGAAAGCCGCATCTGCGACTAATCGCTCCAAGGAGATCTTCGCTAGTCCAGTCAGATTTTTGAGCTCCTCTGTGTCACGGCCCTTCTCATAGAGCAGGCGGGCAGTGGCGAGCACATGGTCAGCTTTTTCAATGTCCCCAGTCTCAAGCAGATACTCCACTCGTGCCAGCTGATAGGCAATTTTGGCGATGATGGAAGTCTGACTGTGGTCCACATACTGCTCACCGCGGGCAAGTAAGTCTCCGGCCTTTTGGCAATGTCCGAAATGGCAGTGCTGAATGACGAGACGTGCAAGGATGGATATCGCGTCAGAAAAGTCACCGGATTTCATAATTTCCGCGACGCGAAGAATCAGCTCGAGCACCGAAAGCTGGGTCTTCCATAGACTATGTATTTCAGTGTAGTCAACCAGTGCCTTCAACTGAAGGACCCAGTAGTCAACATCTGTGATAGAGTGCGATAATGACTCCGCATCAGTGCACTGGCGAATCATGGCGGACCAAGAAGAGAGGGTATCGTTCAACTCAGATTCATCAATTTTACCATGGTGGAAACCGACAATGACGCGAAGTGAATTGGTGATGTGTGTTTCGAAGCTGGTCATATCAGGATCCAGCCCGACCCCGTTGCCGTAGTTGAGTACTTGAGCGGCTACTTCCAAGACTTTGTTCGTGAGCTCGACACTCATGCAAGGGGGGTGTTCCAATGAAAAACGGAGAGCAAAGAGAAGCACCCGAGCTCGACGAACGTGATGGGCGTTGCTGAGATAAAGATCCATGACCAAATGGACAACCGGATTCAAAAGTGCTCGAAAGCCTTCATCGCTGGATGCGTAGCTCCGAAGATCACAAAGAAGTCCCATCTGCCATTCAATAAGCGTGCCTCGAGACCTAGAGTCCAAGCGTTCATCGTCATAGATGAGAGGCGATGACGACTTGCTTCCCTTCTTCCGCAATTTTAACTTCAAAAAAGCTGATAGAACTCGCGTGAATGCAAATGCAGAGCTCTTGGGATTATGTTCGATGATGTGAGGACTGGCGCCTGCGCTAACTTTTGCAACATCCTCGAGCACCCCAGCATCAACATATTCCAAGATTGAGGATCTGAATGCATGCTCGGCATCGTCGTACCTGGAAGCATCCATGTACACGTGGGCAGTCCTCTCATATTTAAGGGCGGCAAAAGCAGACTTTCGATGAGTTATCGGGCACGTGCCCAGTAATGAAGTCGACTGTTTTAGAAGGGGTATGAGCTCACGGTAGCCCTGACCTGCCTCCTTCTCCTTGACAAAACGGGACCAAAACAGATTGGACAGCTTGACGAGAGCAACGTTCACATTCTCTGCAAAAGCTGGATCCGAATCGACACCGTCAGCAGTTTCGACGCTCGTGAGAAGGCGATGGGAATCCGCGAGAATGGGTAGCATATCGGCCCAAGATGGTTTTTGGGACATGATTGAAAGTCGTCCAATCGCAACCACGGAGTCAACACCGGCAAGAATGATATTCTTGGACATTGTAATGCGAGATTTATACAGTTGCATCTCTTTTTCATCACATTCCTCTGCAGGAGGTCGGCCCACATATCGCCGCAACAGCCTCAAGAACGCCTGAAGATACTCACGCATGTTGGAGGCTATTTCATCCTTCTCCGTATTGTCTTCTTTGCCCATGGCATCGCCAAACCAAGCTAGAGCAAGCTTCTTGAGCCTCGCAGCTTCAACAAGTAATTCGTCCAGGTCATTAACGTTTCCTCGGAGTTGCATGCCCAAGGCAGTGCTGGCTTCTGAAATGGCCTTCAACGCGCCCTCGGCGAACTTTTGTGATCCTTTGAGACCTTGAAAGTACACAGCCGCGATCTTGCACCTTGCAGTAGCGAGTGCCAGGCTCTGGGCATTAAAGAATGGAATGACCGCCTTGTTGAACAGCTTCAAAGACTCTTCAAAACAACCTGCATCCAAAGCTAGCTGGCCTAGGACAGTCATGATCCTGGCAGAAGCAGTGATGTCCTTGTTCTCCTGACGCTGCTTCTTCACTTCAGCCATGCATGTCTGGATTCGAGTGATCGTTTTGAAAATCGCTCCAAATTCCGACTTTTCGACGCTCTTGCTACGATGAGAGAAACTGCCAAGGTAGCGCAGTAGTGGATCGACCAGTTCCTTAGTTTCCTGACAGACATGTCCAGACAGCTTCCAGCTCAGTGTGCGAATTTCGAGAGATAGCAATTGAAGACTGAGTATTGAGACTGGCTGAAGAGAATCTTTCGTAGTCGCCTCATCCGTAGACATGGACTTGCTGGGACATAAAGAAAGTATAGTGTTGGAAAGAAGCTGCAGTTGTAGAGCAGCCTTTTCACTGGTCAAATTGCCGGACTCCATTGCCGCCAAAATCACAGATGCTGGACTGCTCGGGTCTGCGAGCTGTACGAAAGAGATCAGACGAGCAGTTGTCGAGGGTTTCCGGTCTGCGGCAAGCAGTCGCATTACGTTCGCGTGGTAGGGGACCAGGAGGCTGTACACCGATCCCGCATGAGCAATGTTCGAGAAGGTCAGAAGATCCGACATGCGTTCTTTGCCGGTATCTTCCTCCGCATTATCTTTCGTCGATCCGGTCCTTTTTCCAACTGCCCTCGCGTCAAGGTATTGTTGTATCCTTCGTTTCAAGGCTCGAAGTTCCTTGCAGGCCATCTCGTTCAATCCCAGAGTGATCATCTTTCCAGCCAAGATACAAGCGCCTTGTTCGAGTTGCATGTTCGGGTAGTCATTCGATGACTGCGTCTCGGTCTTCAGTGCGCGCAGTGTGGCCAGCGCTAGCCTGGCGCATTCCGCGGTCGCGGCTGCGCCTTTGTCCACGACGGACCCATTCGTCCTCCCAGATTTGACTGAGACTGTCTCCAACAAAGCAGCCGGCCTTCTCGTTGTTGCTGTTTTCGACGCGTCCGTCAGAGTCTTCAGGGTCGTATTGAACACTTCCGTCGCTAGCACCAATTTCTCCTGCGGCGATAGCGTAGCTCCATCTTGGTCGACAATGTGTAGGGTGACATCGGTTGGTGTTCGCGCCTTGGTTGCTCTCGTAGCAGCTCTCGCCCGACTTGTGGTGGTGGTAGCTTCTTTCGTCGTCTTTGTCGCTCGACGGACAGGCTTCTCGGGCACCTTTGGCGATCCGCGGAGCAATGTTTGGAGGGACAACACGGTGACATCGGAGCAGGTTGATGTTGATCGCACCGCCTGCTTGATAGATTCGGACATTGTATTGGTCGGTAGTACAGTAACTGCCATGGCGTACGAGACTGGCAAGTTACTTTTCCTTTAACGCCGAGATCATAAATTGTTCTTTGACCACGAATCGTGCTGCTTGTGTCAGTCACCGGCCAGACCCGCGGAAGAGCCAAGATGGCTATGTTGTCGTAGCAACAGCCCACGCTAAGCTCTTTAGAGCATTCACGCCTTACAGCCTTAGGCGCCTACTTCCTTCGTCTTTGCCCGCAGAAGTTCCCCGATGGGCGTCGAGCGAGTAAACTACCTACATTACCACAGCACGACACAGTCATGAAGATTCCGCTCCGTCTAAAGCCCTCAGGGCTTTTCAAAACTCTCTGTCGACAACCATTATCGCTACCGTCATCTCAAATCACAACTTCCTGCCGCGCATCAAGATGCCGCTCCTACGCTACCTCCGAGCGCCTCCCGAAGATCGCAGATGCATCCGTATGGACGGCCATGGTACCGCGATTCATGATGAGGAATCGCAAAGCGCGCAAAGCCGGCGAGCCCAAGGAGTGGAACCCGGCGACTTTCTACATCGTCATGTTCACATTGATCGGCTCGCAGGCCATCCGTCTGCTCACGCTGAAGAACTCATACACGGCTTACTCGCGGTCGGCAGATGCGAAAATCAAATTGTTGAAAGACGTTATTGAGCGCGTGCAAAAGGGCGAGAAGGTCGATGTGGAGAAGTTGTTGGGGACGGGGGACGAGGCGAAAGAACAGGAATGGGAAGATGGTATGTGTTCAGTGCTCGAGCTGCAGAATCGAGAGTTTGGGGGGAGACTCGGTGACATTGATGCTTACTTGCGTATTTTTTTTGCAACTTATAGTATTGCGCCAGATTGAGGAAGAAGATGCTCTGTGGCATTCAAGGCAAAAGGCTCTGAAAGAGAAGGAAGAGTCTGCGCGAGTCGCCGAGACACAAGCCTCGGCTGTGCAGGATACGCCAAAGAAGGATGAGGCTACGAAGGATACGCCATCGACTCGAAAAGTCAATTTTTTCTGACCGAATCGCTACCGCAATCGGACCATCATGTCAGATTCACCTTCCTATAAACATCAAACGAATTTCCTCCCACCATGAATGGCACAAGTCGCAAAGCAGGAGAGCTACTCGCAAGAAATTCTCTACTCCGACTGAAGCACTATGAAACGCCTCATGCGAAGCTTCTATGGCAGACCACGAGCTGGTTACTCGTGTCGGCCGGTTTGACGCTAGGTCGTGAGCAAGAAGATTCGAAAGTTGAATCAAGTGGAACTAGCTATTGATGGTATGATGTATTAAAAACCCTACATTTGTATGTATATATGCATGCGGCAGACCCAAATCACATGCCTGAATCTTGATTTATCTTGCATTCTCTTCTTTCTATATCTATCTCTTTTCAATGGTAGAGTACAATTCGCTGAGTATCCAGCCATATGTCGAGGACTCAGCCTCAAGTTAAAGAAACATTGTCGCGAATGGACAGACGACCACACACAAACCATCCGGGTCATCACACATGGCCCCACATTTTATCACGGTAAGAGATCAAGGGAATGCAATTAAAGATGACAAGGGCAAAAAACGAAGGCAAGAGCGGCGCCCCCTAGTATAGGCCCGCAAAAAAAAGATACTTGCGAGACACGAGTGTGATAGAATAGGCGAAAGTCAATGAAGAGATCTCTGATGCTAAATCGCGGGCTGGTGAGAGTGAACGATTTTCGAAGGCGATGTCTGTTCACGGGAGAAGGGAGATGGAAGTAAGATGGAAGTGAGCAAGCGTATGATCACCCGCCAAAGAAATCGACCTCATTCGTCATGCGGAAATTCAAGTGAATCAATTACTGTTTTGAAGCCTGCATGAACTTGGGCCAGTTCTCGGGCCGAGGGACCTGCACTCGGCCAATGTTCTGATCCACATCTAGGATAAGCTTCAGAGCATTTCGGGAACGGAGGTAGGGCAGCGGCGCTTTGGCGCCTTGCAGACCAACACCGGGCTCGACCTGACCGGACGGTGAGACCTCTTCAGAGCCGGGCATGGGCAGGAGCTTCTGAAGGACTTCATAAGCTGCCAGCGTGAAACCGAACTGCGGGGAAGAGCGCAGAATACGGGCTGGTCCACCCTTGAAGAAAGCCTTCAGACCTTCCTCCTTCCAGACAGTGGTCGCACAGTGGCGCAGACCAGTGTATTTTGTCTCTCCCTTGCGAGCCTCGACCTGCAGACGGGTCTTGATCACGTCACAGGGGGTGGTCAGGTAGGCAGCAGGCATACCGGCGATGGCACCAGCTGTCAAAAGCTGGAGAACACCCAGCTTGTTGGTCGCAGTCTCACCGAAGAAGTCAGACTTGAGGTGAGCATATGTGGGGAAGTAGATGGCCGAGAATGGCACTGGGTTCAGGTCAGTCTCAATTCAGAACTCATTGCAAAGTGAAAGTGCGTACCATCGCGCAGTAGACAAGCAGTGGCACCCTTGTAAAGGCCCACCAGACCAAGGTTCTTCACGATCCAGAGAGCGGAGCGGCGAGGGGCGCCCTCAACGTTCTTTGCAATCTCGCCTTGAACCTGGAGACGGATCTTGACGATCTCGAGGGGGTTTGTGAAGACCTAAGTGGAAACGCATTAGAATTCGAAAGAGCTGAAAGTGCTTCACAACGTGGTTGGCAAGCTTACCACTTGACATGCACCAGCAGTTCCACCGGCCAAAATCTCGTGAGGATACCACATCTTGCCCGTCTCCTTGTCAACGAGGGCTCCGCGAACCAGGTCGTTCACCGTAAGCTTGATAGCCTTCTCGGGAGCCACGCCGATCAACTGGGGAATGACACCCGAGTATAGTCCCTTGAAACCCTCATTCCGGATGACCTTCTTTGCACAGTCGAGCGAGTTGTTGTACAAGCGTTCACCAGGTCGGGTAGATCGCTGGTTCTGCATGCGAGTCTTGACCAGGTCGATGGGGTACACCATGAAGGCACCGAAGGCACCAGCCAAACTTCCGAGCCCAAAGTGATGCGCCGATTCCAAGACCCCGTGCAAGAACGACTTGGTCTTGGTGGCCACCGCATCTGCTGCGTGACTGGCCGCGGCGACGGGAATGCGCCATGAAGCATCAATGACCTTGGCAAAGTCCTTTTGTGAGAGACGACCAGAGGGAGCTTCCAATCCAGCGAAATGGAACAGAATATCCGCTTCCATTGGGGTGAACATTGAGAAGCGGGTGATACGGGCAGCTTCGTCGAGGAAGTCAGAGCGAGTGATCTTGCCGTCGCTGCTCTTGCGGGTGGCTTCGCGCACGATGAGATCGATGATGTCCATCTCACGCATGACATTTTGGAAAGCACGAACGGTAGCGTAGGAGATGCGGTTGCTGTTGGAGATGTTGCAGAGGGTGGGGAGATTCTCGAGCAAGTGATCGGAAAGCTTGTGTTTGGAAGTCTCGAGGATGATACGTTGGAAGTCCTCGGGCTCGATGTAGCCATCACCGTTCTTGTCAAACATGTGGAATGCCTGGCGAATGCGCTCGCCTTGCAGGCCACGGAGCATCTGAGAAAATTGGGGGTAGGTCATGTCATGGCGGGACTTGTTGCGGCCGGTGTACAGTGACGCCCATTCTGAGTTCCAGTCGAAAGGAATGTTGTCGGCGTTCTTGTTCAGATTGTACAATCCCTTCACAGTCTCCCATTTCACCGTACCCGTCCCCTCGGTATCGAAGAGTCGGAACGCGATCTCATATTCTGCGTCGGGCTTCGCAAGGAGATTCTCAAAGGTGGCCCAGTCCGCGAGGCTCAACTTGCCGGATTTCCGTCGGTCAGCCACCTGGAACAAAATGCCGTACTGCTCGCGTTTGATTTTGTGCTAATGAGTGAGACAGTGAGTTAGTGATTTGCGTGGTTGTTGAGCATATTAGGAGTCATCTGAAGATCCGGGGAGAACATCATGCAGATGGGACAACCGAGGTAGCTGGCATCGCAAGCTGGAATTCCGTTGAGACATCACTCACATAGTCCTCTTGCTTTGGAGCAACAGCATCAATAAACTCATCCTCGCTCATGTACAAGTCGCCGCTTTCATCTTTTTGCGCGTGGCGCATGAAGGTTGCGCGAGCCTGGTGCGACAACTCAGGTGTCTCGGCGCTGCTGCTGCTGCCGCTGCTGCCGACCAGCGTTTCCTTGACGGTGTCCTTGACGCTCGCCATTGTGTCACCAAGCAGGGAAGGGGGAGGAGATTGTGAGACCGGGGGTTGCAACGTGGTAGGAGGAGTGAGTTTTGATGGATAAAATGACCACCGCCGCTCAAGGTTGACAATCTGGGGGAAGGGATGGAGGGGAGATCCGGAGAGTGAGGAAGGACTCCAAGGTGGAGAAGAAGATGGGGACTGGGTTGACTCAAGACGGAACGATGAATTCTCCCCCGGGAGGCCGTTCAATTGACGATAATCAACAGAAGCGATCCCGTGGCTCGAGAGGTGCGCTTGGCAGGGGTGCGTTTACTTTGCCTTGATCTATTTTGAGGAGAATGTTTTAATAGATGAGGAATTTGAATCTTGACTTGTCCTGCAGTCAGATGACCCGGTAGAAAAAAAATCACGTTCCTGCCAGTGATCAGGTCCAGCGGCTCACGACCTCTAGTCGTTATTATTTATCGGCTTTGTGTACTTTGGCCCGTTTTTGGGGCCGAGAGTTTTTTTTCACCGCCCCTGGAAGGCCCTGGGAAGGGAAGGATGGGTTTTCTGTGTGGAGGCAAATTGAATTTAACCGCCATCTGCGTAAAAAAGTTAGATGGCCATGCCGGGGTACCTTCTACAGTGGATGACCGGGCATCGAGATATCACGATCGAGTGATTTGCCGGGATTATCGATGACATTGGATCTTGACTCGAGACAACTGCACACTCTCAACTTGAAGACGTTGAGCCATCTCTTAATCATCTGATGTTGGCCAAGCATCGAGGCCTCAAAAGTCGGTCTTTTTCGATCTTCGTCCAGTTCTTTGGGCGGAGAGGACATGTACAAAGTACATTGTACCTGTCTGCACTCTGCACAATTGCCACCAGGAGCCACGGTTCGAAACCTAATCCATCCGAGGATGACCTTACCACTGCTCTGGGTACAGCCATTCCGAATCATCTTTTGATGATTTATGAGGTGAAGAACTGCGATGCTTGGAGATGACACTGTATGACTATAGAGTATGACGATCAGTATGCAGTATGCACTAATTAATTACATTCATGTATGATGTGCTAAGTCACTCCGGGAAAGCAATCCATCATAATCAAACCAGGTACCTTGTCGGGCTCATGACGAAGACACTCCATCTACCTCACTGTAAGGTGGCAGTGCTGACTATCAGCGTCGAGTCATACTATGATTTGGAAGCAGTACAGACTGCAGACTCCAGCATATTCGTAATTGTACGTTCTTCTGCCCAGCCGTTCTCGTCCAACATATACCTATTTAACGGGAGATGGATATCTTTTCGGAGTTAAGTATTCACATGCCCGTGGATCCACCCCTAGTCACCTACTGAGTAATAGTATTGACTATTGAGTGATAGAGACTTCCTAAGGTATTACGGATGTATATTAAAATCAAAGTACACCAGGTATAATTGCGAGATTAGCTATGGTAACCGCATAAGGCTCACGCTATTTCTAGGTAGCCATGATCTTCTTCAAAGTACGGTTGTTCTTCTTGCAGAGTGACTCAACTTGACGAGGACCCTCGGCAGGACTGCGAACTCCCGAGTCAGACTTTCCGAAAGGGAGAAACCGGAGCTCATCTGGGCCGTGTCACGTGTCGCTTGCTTGGATTGCATCATACCTGCCCAGGGCAGGCATAGCGATTATTTCATAAATAAGTACAGAACTGAGACCACAGACTTACAGACCTACAGACTACAGAGTACCTGAAAACTAGATAAATACTGCCAGGGCTACTTAATATTTATGACAGACGATAACGTCCATGACAGCATTTCGATTGAGAATTTCAAAACATCACTCACCAATGCCATTAATCAATGCTAATTGAGCACCGACCATCGCGAAGGATCATAACAGTGACAGCCATCGGTCAATCGAACAACCATGATACGATGATCCAGCCCCCAAAACGACAATACTACGAGCAATGGATCGCGCTCTCGGATACCGCCGTCACCGTGATCGGGGGATGCGGAGCGAGCAGGCCGAAAAGTGCAGCCCGGAGCCAACTGAGCCAAGTGTCCTGGCGAGGAAGGGGAAAAGAAAGAGAGTTGGAGACGTGCGGTTCTGGTCGGTGTTGGTCTCGGCCCAACTCCGGTCGAGGAGCTTCTCCGCAGCTCTCCTCACGCGGGCTCACCGTGGCTGGAATGGGGAAAGATCCTTGAGGGGAAACCGGTCAGCCGTGTACCCCAGGACTGGTCGGCACCAGTGCAGTAGCGCACTACTGCTCTGCTTGTCTGTCATGATCCATCTATCCGGTACATATATTTTCTGCATAGCGTATGCAGTATTCAATCGGTGATGGAATGGTGTGACGATGCGGCTTTACTACTTGGCCAAGTCCAGCAAAGCGAGGGGTGATTACTCCTGCTGATGATTGCGTGGGATCGACAGTACAGACTACAAACTGTCAGACTCTACAGAGTTGAGGGTACAGACTCTGAGACGACGAGTACAAAGTACTTACGAATTGACCTCTCAAGTCGCACAATTTAGGCAAAATACTACCATCCTAGATCGCCGAAAGTGCACTAGCGCATAGCCCCATGTTAGTAATTGATAACTCAGAAAGTCATACACGAGTACTTTATCTCCCCTTTCCTTACACCCGTGAAATGATAGCCACCTGTCCGACGCTGCATACCTGCGGCACCATCTCGACAGATACGGACTCGGATCAAACGTCCCAGGTGTAGCTGACAGCATGCAGAGACAACGACATCGATTTGGCTTTGAGCTTCTTACTCTTCTCTTGGAACGATGGAAGCCGTGGTCACATTTCCGTCATGGATCTCGCCGCCAACACCCACACGCATAAACCTGCCTAAACTTGAACTAGCAAGCTCGGTCGGTGGAAGCTCCTCAGCTACGAGATCAAGAGCGCAGGCGGGAGGACACATGTTTACATGTCTGTGGAGACCATTCAAGGAACGAAAGGTGGATTAAAAATACAGACAAAACCGGTGAAATGGAATTCAATCGGCAATGTCATGGTCAATAAAATGACACTCGATGCAAGAAATGCAGTGCTTCTGTTTTGAGCCGCTAAAATGATCCTTTACCGAGGCTTCTCCAAGCGAAGTATGCGAAGGATGATCCTTTCAATCGGTACGAGAATCAACATTGCCCGATTCAATCCGTACGCGCTAGCCACCACCGCAACCCCGACCACCATGTCGAGAACGAAGTGGTTTGCCGTCGCAACCACCGTCAATCCCATCATTACCGGCCAGATCGGCGCAACAGAGCGAAGTACCGTGTGCGGACTGAATGCGACTAGACAAGACGCGACGAAGACAGACACGCCGAAATGCAGCGACGGCATCGCTGCAATGGTCAACTGGAACTTGTTGTGCGTCCAGGCAGATCCTGCAGTACTCTTATGGAGCACATCCTCAAACCCGTACTCCTTGGGGAGTAGACGGGGAGGTGTGCAACGCCACAGAGTCACGATGCAAAAGGCGAAAATGTTCATCAGCGCCAGAGAACGTCGAATGGCTTCGTATCGCCGGCGGGGGAGCGTGGTGTAGCTGTAGACGTAGAATGCGACTCCGACGATGATATGGGAATAGTAGACGATGGCGAGGAAGTCCATCACATGGGGGCTTTCGTGAGAATGGCCTGTTGGACGGATAGTTCAATGTCAAGGTTGAGGATATGCTCGAGGTGAAGCAGCTGGATTGCGTGTCTTTCTGCGTTGGCAAAGGTGGCGTCATTGCCGGCGATGAGTCGCGCTGATACGGCACGGGCACCTTGGTAGACCTTCGAAGCAAAGAAAACAGCATTAGATGGAGCTTGGAGTGAAGAGAGATCTTCGAGGTGCAAAACCCAACATGTGGAGCGGCTTGCTGATACTTACCCAGTAGATCAACAGCCAGTACCAGATCTCCAGAATAAAAGGAAATTTTCTCAAGACGCGAGATGGGATGTTCGGGTTCGATCTGCGATTGTGCACCTTGCTCGCGACTTCTTCGGTAGACACATCTCCGGGATCCCAGCGTCCTTCCCTAGGATCGTCCCGAAACAATGGTGTTCGACTGGGGTCATCAACATCGGAAGGATGACGAACAGTCCTATTCATCCAAGCGCCCAAAGTGTGTAAAGAAGCAATGGCTACACAATCAATCCGCGTTAGTCCAGCGCGTGGTGGCGCACCTCATTTAGATTAGATCCATAGGGCTGACGCACCGAGCGGCTCGAGAATGTTCTTCATGGAGCCCATGATATGCGACACAATGCCAAGCGTGAAGCTGGACACGTCGAGATGGATTTTTTGCTTCGTATCTTTTCCACCCCTGCAGATGAGCGAGAGAGTATACCGGCGTTGGCAGGGATTGTTAAAATGCTTGAGTTTAAAGATGTGATCCGCTTTTCTTCACGAACGCGATGCACAAATCAAGGTTGAGAACTGGATGGGAAACAGGATTTAGTTGTTCCACGGCAGGCTCGGGATTGGCAGCGGCTGTATCCATTTAGGTTCGCATCCGTTTTACTTCTCGGAAGTCGGGACGGGCGATCACGGTCCATTGAGAACGCAGGGACCGGGCCATCGATCTTGAGAGGTTGATTGAAGATTGAATGTGAGGGCTTTGACCTAGTAAGGAAAGGCTGTGCCCTTGAGGTTGAAAGGTCATCCCGCGTCTGAGTGATAGGACTACGGGACCTTCTGCTGCAGTGGACTCGTACAAGAAGTACACACTATACAATCGACGTAGTCCAACGTGATAGTTGTGCACCATTCTGCTGCAGGCGGGGATTTCCCATAGGCGACAGCCCTCTATCGTCTGTGCCGGAGGACTCGACAAATTCTGGAATCTTGATCACCCCAACCACGATTCACCACATTCATGAAATGGGGCTCAGCAATACCAACAAGCCTCCGATGTCAGAGGAGCTTACAAGTATGCTGCCCCTCCTTTCTAATTCGTGGGGCAAGAAGTGCAAATTGTAGTATACTATGATATCTACCGATTATATCAATATTATTAACTCTATATACGGGGGAGACCCCCGTAGACCCCCATCAACGCAAGTCAAATCGTATATCTATAACGCAAGTTAATATTACAGGCACGAGTCACGTGATAAGTCACCCGAGAGACGAGCTAGTAGGACCACGTGACACGAGCGGAGTTCAGGGCTGATCACGTGATCGAGACAGAAGCAAACATCTGAAAGATATCACGTGATGTAACTTTGGGGGCGGTCAATTCTGCCACCACCAGCCAATCAGAGCACAGGAATAAAATTCCAAGCACTTACATGAGAAGCCAAGCACTTACATGAGAAGCAACTTTTCGTTCCACTCCAATTTGCAATCAAGGCCCCAAGAGGTCTGATCTTGTGGAAAAGCTACTCATGACGAGGGGTTAGCGTGGACTAACGCAAAGCAGCACATGATTGACTTTTGGCCCCCGCAATCAGGACAAGCCGGCTCATATAAGATGATGAGTGGCCGTCCTTCATAGCTTCCTTCATCTGCTTAGGACCAAGAGAAAAACAGACATCGAGGCATTTTGAGTACGACCAGATCACCATGGGAAGCCGCACCGCGGAGTCAGCCTTCTCGCGGGCCTTTGCACTGCCGGAGATCATTCTGGCAATTATGCATCAAATGGACATGCGAACGCTCATCAACTGTCAACGAGTTTCTCACAACTGGGCCACTCTGATTCGGCATTCGGCTTCGCTGCAACGCGCTTTGTACTTTCTGCCTCGGGAAGCGCCCTCCCGAAAGCCTGTTCGGGTTTACAATGAGCTTCTCGCAGAAATATTCCCCTCCTGTTTCCCCGCGCCGGGTGCTCCCGACCAAGAATTGGAGCTCACAAGCATTACCTTTGTTGACGATCCCGAGACGCTGAAGGTCTTTCTTCGTCCCGAAGCCAGCTGGCGGCGCATGCTCACCACACAACCACCGATTCATACGGTCGGGACATTCGTCGCGGGTACTACTGAATCGATCGGCCTGAGGTGGCAGCAGAGCAAAGCCGAACCGCTTCCGGATGGACTTCGCATGGGTGTCTTGTTTGAGACGCTGCTGTCGGTCAGCGAATGGACCTGGCAGAACGAAACAACATGGATCGCGCGGGGAGGGACGCAGCCAGTCAATGCGACAGAGCCCTTTGTGCAACCTAGCGACTTTATGCGGGTTGATGACATGAATGCGGATTGGGAACGCACGATCCGTGACCTTGATCTTGTGATTGTGACTTTTGGGCATGCCGATGACTCGGCCCCGGAAGACTCGGATCTCGAACTCCTCCACGGTGCCGATGCAATGGTGTGGAGGAAACTCCGTGCAGCTTACAAGGAGTTGGGCTTAACGGTAGGTGGATTGGTGATGGAAAAGTACAACGAAGGCACGGAGACGTGGCATTGAAATGGGGAGGACCCGGCCCTTTTCCATTGCCAGCGAGCGGCTCTCCTGTGACTGTCTGAGCTTCATACTGGGGCAAGCTTCCCGTGTCAGATGAAGGCGCCAGTTAACCACAGCCGGGATTTCTCTACCGAAGGGGGGGGCGGGGGGAGACCTCAGAATGCTTTTTGTGTTTTGGTTCTGGCTCATGATTCCGGTAGTCTCAAAATTCTTATGAAACCTTTGATCAGTTCCAGCACAGTCGACTCCGATCCATATCCGGACTCTGGATACGAATCGGTGTGACGTTGCTCCTGGGCAGACTCATTCTCTCGATAACTTACAAAATACAAGGCATTTCCGAGACCTCAAAGAGGTCAGATAACTAAGCTACTGCGAGAGCCTTCGAATGCCCAGCAGCCCTGTATTGCCAGAGCGAGAACGCCACCCCTTACAAGTGTCGTGAGGACCAGCGCTTCCCAGGCATCGATAGTCACCTCAACCTCAGCCTCGCGAGCTCGTGTACTTGCAGTAGGCCTTTTGTTTTTTCGCCCTCCACCTTCCCCGGCCGGTATCTGCTGATTTTCACTGGACAAGTTGCAAGTCCATGCAATTGATTGATCACGGCGGAGGATCTCGTCATGACGGCAAATTTGCTGGCCGCATCTAGCACTGCGGTGGTTGGCGATGAAATTCAATGCATGGGTGCGACGTGAGACTGCCTCCCATCTGTAACATCTCCTCTGATACTCCTCTCATCCGACTAAAAGAAGAGCCTGCGGCCAATCCACCCCTGTGCCGAGGCAGGCTCTATTGCATCGTCACTGGCCTCTATCTGCACGAGGCCAGCCCGTCACAGCGAGTCACCCGTGAGACTTGTCAAGGACTCTCGGTTGGCGTCGTACAGAAGAGGTTGAGTCTCATAATGGGGTCGTGCGCAGACCAAGTACAAAGGTCGACGGAGGTGTGACGAGTGACGGGAAAGTGATAGTGTCGGTGTGCTGCATCGGGGCGCGTAGACGAGGCATCCTGGTTGGCTGTCGATCCGACCATCTCATCTTCGCTCCCCTCCTCGCCCACCTCTTCCTTTGCCCATCTTCAACTCGAGTATATTAGCCGCCCACATCCATCTCAGGAGACGCTTCCTGTTCTTTTTTTCCCTCCTCTCTGCATCGTTGTTTGAGATTGTCTGTCTTTTTTTTTCACTCCGTTCTATTTTTGTCCCCGCTTCGTCTTGGCTGGTCCAAAACGATTCTTCAATAGTTCACCATTCTTACTCAGTTGATCCCCGATTTTGATCTTCTATTCTTTTAAAAATCTATCACGTCGATAATTTCTTCGCTTTTCTTGATCTTTGAATTTCCAGTCGAGTCTCTTTCGTTGATCGAAGTGACTCTCTGCGTTCTGCACACTCGATATCTTCACTCACGTCGCACCTTTGGGAAACCAACCGTGATCTTCGTTAATTCTCCACGTCAACAACAACAACATGCTTCGCTCTGCCTCCAAGCCCAAGCTCTCCCTCAGCATTGCTGCTGCCCAGAGCGCCCCCCGGCCCACGCTGTCTCTCAAGTCGCCTGTGCCGGCCCCACGGACTCCCATTTCCCCAGCAAGTCCAGCAGCCAAGCGATTCTCGACCTTTCAAGTCCCGAGCTACTCCTACGTCAATTCATGCTCATCCAAGAGTATCTTGAAGAAGACCTCCTCGATAGGGACAAACGCCTCGAACAAGCGCATTGAGTTTCAGTCCTCACCGACAGTCTACTGCGTGACGCCCATTGAGAATACAGACGAGTATTACGGCAAACACACCAAGATGTCTCGCGAGGAGAGGAGGTGGATGGCGCGCGAGTGAATCCTCCTTTGTACCATGTTGATCTACCTCGTCGTAGCTTTTACATTCGCCCGTCCGAGATCGACTGAATCACATCACAGGTGAAATCTCCCCCACCGGAGAGTCGCTCTGAAGACACCTTTGCCCGAGTGACCGGAGTACGGACCTCTGGGCTGACCTTCCTTACCTCTGGACTCGTGCAAGGCCGGCCAAGCCAAGCGAAGTGAAGCCTGAGATTCCACTCGGTGGGGTCTCTACCACGGCAGCAGACAAGGATCCATGCTCCGCTTCCGCAGCCGGGGATGCACCGGTATAATGCGTCCCCACGGGGCAATCTTGGGCTCTGCCCCCCCGCCGCGTGCTGAGAAGTCGTTGGATCGAAGGAAAAGATCGAGTCGAGAGTGACTACTTAACGACGTTGATGAATCTCCGAATGATGATTTGAATTTGATATTAGCAAATCTTTCCAAGCGAAGCAAATACAGTCTCTACCTTCAGCCCAGTCTCTACTCTTTACATGATCTCTTCGCAATGCACTAGTCTGGGTTTTTGACATTGGAGGAATCTTCCTCTGTCTCGAATGAATCTCCCACCGTAGACAATCTTATCTCAGTATCAGATTAGGTAGAAGCATATCTAGCCAATGTAAGTGTGGAGGCACGTAGCATACCCCAGCATATAATCCTCTTTCCCTAGCGATTATCCCTCATATATGTACCTAGGAGGTTATAGAGAAGCATTCGCTGATGGGTAGTAATTGTCTATAATGTAATCAAAAAGGAGACGATACTGCGTAACAATGATCTATCGACTCTGATACCAGATGTGCAGATGACTGATGAAGATTTGCCCCGCTCGTCTTCCAATCGCAACGATTGCAGCTGATTATCAGTGAGAGGTATTCGCCAATCCTCATATGTACCAACTTCCTGAAACTCTACCTTCAACATAATGGAAACCGTTTCCAAATCGCACCTTGTACCGCAGTCGCAAAAGCCAAAATCCATGTGTCTGTTTCGTCCATCCTAAAGAGATATTCGTCATCCATTTCACTTCAACCTGCGACATTAATTGTTGTAAAGCCGAAGATGGAGCCCTGGGTAGCAAGTATTCAACTACAATGAAGAAGAGTCTTGTTTACTCTCATGTATCTTATATCGTCTGCCACTGGAGGGGTTCGGAGATCTGACTGTTCTGGTGAGATATGTTGATTTGCACTGGTGTTGGGTTGCAATTGTCTTGTTTTCATCGGTTGCTACATACTGGCTACAAATGCTTGATTTGTTGGAGGCTACCTAGTATGGTGATCCATCAACGGACTAAGAATCTCTTTCGTCCGGACACAGTCAAACTGCCTGGTTCGATCTACCAATTTATCAGAGCATTAAGTTCATGGAGGAGAGTCCTAAACGATCGCCGAATAAATCGAACCAAGGAAGGATAAATAAAGACCAGTAGAGTCAAATCTCCACCATCACTAGCGGAAAGGACAAAAGATTCAAAAGCCATTCCGTAAATCAGATGACAGGTATCCCAACATGGAAAGGAACACTACCCTCCATTGAAGTTGTGATACTACCTCAGCGACGATTGATGACATTTCTCATGGCCGGTTGATTTGACGGGACTCAAGTCTTATGTTCAACTTGCATCACTCTCTGCATTCCTCGTAGACATGGAACATTGGAAACTCTATGGGACAACGTAGCATCTGCAATAGTAGCTATCTTACAATTCTGATGCAAGCTTGAAATTTCGGATCCACGGGGCTGTTCATGAAATTCCCCACATTATTCAATGATTGTCTGAATCACTCAGGCTTGACATACTTCTCGGTCCATTCGACGTCGCGAGGCTTAGGCTGGACGTACTTCTCGGTCCATTCGACACTGCGAGCTTCAGGCTGGACGTATTTCTCGGTCCACTCGACGTCACGCTTCAATGGCGCAGCCAAACCAGCAGCGGCCAAGCCAAGAAGAAAGGTGGTAGTGGAAGCTCTCATGTTGTAGCTGATAGGAAAGATGAATCTGGTAGGCTTTCAACGAATGTAGCGTGACTTTGTTTGAACAGAGTGTATGGAAATGAAGCTTGAGGATTGATGAGATTCTAAATTGAAAAATAGAGGAAGATGGCCCCTTATATAGTCAAGTTGCCCTAACATGATTCAAGATTCATGAGAAACAGCCACCGGGGTAGTATACAGTGATTGCGGCCCACGCAGGGGCGAGGACTTTCTATCGACGGTCGATGAAGTGATTTATCAATGTAACCAGACCTTGTCCCTCCGATTAGCGCTGGAAATTCATGCCTGACCTCATGCAAGCAAGAACTGGAAGAGTCTTGTGTCTTCCCAGTTTCTGCTACATGTGCCAGAGAGTATCTCTGTTCCTTGTCTCCGATCCAAGAAAAGTCTCGTCCGGAAGACTCACCTCCATAGTTGGTACTCGGGGATGCAGCACGTTGGGAGCGAAATCTGAGGCTTTACGAACCAAATTAGAAAGACATCAACGTCTAGACCTCACAGACCTGCGCATTATAGATCCACTATCCGCTTTTGATCTGCGCCTGGTGTGTCAAATTGGAAAACCCTTTCGGCATCTCCGATCACGGTTAGCTTTGTCCACGCGCAGAATGCAGTGATATCCGAGCACCATATGTGGGTATACCTAAGTTGGGAACTCGAATTCTGGAATCTTTCGTGCGGGGATTGGTGCGAAGGGTAATACGGGGCGCTTCGCAGTTGTTTATGGCGCCTCCAATGGACCTTTTTCCGTCTTCCCTCATCCGCAATCATCGAGAAAAGACGCTGTCAACATCTTCTGCCTCCTCATATTTTTCCATAACAACTATTTTCACATCTGTTCACCATTCGAAAGCTGTTCCTTAATACTTCATTTCACTATTATTCCTCAGAGGCAATCATGTACAGCCTCAATGGATCACACACAAGACGTGACAAAGTTGAAGCACGATCTCTGTCTCCAAACTCCTCTCTGGATGAACAAGCAGTGCCTTTCCTCGCGCATGATACAGAGTTGGAGAAAGGTCTCGTTGAAGAAAACTGCCTTGCAAAGAAATACCTATATGTCAATATTTCCTTACTCATCCTCTCCGTCATTTTCTTTCTTGGCTCGGTCATTGTCCAGTCTCGCAGGTTCGGAGACAAAGAATGTGCAACACACTTGTCCGCCTACTGTAAGTTACAAGCCGCTACGGTTCACCATTATCAAGACTAAAAAATAACCCATAGCACCGGTCATGGAAGCTGTTGAGTACGAATGGGTGACCTTTGAGAACGAATTTTCCACTGCACCAACAAAGTACCGTGGGAAACCAACGGCAGACCTGGAACAAGCTTGGACGGAGCTCTGGAAGTGTAAGAACGTCAAATTACTAGTACTTGCAACGGCGAGGACTGATCTTTCTCAGATGGAGCCTTTCCTGTCGGTGTTCAACACCTCGGCGATTTGAATCAATCAAGTGAGGTTGACTGGCGTCGCGTCACTCCAGGCGATCCCAGAAGTCCAACTGTTGGATTGCTGGAGGGCTTCCATCAAATTCATTGCTTGGTGAGTTCCAAACAATACCGTTATCTCATTTTCGTGAATACTCATAACATGAAAATCAGAATCTCATTCGACAGTACACTTACCGTGAGGAGTGGGACTACAGCAGCGAGGCTTCATGGCACGGTGGCCCTGAAATGGTTCGATGGCATGTGGATCATTGCATTGAAACTCTCCGGATGAATCTGATGTGTACCGCGGATGTGACACCCTATCTCATATGGAATGATCCTGCTGGGTTCAATGGCGAGAGTCCGAGTTTCAACACTCTGCACAAGTGCCGTAAGTGGGAGCCGATTGTTGAATGGGTAAAACAGAATGTCATTTTCAACGGTACGGCAAAGGAAGGGGAACACGGCAACGGCGAAGAGCATCACATCGGGCAGCATGATGTACACGAACATGGCCACACAGCCTAAGAGAAGACACACATCAGTTCTGAATGCACTTTCTCCTTCTGAAACTATTTAATTAGTGGCACAATTTAGATAACCACCTTGAACTGTTTTCAGAGATCATTGTCCCAACTTTTTCACAGAAACAGCTTTGCGAGTAGTTGATTCGTATACTCTGAGAGCTTCATCAAGATTATTAGATCGACTGCTTCACTATAATTGCAGGCTGCCTCGACTTTGAAGACTCTTCTCGCACATAGGAAACTGAACGGTGAGCTTGATATTCACTTCATCTCAGGGTTGCTTCAAGGCTGTTTACAACGCATCGGAATAACGATGCACATGCTCGTATGATAAATCTGACTCGCAATAAGCATCCTCAAAGCTGCATGTGCTCGTATGAACTTCCGCCATGTGCACAGGCAGTGTTCAATATGCAGGCCTCAGGTCGAGTAGAGGTTCCGCTCTCCAGCTAAAGCCTCAATGGTAGTGACGGGCTAGCCCTTGCCGTATTTGTCTGTGTAGTACTCCCAGTCGCGCATGTTCCGTCACTCTTGAAGTGCCTAGTCATTTCAAGGTGGGGGGATCCAGGGGTAGGTGCGAATTTGAAATTTGCATCCTATTGCCCGTGCCTGAGCGAGAGAGTCCCCGCACTGGAGAATTCGAGTGGAGTCTGCACCAGAGGTATGTAGCTTTTGAAATGGAGAGGTGGTGTGGGTAGATCTGCCCACGGTTGACTTGTCAGAAGCGCAACCACACCAATAGCCTGGAGAATGGAAGCAGTGGTCGCACCGAGGAATGCATACGACAGCATGTAGCTTCCATGGCGATTCTATCAGCTCTTAGGGACATATGTCACAGTGTCCAACTCGGCATCCGAGTCGGTCACAAGACACGCCGCTTGTTCTAATCTGGGCTGCATCTGGGCGTCGAGTATTTTGCGACCAGAAAAATCATGACACTTCAGGAATGGGTGCTCTCGGATTTTCGGTTCTTTGCGTGATACCCTCTGCTATTTCATCGCGTCTATCTCAAAGGCTTCGCTCGTAAGACATCCTTTTCTGCGATTTAGGAGCCAACGAAACAGACATGCCATTATACTTCATCTCTGATATTTAATCTCAGCAAAGTTTTCCCTTCCTACTTCCTACTATTGCTGCTCTATGCCTTTTTTACCCAGTGATCCATGACCTTTTCCGTGCTGTATCAGATTTAAACTACATAGCTCCGACTGCTCACCATCTACATTGATGCTTACAATCGTTCATTAATCACGCAATTTAGGCACCAATCTGCACATCACGCTTTCAAAATGACTTTGATCATCTCTGAAGCGCCAGAAATGGTCAGATGCATTAGTTTGCGCGAGTAGCTCGTGGAAAGTTCCGTACTCGCGTTTCATTGAGACGTTTCCGGAGGGGTTGTCGGAGAATAGAAGTGGCTGGTGTATGGTTGGACACCGGCGGGCCGAGCCCCGTGCCAATGCTCGACAAGCAAAGATAAGCTTCGGATCTTACTTCCTCCCGTTCGGAGGATCCGCACACTCGCGGAATAGACCGCCTCTTGAAAATGGTCCTGTCACGGGCATGCATGCTTTTATTGATCATTTATTTCCAATCGGCGACAGTAGCCCCAGAGGTTCGGACTACAAGCTCCTTATGGGCCTGATCGCCGTTATGGGCTGCGGTGTACTCCAACGGCCAATCTCATGATCCCTGCTTAGGGTTGCATCGGGGCCATTGATCATCATGCTATTACTTAGGAAACAAAGATAAGCCTACATACTCGCATTTAGCAAAAAGGTCAATACAATTAATTACAGATAAAGCATTAGCTCAAGAAGAAGCGGCGATCTTCCCGGAGGCTGAAACACTCCATGATGTCCTTCTGCACGTGTAGACAGTCGTCCCCGCCGAGTACTTCCCTGATGGGGTGTAGAAATTCATCATTTGAGCCCGCTGCATAGAGCATCTACTGCATCTTCATTTTTGCCCCGCAGATGTAAATTTTCTCCAACAAAATTGTTACTTTGGAAATGCTGGCGCTAATGCACTAAGACTTAGACCAGCTGGTACGCTTTGACTTACAGGTGCATGATAATGGAATACCGTAGGAGAGCCGTGGTATACCTAGGTAGGCACTTGTTGCATGCTATGAATGGGTCATCTGTGGCGACATCGGAGTAATCCACCTGTGTAGACTGTCCGATAGTAGCAGTGCTAGCTAATTGCATGGGTCTAATAATCCTCATGAAAGATCAGCAATTCTCGAATGGAGTACGACTTTGGAAGTGCAAGAACCTACCATAGTAAGCCAAATCGTTGCTGTTTAGATCGTGGTACGTGAATCGATTGTTACATGCGCCTCGCTATCAACTGATTCTTCTATCCTCGAAGAGTACAGAAATTATGAGATTGAGATCTATTGATGTTCTGGCGAGCTGGCTTTGTCTTTCTGGTGGGTCAATCGCAAACGGTCCTTTCGATCAGCTCAATGGACCGGCGATCGGTCATACCTCTTTTTTGCGTCAGCGGAGGGAGTACATGATATCCAAAAGTGCTACCATAGGTAGTAACCGGCCAAAAAGGAGCATCAAAGACCCTAAATACTTGAACCTAAAGACAAAGGGTATTCGATTGGCCCGGTATGATAACTCGAATAATACGAATTGGCTGATCACTGAACTCTTCCAGCATTCGCGGTCAACGGAACGGCAATTCCAGACGTGGACTTTGACATAGGCGAGTCATACGCTGGTCTGCTGCCTGTATCCGACATCCATGGCGATGAGCGCCAACTATACTTTTGGTATTTCCCGACCGACAACTTGGATGCTACTGATGCCATCACTATATGGCTCAATGGCGGACCAGGATGCAGCTCATTGGAAGGGCTGTTGCAGGAGAATGGCCCTTTCACCTGGCAGTATGGCACCTTCAAGCCTGTTGCCAACCCATACAGTTGGCACCATCTCACAGATATGTATTGGGTAGATCAACCTATTGGGACTGGTTTCTCAGTGGGGAATGCAAATGTTACAACGCAACCCGATGTCGCCGAGCAATTCTTGGGGTTCTTGAAAAATTTCATCGAGTTGTTTGGGTTTCAGGGTTGCAAAATTTATCTAACCGGGGAGTCATATGCCGGTATGAATATTCTCGCAAAGCGAAACTGAAGTTTGGGCCAAGCTTTGAAAAGTTAACGTTGTGTCAGGAATGTTTGTACCCTACATCGCACACGCGATGCTCGAAGCCAAGGATACACAACTTTATAACCTCGATGGAATCATGTTGTACGACCCAACTCTGGCCGGGAGAGCTGTTGAGAGGGAGCTCTTCGCCTATTCTACCTATGAGGCATGGTCGAAATTATTTGCATTCAACGATACATTCAGCTCCTATCTTCGGGATCGAGCAGCTTCTTGCGGCTATACCGATTACGTCAACAAGTACTTCTTATTTCCTCCACTTGGGAAGATGCCCACTGTGCGGAGCGATTGCGATCTGTACATGGAAATTGGCAACAATGCCTTCAACACAAACCCAGTAAGGAGACTCCTCTCCAAACCCGCAATTGACTGCCAAGGCTGATGACATTCGAACTTTTGAAAATTCAGTGCTGGGACCCGTACCATCTTGCGACCACTTGCCCCAGTCTCTGGGACGTCCTCGGTGCTCCCGGTGCATTTGACTACCTTCCAACCGGAGCATCTATCTATTTCGATCGACCAGAAGTCAAAAAGGCAATCAACGCTCCCCAATCTAGCAACTGGAAAGAATGCACCGACCTCTCTGTCTTCGTTAACGGAACCGACCAAACCGCCGCCGCAGGGCTATGGAGCTCACAAACCGTGCTGCCGGGTGTCATCGAGAGGGTAACCCGCGCACTCATCGGTCAGGGAGATATGGACTACACCATATTACCAAACGGGACATTGTTTGCCATTCAGAACATGACCTGGGGCGGCGCACAGGGCTTTCAGCGAGCACCAGATGGTGAATTTTACGTACCTGCCGACACAAAGCAGTCAGCTGGATCCGGGATTATGGGTAAAACTCGTACAGAAAGGGGTTTAACCTTTGTGGAGGTCGAGCTCTGCGGACATATGGGTGAGCTGAGTCCCTTTACAATGATACAAAGCACCGCATTTGGAAGACCTGAGCTAATGGTTTTCTTTGGTTGGAAATAGTGCCACAGTATCAGCCTAGTGCATCTTTTCGCCATTTGGAGTATCTGCTGGGGCGCGTGGACAGTCTCGGGAGCCGGGAGCCTTTCACTGTCGAAATCAAGGTGTAAATCTGGCATTTCAGTAATTGCGAGACTATGTGCGACCGAGTAAAGGTGCACAATGAGGTAGGTAGGGGACGACACTGCCAATTCCGAAGCAACAGACTCGTCATCGAAAACCTTCCAAATTATCGTGACCCAATGCATGAATTACCTACGGTCCTAAGCGAGAACACCTCCCGCTGCTCGTATGATCCCGAAATAACTGCGCTGGTCTTGTGTGTTGTGTTTAAGGACTGAGACTTCTGTCTTATGGGAGCTCTCACCACGCTGGAAAGCCGGAGATTCCCAAGTAAGCAAGCCGTTCCGTGGGGATGACATCGTTGCTTGACGAAGCTCAGGGGAAAGCTTGGTAAGTTTGTTGCTACCTCATGATTGACACGAGCAAGGAAATTGAAGCTCGCAAGACATAGTGCCACCAAAACTTGGATTTCTCTCGCACCTTCAGAAGAAAGCTCTGCATTTTTACCCATGTGATGCATTTCGCTGCTTCTAACTCCAGTAGGAATAATGGCTTTTTCAGATTAGCGGTGAGCGGCAGCTTATGTCACTCGAGGTGTAAAAACTTGAATGAGAAGTCAGGTGAAATTAGTATGCTGCTTTGTTCGAGGGCTGCACGATCAACGTCGCGTTGACTCCGTTCCAGGGGTCTACGACGGGGGAGGAAGGGCGAAGCGTGCACCAAGATTCAAGCTAGACTAGAACAGGGCTCACCGTCGTATTCGCAAGGTGACTCCGGCGGTCCTCCAATCTGCCACTGCCACTCGGAGTTAGCGGCAGTGCAAGCAGGGGTACTTGCCCTAAGAGATCCCGCGAAGCTTCAGAAGTGACTCAAAATGTCACGTGTCGTCGATGGAATAATAGACATGAGTTTGCTGCCCATCTTCAATAAATAAATTCATTCTGATAACTGAGAATCATTTTGTCATTGTGCTGAGGCCTTCAGTTCTCCACTGAAAAGCATCTTGACCAAATTCCTTTTGTCCTATCGAGCTTTGTTGTCGTTTTTCGGACCGTCCGCCTCGAGAGGCATCATGTCTGAAAGATCATGTCTGCAAGCAGACAAGTCCTGGGGGCCGACTTTGCCTACGGGTTGTCATGGTGGCTTTGATTTCACCATCTTCTTCCAGCAGATCTGGCTCTCAATTGTACCGTCGATATTGTTTCTGACTCTAAGCGGTCCTCGGCTGTGGCAGCTCCGCCAAGCCCCAGTGGTGACTCGCAAATCGAGCAGCCAACTGGTGAAACTGGTAATATGAGACTCTGTTCCTCCCCCAAAAATGTACAACCGAGGCTAACTTAGATATTTTGATTGATATGGACAGGGCACTATAATTGTTTTAACTCTTCTTCAGCTGGGTCTGCTTGCTTTGTGGTCGTTAAAACCATCACTGCGGACTGCAGCTTCCATTCCAGCGGCCGTCTTGTCCTTGATCGTCGCCTGTGGGCTCGCAATCCTCTCATATTACGAGCATCAGCGTTCCACCAGACCGTCCACATTGCTGAGTGTCTACGTTTTCTTCTCAATCCTATTTGATGCGCTTCAGGCTCGATCACTGTGGCTTCGCAACGTGAATGCTCCGATCGCGGCGACATTCACTGTATCACTTGCAGTCAAGTTGCTCATCGCAGTTCTAGAAGGACGGGAGAAAAGAGCAACTCTTCGAGACCGAAATGCAAAGGTCTCTCCCGAGACTACTAGTAGTATCTACAATCGCATGGTCTTCTGGTGGTTGAACCGTCTGTTCATGGCTGGTTACAATGGGACTCTATGTTTGGACGACTTGTATCCGCTTGAACCGGAGATGACATCAGCAGGGCTTGGGGCCGCTATAGAAAAGACCTGGATGAGAGGTAGGCTACTGACGTGTAGAAAGCTCCAGGGAAGATTTGACTAACGTCGACCAGCGGACTTGTCGCAGACCAGGCGGTGCGCATTGCTGAGAACAACGGCAGTTGCATTGAAGTGGCCTCTGCTCTCACCTGTTCTTCCTCGTATTATTCTCATTGGGTTCAAATACTGCCAGCCACTTCTTTTGGCCAGCGTAGTGAACTACGTGCAGCTCCCAAATCAAGCGAGGGATAGGAATTTCGGCTATGGTCTTATTGGTGCAACAGCTATTGTCTATATCGGAATTGCAGTGCGTATCTCAGATAAGTCATCGACGCCAAAGAACTATGCGCTGACGCCCTTCTTCAGGTGAGCACGGGGTTATACAATTTGAAGGTGTACCGATCCACTGTCATGATACGCGGCTCGCTCGTGAGCATCATCTATCGAAAAACCTTGCGATTGCATTTGAACGAAGCCAGATCATCTGCCGCGCTGACTCTTGCTAGTTCGGATGTGGATCGTATCGGCTTGACCGTGGAAAGCGGACACGAGATTTGGGCCAGCAGCATTGAGACCATTTTAGCCCTTGTGCTGCTGCAACGGCAATTGGATTGGGCTAGTATAGCTCCTGTGATACTCGCTCTGCGTAAGTCAGACGATGCTCAATCGATCGACTGGTTGACCTATTTTTAATCGGCTTTGATCCAGTTGCCACCGCTGTGAATACACGGGTCGCAAAGTATGTGCCACGGCGTCAAAGAGAATGGGGTGCCGCCATTCAAAAGCGAGTGACCTTGACATCCTCAATTCTGAGAAATATGAAAAGCGTGAAAATCATGGGTCTACAGGAGATCGTCGCTCGAACAATGCAAAATGCTCGCGTTTACGAGCTGGATTTGTCCAAGCGCTACCGGAGGTTCTTTGCATACATGGCTATCATTTGTCGGTTTCTATGCCCCTCGTGAAGAATGGGAAGCATGTTTCGTACTGACTCGATCAATCCAGCAACCATACCTCTGCAATTCTCTGCACCATTTGCTTTTGTCATCTACATATATGGGGTCAGATCAGACAAGACGCACGATTCCGTCGCAGCGCAGATATTTGCGTCTCTTTCACTAACGCAGCTACTCACAACTCCATTGCAAAAGGTCTTGTCCTCCATTCCGTCATTTGCGGGAACCCTCGGTTCCTTCACACGCATTGAAGCCTATCTCCGGCTTGATGACCGTGTTGATGGTAGAGCTATCGACCAAATGAGTCGTCCTGATGGCTCGATCGAGACTCATTCAGGTGGAAGTCAATTGGAACTAGAGAGCTTTAGAACGGCGGGAAGAGACCATTCCATTAGCAAACACGTGGTCTCCGTGCAAGATGCAAGCATTGCCTCCTCTGCAGAATCTCAGTTGATTCTGTTCAACCAAACCTTTGAAATCCGCCGGGGCGTCCTCAATGCGATTGTTGGTCCCGTGGGCTGCGGAAAAACTACTCTGCTCAGCGCCCTGCTCGGCGAAATGACAATTTGCAGAGGCAAAGTAAGAGTAGATGATTCTGCAGTCGCCTATTGCCAGCAAACACCCTGGCTCATCAACGCCTCTGTCAAGGACAATATCCTGAATCAGTCTCCCTACAATGAAGCTTGGTACCGCAAGGTTATCTGGGCCTGCGGCTTGAACGAAGACATTGGGCAATTGCCCGACGGCGATGGAACAATTGTCGGCAGCCGAGGAATCAACTTGAGTGGCGGGCAAAAGCAAAGGCTGGCCCTGGCACGGGCAGTCTACGCCAGGGCGCCGTTGGTCGTGCTGGATGATACACTGAGTGCTCTCGACGCAAGAACCGAGAAATTAATCTTCAATCGTCTGCTGTCTCAGCAAGGCCTCTTTCAGCACCTTGGAGCAACGGTCATCCTTGTCACTCACTCCGTGCAACATCTTCGGTCTGCAGACAACATCATTGTATTAAGCCCAAAAGGTCACGTTGAGCAATACAGCTCATTCAAAGAGCTGAGTGATGTGGAAGGACCAGTGAGAAGTCTTTTAGCTAATTCCACTGCGGACGATGATGTCGCAGAAAAGTACGTATCTATATCAACCACCGCCGCATCACCTCAACCGAATGAACCAAAGGGAGCGGAATCGTCTGTGCTGGTCGCCCCTGCTGTAGAGCCTCCCAGGAAGACTACATCTGACTCAGCCGTTATGATGTATTATCTGAGGTCCATCGGATGTCCTCGAGCAGCGATTTTTGTTTTTGCAAGCCTGGCTTATGTGGTCTGCAGCAGTTTCACTCAGATTTGGGTCCAGTGGTGGACCGAGTCTGAGAGGCCTAACGATGCGTCTTTCCTAGGGGCCTATTTCGCTTTGGCTTGTGGGGCCATTCTGAATTATAGCCTGAGCATCTGGTCCATGATGATCTCAATTGTGCCCATTTCAGCAGCAAAACTGCACTGGAAACTTCTTGATTCGGTTCTGCATGCACCCACGTCATTCTTCTCATCCGTGGACTCGGGAACGACCTTGAACCGATTCAGCCAGGACATGTCATTGATCAATAGTCGCCTACCCGTATCTATGATGCAGGCGACGCCGATGGCATTTCAAGCACTGTTGCAGATCGCGCTGATCGCCGAGGGATCGACCTATTTAGCTATTGCCATCCCATTATGCCTCAGTGCTACCTGGCTTCTGCAACGATTCTATCTCCGCACATCGAGGCAGCTGCGCTTACTGGATCTGGAGCTTAAGTCTCCATTGTTTTCCAGCATCTCCGAAACACTCGAGGGTCTCCCAACAATTCGCGCACTCGGATGGCAGGAGAGATTCGAACGGCGCAATCAAGAACGACTGGACGATTCGCAAAGACCGGTCTATCTTCTCTACTGCATCCAGCGCTGGCTCAACTTTGTGCTTGATCTCATAGTTGCAGCATTGGGCATTCTGCTCGTTAGCTTGGCAACTCAGCTACCGAGTAGTACGACCGGGGGCCGTCTGGGTGTCGCAATGCTCAATATTCTTGGATTCAGCCAGAGTTTGTCTCAATTCATCTTCTTTTATACAGACCTCGAAACGTCGCTGCAAGCGGTGTCTCGCGTGAAGGAGTTTGTGGAAACGACAGTCTCGGAAGAAGCGAGCATCGAGTCGCGGATGTTGCCGACAGACAACTGGCCTGCGCGGGGTGCGGTGGAATTCGCAAAGGTTACGGCCTCGTATAGCAGTGACATAGGCCGTCCAGTGCTCAAAAATATATCCCTCACCATTCAGCCAGGGCAAAAAGTCGGAATCTGTGGGCGAACGGGTAGCGGAAAGTCATCCTTGATCTCTGCTCTTTTCGGGATGATTGATCTCCAGAGCGGCCGCATTACGATTGATGGGGTCAGTCTCGAGAGCGTCAACCGACAAGAGGTCCGTTCACGTTTGATAGCCATCCCGCAGGATCCATTAATGCTTCCTGGGACAGTTCGGTTCAATGTGACTCCAGATGAAGCAGTGGCAGATGCCATGATTACACAAGCACTTGAAAAGGTTGGGCTATGGGATCATGTCCAGAAGCGCGGCGGCTTGGATGTTGATATCGACACGCTTGCGTTGTCGCATGGGCAGCAACAGCTTTTCTGCCTCTCGAGGGCAATGCTGAGATGCGGTCAAATAGTTGTACTAGACGAGGCTACCAGCAATGTTGACTGGGCGACTGACCAAATCATGCAACAGGTCATTCGGGAAGAGTTTGCAGAGAAGACTACCATCACCGTGGCGCACCGTCTGAGAACGATCATCGATAATGATTTGGTCGTGGTGATGGGTGATGGAAGGATTCTCGAGACTGGTCACCCAGCGGAGCTCCTGGCAACTGACAGCCATTTCCGAATACTGTGCAATACCCAGGGAATCAGTCTCGATAATATATAGTCTCTGCAAAACTGTCTTAGCCTTTCTTCCATATCGTTTCTGGATCAAGCCTTACGTAAGGTAGCTACCATGCGAATCAAGCTGCAATGAGGAATCGACCTCAAGGAAAGCTTTAGTTCGTCCAGGCCACACCAGTAGAAGCTTCCACCTGAAACATGACCCCAGTCTATTAATAGAGACAAGATGTAGCCTAAGCCCTCCAGGTGGCCAAGTAAGATATCCCAAGTCGCAACAACTTAGTGCACGTTATCACACTAACTTCAAACTCAACAGCAGCGCGTGCCTTCTGCATCATCGCCGCTCTGTAAGTCTAAGCACTGATACTGGGGCATCTCCCCAACGGCCCGAGTGATCTCCCGAGCCGGTCCGGGGGGCTGAAAGTATGTTCAGTGTCAAGCCCAGCCCAGCCACCTGCTTGACGTATCGCGGCTCGCAAGATTGTCACCTTCTATTAAGAAAGGGGCTTCATTCAATACAACCTCAATATAATGACCTTTATGCTTTCTCCTCAATCATAATACGCAAAAAGGCAAGCCAAGCACACCAGCATCCAGGTTCCACCGGTCACTCTAGACTTCTCGAGTCTAGACATCGGCCGGAGTAAGACCCGCCTCCGCTTCACGCTAGTCTCGGGCTCGAAGAAAGTCCGCTTCCGCTCGGCTCCTGAACGCTCGGGCCTCCGCCAAAGGGAAGATCCGAAAGCCGAAAGACGCGGACTCCTTTGAGCGATCGGCCGCTAAGCACTTTGACAGCACCGAAGCAGCTTTGCCCTCTTTGAGTGATATGAACGAGGATGTCTTTCCTTTGTGACTCGAATATCTATGGAGCGATTGCGTGGCACTCATATATGGCGATACAATGAGTGTGTAATAGAAATCGCGTTGACGTGATGTCAGCTTGATTGTTCTTCGATGGAAATCCGCCGAACCGCTGACGGACTTCGGCCCTTTTACTTGGCCACTTTCTACCAAAATATAAGACGTACAATCAGTGCCGTGACGAGATGACCAATGAACAAGAAGAGAGTCCCAACTCGAACGACGGTCTTACAGTTCGACCGCCGTGCCCAATTTAGCCGAGTGTCTTCCCTCGGCGGCGACGAGGTGCATTAGTGGGATCATCTTCGGTATCGATGGAGGAGTTCAGTACCCGGAAGACTGATGGTCTCTGCGCTGACCTGCAGGAGCTAAGTCAGTCTCGGTTTAGACTTCATCCCGTTGAAAAGCAACGCATTAGGTGCTGGCCAACCCAAGCGTCGTATGCTGCTCTTCGTGACTTCGTCTTACTATCTGTCAGCTCGTCTAGTTCCAGCTCTCTCCCCCTCTTGTCTTGGCTTGCCTTGAGAGTCTCAAACAGGCGGCACGCTAGTCCTATCGTGTCAAGATAATATCTGTCTCTCCCTTCCAGTTCTCACATAAGGTGGATTTTGACACGTAGGGCTCGCTAGGAGGAATGGTATACTTGTGGGGGTGGGGACGCGAAGTCTTTCTTAATCTGACGTGAGCCGTCACACGGGTGCCAAGGTACGTACCTTCTCCCAAGTCTCCCCGCCCACGACACCTTGCTAGCTCAAACACCACTTTGAGAGAGAGTGAGGACTTTCCCCTATTGTATTCTGGTTGTTGTCTACTATTGTATTGTTGAACTGTATCCGCATCAAGGAGAGCGATGCGAGCAAAGGTTTACAACTTGGTGCTTATAGCGACGCCTTGATACACCGAGTATGCACTATTTACTTCCCAGTAGCATCAGACTTCACGGAACAAGCCGAGCCGGGCCACCCAAGCACTGCGCTAGACGAAACTGAACATAATCATCCTCAATCATCACCACTGTTGAGTGCTCGCCTAAAGGCTACATTCGAGCTAGAGTCTTGGAAGCTGTCAAATTCTCTCACATCCCCTGTGAATTTGCCAATGGAAAACCCTAATGCAATACAAAGATATCGGTACTTGCCCCTGACTCGTCGGAGGTTTCGCCATGGGCGCTCACACGCCGTTAGGCTACCCGCCTCTGACTCGTCTGGACTTTATCACCTTGTTGGGATGGGCGGTGATGGCCGTTTTTAACTCGTCTTTGTTCGCAATTGTTTGGCTGAATATGTGATGGACGCGTCTCGACACTATTGGATTTGCTTGGCCTGATATGAGCAGCGACAACTCCTGACTATGCCTTTTCTTCCCCGCACCGCCCCCAAAATCAACGGAGCCGCCAATGTTTAAAGCCACCAATATTCCCGGCAACAGAGCATGAATGTTCACGAAGACAACCGACTTTGGGATCCACCATGTCGCAGGCTCCAAACGCCCCGCCCATGCGGCAATCATGCGACAGGTGCCATCAACAGAAGCTCCGATGCACTCGGGATGCGCACAGGAATACTGGAACTTGCGATCGCTGTTTGCGAAGACGTGTGCAATGTGTGTATAGCTTGAGTCTGCCCAAGGGCCGACCGAGTCTCCCAACTTCGATCGACGAGTCCATCGATAGCAGGGCTGGTCTGCCTGCAGAATCATTTTCCGCACCTATCACCCCAGTATCCCTGAGATCGGGCGTCTCACGCCGGCGAAACACGGGCTCCCAGAGAACTTCTTCAATTGTCAACGCCACCGGTGCTACACTGAACGGTGCGGGTGTTGGCCTCGAGATCGATCTAGACGGGGACATGGGCGAAGACATACCCGCCAATGACCGAGCCATGGATGGACCAAATGTGGTTGCAGGTTCGAATGCAAACCCAAGCAGCAATTCCACCAAGCATACCATGGATGTGATCGACCCGTTCTTGAACATATCATCTGGGGCCGTTCCATGGTCAAACTCTTTCACTGCGGACGAGATGCATGTGGATTGGAATGATCATGGTCCCAATCCTGGAACATTTGCCTGGAACAGTATTTTAAACACTCCTCCCGAGCTGGATATTTTACCTGGCACGCCCGGCCGTGAGTACTCGGATAGAGAAAGTAGCGACAACAGCGCGAGTGGAAGACCTCCCCGACCACGCGCAGTGGATGGTATAGCTGGCTCTCATTACCAAACTCACACCCGCAGAGATGCCACCAAACCGGTAAGGAACAGCACGAGCAGAAGCGATCATAGTAAAGCCCTGCCTACCAATCTTGCGGAAACATTCGATCCGGATTTCGTGGTTGCGCGGCTATCTCGATTGAATGTACGGCTTGCAGCTTTGCAGCACTCTAGCCAAGCCTTGTTCGAAACGCTGAAATTGCCCGAGCCGTTCAAAGACGCCACACAAACCCAATCGCTGAAGCTCCTCGATGACGCTGCATTTGACTCAGTGACCTCTTGGCTTGCCGGAGCAGCTCACAGCTCAGGTAATTCGAGCTCGACGCGCGCCCTCAACACTCACCCGCACCTTCGGCCGGTCCCCGAAAAGAAAACGGGTTGCGGGGTGCTTCACGAAGCTTTTTCTGCATCACATCAATTCCTGGAGATTCTGAGCCTCTTGCACAACCAAGTGACCGAGCGCAAGACGGGTCTATTTACCTCGAAAGCCGACATGTCTACGATTCCCGAGTCGTGGCATCTAGCCTCCTCTTCACACAACAGAAATCGATCTTATTGCGAGCAGCACAAATCGACGTCGCATGATGGGGCTTCCTTGAGCCAGGCTTCCAGCCGTGAAGATATCATACGCCAATTAGTCATGGCTTGTCACGCACTGCTTCTGAATGTGTTTGTCGCAGTCCTCATTGCCTTGCAACACGATGCCAATCAACCCAGCACTGAAATGCACGCGGGGGCTCTGGGCCAGATTCGACTGGTGTCTGTAGTGCAGCTATGTTCGTATCTCATTGGACGCCAGCACCAAGCATTAGACGTATGCATATCACTGCAGAGCAGCAGCACACAGTTGCAGTCGCTGCAAGACATGGGTGGTAGTGGTCGCCAACGCCCCACGCCGCTTCTGCTGGCTGACGACGATGATGCGGAAATGTTGAAAGACTTGCTAAAAGACGTTGAAGATAAACTTGCATGTCTAAAGACAACGCTATGTATCTGAAGAGATTTTCATGTTGTCTGATATGGAAACAAATAGAGGTTTGGTCTTATTTTCTTCTGTATTGCAGAGCAATGGATGAGAGGGGAGCAATTTCGGAGAATGAGGAAATTCAAAATATTTATAATATTAAACATTACAATCGTTGTACTTAGACTTTTGCACCAGTGGCCTCAGCCATATTGTCAGCCGTTCTTCAAGATTCATCAACGACAAAACATATACGCACCAAACAGAAATGAAAAGTAATCCGTATCGGAGCTATCTACCCAACAGGCATGGCATCGCCCACGGCACCTGCATGCAATCTCTTCCATGGACAAATCAGGCTCAAAACAAAGGCGATGCCAACCATGCCTATACCAACGGCAAAAGAAGCCTTGATGGCTTCCATATAGGCTCTCACAATGCCTTGAAGCTGCTCAGCCGTAAAGACAGATCTCAACTCCGTGGCGCCGGTATTGACCACAAGAAGCGGGTTCACTCCAGGGGCTGAAGTGCGCAAGCTTGATAACAGAACATTCACAAATGCGCACTGTGCAGATGAAATACTGAATGCACCTCCGAGGACTTGGAAATCTGGTGGTAGCCTTTGTGGTCAGATTTGTTCTCCTGAGACAGATCGGGGACTGCAGGATAAACGTACAATAGAGAGTTGCAGTGACAGTGGAAATGTCACTCGAGTCTACATCGGCTTGCGCAATGTTAAGCGCATTCTGGAATGGAAAGGCAAGTGCTGCACCTGCCAGAATTTGATATCCGATCCATTTTGCTGAGGAGGTGTCGACGTCGAGTGTGTAGAGCAGTCCGGTAGCTACTGTAGCCAAGGCTGCACCGAGCGCCATGAAAGGCGTTGCGTGGCGGGTCTTTGTGACGGCAATTCCACCAGCAAGAACAGCTAGACATCCTGCAATGACCAATGGAAGATTGTCAACCCCAGATTGGATAGCGTCGCCCCCTCTGATACTTTGAAAGTATATGGGCAGATAGTAGAGCAGGAGGAAGTAGCAGCTGGCAAAAAAGAACTGATAGGCACATCCAGTCCACAGAGATCGCCTTTTCAGGAGCCTCAGCGGCATCATAGCGTACTCTCCTTGATAGTACTCTGCGACGGCCAGAGCAGCAAGAATGATGACAAAGCCGACCAGTAGACCAACTACGACACTGCTGCTCCAGTCGTAGGTTTGTCCTCCGTATTGAAGGGCCAAGATGAAGCTGATGATGGCGCCCATGGACAGAACGATCCCGACAGGATCCATGTGCCAAATTTTCTGCATCCATGTAGCCGGGACCACGCTCGCCGAGCTGGGTGTCTTGAAAAAGGCAATCAGGAGCGCGAGAGCAAGACCACCTATCGGGAGATTGATGTAGAAACACCATCGCCAAGTGACTCTATCCGAAAAGGCCCCCCAATCAGTGGCCCACAAATAGCTGCAACTGTGTATGCCACACCAACAAAGCCCATCAATGTCGGGCGCTTTTTGGGCTCCGCGCAAAAAGCGAGAATCACAGTCCCGCCACTGGAAACACCGGCACCACCGACGCCTGCAATAGCGCGGCCAACGATGAACGCAACAGAGCTCGGCGAAACTCCGCAGATCAGACTACCCAATTCAAAGATCACGACAGACACAATAAAGCACAACTTCAATGGGAAGTATCGGTATGCTTTGCCCCACGAGGACTGGAAACCACCAAGGCACATGAAGTAGGCTGATCCATACCATGACACTTGACTGAGGCCATGAAACTCGTCTGTGATCTTTGGAATGGCTGTTCCAACAATAGTCTGGCGGGGATCAGTAACGGTAGCAACCAAGTACAGTCTCTCAGTTGGAGTTAGTGCTCACTTGATCCAAAGACGTCAGAAAGACCGTCAGCATGACTGCGGCCACCACAGTCACGAGACGTAATCCGTGGGGATATTCTTCGTTGGCGCTGTCGACTGGTTCATCGTGAGCGCCTTCAAGCTCCACATCGGGAGTCTCTGGAGCATCTGTGTTCTGGGCGAGATTCTTTTCCTCCGCCATATTATACCGCTTCACAAAGAGATCCAGATAATGTGGAAGGAGAACGTTTGGACCTGCTAAAAACTTAAACTTTGAAATCCGCCTTCTCAGAGCGACTGAGAAGCGATTGTTCCAATCTGGTCCAAGGGGCGGAAACTATGCTCTCCATTGATGCACATCTTCGGCGATATGCTTAGTCACTTTCGGCGCTTTTTTCTTCGGGGCTTTAAGTTAGGTTTGCGCCTTCAGTCTCTGATCTCAGTCTCACAGCTTCTTGACATACCCGAAATGATTCTTGACAAAGCACTCGGTTGGCAGTAAGTCGGCGTTGATGAGGTACCTCCAGCACCGGCAATGGTGATGCGGCGTAATGTCAGATTGGGGGCTTATCTGATCCTTATCATCGATATTGTAGATGCAAAGTGGGGATGAAGAGTAGAAGCAGGAGAGCGAAAAGTCGAGAGAGATCAGTCTTGTATTAAGGGACACGGAGTATTCCAGAACATATCCCTTGTTGTCTTTCAACAACAATTGCGTTCATGGGTTTTGGTTTGGCAACTCTACCGTGAGACTGTGAAACACTCATCTGCTGGAAATCTTTAGACGTATCTTATATACTTCTTTCTCCAACCATGGCTTCTTCCACACCTCAGCCACCCGAACCTATAGCCCTCGTTGGCAGTGGCTGCCGATTCCCTGGCGGTGCTAACTCCCCATCTGCATTGTGGGAGCTCCTGGCAAGCCCTCGCGATGTGTGTCGAGACATTCCACAAGATCGATTTAGTAGAGAGGGCTACTATCACCCCGACGCCAGCCACCATGGCACCACAAACGTTCAAAAGTCATATCTTTTGCAGGAAGACTTGACGCTATTCGATGCCGCTTTTTTCAATATCAGTCCTGCTGAAGCAGAAGCAATGGATCCGCAACAGCGTCTACTTCTGGAAACAGTGTACGAGGCCCTCGAGTCTGGTGGACACACGACCGAAGCCTTGCGAGGATCCGATACTGCCGTATATGTTGGAACGATGAGTGTGGACTACTATGACACACTCCTCCGCGATCTCCAGACCATCCCGACATATTTTGCAACGGGCACAAATCGAGCTATCATCTCGAACCGAGTTTCTTATTTCTTCGACTGGCATGGACCAAGCATGACAATTGACACGGCCTGTTCGTCTAGTCTGATTGCAGTACATCAAGGCGTGAAGTCCCTACGTACCGGCGAATCGCGCGTCGCTGTCGCATGCGGTACGCAGGTGATCTTGAATCCGGACATGTATGTTGCTGAGAGTAAGATGAGGATGCTGTCACCCACCGGCCGATCCCGGATGTGGGATGCAGATGCAGATGGATATGCCCGGGGAGAAGGCGTTGCAGCAGTTATTATGAAGCGATTGAGTGATGCCATTGCAGATGGCGACCACATCGAGTGCATTATTCGTGAAACTGGAGCCAACCAGGACGGTTTCTCCAACGGTATCACAGTACCGAGTACAGACGCCCAAGCAGCGCTCATTCGACACACTTATGCAAGTGCTGGATTGGATCCCGTGAAAAATCCCGACGATCGTCCGCACTTTTTTGAGGCACATGGCACTGGTACTCAGGCGGGAGATCCCAAAGAAGCGGCTGCGATCCACGAATGCTTCGGTCAATATACCACAACCACCCCATTGTATGTGGGCTCTGTCAAGACCGTCATTGGCCACCTTGAAGGATCTGCGGGGTTGGCTGGTATCTTGAAGGGTGCTGCTATGATCCGTGAGGGGCTTGTGGTGCCTAATATGCTTTTCAATCGATTGAATCCGCGCGTTGAACCATTTTATCAAGGTTTACACGTACCAACACAGCTGACTCCCTGGCCGGTTCTTGGAAAAGGCCTACCTCGACGTGTCAGTGTCAACAGCTTTGGTATGTACAAGTGCCTTGAGTCATCGTAAGCTTAGAAGAAGCTAATCGTTTTCGTTTGTTGTTGTACCGCCAACAGGATTTGGTGGCAGTAATGCTCATGCTATCTTGGAGGAGTATCTGGCTCCAAATTCAAAGCCCAAGGCCAATACTACCAGCACACCTTTCGTGTTCTCAGCCATGTCAGAGGCTTCTTTGGTCTCTCAGCTACATTCGTACAGTGCACATCTGAAAGCCCATACGGATATCAATCCTGCTGACCTGGCCTGGACACTTCAATCTCGCCGAAGCAAGCTTCCGACGAGGATTACCTTCTCAGCGTCAACGACTGAACAATTGGCAGTCAATATTGATGCCAAACTTGCAATTGTCGCCCAGAATCCAGGTTTTCTGATTGGAACCCGTTTGTCTGCGAAGTCCACAGCCGGATTTGCAAAAGTCCTGGGTGTTTTCACAGGACAAGGTGCCCAATGGGCAACCATGGGCGCGCAGCTCATTCGCAAATCCAGTTGGGTGCGAGATCGAGTACTTGACCTTCAAAAGTCGCTAAACACTTTGCCTGTTGCCGATCGCCCTGACTGGCAGCTGTTGGAGGAAATTCTGGCTGAAGAAGGTGTTTCTCGGATTGGAGAGGCGTCTCTGTCACAACCACTCTGCACTGTTCTCCAAATTATTTTGGTCGACCTTCTCAAGATCGCGGGCATCGTTTTTACAGCAGTCGTGGGCCATTCTTCAGGAGAAATTGGTGCCGCATACGCCGCTGGTCTGTTGTCCGCCTATGATGCCGTCCGGATCGCCTACTATCGTGGTCTACATGTGCGTTTGGTCGGCAACGAGGCAGGAAGCCCGAAGGGCGCAATGCTTGCGGTCGGTACGTCGTGGGAAGATGCAGACGAGCTTGTGAATTTGAAGTTTTTCAGGGGCAGACTGAAGATTGCTGCACACAACTCACCAGCCAGTGTCACTCTGTCGGGAGACGCCGATGCCGTGATTCATGCGAAGAAAGTCTTCGACGAGGAAACGAAATTTGCACGCTTCTTGAAAGTTGATACGGCCTATCACTCTCACCATATGCTGGCATGCGGTGATCCATACGTTGAATCATTACGAAACTGTGATGTGAAAGTCAATCAAGAGCTGAGCTGTACTTCCTGGTTCTCCAGTGTGATGTCAAGCAGCGACAGAATGACTCCCACTGGCAGTCTTCGAGACACATATTGGAGGGATAACATGACAAATACGGTTCTTTTTGCCGATGCAGTCAGGAATGCTGTCACAAGCGATGACCAGATAAATCTTGTCATGGAGGTTGGTCCCCACCCCGCTCTCAAGGGACCCGCGACACAAATCATTTCAGAGATACGATCCAGCCCTCTTCCGTATTGTGGTGTGCTCAGCCGAGGCGTGGACGACCTTGAAGCGCTGTCAGATGCACTGGGATTTCTTTGGGCTCATTCGGGTGCTGATGACGTGAACTTCCAATCTTATGAAAGGACGCTTTCTGGTAAATGCTACCAGCCAAACTTGATAGTCGGTCTACCGGCATATCAATGGAACCATGACAAGACTCACTGGAACGAGTCCAGAATATCACGAGCTCTCCGAGGCAGACAGCAGCCTCCTCACGAGCTATTGGGCGTCCGTTCTTCGGATTCCAATGATTATGACATGCGATGGTCAAATGTCCTTAAGTTGTCGGAAATACCATGGATTGAAGATCATCAGTTGCAAGGTCAGCCCGTTTTTCCAGCGGCAGGATTTGTCACCATGGCGCTGGAAGCATCCAGAGTCCTCGCCGCCGATCGGGAAGTACGACTTTTCGAGCTCGAGAACCTGAATCTTCCACGTGCGGTTACCTTTGAAGAAGGAGATAGCTCTGGCGTCGAGACACTGGCGACCCTGACGGCAACGAAATACCATAATGATGGCAACCTGGCCACAGCTGACTTCTCATGTTACTCCAGTCCCATCGCCAGTTCTAAATCCCAATCAAAGATGGAGCTCATGGCTACCGGACGGGTCAAAATTACGTTTGGACCTCCTATGGAGGCCGCCTTGTCAGGAGATCTGCTTGAGGATTACCACATGTCAGCGGTCGACAAGGAGCAATTTTATTCAGCCCTTTCAAAGCTCGGATATGGTTACTCGGGATCTTTTAGAGGAGTGTCTTCTTTGAGGCGTCGCCTTAATGAGTCCTTTGCGATGCTGGATACTTTCCCCCACTCAAGATATCTGGTTCATCCGAGCACGCTGGATGTTGCTTTCCAAACATCGATGCTTGCGTATTCAGCTCCTGGAGACGAGCGTCTGTGGTCATTGCATATTCCTATCTCAATTGGTAGTATCCGAGTCAACCCTGCGGCGTGCGCAACAGTGCCGCCTGACGGATCTCAGATACCGGTTTGCGCAATAATCGACGAGCAAGCACATACGTTCTTGGCAAACATCAATATCTTCAGTGAGGGTGGAGCACATCCTATGGTCCAGATTGACGATTTCAAAATCAAGGCCTTTGCACCTGCTACTGCGGATGACGATCGTCGGCTGTTTACACATACCAGCCTCGAATTTGCCTTACCCAATGGCAACTCAATCGCAGAGAACATCGTCCCTACGGCAGATGAAGTTGACCTGGCTCTAGTCTGTGAAAGGATATCGTACTACTATATTCGCAAGTGGAACGATGAGATCACTGACGAAGAATGGGCACATGGTCAACCGCACCATGCACACCTCCGAGCCTGGATCAACCACACCCTTTCAACTGCAGCCCAAGGAGAGCATCCAACCCTTAAGTGCGAGTGGATCAATGATACGCACGAGGATATAGCTGTTTTAGCCAACGAACATCCAAACAGTGTCGATGTCAAGCTGCTTCGCGCTGTCGGAGAAAACATTCCAGACGCCGTGCGAGGACAGACAACGATTTTGGAACACATGCTTCCCAACAACCTTCTTGATAATTTCTATAAGCAAGGCGTGGGTATCGAAAGATATAACGCCTTCCTAGCGAGCATGGTGCAGCAGATCACGCATCGCTATCCTCACGCCGATATTCTCGAGATAGGTAAGACGACTAACATTGACGGGGCATCAGCTCAACCACCTAGACCATTTTAAATTTTACTAATGAATTATAGGCGCTGGCACGGGCGGAGCCACCAAATCTGTTCTTGAAGAAATTGGCAACACTATGTCATCCTACACATACACCGACATTTCCGCCGGCTTCTTCAATAAAGCCTCTGATCTCTTCAAGGTCTACAGTGACAAAATCACATTCAAGACCTTGGATATTGAGAGAGCACCGGCCAGTCAAGGCTACAAACCATACTCTTATGATATCATCCTCGCTTCGAACGTGCTACATGCAACAGTGTCACTACAGAAGACACTTGAGAACACCCGGCAGCTGTTGAAGCCTGGCGGGTTTCTGCTTATGCTGGAAATCACGAACCAGGGACCTACTCGCTTTGGTAATGTCATGGCTGGTCTGCCAGGCTGGTGGCTTGGCGTGGATGATGGTCGCCAATGGGCACCTACTGTTACCCCAGGTCAATGGCACAATGCTCTGCGCAAATCTGGATTCGCCGGCGTCGACGCGATTACGCCAGAGGTTGATGGCATCACCTGGCCCTTGTCTATCATAGCAGCGCAGGCTATAGATGATCGAGTGAACTTCCTGCGACGGCCGCTGGCTTCTCGTCCTTCCCCGCCCGGATCTTCCGTTCGTGTGGAAAGTCTTGCTATCCTAGGCAAGAAGAGCCTTCAAACTGCGAGACTCTCGGAGGAGCTTTCTGAATTATTGAGCCACCACTGCGATGAGATAGTCGTTCTCAATGGCCTGCCCACAGAACTGGAAGCTGAGAGGATAAACCCAATGAGTACCTTCATCAATCTTGTGGATCTTGACACACCAATTTTCAAAGATATCACGGATGAAAAGATGAGTGGCCTCAAGCTTATGTTTGAGCGCGCTAAACATGTCCTATGGATTACTGAAGGCGCCCATGTCGACCAGCCATATCATATGGCAAGCATTGCCTTTAGCCGTGTCATTCGTAATGAGCAGGCACATATTAACTTGCATCACCTGGATATTTCCGGCAAACACTGGAACGCGGCTCGGTCTATCGCCGAATTTCTTCTGCAAGGGGCGGCGTTGAACACCTGGGAGTCACGAACACAGTGGACGGAAGGTCAAAGATCACAGCCGCCACTTCTCTGGTCTCAAGAGCCGGAGACATTCCTCGTGGATGGAGACCTCAAGATCCCTCGTCTTGTCAGCAGTACGTGCCAGAATGAGAGACTAAATGCATCCAGGCGTTTGATTCAGAAAAGAGTATCTCTCTCTGAGTCAAATGTCTCACTTGAGCTATCGACCAAGTGGAGGCCATACCTAGTGGAGAGTGCCGGTTTCTCCCACCTCCGAAGGAGAGACAGCCTCGGACAGCTTGTCCGTGTCACTATATCTAGTTTGGCCGCTTATCGTGTGGCTCCAGATACCTTCCTTTTCCTAGGAATTGGCGCAAGCGAGACAGATCAAAAGCCAACACTATTCTTGTCAAGCAATAATTCTTGGAAGGTGGTTCCAGTGGCTAGCGTCGACATTGTTGAAGAAACGGACGATGAAACTTCATTTGCTCCTCTGCTCGTTTCTGTGGCGAGTGAGCTGCTCGCTTTCTCTGTGCTGGATTCACTATCCACAGGGAGTCACATTTTGGTCCAATGCTCCACAGAAGATGGGCTTCTTGCTGAAGCGCTTCTACGTCGGGCGGCTTTGACGACTGCCGTGCGCGTCACATTTGTATGCGAGATCGATTTGAATATCAGCCCTCCATCACTTGGGCAGTGGATATTGCTGGATTCACGCGCGTCACAACACATACTACGAAGAACATTGCGTCGCTTGAATCCGAGTCATTATTTGAACCTGACAGCGAGGGGATCTTCGAACATTGTCGCAGCTTTGCCGTCCAATTGCAGATATGTTGATCGCACTGCCTTGCTTCAACATGAATCTTCCTTCCTGACGCCACCTAGTCACTTGAATGAATTGCTTGCAGATGCTCTTGTGCGTGCGAAGGTCTCAAAATCACCGATCAGGGAACAGTCTTTCTCACGGCCTGTGTTCGAGGTTAGCCAAATCCAAGGTATGGATATGCTGGAGCATGCAACTTGTTCAATTATTAATTGGCCGTCCACCGGATCTATACTTGCGGAAATCCGCCCACTCAGGACTTCAACCATGTTTTCACCGGGTAAGACATATCTTCTCATCGGATTGAGCGGAAAGATTGGTCAGTCTCTCTGCGAGTGGATGGTAGAAAATGGCGCTGGTTGTGTTTGTTTGACAAGTCGCCAACCTCGAATTGACCCGAGATGGCTGGAATCATTCCAAGGAACGAACGCAATGGTCAAAGTTATCCCAATGGACGTCACAGACAAAAGCATTGTCAAGTCTGTGATAAACGAGATTCGAGCAACCTGTCCACCAATTGCAGGTATCGCTCACGGAGCTATGGTCCTTCACGACGCACTGTTTGCCAACATGGCAGCAGACGAAATGCGAAGGGTTCTTGCCCCGAAGATTGACGGCTCCAGGAACGTTGACGAAGTTTTTCACGATGAAGCGCTCGACTTCTTCGTGATTCTCTCCTCATCGGCGAGCGTGATTGGTAACTCGGGACAGTCTAATTATGCTGCCGCCAACGGATACATAAACAGTCTCGTGCGTCAACGTCGACGCCGTGGACTGGCCGCTTCGGCTCTTGACATTGGTCGGGTTGTCGGGATTGGATATGTTGAGACTGCTGGCGAAGCTGTCTCCATACAACTCGCACGGATGGGCTTGGCAGCCCTCTCAGAGCCTGACTTGAGACTGGCCTTTGCAGAGACCATTCAAACAGGCTATGTGAGCCCAGAAGATGAGTCCGGTCTACCGGAAGCGGTAGTGACCACCGGCATTCGTACGATTCGAGAAAACGAGGATATCAAAGGCCCATGGTTCAGTAATCCATTTTTCTCGCATTGCATTGTCACTAGTGAGCATGCAAATTCTGGCTCGGGAGAGCAGAAACAGCAGACCCGACTTCCTGTTAGCCAACAGTTGTCTCTGGCAACGACCCAGAATCAAGCATTGGAAATACTGCAAGGTAAGTGAGACTTTCTTCTCTCACCCCTCATTCTTACTGTTTACTGACGTGTGATCGGAAATGACGGTCAGACTGTTTTTCGGCGAAGCTTCAGGCTATTCTCCAAATCTCTGATCAGGAGATGGACCGTCACGCACCTCTTGTTTCAGTGGGTATTGACTCACTGGTAGCTGTTGAAGCACGATCCTGGTTCTTGAAAGAGCTGCAAGTCGATATTCCAGTGTTAAAGCTCGTTGGTGGAGCTTCGATTCAGGACATTTGTGAGGTTGTATTGGACAAACTTCCCGAGAAGCTGAAAGGCAACCTGGGAAAGCAAGACGCACCGACCGATCAGGCTATGTCAGCAACAGCAACAACATCTGCTTCAACGACGGCCATTCCAGAAAGTATGTCCGAAAGCTCGTCACAAGTTGCTTGTACGCCGCCTTCGTCTGCATCTACTACAGACGGAAGTCTCCCCGACGAAGAGCTGAAGATATCACCTCCATCTATCGCCCCGAAGGCTGCAGTTCATCAGCGAAAGATCATCAAAAGAGTGCCAATATCGTTGTCACAATCAAGATTCTGGTTCCTTCGACTACTTTTGGAAGACCAGCTAACCTACAACGTCACATTCTACTATCACGTCGCCGGAGAACTGCGAGCCGCTGACTTGGAGCGTGCCGTACGTGTCGTGACCAACCGACATGAGGCGTTGCGTACCTGCTTTGTGGAAGATCGCAATGATGCTAGTCAAGCGTATCAAGAAATACTGGCAAGCTCTTCTATCCGACTGGAACAAAAATCAATCAGCTCTGTAGCCGAAGTGGCTACCGAGTATGCCAAGCTCAAGGCCCATTCATTCGATCTAGCGAGTGGTGAGCTTCTAAAGATCGTTCTACTGACATTATCACCATCTTCACATTACCTGCTTTTCAATCACCACCACATCATCATAGATGGCGTCAGCTTCCAACTTCTCATCTCCGAGCTTGAGACCGTGTACAATGGACAGTCACTTGGACCGCTACCGAGACAGTACCCTGACATCTCCGAGGCTCAGCATCAAGACATCGCGTCGGGTCGCATGAGTGATGAACTGCAATATTGGCGGAGCATTTTCCCTATTGGCGAGCAGCCGCCGGTGCTTCCGGTGCTTTCAATAGCACACACCACCTCTCGGTCGGCAATGAAGACTTTTGACACTCATCAGGTGGCATGCCACATCGACGCTGCAGTGATAGCTCGAATCAAGGCAGCATCCAGGGCACAGCAATCCACTCCCTTCCACTTTTATCTTGCCGCATTCAAGACCCTACTTTTCAAGTTGAGTGATGCTCAAGATCTGACAATCGGAATTGCCGATGCCGCTCGTAACGAAAGCGATTTGATGCACAGCATCGGATTCTTCCTCAATCTGCTTCCTTTACGTTTTCGTCGCCATTCAAGTCAGAATTTCGTCGATGCGATTGCTGAGGCCCGGAGAACAGCCTACTCAGCCTTGGGTAACTCTCGCTTGCCATTTGATGTTCTGCTAGCCGAGTTGAATGTCGCTCGATCGGCCACACATAGTCCATTCTTCCAGGCTTTCTTGGACTATCGACAGGGTGCTCAGGAGAACCATGCGTGGGGCAACTGTCAATTTGAGCTTCAAGAAGCCCATCCGGGTCGCACAGCATATGACATCACGCTAGATATCACTGATAGTGCCCAAAGTGCCCTTGTTATGATACGTGCCCAAAAGAGCTTTTATGATTTAACAGCAGCAAATCTGCTTCTCGAAACATATGTCCATCTGCTTGATGTTCTCTCCAATACTCCCTCTCTGGAGCTTGAGAAAACACCAACCTTCAGCGACAAGCAAAGGCATACAGCTAGGCAGAATGGTCACGGTGAGTTCTCACCCCTAACCCACGAGGGACTAAAAGCCTGCTCCTGAAGACATCGTGCTAACTCACACCTAGGAGCGGACCTCATTTCGGACTGGCCCAAAACTTTGATTCATCGTCTCGATCAAGTTGCTCGGGAAAACGCGGACAAAGCTGCGCTTAAAGATGGCTTTGGCAACTCGTTAACTTATGCGGAGATGATGCATCGCACCGAAGCTATCGCAGAAAAATTACAGAATGCAGGAGTCGCTCCCGGTGACCGCGTTCTCTGCTATCAAGAGCCTGCAGTAGACTGGATCTGCTCCATGCTGGCCATCAAATATGTTGGGGCAGTCTACGTACCCCTCGACCTTCGGAACCCTTTGCCGCGTCTAGCAGTGGTCTCTCAAGACTGTGAGCCATTTGCGATACTTGTGGACGCGACAACAGCGGCTAGTGCTCCACAACTAGAGGTCCCTACTGCGCAGATCATTGATGTGTCCAAGGTCAACCGTGAAGCATCAAGCTATATGAAAATTCTCGCACAAGCAGAGGCACCAGCAGCGATTCTCTACACGAGCGGATCGACTGGTACGCCTAAAGGAATTGTTGTCACTCACTTTGGTCTCCGCAACGAGATTGAGGGATACACCAAATCATGGAACTTACGGGCGGAAGACACACTTCAGCAAAGTGCTTTTACCTTCAATCACTCCGTGGATCAGATCTATACTGGGCTTGCAAACGGTGGCAGCGTCTATGTGGTCCCGAGTAGTCAGCGGGGTGACCCGCTAGAAATCACTCGGATCATTCAACGACAGGCCATCACATACACAAAGGCCACGCCATCGGAGTACCTTCTCTGGCTAGAGCACGGTTCTGAGAGCCTTCGAACAGCCTCAAGCTGGTGTTTTGCTTTTGGTGGCGGTGAGCCTTTGACAGCTACTGTCACAAACGCTTTCGCTGAACTTCAACTACCACAGCTTCGGTTCTTTAACTCCTATGGTCCCACTGAAATCTCAATCTCATCGCACAAGACAGAGATCCCATATCGGGACAGAGAAAGAGTTGAGGCTATGGGTCGTATTCCATGCGGATACTCTCTGCCGAATTACCATACATATGTCCTCGATGAAAAGTTGAGGCCACTGCCAGCGGGAATGCCAGGTGAGGTATATATTGGCGGTGCAGGAGTATCGCAAGGCTACCTTCACAACGAAGCGCTGACCGCAAAACACTTCATGGTGAATCCGCACGCATCTACTGAATACCTTGCTCAAGGCTGGACACGGATGTATCGCACCGGGGACATCGGACACCTCACGCCGGATGGTGCCCTGGTGTTCCGCAGCCGATGTGTGGGTGACACACAAGTCAAAATACGTGGCCTTCGTATCGAGCTCCGTGATATCGAGAGCAACATTGTGGCTACTGCGGGTGGCGCTTTGAAAGAGGCTGTCGTCACTCTACGTGCTGGAGATCCAGATTTTCTGGTTGCGCACGTCGTCTTCAGCCCTGGTCACGACACCCCAGAAAGGGAAGTCTTTTTAACCCAGCTTCTTGAGAGGCTACCACTCCCTCAATACATGATTCCAGCTGTGGCATTCTCACTGGAAAGACTTCCTCTCACCAACCATGCTAAAATTGATCGAAGAGCGATTCAAGAAATGCCGCTGCCGCAGCGACTTAAACTCGCATCGCCCGACAGTCCGCAAGATCATGTTCTTACTGAGACAATGATACAGCTAAAGAACGTGTGGCGAGATGTTCTCGGAAAGAGTCACGGAGCTCTAGGCCTAGAGATCGCCCCGACAAGCAGTTTTTTCCTTGTTGGGGGCAATTCTCTTTTAGCTATTCGTCTTCAAGCCAGGATCCGGGCCGTCTTCAACGTTGCTATTCGACTCGTTGAGCTTCTGGAAAATCACACATTGCGGGATATGGCGCGGAAGATTGAAGTCAGCACCAGCGTTGACCCCATAGACTGGGAAGAAGAGACAAGTCCTCCAACGATTCCAACATTCTTTGAGGAAATTTTGTCGTCGCCGAAAAGAGAGAAAGAGAAAACTGGAAAGACAACTATATTGATCACGGGCGCCACGGGCTTTCTAGCCAAACATCTTCTTCCGCAGCTCGCAGAGCATCCAAGTGTCGAAATGGTTCACTGTGTGGCTGTGCGCGAGAAGCTTTCGGCTCCATTTTCTCGAAGACTCCCAGTTGCCTCTGATAATATCCTTGCTCATGATGGTGACCTATCGCTCCCTTTGCTTGGCCTTCCAGAAGACAAGTTCCAGCTACTTTCTCAACAAGTGGATGTGATTCTTCATCTAGGTGGTGTGCGCTCATTCTGGGATAACTACCATGTACTCCGCCGCAGTAACGTTCACCCGACTCGCGAGTTGGTCAAGCTTGCCGCTGCTCGTCGCATCCCGATTCACTACATTTCGACGGCCGGTGTGCTTTCAAGAGAGATTGCAGCAGAAACTTCCGGCCCGGCCGCGTCAGCTGCCTCATGGATACCCCCGGTTGACGGTAGCAACGGGTACGTTGCAACGCGGTGGGCTAGTGAACGTATTCTCGAGCGCGCAGGGGCATCTCTGGGGGTCCCTTCAACGGTATACCGTTTCCTACCCTCTTCCGATGAATTCAGCAACACGTCTTCGCAGGCCGTGCTGGACGACTTTGTCAAATATGTCGATGCTTCAGGCTCAATTCCTGATATGACCGGTTGGACTGGTCGCTTGGACCTCAGCCCGGTGAATCAGGTGACTCAATGGCTTTGCAGTCATGTTCTTTCTAACGAGTCAGTTGTTGAAGGGGAAACTGTTTCTTCTACAAACACAAGAACGACTCACTTTATTCACTACGAGAGTCCGTTTACTTTCACTGTGGACGAACTCGCGGCGTACGTTGAAAAGCATCGCGGTGACCGAGGTCTCGAGCGAGTCCCAATATTGAAGTGGATCGGAAAGATCAAAGCTCTCGGGTTCGAATATTTCTTGACGAATCAGGATGCCATCGTTGAACACTCAGATAGAAGTGCGGTCGCCAGGTTTGAATCGCGAAGATAAGTTCTCTTGCTGAGACCTGGACAAAGATGATCTTTGCCCGTCTTTGGATGTATTTAAGCGACCGATAAGCGCACCAGGGGACTGGTGTAATCCTTACGAAGCTTTGTACATGCCGGAGCTGAGAGACTGCCATACTATTAGCGAGAAAATGAAAAATTCTTTTAGAATCATGTTTGAAAAATTTGATTACTGGAATCTTTGATGCGAAAAGACCGTCCCAAAGACCCGTTAAATTTCTATCGAGGTAGCCTACTAGATCCGAACTTAAAGTTTGCTCCCGAAGGCTACAGCTACAGTCAATCGAAGACTACACTACACTGGTCTCCAATCTTGCTGTATTTCAGTTCGAGAGTGAAGAGTACGAGACGTCTCTGCTTACACTTATTGGCCGCCGTAGCCATCTGAATTACTTTGTTGTCGACCCCAAGTTCGACAATCATGCAATATGAATTTCTTCTTCGCCAAAATCAAGTAATTGTGAGCAGAAAGCAGTAGAATGGTCTGGCCTGGCAGGTACTCTACGTTGCCCAAGCTGCTATTTCTATCTTAGAGTACCGGAATACCAACTGATTGAATCAATCCTGCTACATCGGACTATGTTCAACAGGTTTCTTACAAGTATGCTGCCCCTCCCTTCTAATTCGTGGGGCAAGAAGTGCAAATTGTAGTATACTATGATATCTACCGATTATATCAATATTCTCAGCTCTATTTACGGGGGAGACCCCCGCGGACCCCCATCAACGCAAGTCAAATCGTATATCTATAACGCAAGTTAATATTACAGGTACGAGTCACGTGATAAGTCACCCGAGAGACGAGGTGGTAGGACCACGTGACACGAGCGGAGTTCAGGGCTGATCACGTGATCGAGACAGAAGCAAACATCTGAAAATATCACGTGATGTAACTTTGGGGGCGGTCAATTCTGCCACAGCCAGCCAATCGGAGCACAGGAATAAAATTCCAAGCACTTACATGAGAAGCAACTTCTCGTTCCACTCCAATTTGCAATCAACAGTCAATCCATATCTGAATACCGTAGCTTCAGCCCGAGCCAGATTGGGTCGGGTAGTAGATTGCGGAAAGCGCGCCGCCTGTCGCGGGCGCTCGAGGCCTCGACACGACAGTCGGAGCGTCCATCGGTGCTTATTAATTGACCGAAAAGCCCGGGCCGCCGAGCGGAAGCTCTCAAGGTTCGGACCGATATTCCACTCTCAAAGTCAATCAATATGATTTTTTACCAAGAGTACGAGTGAGAAGGCAGACCGTGTTCGGCTTTAGTATATAGTGACTGCTGGGGGTAGATGTTTCAGAATATTACCCGATATCAAAAGTTGAAAAGATAGCAAATATTCGAGAAAAATGTTGGTGAAAATGTGTTAATTCACGGCTTTTTGTTATTGAACTCGGAGGAATCCCGGATTGTTGTCCCTCTGTTTTGTTCCTTCCATGAAGAGATTCAATAGACCAGTAGACCAGCTTGGTCATGTTGTCAACCAGACAGGTGCTTCTCCGCATCAGCTTTGGTTGTTAATGACCACTAGGACGCATTCTCACCGAATGTTCTCAAATCAGAGCCACACATCAGGAGGGCACGTGCGTAGTAATCGTAGCGTGGCTGAGGGACAAAAAAGTAGAATAAAGGCAATACACCGTCTCGGCGAAGCTTTGGCATTCGTGGGGCTGTCTACTTTACAATCATTGACTCCAAGTCGTCAGTCAGTCGTGCAACTACTTGACAGCAAATTGCGATCATGACACCCACGTGCAAGGCGGTCATGTGTACCGCCATCGGCGAGGCTTGCGTTCAGGAAGTTCCTATTCCTTCTGTTCGCGAGGGATATACCCTTTTTAGAACAAAGGCTGTGGCTTTGAACCCGACGGACTGGAAAAGCATGCATTTTGCCAACCCAGATGCGGTGGGGACGCGCCTAGGCGTTGACTTTGCAGGCGTGGTGGAAGAAGTTGGACCTGGGGTGACCAAGCAATGGAAGAAGGGAGACCGTGTTTGCGGTGGAGTTTGTGGGGCGTGAGTTTTCCTTTCTCATCTGATAGCGAAGGGGGTAAGCCATACTGATGCCTGCGTCTCTTCATCGTTATGCTCTATAGAAAAAATGCAGAGAGCGGTGCTTTCGGAGAATACCTGATCGCCAAGGGTGGAATCCAGATCAAAATCCCGGATCATCTTAGCTTCGAGGAAGCTGCCACCCTCGGAACAGGAATTACCACATGTGGACAGGGACTCTACCAGTTCCTCAAGCTGCCTCTTCCCACGTCCGACTTGACCGAAAGCAACGGCCAGTCCATTTTGATATACGGCGGCAGTACCGCAACGGGAATCTTGGGAATTCAATATGCCAAACTGTCGGGCTTGACTGTATTGACCACTGCTTCGCCCCATAACTTTGACTATGTCAGGTCAATGGGTGCTGACGTTGTGTGGGACTACCATACCGATGTCGAGGTACTGGCTAAGGAGATTCAAGCATACACCAACAACAAGCTTACGCTTGTTTGGGACTGCAGACCAACAGCCGACTCAGGCCGTCTGTGCGCGCTTGCGATGAGTGACAGGGAGAAGGGGTTGTATTGCAGTGTGCAGCCAGGCACAAAGGCAGACTCGTTGAAAACGTTCAATCCATTGGTTGACGCAGGCTTCACAATCGGGTACACCGCGTTTGGAGAGTCCTTCACCAGGGCAGGAAGGACTTATGAGGCGAAACCGGAGGACGTGAAATTTGCTGAAAATTTCTGGGCGATGAGCAGCAAATTATTGGCTGCTGGGAAACTCAAAGTTTCGAACATCACGCTCAACCGAGGAGGCGAGGGGCTGGACGGCGTCATTAATGGCTTGGAAGATCTGAAACAGGGGAGAGTGTCTGGGACGAAGCTGGTTTATACCGTCTGACTTGGACATTGTCGGGGGTTGCACTACAGCACGAGTCATTCATTGAGATTCGAGAGATTGGAGACAATCCAGAGATTGCGGAGCGATCAGAAAATCAGTCTACTCGGGCTGGCTACCACCCGTCCTGGTGAGATGATAATCAGAGGTTCTATATATGACAAAAACGAGTTATCCGAATTTCAGATGTGTCGAGCTATTCCGGAGGACATAAATGCCAGCATATCTGATTATAGCGTAACCACATTTTGCATATTCTTTTTTGGAATGCGGTGTGCTCATACAGGAGCCTTTCGATGCTCAGAATTCATCGTTCTTTTCAGCGCAAACGAAGAGGTCGTCAAGAGTGTCTAAAATAGCGTTATTTATTACACTGCTATGATCGCAGGGCTTTAGGTGAAGCCTGGCAAAGGCTGAGAAAAAGGAATCAAAAACATACAACAGTCAGGATTCGCATGTGGTCACCCACCATACTACTAACTGACCGGCGTGTGGCTTAAGTACGGCTGAGCGGACGGGAAGCCCTGTTCTCCACACCCTATGGTCGTATGTGATGAAGATAGGAAGATGTTAGATAATATCATAAATATGGCAAGACCGCTCGAATCTCCGAAGCATAATAACTTTGGCCGAGCAACCTCGACATACCTCATCTCTCTTTTTCCCAACAGATGTCAGAGCATGCGCAACAGTGTGATTGGAATTCAAACATTCTTTCGATTGGCCTGTTTCCCTTCCCCGAGGACCTTCTTCGACAGCTCGCGCAGCCCTTGATTTTGATATACAACCAAGTCCTAATCGAATGTCAGCTTTCTAGAAGTGGTATTTGGAGTTCAGACCCGGTGTTCAAGTAGTCACCCGTTGACTTCCATCTCAACTTACCACTACCATCTTTGGCAGCCAGCCGACCAAGAATCGTACAGCGCCTGCGTTGGCGCCTCTCCACACTAACCCTCCCTTGCCTTGGCCCACCATGTCCCCAACGCATGATTCTGCAAACTCTGCAGCTGTAGAGCCCTGGGGCTTCACTTTGCCAGTTGCCCACCCTGCGATGATATCTTCGATGTCGTGGTATCGAGAGTCTGGTGGCAGACAGAAGTCCGCGCTATTGGCATCAAAGTTGGATGAAACAACGCCTGCCATAATCGTGACAACCTCCACACCAAATGGAGACAACTCCATCCGTAATGTTTCAGAGATTGTGGTTAGGGCTGATTTTGAGGAAGCATATGCGGCTATCGAAATGTCCGATGAAACCACTGATTAGCTATTCAATGGTACGTGAAATGGTAGCAGACGGAAGACACCCAAAGAAAGGAGAACAAGACTTACAAATCCACGGCATGTGCACAGTACCGCCGATCGAGCTGACATTCACGATACGGCCACGACTTGCGATGAGGAGGTCCGAAAAGGCCTGAGTAGTACGAATGCAGCCCCAAACATTAGTGTCATAAAGTTGCTGGGCCTTTTCAACATCCATGTCAAGAACAGGCATTGCGTATCCAGCTCCAGCGTTGTTCACGAGAACATCGAGACCGTGGCCGCTTTTAGCGACTACGCGGGCCGCGGCGCTGACTGAAGGCATTGAAGAAACATCGAGAGATATTATGGTCACGTTGGACAGATCGAGTAGTTCTTGGGGGATCTTTGACGTATTCCGTGCAGTTGCGAACACATGGTGGCCTTTCTTGGCCAGAGCGTGTGCCAGAGCGGCGCCAATCCCACCGGCGGAGCAGCCTGTTACCAGGACGGACTTGAGATGCATGATAGAAGGGTAGGATGAACTGCAATGGCGGAATTAGACGATTTTTCACGAGCTACTTGCCAGTGAAGTTTGTCGAGTCGCCTTTTCTGTGAGGTAGCAAGCGAAGGGAGAATTAGCAAGTTACAAAGTACTACTTTACAGGAGCTTTGAGTAGATGCATAATAAAACCTACATCGGAATTTGAGATTACCCATGGCGACAAAACTTGGCTCGCAATACCAGAGACGAGGATCGGTGGAGTAAAATCGCCGATAGGAGCGCGGAATAACCCCCGAACGGCTCAAGCGGCGTGAGGCTATTCGACAGTGTTTAGACGGCGTGAGACGGTGATTAACAAATTTTTTGGAGAATCCTAGACCGAGTGACTGGGGATGATGTCTGTCATTTTCTTTTTCTTTTGAATGGTTAGTCATGACCCTTAAGCCTTCATCCATGAAAGAGATTTTAGGTACAATTTCGTCATTAATACTTGTACGAATGAGCGAGTGCGAACAAAATCTTTCAAACTTTCCGACTGACTCTGCCAAGGTCAAGGTCGAAATTGTAAGGTCATTTTTGATTAAAATGGTAAAATGGATAAATTTGACGTCTCCTGAGGCTTGCAATACTAGTGCACTATAATTGAATAAATTTCTGAGATGGTGAAGCAGGCTCTGTCAGACTCATCGGGTCCTTTGACGTAGCTCAAAGTGTTAGCTGGAATGTCTCGGTGGTTTTCGTCTCATTTGAAGGGACTCAACTCCCTCATTGGAACGAGTACTCATTACCGGCCAATACTATTCTAACTCATCTTATACTGCTCTCTCGAATAATCACGCTGCCAATCGCCTAGAGGTACTTTCTTACCGCAGATAGGAAATGTGACCGATGGGCTTCTAGCCGAGTCTGTTCGGCGAATTAACCAGTCAACATCCGATTGCCAGTCTTAGGTGAGATGGACAAAGTTCAGCAGGTACGATGCTCACTGACACTTCGATAAAGCACTTGGAAGGTTAAACAATGGCTTGCCTGTGGGGTGAAGATTAGGATAGTGTGATGTAAACCACAGTCCACTGTTGCAACCAAAGGAAGGGTAGCCAACTTCAATTTACCTGACCAAAAATCCAAGAATGCCTTCCGCCGATCCCATCGCGATTCTTCCGCGCTCGCAAACGGCCATTGTTGCCCAAGGGCCCGGAAAGCTTACAGTTCAGCACGATGCTCCCATACCGGCACTAGCATCGGACATGGTGATGGTCAAAACAGCTGCTGTCGCCATCAATGCCGCAGATGCGAAGATGCTGGACTATAGCGCGGCTCCTGGGGCAATTCATGGCTATGTATGTTGCTTCAAACGTATCATCTAATGCAATGCACTCACAGTCTCATCTGTTATGATTGCAGGACTTCGCAGGAAGCATTGTTGCCTTGGGGGACGGTGTCCTGGCCTCGGGTCGATTCGCAGTTGGGGATCGCGTTGCGGGTTACGTACACGGAATGTATGCTCTTTCGAGTGCCACATATCAAAGTTCCTCGTGGAAACTCCATCAAACTGAACTGACATTGCCCAGGAACAAACTACGGCCCGATGTTGGAGCCTTTGCCGAATATGTTGGAGCCACCGCCGACTTGCTGCTGAAGCTCCCTGATGAAATGACGTTTCACGAGGCTGCTGGTCTAGGCGTCGGAGTTGCGACAACAACAGTGGGACTGTTCAGCGAACTGGGTGTGGCAAGTTTGGACCAGCTTCATGCTGGCAACAAGGACGTTCAAGACAAAGCAGAGGCAGAGTTTGTTCTCGTGTCCGGTGGAAGCACAGCAACTGGCACACGTGCCCTTCAATTACTGAAACTGTATGTGCATGAGAGGACCACCAGTTTCATACGCTCCCGTCTCTGAACAAGTTCTTGACTAATGGCGTAACACGATATGTACAAGTGCTGGCCTCCGACCGATCGCAACATGCTCGCCTTCCAATATTGATCTGGTGACTCGCTTTGGCGCTGAAAAGGCATTCGACTACCACTCCCCTACTTGCGCGGCAGATATTCGGGCATATACCGGGAACCAACTTGCCTACGCTTTCGACTGCATCTCACAAGTGGACACGACCACTCTGTGCTATGCAGCACTCGGGCGCGCAGGAGGTCGCTATGTAGCCCTGGATCCGCCCCGCGAGGCTGTAACTCAGACTCGGGCAGCTACGGTCGAGCCATCGTGGATTATGGGCCTGACGCTGTTTGGGAGCAAGATTGCCCTCGATGGTGAATACTATCGCGATGCCCGGCCGCAGGATCGTGTTTTTGGTGCCGCGGCCTTCAGGGCTGTGGAGGATCTGTTGCATCTCGGCTTGATTCAACCGCATCCTGTCAAAATAATGCCGGGAGGCTGGGAAGGCGTAATGCGAGGAGTGGATATCATACGCAGCCAACCTCCATCCGGTTACAAGATGGTGTACACTATTACTTAGTCTATTGTGGTACACTTAGGCTTTAATGAGAGAGGAAATTCAATGTGTTCGCAGAGGTCGATATCCTGTCAAATTTGAGACAATCTGAATTGACACTTCAGGTTTGTCAGTGCATTTGAACTTGCTTGAAGAGATTCCTACGTGCAGGTCTCTTGGAATCCGAAATTCGCAAGATCCTCTTATGCTCACCGAAAGGCTAACGGCCGAGTTGCTTTGTACGATTACACCTAACATAGTGAGCTAGGCCGATCAAAATATGGATCGATGAAGACTGGGGCAGTCGAGAAATGATTTCGTTGCTGGGTTGGTTGTTTCAGATCTGTTTGTACTTCTCGGAAATAATTCCCCCAAGACCCAAGAACAGTAAAATAGCAGACACACATCGTTCCCAAAATCCCATTTCAACTTTCTGTTTCTCTCCCATTTGCTCTTCTCCCGGTAACATAATCCTCTCCTCGGGAAGCGGTTTCAGCTTCAGTGGCCCTTTGATTGCAAACCGCAGAAGAAGACTCAATAGGAATGGTACCCAGGCAAGCAATAAAGACACTACCTTGGCTTTTCCCATTAGCTCCTTGTGCGTGCCTCGTGAAGCTCGCACGGCTTCCCAGCCTCTTTTCAACATTTCGCGATTATACTCACTGACAGCAGCTTTGACTGCCTCCATATCGTGAGCATTTCCTTCTTTGTCAAGCTTGATCAAGTGTCTAGATAGCTTGAGTCCATCAATAAATGTTTGATAGCCGCCCTCGCCACGGAACGGTGACATGGCATGGGCGGCATCACCGACCAGGACCACTCGACCCGAGGGGAGACTGTCAAGCTCGAGATCGCGGAAGTAATGCAGATCCTCTTTGACATCAGTAACTGAAGTCAATTCGAAGATCTCTCGAAGTCTGGGTGAAAGCGAATCGGTCGTCTTGAGGACATGCCTGAGTTTCTCTTCTTGCGTGGCTGTGCGAAGCCAGTGATCAGATTGCCCTACCTCTGGATCTGGTTGCATGAAGATCCAAAAAAAGTGACCAGAACGTCCGTCGGGAAGGACGTGATGCAGCCCATTGAAACTGACGAAATTGCGCTTTGGATTCATGATATTCCATCCGCTGTGTCCCAAAGCAAGGTGTCTTCTGAAGATTTCTCCTGAGAGCCTCACCTGGCCAACAATGGCAGCGGTCGGGACGATTTTGAGTAGGTCACTGTTGGGCTGTTGAAGTAGATATTCTCGGACTACAAGTTCAAGGTCAGTAATCGAAGTTTCGTGGCTTGGTTTTCTTCGTCCTTGTCATGGGTTTTCCTGAGGTAAATCTCACCGTGACTTTTAGTGCCATCTGCCCCCACCAATATATCACCCTTTGCGGTTGTACCATCTTCGAAGTGCACCGTGACTTCCTCATCATCATCTTCAAATCGCCGAGCGCGCTTTCCCCATTGAATTTGAACATTGGTTGATAACCACTGTCGGAGTCGATAACGTTCTGCACGGATGAAAGGCTTTTCGGGGCAGTCCTGAAGAACACGAAATAAAAACATGAGTATCCAACCAGTCACCCGAGGAAAATACTATATAGAGATAGGAAGAATAACCTCGAATCCAATACGACCATTCGTGCCAGCAAAATGCACTGCAACTTGAGCTGGAAGAGTCAAGGGCGCGAGATGGTTCGTCGACCGTTTCAAATCAGGCATATCATTTGAGAAAGATGAGACGATATCGTCGATGATCCTAGAAAAGAATTTTTCTATGGTTAGCAATTATACTGTACTTGTGCTTCGAGCATGAAAGGAAGTTCAAGAAGATTCACGTGTGTAATCCAATAGCCCAGCCTTGAAACCGCGCATTCTCGCTTTCGTCGCGATCAAATATTTCGAAAGAAATTCCTTGCTTCCGAAGACATTGAGCCACGGTGAGCCCACCAGGGCCTGCACCGATGATGAGAACGTGCATGGTTAATTTTGGTTACTTTTAGTACAAAGTGACAATGAGACAAAAGTTTGCTCAAACATACGAAAGACAACTAGGTTGGACATATCTGGCTCGCGAATTTGGCCCCTTTGTTTTCCATCATAATGTCTATCTTTCCACTGATCATTTCAGCTTACTTCAGGGACTGCACCGACCTCAGCGGCAGATCACGCCAAGTCGGCCCCATTAGATCGGTGATTTTTCTCTTCGGCCGACTGGGTAAGATAGTTCAAACGCCGGCTTACCCGGCATTGATCATGATCAATGAAATTCAAATTAACTAGAGAAGAGAAAAATAGACCGAAGAGAGATTCCCATATCCCATGGCTAATAAAATTTGGAGTGATGTCGCCTAAACAGTGATACTCTATCACCAGGGAAGAACTTGACCAGTCCTCTGAGCGTGCAAACAAAATGTCGACCGATAATAGCATCGTGTTACCCGTCGTCGATCTGAGTGGGTATCTTCACCCCACATCTCCAGCGGACAAAGCAAGAGTCATCGCAGAGGTGCGAGAGGCGTGCTCGGAATATGGATTCTTCCAAGTCAAGGGTCATGGTGTGCCCCTCGACATGCAAAAGGCGCTGCTACAAAGTTTGAGAAACCTTTTCAGCTTGCCACAAGAAGAGAAACTCAAGCTTTCGTTTCTCAACAACCCCTGTCGTCGTGGATATGAAGCGTCGGGAATGTCTGTACGCGAGGGCGATGCCATGGCTGATTCGAAAGAGGTAAGATACTCCTTTCATTTCCCAACATTCGCCACTTCCTCCTCATTCAGTGATTATTAACGATGAAGCCTTTTTGGGTGCAAAAGGCCTTCTACATTGGACGAGAAGATCCAGTCATAGAGCGGCCGGGCTTCTATGGCCCCAATGTTTGGCCTGATCTCGCAGAAGAAGACTTTCATGGTCCCGTGTGGGAATACTACCAAGCAACGGACAAACTCGGTAAAATGATCTGGGAAATCCTGTTACAGGGTCTTGGTCACCCACCTTCTTTGATGGAGGCTTTTTCCAAAAGGCCCTTCGTGCAGATGAAGATGATCCGTTACCCACCAGCATCTGCAACGCTTCCCGGACAGTATGGCGTGGGTGCTCACACGGACTTTGGCGGCGTCACCGTCTTGCTCCAGGAAGCAGGCCGAGAGGGACTCGAGGTATGGCACGAAGGCAGACAGGAATGGCTCCCTGTCCCAGCGATGGAGAATATGTATATCATCAATTGCGGTGATATGATTCAAAACTGGTCTGGCGGCCAATACAAAAGCGCTAAACATCGGGTCATTAACAAATCCGATCACGAGAGGCTCTCGTGTGCGACATTCTGGCATGGTGATGTTGGCGCAAGCAATCCTCTGAATCCGAGCGACCCTGATCGAGAGACAGTCGGTCAGCTTCTCGTCAAGCGCTTCGGTCGTCAATTCAGTTTGTCAAAGACAGTTGTTGAACAGGTTCGGGCATCTTGACTGGCATGAGGGTGTGCTCACCAAAGACTCTGAACGCGGTTTGAGAAGGGCAGTCTAGCAAAATCTAGTCTTCCAGCTCCTGTGGGCCCTAGACATTCAGCCATGCAGTGGTTTTCGAGGGCTACCTCGGAGCTACAACTCTGATCGATGTTCCACATGAAATAGAGCGCGGTAGCGTCACAGAGATAGTGATTGAATTTGCAGTTTCGTTCCTCGATGCTCAACAAAATAGCTCACATCGTTGCTCCATTCGAGTCAATCCATCGATGGATCATACTCTAGCCAGCACTTTCCAAACCAATGTGGCACACCCACGAGATAACCAGTGCAGCAACCATGAAGCAGATTGAAGTCTCCTTCTCATGCATGAAGCTGACAACAAGATCCACCGAGTTAAAGAAGACCGCTCTCACCGCAATCACATAACCTCGGTCACCAGTTTGGTCCACCGAGGAATCGAATAGTACGCATAGACAGCCCACACACACCATGAGACTATAATGAGGGCTATACAGCAGTATGACTGGATCCACGGTGATTCGGATTTGGGAGAGATTGGTTTTCCAGCTTTGGTGGTGATCTTATCCCCTTCGTACTTCAACTTCATGATCTCGGTGGCAACGAGATGTTCTAGTAGATTTGTAGTGACAGGGAGTCGTAGGAGGGACTCAAAGACTCGGATCGCCGCGTCTACTTCCGTGCCCTTATCGGCGAGAATTGTTGCAATGAGATTGATGGGTGAGTCAGACGTCAAGCGTTGCAGTTCAGAAAGTTGAAGCTCTAGTGATTCTATGCCCACGGTGAATCGTACAAAATCAGATTCCTTCCAAATTCCCACCAAGCGGCCTTTGTCATGGTTGCGCAGCGTGAACAGCGCCCGCATACACAATGACAATCGGGCAACAATCGAAAGCCATAACATGCCGTGTCCAACAACGCCCGAGGGCTCGAGGCGCTTGGCGTTCAGAGCTCCGTAGAACGAGCCCGCAAGGATGATTGCATACAGAGAAGTGAGCGTAGTACATCATTTCAATTCACATTTTTCCCTCCCATGGTCGAAATGATCGGTCGCACGGTCATCAATCACACAGCAAGACCGCGACCCGTAGCCGCGGCCATAAGACCCACCGCGCAGGCGATCAGCAAGTGTACGAGAAGATACATGCGTGTCGCGCAGATCATCCTCGCTCCACGATCGATCCCATTCGGTCCAGTCCAGCGCTTCGAAGCCAGAAATGGGCTCTGCTAGTGGTCGATATTTGTGAAGATGTATCCCCAGGAAAGCTGTCCGCTATTCGCTTTCATCTCATTATGTTGTTCGGACAGATACGTTGGTCTTGACGCCCGTGTATCTTCTCTTCTGAGCAATTCTTCCACGATCTCTTTCGCCGGCACAGGAGGTGTCTTCTTCAGCATATCCAACGCATCCACCAAGTCATGCTCTCGCAAACGGAACAGATTTTCCCCGGTGGACTTGACTTTGGCGCCACAGAATCGCCCACTTCGCGAGCTTTTGATCCAGTGAATGACACTCTCTTTTTCCCTTTTCTCGGAATCGCTCTTCTTCACTTCCTGTCCTAGCACCAGAACCTGCCACTGATCGCCAAAGGTCTCGCTCGATCTGCATCGCAGTAGGCCGAGCTAAAGACGTCAGGTCGCTTGCATATTGCCAATGACGATGGCAATGTCCATGCGCATCGATCCATTGGACCACCCTGAATGGAGAAACCAGTTTGCACGAGACAAGGCATTTGCGATCGATCGTGCTCGCAGACTAGCACGAACACTGGAGAATACGGAGGTTCCTCCCGTTCCGACCTTGCCAACCTGCGAGGCGATGATGATAGCACCCCAGAATGCGACGATTTAGGACGACCATGCCGCGGTCGAGGAAACGATCTGTTGTGCGAGTGCTCTCTGTGCTTGTATGATCACGAAGAGGATCACTAGACGAGGATAGTTGTGCGACCATGTTGCGTGAAGTCTCATTTGGTCGTTGATGTGATTTGACTTGGTCTTCCAGGGTGTCGAGGACATGTCTCCATGCGAACAGCACTGACAGCGGATCACATTAACAATTTGAGTGCAGATGTGCTCCTTCACGCTCCATGGCAAAGAGGGTTTCGAGCAGCGCCTCATCTTGAATAAGAGTTGGTGCGGCTGAGCCAGCCACAAAGTAAGATGCAGTTGGGCGTTCAGGCTTTCCCAGGGCTGGTTATGTGATATCGACCGGGGGCTTATCGTTGCGCTTAGAATTCCTGCCTTGAGAGCAGCACCATGCCAATTCGAGGCACGCTGTAACTGTGAAGGCACATGATCCAGACGAGGCTTTGAGAGATACTGCAATCTAGTTCAAAGAGAATGTCGCTACTGAAGGCGACGAAGACAACCAAATACTCCGTGAAGATAGCCCTACTGCAGCTGCAGTAATGGGCTTGTGAATGCTAATATCGATTTGAATTGACTAGAAACATCCGGCGATGGAGTAAGTGGGCTGGTCCCACATGGCCTCTCTGTCTGACATCAATTCCTTGATCGTCATGGCGTTTCCAATCATGCTAAAGACGGGGAAAAGGGAAAATTAGGGCAGCCTCTCAGGGCAGATCAGGCCCGTGCGTCTACCGGGTCTTTTTCTGCCGCCGCGGCCAACGATGACCGTCCCAAGCTACCAGATCGTCATCATTGCTCAATGTGGTTATCAGGAGGTGGCATTGCGGCTACCGCGTTGCGCAGGTCGTCAACGGGCTCTCCTCGGAATATACTGCGATGTAGACGGGGTCTACTCACCCTCGCAATAGAGTCTTCGTGGTATGCGTCGCCCTGATTCCATCCGCCTCGGATGAGTGTTGCGTATGCTAACATGCACATACACGGTTCCAGTGACGATACATCGGTTGCGATCGTGGAGAAAATAGCCAACCCCCGTGGCGGAGATCAAGCCAGGATACACTTTCTGGAGAACATTACAGCCGATTCACGCGCGCATCGCGGAATTCATCCAATTCTTGCCCTTGAGTCCCATCAAGAGAACCTTGCCGATCTCGTCAATAAAGCTCTAAAGAGCCTACCTTCCACCGATGATGCATCCTGGGTCATTCGACTCGCGGATGGCTCAATTCGCCGGCGGCCTGACTTCATCTCTGCGACAAGAGGTCCGGGAATGCGCTCTAATCTATCGGTTGGGCTAGATACCGGGAAAGCACTCGCAGTTGCATGGCAGATCCCCATCGTGGGCGTGCATCACATGCAGGCTCATCTCTTGACGCCTCGCCTGGTCTCCTGTTTGGATCAGGCCGGTGCCTTGGATACGGCGGCCCAATTGTCTCCGTCGTTCCCCTTCCTTTCCCTCCTCGTGTCAGGCGGTCATTCGATTATCGTGCATTCTCAATCTTTGACCGAGCACAAGATCATGGCATCAAGCGATGACATTGCCATGGGTGAGACGCTTGACAAAGCAGCACGTGATATTTTACCGCCCGCTCTGCTGGAACAAGCCAAGACAACCATGTACGGGAAAACGCTCGAGCAGTTCGTCTTTCCCAACGGGCCTGCTGATTTCGCCGACTATCGCCCTCCGATAACCCGCGGCGAGGAAGTCGCCAAACGCAAGAGCAAATGGGGATGGAGTATCACGACGCCCTTTGCAAACACACGGGCCCTGCAACTGAGCTTCTCATCTGTTGCCAGTATGGTCAATAAAATTGTCAAACAAAGAGGAGGCCTTCTCTCGGATGAGGAAAGAGTTGATCTTGGCCGCGAAGCGATGCGTGTGTGCTTTGAACACTTGTCATCGAGGACGATCATAGCCCTCGAAGCTCTTCGACTTCGAGGTCGGGATGAACAGCATATCAACACTCTTGTAATCAGCGGTGGTGTGGCAGCCAACAAGTTCTTGATGCACGTTCTGCGCTCATGCTTGGATGCTCGTGGCTTCGAAAAGATGAATCTTGTGGCTCCACCGCCTTACTTGTGCACTGATAACGCAGCTATGATCGGGTGGGCTGGAATCGAAATGTATGAGGCTGGCTGGCGAACTCGGCTGAGTTGTCGCGCTCTCCGCAAGTGGACGCTTGACCCCGAGGCTGAGGACGGCGGTATTCTGGGACCTACTGGTTGGGTTCGTGAGCAAGCTATGTTGTAAGATACTTGAGAGACAGATTGTATAATAGTGATACCCCTCCCCTGTTGCAATAGAAGCATTCCCTACTTCTTCCAAGCCTGCAATCTCAGAGAACCCTTTCTTAAACCCATTCGACTTGACTGGATCACTACAAGGACAACGGCATAAGAACATAACTTCACCGCGACGAGCGTCGCAAGCTCTGGTAATGCAAAGAGATGACAATACACACGACTGAAGACGCTTATAGCAGCAGTAGCTTCGATAGCCATCTAAGTTTGCCGGGTCGCTAGGTGAGATACTGGGTAAGAATCATGCTCGCCATCCGCCCCGTACTGCCCGTCCTCCCACCAAGTCCATAACACCTTCACAGCAGGGTATCGATGTTGCGCCGTTCTAAACCATGCAGAATAAGTAATGCAGAAAGCCAGTCGCTGTGCAATGATATCTGGAGAAGACAATAACCAGTCCCGAATTTGTTTCTTAAAGAGTGGTAGTACTCGGTCAACATCGACCTCAACCGCCTACGGGAGGCCCACTACTGCCACTGCCACTGCCGCCCCGTTGGAGAGCAGTGACTTGCTTGCGCAATTCGAGCCAAAAGTCCTTTCCGTTCGCCATAAGATTTGCTTGGAGAAATGTCAGATCTTGTGTCCTTGCGCATTCACACACTTTAGGGCTTCAAGCATACGTTTTGAACCCCATGGGCTGTTGGATGACTTCTGGGCAGCGATATCCTTTGCGGAGGGCTTGTAGAAGGTTGGTCTCGAATCTGTTGTCCGAACTCAGTAATCATGCGGGTGAAAGGTGCCGGGGAAGCCGAGTATAGCGTTACCATTTGACCCTGTGGGAGAAATCATTGTCAGTTTATATCCTGCATACCTGTCTCCCTTGTAGGACAGCATCGGGAGGCGCAATAGAACTCATGTTTACCTTCCTTCAGCACGTTTTTGGCCTCCATGGCGTTGAACCCCCGGACAGGCACATGTTGGTCTTGCGCAGATGCATGAGCATTTCCGGCAGAGACATTGGCATTCCATGATGAGTTTCCACCTCGACCACCACCTTGATGGCGGTTTCCATTGCCCGGCTGACGTTGCGAGGACTGACGGGAAGGCCCGCGCCATCTGGATTGATGCGACATGGTCAGTTGATGGACAGGTTGTGGGAGGGTGTTACCGAGGAGAAGGTCGTCAAGTTGGCGAGTAGTACCTCTCTTCACTTGCACCGCTCATCTTTTTTTTCTTTATCGCGTGTTATCGATGGCAGAACGACGTAAGGGTCACAACAACGGGACATGCGATCACAGGGGAGCCCATGCGGGGAAAGCTGTGGACAAACCGCCCGCAAGTGTTGACACCTGAGGCAATCATTAGTTGTCTCCGCCGCGTCAAGGTACCTGAGTACAGCGCTTGGAATACATCCTATCAACAGGCCATATAGCTTCGATAAGCAGGACTTGACACTTGGCTGGATGACTCGTATATTTTTGACCGCACTCGAATGTCACACATCTAAGCAGTCATCGCAATTGGCTTGGTGAAACGGTGCCGCGAGCCTTGCGACTGCACGTGTCGATTGCCCATTGACCTCTCTCCCTCGCGCTTGCTTGGATCAGCGCTTGCCGACGCTGGACGAGAACTGAATGGCCCCGATGTCACGACACTCTCTGCCCATGCGCTCATCACGATCATCACAGTCGAAGCCAACCCCCAAAGCAACACGAAATACCGTGAACTCCCCGGAGGGTCCTCCTTTGAAGAAGCGCAAGTACGTGCCTGGGGGACCGGGAGGTGGTGGACGATTTGTCGACCGGGAGGCCGCGCGCCAACAACAGCTCCTGCCGGAGGCATCGTCAAACAAGAAGTCGAATACCTCCCGTCGTCATTCAACCAGTTCAAGAACGCGCCCCGCCCGTGACATCGAACCACCGATCCTCGCTCCGCCTCCGCCACCACCCCCTGTGCCCATCAGGCCTCCCTCCGTCCGTCCGCGCAGAAATAAGAGCTCAACACGAGGTCGATACACCTCGTCCACCGCCGCAGCCCTGGCGCTACAGCAAGGAGATGGATACAAACCGCGTGAGGAGCGGGGATGGGAGGAGTTCCACCCGGACTTGGACATCGACAGCAAGCTTGCAGTCTTTACAGCCGCCGAGGTAGACCAGGCGGACCCTGCAGTCAACACGCTGACGCTTGAGTCTATTGCTGGGGCCAAGGTACAGGAGAATTCGGGCACGCCTATGATTCACTCAGCCGAGTTGCCGTCCCCGATCCCCTTCAAGCGCAGACCAGGCCGTCCTCCACGCCGCCCAGAAGCCATCCTTAATGCCTTGATAGCGCAGCAACAGACACCCAAGGTGGTCCCGCCGCCAGGTCCAAACCCTCGAGAGAAGTTGACCTTGCCGAAACCGTCCTTTCGACTCAAGGACCCATTTACCTTCTATGAGAAGAAGGGCGTTGGCCAGCAAAACTATGTTGATCGGACCATGGCAAGTGTGGGATACCAGGAGAGCGATCTGTTCATTCGTCACGATAGACGGTTCATTCGCATGGCGGAGGGCGCACAAGAGGACGATATGGACATCATTCAGCCGGCCGTGATAGATGGTGACGCGAATGCAGTGATCGGACGCGTGGAATATGACATGGACGAGCAAGATGAGAAGTGGCTAGAAGACTTGAATGCGCAACGTCGAGCAGACCAACTGGAGCCTATCAAGCCTGCCATATTCGAGATCACCATGACCAAGATCGAAAAGGAATGGCACGCCCTCGAGAAGCGAATTCCGAAGCCCAACCCCAAACCACCACAAACGCAGCGCCTGCGTTCGAGCTCGGCGGCTGCAGTGAATGGGGAAACAGCCGGGCCTGGGGAGGAACAGGATAGCAAGTGCGCCATTTGTGACGACGGTGACTGCGAAAATTCAAATGCGATTGTTTTCTGCGACGGCTGTGATTTGGCTGTCCACCAGGAGTGTTACGGCGTGCCCTTTATTCCCGAGGGTCAGTGGCTTTGTCGAAAGTGTCAGCTGCTGGGTCGGGGAACCACAAATTGTATCTTCTGTCCCAATACGGAGGGTGCGTTCAAGCAGACTACCTCGTCAAAATGGGCGCATCTGCTTTGTTCCATCTGGATTCCCGAGGTCTCGATTGGCAATTCTTCTTTGATGGAACCAGTCACGGATGTTGAAAAAGTCCCACGCAGTCGCTGGAAATTGTTGTGCTATATCTGCAAGCAGAAGATGGGGGCATCTATACAATGCAGCAACAAAAACTGTTTCGTGGCGTTCCATGTCTCATGCGCTCGACGAGCTCAGCTCTTTTTGAAAATGAAAGCTGGACATGGGCTCATGGACTCGCATCTTCTCAAGGCATTCTGTGACAAGCATGTGCCTCCCGATTGGCGGGTGGAGCATGGCACTGATGCGGCCACTGCGGACGCAATAGAGTATTATCGCAACACCATGTCGGGTCGACGGTGGGGTGACAGCCAAGCGGCGGCCTTATCATTAGGCCCTTCACATGCGGAGGACGCTGATGAAGATCGCAGGCACACCCCTCGTCTAACTTTGACTGTAGGAGGTAACAAACGCAAACGCGTGCCCAAGACGGTTTGGAAGCTTCCTTCTGGTGCACCTGTCATCCCTCATGTCGTACTTGACTCGGTCATTGCCTCCCTTGGCCGATTCACGGTCCGTGGTCGCAAGACCTATGCGGAAGAGGCTTGCAAATACTGGACTTTGAAAAGAGAGGCAAGACGTGGAGCTGCGCTGTTGAAGCGGCTGCAGCTGCAGCTTGAAACCTTCTCTTCAATGGAGATGACACGCCGAGACTACGTTGCCATGGGTGTCACTGGTCATAAGCGCTTGCATCGGCGTATTGAGTTTGGTGAGATGCTCTACAAGGACCTTGAGCAGCTACGCAATCTTTGCGCTCTCGTGAAACAGCGGGAGTACGAGAAGCTTCAAGACGCCTATCGTCTTCGGGATATGGTTGACACGGTGTACTTTCCCATTTTCCCACTCCTCTGGCCTATCTTCGAAAAGGCTCAAACGTAAGTGGCTTGTATCCGAACGCTCTTCTTTGTCGGATTTCAGCTTTGCTAATGCCTCTCCCGCGGGTTTTTCTGCACAGTCTTGACAGCAAAGGCACATTTGCCGCGGGCATGCTTTCCATCCGAAGGCGACTCGAATTACGATTCTACCCATCTGTCGCCTCTTTTTCTGCAGATCTGGCAAGTCTTTTTACCTCTGAAATCGGTGTTGCGCCAGCGGGCGATACTGCGGCCTTACAGGAACAGATCAGCGGACGTGCACCTGAGCTTAGTCTGGAACAACGCGAAAAGCGAAAGCTAGCCAAGCGGATCATCAAATCGATTCAACCAGCGCTGGAGGATGCACTTCGAAAGGAAAGTGAATTGAACCGAAAGCCTTTTGAAAAGGAGCTCAAGGAACTTGATGTCATTCTGGACCACAGTGTCATGTCTCGACGCGACTCTTTGGAACCCGAATGTGACGGGGAAATCGAAGCCGGTGATTATGAGCCTAAAATCGAGCCCATGGAGGGCGTCGAATCCACAGCGCCTCCTGCTGCCCAAGTCACAAGCGAGCCACAGCCAGCCGAACACGACTTTGCCATTGCACCGGAGTCTGCCCCAGATGACTCTATGCTTCACGGGAGTGTTCCTCCCAATGAAACCAAGCCCGTGATCAACACCGTCACTTACCGTCGCCACCCAACACCTGTTCTGACTGAGGAAGATCAGCAACTTCCACTAGCGCAGGGCGGAATTCCGTGGTACATGCAGCCATTTGACCCCGACGGCACCACAATCTATGAGGAGCGGTGGACCGGACGAGACGTTATGCGGGGCATGAGCGAGGAGCTCAGCGAACTAGACGAAGATGAGTTGAAAGATCTGGTAGAAGAAGAAGGCCATCCGGCTTCGAATGATGCACCTGTTCAGGCCGATCAACTTCGAAACGAGGTTCGTCGAACCCGTCGCGGACGGTATCGGTGATCGAAGCTGTGCAGATTTTGCAATATTATGAATGTGTATGAGGCGTTTGACGGGATTTTGAGTGTTATTTCATATGGTTTCTTCCTCTTCTGCTCGGCTACTGGAGTGGAACAACGGAATCAGGGTGCGTGTGAAATTGCTGACGACACTCTCGTTGATAGATCCATGTCGAGAACAATGAAAACTCCACAGTGTATTATCTAAAGTATTTTTTTCAGCCCTCAATATAGATTTATCTTAGGGGGAAAACACAATATATGTCTCCAGTAGAAACTCCCCGCTGTTGCCGATGTCTTAAACTTGATCGACCTCGGCTTGAGTGTCGGCTCTGGCATGTTATCCCTGGCAATGATCGATGTACTCTATCTTGTGGCTGTCCATTGTAAGAGCCCTTTCGAGATATGACCATCTAAGCTCTCCTTCTTCTGTAGAATTACCTCCTTCTTGCATTGAAAACAACGCTTGACTACGTCCCAGTAATGTACTCTGAGCTTTGCTTTACTCGTACTTTTCCCCCACTTCCTTTAGGTCATTACCTCAAAAACTTCTTCAAGAACTCTTGAGTCCTCCCATGGCGATCATGTGGCTCCAATGCTTGATCGTGTCCAAGGCCTAAGCTCTGGCCGACGCTGTGAGTGTGGAGAAATTGTGGGAGACGATCAACCATGAGCCGCTAGGCTCAGGCTTACCTACTACTAGGTAGGCCATCCACGATCAATTCGCCTCTCGCAGCCGTCATTTCGACACAGAACGAACCATTTCTGAAACCCCGTCCATTCCCAGTCACCTATGCTTTAGTCGTGGATTGGATGAGACTGGTGGTCTTCACAGATTATAATGCGTTAGCGTCCATCAACTCCCGTGCTCTCGATTATCATCTTTTGAGCTCTTTGCTTCTGGCTGCCAATCCGAGCTAAATAGGGTCGATCTTTAAGCTATTATTTTTTTCTTTTTTTGGAAAAAAAAAAAAGGCAAGCCTGGTACGACGATAGTATATTTTCTGGAGGGTGTCTATTACTGCTGGATGTCAGCTAGCACTCTTGTATATACATTGATGTACATCTACCTCGATAAGGGCAGAGAGTGCTCTGTAGGATGTAGATACCTATGCGTGCATGACAATCGTTTTTGCGGACCTGCAACCTGCGAGTGACTGTAAAATTGGACATATATGCCTTCACCGGGCAGGCTTATACATCATGTAGGGTAGCAGGAGCCTAGAAAGTACGTACGTACCCATTTGAAGGTAGGTACTAAACCTTTGATAAGTGGGCATCGATTCCGTCGTTGGTACATTTCAGTTTGGGCTAGTCGCATGAGCCCAGACTGTGTTGTACAATTTTGCCATTCGAGGCCTTAAAAGTCTCAATTTGCGACCATGAGGCTCCAGCCAGAGCTCAGCATCGATTGATGCCTTATAGCCGGTGCTTCAATATGTAAGAAAGCACAATCCTGTAGTAAAAGACCAAAAGAGTCAATTTTGGTTGCTGTGCCCCAGCCTTGGTGCCTCGTTTTCTTGTCCTAGGATGCAGCTTTCACCCCTTGAGACTAACATGACTTCTACCTAATTGCCACGTCGGGATCTACATTTTTTCGAAGCGAAAATTCTTGCAGAAATCGAAGATAATCAAGACTATCCCTTTTTCTGCCTTTGGCCGAGTCTCCTACGCGCCTGTCACTACCCTTGTCGCTTGTCACCACATCTGTCGGGAGTGTTTGTTCCTTTCCGGACGCCTAGCGCCGCCCGTCCTCTCTTCCTCAACTTCTCTTCCCGCTCCAATTCCTCTTTCCTTCCCCATCTCATATTCACAGCTTTAGACTACCATGGCTGACTACGACAACGACAACGGCCGCTACGCCGGTGAGTGACAATCCAATGATTTTCATGTTCTATAATTCAACTTGACTGATGATGGCGATTTCTTTTCCCTCCAGACGAGCCCCGGTACGATCGCGACCGCAGTGCCTCCCCTCGCGACGAGCCTCGGGGCGACCGTGCTCGCAGCCGTTCCCCCAACGGCCGTGCTGAGGATAGGTTAGTTTTATCATCAACAAACACCGTCAACCTTCATTTGCACATCGCTGATTTGATCCAGCCGTCCTGGTCCCCTGCGCAAGGCCCATCTGGTTGAGGAGGAGGATGAGGAGGGTGCCCAAAACACTGGATCCAACCTCTTCGTGACTGGTATCCACCCTCGTCTGACTGAATCTGATATCTCCCGTCTCTTCGAAAAATATGGCGACGTCTCCAACTGCTCTATCATGCTGGACCCCCATACCAAGGAATCCCGTGGATTTGGATTTGTCAACATGAGCACCGCCGAGCAGGCCGATGCTGCCAAGGAAGGTCTTCAGGGTGAGGTCATTGAGGGCCGCACTCTGAGCATCGAGAAGGCTCGCCGTAGCCGTCCTCGCACCCCTACCCCCGGAAAATACTTCGGTCCTCCCAAGCGTGGTAGGTTCCTCCGGCAGTGATGACTTTTTTCCCCAATCAGATGAGCATCCACTGATTCTTGTGCGTTCTAGATGATGGTCGTGGCCCCCCCTCGCCGTGGTGATCGCTATGATGACCGCCGTGGCCCTATGGGTGGCGGTGGTGGTAACTGGCGCCGTCGCGATGATGATCACTACCGCGGTGGTCGCTACGATTCCTACAATGATCGTCGTGATTACGGTCGTGACTATGGCCGCGATGGTGGTCGTGGTGACGGTGGCTACCGCCGTGACTACGGTGGTGGTGGTCGTGATTACCGTCGCGAGTCTCGTGATGACCACGGATACCGTGGTGGTCCCGATCGCTACGGTGACCGTTACAGCCGTGATGACCGCCGTGGCGGTGATGATCGTCGTGGAGGTGGTGCCGGTGGTCCTCCCCCTGCCGAGGGTGGTGCTGGCGGTGGTGAAGGCCGTGGTTACTACGATCGCGATGCCAACCCTCCCAGCTACGAGACCGCTCCTCCTCGTGAGCCCCGTGAGCCCTACTCTGGTGGCGGTCGCTCCTACGAGGGTCGCGGTGGCGATGACCGCTACGGCAGCAGGTAATGTATCCCCTTGCTCGCAATCCAAAATAGGGATGTCTCTGTTTTGAGTCTATTGTTGTATGATGGCCCATGTTTCTTTATCCCCCTTGACTACGCCAAAATCCCCATGTCCTACCTTTTCACCCTTCTTCTATTTTCATACCTTCAGACTGTTTTAATGCGGGGTTTGCGACTGGACTACGGGCGTCGTGATATTCGTTGGGTTTATTTTTCCCCTGTTTGCCTCTCCGCCGTTCTCATCTTGCAATGCCTCCTTCCCACCGACCTTCAAGGTTTCTGTCACAAAGAATATTGAGTGCGCCACAGGCCTTACTGCGACCGACCCGGCAACTCTTTTCTCGGTCTTTACCCAGTCTTGTCGCCATCACTCGGTCGCATAAAAGATGTGGCTCTTCTTGTCTGTTCAGCGACGCAACTCGGGTGAAAAGATGCAAGAACTCTAGCGGCAAAGATGAAAAAACAATTCTCGCTGTAATTCGGCTATCTCTTGGGATCAGCACCTTCGGTCAAACTGTTCGCCTTATGCACAACACTTGTCAGCTTTTCAGTAACGGCTCGGACTGTATTCGACAATATTTAAAAAAAAACTTGCTATCGGCTTCATTCATTCGCAACCTCATCATCTCCGTTTTCCCATCAATCATTACTTTACAGCCCCGCTCCCGTTTCCTTCCCGCTCAGCAGCGCCGTCATTTCTACGCGTGTAGTCCTTCGAAATGTTTTCTGCGGAACCGGCGATGAAGTCGAAACGATTCGATAAGGCATATGGAATCAACGAACAACTTCTCACAGGTAAGGCGAGATCATGTGACTAATGACCCAGGGCGCATCATAACTTCGTTATACGACTTTCAGGTAGGTTTCCATGTGGCGTGCGAACACTCAGTGGTCCCTGCGGGTTTCAGCCTATCCCTAGACTGTGTTCCAGTTCGCCCGCCACGAGGCTATATACATGCTGCTATCCTTGCAACCTACGGAATGCTTGCGCTTATCAGTCACAGACTCTGCGATCATTGTGATAGATCAACTTCACTCACATTTTTGCCCTCTCAGCAAGTCTCATATCATGAAGAGTATAGTCGTCATTGACAAATACAAATATCTTACCAAAGAGCTGTGAGCTTATAGGTACTGCAATGGTAGCCTAATGTAGGGCAGACCACGTTCCTAAAGCCTTTTGCCAGTTACTAGGTGTCTAGGTTCCTTTCGCGTTACTGCGATTGGAGATGTATGGTCTGTGTCAAGCTTGGAAAAGGAAGTTACCTAGTACATGAAAGAATAAATGGGTATAGGCAGGCGCAGACATTCCGCGGTCCTTGGGACGATCAGTATCCATTCGAGGAGCCTACGATCCCATGCAAATCCTAACAATGCTCGTATAACGCCCAGATAGAAATCATGAAACATAATAAAAGCAATAAATACGGATGATCAAAGCCGAGTCAGCGCCCTCAACTCCAGAAGCCAGCCGGCCGTCAAAACAAACACCTGAAAGACTCCTTTGCCGATGAATTCACTCCGACTCCTTCTTCGCCTCGGCTTCTTCCAGTTCCTTGCTTTTTTGAATCAGGAACTCCCCCAGAACTTGCAATGGATTTGGTGGTCTTCGCGAAGAGAGAAATCCATTAGAGAGCTTTTCCTTGCCAACAGTATGTACGGCCCTCAGCTTGATAGTCAAACTCACTGGTCTCTTGTAATTGCCTTCATCCCCTCCAGCAGGTGTGGAACAATCTTCTCGTTGAGATAGACACGCGCGGGAGCGCCTCCGGGTCGAATTTGCGGCGTAATGCCACTGGCGAGGTCTAGCGGTTGCAGGCCGGTGCCACCGTTTGTTTCGGCCATGTTGCGGGGCGGGGGATTGCGCTGCGAGTGGGCAGCTGGTAGGTTGGTGCGGCGAAATTCGCGCTGGGTGTGTGGGTGAGGTAGTAGTCTCGTCTCGATGGATGCGCGGCGATTCAAGTGGTCGGAGAGCGCCAAGTTGGAGCGTTGAAATAGAAGACGCGGAGCAATCTTTTTGGGAGGCGAGACGTTCAGATCTTGAGAGGTGTGGGTGGAGTAATGGACGGAAGGAATGCGCTTGAGTGGAATATGTCCAGCACAGTTAAACTGAATCTCATTTCAATGAGAGCCGTCAAGGCGGAGCGGCGGAGATGTGGAGCTTCTGGAAGCTGCGTCTGGCGGAAGGGCGGCAGGGCTGCGGTTGGCTGGTTTCTACTATCGTACAGTGCATACATGTACACCCACATAAGCAGGTCGGCAAGGGGGAGGCGAAGGGGCAGTAGAAGAGGCAAATTGAGACTACGTAGGCTTACTACACTATGCTAAGTAACATGTACGAATCATAAAATCTACACTCGAGTTTTTGCTCGTTGCAAAGAAGCTCTCTCCTCTTAAACTTTGAAGCTGAAGTCACAACAAACAGTGCAAACAGCGGGATTAGGATATATCACCCACGTGATCTCGTGTTCTCTCGCGAGGCTCCTCGACGCGCCGGCGAAGTTTGCTTCGAGATCACTGATGCGTCGACGCTGAGGAGTCTGTACCCATGGCCCCGTCTGCAGCATGTCTTTGCTGCATTACTGGGACACTCAGTGCTCCGTGAAGCGCCGAAAGACCTCTGAAAAAGATTCTGGGCTCGAAGTCAAAATCCCTCCGGCCCAGGAGGAGCGACCTTTAAGCCCGAGTTCTTCCTCCGGTGCAGTGGACTCTCCGACTTCAGCACCGCTGTTCGATGAACCGACCGGTTATATGCCTAGCAGCCCCACAGAGCTGGAGACTTCATTGCCGATTCTTGACACGGACGAAGATGCTATCAAGGTATACGAATCGTGCAAATTGGAGCCCAAGGCAGATGAAGAGCCAGGCTTGCATGCCCGATTACGAGACGGCGTGTGGCAGCGTGGGAAAAGCTCTATCTACGTGGATGCATTCAATCTGGCACTAGAAACAGTACTGGATGAGGAGTCGCATTTGTTCGACGATGCGGAAATGGAGGTTTTTCGACAGTGGAAGGACCTGTCGTACGAATCACAGTATCTGTGAGTCCTCACAACAAATCAAAAGCAATGGTGACTACGACTCTCCGAGTGTGAACTGAGTTTTTTCCAATCCAGATATGTTCGCCTGTTCTTACGAAAAACATCTGCTTGGCACCGTATCAGTCGACTCGGCTATTACTCTGACATTGCAGACTTATCCGCCGTAGCAATAGATCTTCAGAAGGATCGAGCACTGCCAAAGGTTGACGAGCAGACTCCGAATGCAGGCGATATCTTCTTGAAGGGCACATTTCGATTCGCCGATGGCACGGATGAGATCACCACGCTGGAAGAAGCGTCATCGCTCCTGCTGCTTGACGAAGTGAAAGCATTTGCCAAAGAAGTCAAAGCTCAAGGGAAGAACAAGAAAGAGCTACTCGCAGCTTTGTGTGAGTCCAGTCAGTCGCAGATTGGACTTGGGTTCAAAGACCAGCCTGGTAAAAGGGATGGCCACTTGCTCCAGAAGATCCTTGACTTCACCGGTCAGTGCATTCGACTCACCCCCGAACCTCGCGCACTCTTTGAGCGCGTGCACCTGGTCTTCTATCGCTCGACTGAATGGACTGAGAAGTCCCTGACTACAATCATTCTTGCCAAGATCTCTCGTCGTAATTTCCCAAAGTACATCGTGTGTCGGTCCAATTCGATATTCTCGTCCAGAGCTGCTCTTTTGGAGTTTGAGTCAGCCATAAGGACGCAATTTGACATTGATAATATCCTCGAGTTCAATGGTGCTCCAAGTACAGACTCTCTTCAGCGAATTATCGATTTGGCCGACCAGTTCTACCCACGATGGAGGCAGCTTGTGGATGAAGAGCAACGAAAAGAGGACTCTATATACGAAAGCGGCGAAGGTGCATATCTTCGCCGATTCTCGCCTGCCTGGGTATATACGAGAGTCATGCACAAGAGTCTGCTACCACTTGGGAGATTCAAAGAACACAAGCGAGAGCATGAGCTGCTGAGCGAATTGCTAGATCAGCGTCTGTTTCACGCCTCGCGTCGTGGGGCGTGGTATCAGCGCAAAGCTTTGTTGGAAGAACATTATATGTGGGCATTGACGGCTTGCGAGGGCCGCAGTGAGGAAAACCAGCGCAAGTTCTGGAAACGAGTTGCGCTGCGAACGTGCGAAGAGGGACTGGAAGATCCTCTTTGTCACCTCATCTACCACTATGATCTTCAGAAAAGAATCTCAAAGCTTGAGAGGGCGTTGAGAGTGGTGAAAAGAGAGCAACATGACTTTGGACATGTCATGTTGAGTAAACCCGCCGAGCGGACGATTGAGGGGATTCGCATTGAGAGCGAAGATGGGCCGAAGAAAGGCAAAGCCACCGTTTGGATTGATGAGAGAGAAGGCGGGGAGTGTCGAGTGGAAAGTATGTGTTTGAGTTGGTATCGAGATCATGGGTGGAAGGGATATCATTCTGAAGGAGGCATCGTTCGAACATTGGTGAGTCTGTCCTCTTTCCTCTAACTAGAGAGGCAAATCGTTCAACGACTCACACTCACATTTTACTTGTCAGTTCGGTCTATTGTTCTACGACATACTTTTCACGTATGTTCCAAACGTTTTCCAGACGCCTTTTCAAACCTGTCCCTTGGACTTGCACACAGACGTATTCTATCCATCTCGCGCCTCTGAGATCAACCATCGTCTGGTTGAAATCACCAATGGAGATGCCGAGCGCATTATTAGAGACATTTACGACCGCGAGTCCGCTGCCCAACCTTGCGCCATTGGGATCGACTGGTCATTCGAACTAGATGATCTTCTCGAAATTGTGCAATGCTTCCGTGGCGAAGCCCTAGCCACGATATGCAAGGTCATGGCGCAAGAGTATCAGCAGCGCGGCGGTGGCATACCTGATTTGTTTTTATGGAAGGCCGAAGAGCAAACGGTCTTATTCTCCGAGGTCAAGTCTGAGAATGATCGATTGAGCGATACGCAACGGCTGTGGATACATATTTTGCTTGGGGCGGGAGTACAAGTTGAGCTTTGCAACGCTGTCGCAAGAGAAGTCAGGACTGTATAGTTTATAGACATGGCTAACGGTCAGACTTGTCAATAGCCAGGCATCTCATAGCATATAGATGATCAAGTATGGAAAGTTGTATAGCGCACAAAAGACATTCCGGCATGATTTTGGCGTTCTATATATTACGCGAGTGGACGTGTTTCTACGCGCAAGCAGGTATTCGTTAAACTCAGATGGATTCTGACGACCATCGATCGTATCAGGAGCAGGAAATTGAAAGACATGGGTATAACTCGTAATAGTTTCTTTTTTGTATGGGCGGATCTAGCACACATGGAGTAAAAGTGCTCTCGACAGAGTATGCCAGATACAATGTTCCATCACAGTTCCATTCCCAATTACCACAGACGACCACGCCTTCGCTTATGCGACAAGGGTAGAGGCGGTGGCGCTCTCGTAACGCCAGGTGGGGGAAAGGACACCGACGGTCTTGTAGTAGCGAGACAGACGGTGGATACGGGACTCGATGAGAATGAGGCGGAACTTGGAGTCCTTGTCCTTGCGGTTGCGCTCGAGGTGCTTGCGGACAGCGACGGCCTAGGGTAGAAGAATGTCAGTATACCGGATGATGAATTAAAAATGTCGACACGAAGAAGGCCGATCAAAACGGCAATTTCATACCTTCTTGATCAGGAAGTAGAGGTCCTCGGGAAGCTCGGGAGCGAGGCCTGTATTTCCAAAATCTCTCTGTCAGTCTTGTTTCAAAACCAATCAGAGGCTTAAGTGCGAGTGCATTTCTGCGACAAGCATTTTGTTTGTTGTTTCTCGGGATGAGAGTGATCGAAGCATTCGCGAGGCAAATCATTTCGTTCTTGAGATCACGGAGAATTGTTCGAAACTTTTCACATGCGACTGCGATTCGATCCTTCAACCGATTGGAGAGATGAGGGGATTGGCGAGTGGGTTCGTACCGCTGGACTTGAGGATACGGAGGATCTTGTTACCTGCGTTCGAAAGCAGATTTAGCATTGTGAAAGTTTCCCTTCGCGATCTTGACGCATATACTCGGACTTCGCGCGCCAGAATCCGAATTTCAACAGGCGAATCTCTTACCGGTCACAATCTTGACCTGGGCAACACCGTGGGAGTCACGGAGAACAACACCGATCTGGGAAGGAGTGGCACCCTTCTTGGCCAGCTTGCAGATCTGGTCGACAACCTGGTCGGGGGTGGTCTTGAGCCACGCGGGGGGAGCGCGAGAGTAGGGGAGCGCGGAGGCAGCCATGCCCTTGCCCTTGGAGTGAAGACGACCCATTTTTGCTGTGGTAGATGGTCCGGCGACGGTGAGCTGGTCGGAAGTTGTCGAGATGGATGAGGAAGTTCAACGGGTGGAGTTGGATGAAGATTCAATGCGAGAAGGGACCGCCCGGTGTGTGTGGGTCACGTGTGCGCTTCGCTTATTTTTCCGCGCCGCTTTTTCCTCAGCTGCAAGATTGTTTCCGCCTTCCGCATTTAAAAGTTTGCTTCAGCCCGATTTGACATGGTTGGCTAAATGACCTTTTCGCATAGTAGACGATGTCTGGAATGATGTTTTCGACATATTTGCAGTCTTGAGCTCGCAGTCGAGACATGTTTTTACCTTCGCTTTTTGGGATTAGCGAAGTCGGCAGCTCTGCGGTCGAATGTCCGCATATATGGTTAGTCTCACACTTTGTTCTTCACTCCACTTCCGATTCTCCCTTTCATGATGAAAACACATTTTTTACTTATTTCTGGTACCTCTTATGTCAGAAGCGCGTCCTCGGATGTGTCTTCGATGATCTAACTGGACTTCTGATCCGTCGTCGTATTCATACCTTGCTATCATACCTCGAATGCTGGAGACTCTTTACTGACTCTCCTCCAAGATATCGCAGATCACATATACACACGGTCAACTTTCTCTCATTAGAAATGAATTATCCAGTGCAATTACTTGACATGAAATCATTTTGCTATCTTCTAAAACGCTCTCTATGCTCCCTGTGTAGTTGTAATGTACATCAAGCCCCTGTCGAGCTGGGATATCGCTCGCATGGCCCAAGCCTATCTCTGGAGCCGCTTCGACATTCTTCTCGTCTCTGTCGTTTGGGCAGCCTTTGTGATCTCTGCGTCTGCGCCCTTGCGTTTCTTCCCCCTAGCCACTTCAATGTGAGGCTTTGTCTCAACTTCTTCCGACTTGATATTGACATCTCCCAATTCTTCTTTCGGTGCCATCAGGGTCACGGCAGTTGTGACTTCGTTCTTGACTTGAATCTCCGATCCCTCCTCCTTGACGGACACATCGACATGCTTGGTCACTGCAAGTCTGTCAGAAAATGACCGGAGATCTGCTGTGAAGAGTACGCTGTGGGCCCAGCCAGCCTCCTGACCCCAGATTTTTCGGAAATGGTTGGCCACCGCGTCGTAGGTCGCCTTCGTCAGGGACTTCTGAGAGCTTTTGCCAAATCGATAATCTCGCTGCGCAATTTGCCACACTAGATCGTGTCAGGACTCAGGACTGTGTTTGACCGAGGTACTTGTGTCGTGAGAACGACTTACCGTGTGTATCTACAGGGACAGATTCCCCCCATCCAAGACCCATAAGACATACACAATCGGCAACTTTTGGTCCAACGCCTTGAAGCTCTAACAAGTTCTCATGGGCGTTGCGATAACCTTGTCGCCCTTGAGTCTGCATCTCATCGCCGGGGGTTGGTTGAAATCCAAACACTGGTGACTCGGGGTTGCACAGGCCTTCGAGCCATCCTTTTTCTCGTTCTTGCGAAACCATGAACGCCGTTCGTTGAATATATTTCGCTCGATACCCGAAGCCGAGACTGCGAAGATTGCTTTCCACATCACTTCCTGCCAGGGCCTCTGCGTTGGGGAAGTCATGGTATGCCCGATCGTCAATCTTAGCGACAAATTCACCGTAGTTCAGACACAGCTTTTCCACCATCTGCGAGATCCGAGCTATATTGTTGTTGCTGCTGCATATGAAAGAGACGAGTGCCTCCCATGGGTCCTGGCGAAGTATTCGAATGCCTGTGAATTGAACAGCTTTTTTCTTGAAATTGGCATCTTTGCTCGACCATTGGTCATAGAGAATGGACAGGCTTGGAGCTAGATTCAAGTAGTGCTTGAGCAGACGCAAAACATCATCGTCATTGGCATGACCTGCAGGGACTTTGACGTCACTGCCCTGGTCTGTGTCGGACTGCGCTCGAGATTGAACTTGCGAATATGGCGGAGATGGCAGTAGTTTGGCAGGACTGGCTCTATAGTGACGATAGTAAAGATGGGACGAGTCTTGCTTCAGCGACAACAGCTTCCCATGAAGCACACATCGCCATTCACCATCTTCGGGGATATGTTGCCATCTACAAGCACTTATCAGATTATGAATGCGATAGCTTGATTTCGGGGGAAATTATACCTGAAAGACTGTCCACAGCGTAACGTTGTATTGATACATAGCTCACTTAGACTTATCGGCAATTTCCGCCATTCTGAGAACGCTCCAGCCATGGCACCAGGTGTTCTCGATGAGCAAAATATTTGCTCCTGTAAGCCTATCGCAAACTGATAGACAGCGATAAGCGGACTTTCTGCCCCGGACGGAAATTCGGGAAGGCGGTACGGGCTTAACCGCCCTCACTCGGACGGGAGCTTCAGTTTTCCCCTTCGACAGGGTACGATCCAGTAGCTTCGCTCATCAATCAAGAGGCTCGATATGAACGGCGACACCTATTCATCAAGAGGTAAGCATTATTCAGTCTTTCTTCAGGACTTTACTGACTTTCCCAAGATACGGCGCGCTCGCGCGATCAGTTCGTAAGTGACACCTCGATCTTTCCTCTGGCCAAAACTGATTCCTTCCAGCGTGACGAGCGACGCGATCGAGACCGAGGCGACCGGGGCGACCGCGCTGAGCGAGGTGCAGGCGAAAGACGACGATCGCGATCACCGCACTTCGGCTCGCGTAGTGCGCGCCGAGAAGCAGAGACCAATACCTACTCCTCCAGCCGAGACTATCGTGCCCGCGAGCGAGAGGATCGCTATTCCAGTCGTCGTGAAGACCGTGATTGGGGCGGTGATCGTGGCGAGCGTGGCGAGCGTGGCGAGCGAGGGGAGCGCGGAGAACGTGGAGACCGTGGAGGTGATCGTCGACGACGCGACTTTGACGATAGACCCCGACGGGACCTTTTCGATGAACGACCCCGACGCGGTGGCCGCGAGGATCGTCGAGACCGAGGTGATCTTGATCGGGGTGGTGACCGCAGAGGTGGACGGGGACCTGGTGGTGGTGGCAATGGACCTGAGCCGGCTCGACGAAGTGCTTCACCCCCTCGCAGGAAAGAACCTACTCCAGACCTGACGGATGTGCCTTCCATTTTGGACCGTAAGCGTCGCCTCACGCAGTGGGACATTAAGCCTCCCGGCTACGAGAACGTCACTGCGGAGCAGGCCAAGCTCTCAGGGATGTTCCCACTCCCCGGCGCTCCACGACAACAACAACAACAGCAACAGCCGATGGACCCAAGCCGACTGCAAGCGTTCATGAACCCTCCCACTACTGGCTCGGTCGAGACCACAGCCTTGAAGCCATCCAACTCCCGACAGGCGAAGCGTCTGTTCGTCTATAACCTCCCTCCTGCGACGACCGGGGACAATCTCATGTCTTTCTTCAATTTGCAACTCAATGGCCTGAATGTCATTCACAGTGTTGACCCTTGTGTCTCCGCACAAGTGGCTGATGACAACTCTTTCGCACTGTTGGAATTCAAGTCTCCGAACGATGCGACAGTCGCTTTGGCCTTTGACGGAATCACTATGGCTGAAGGGGCAGAGAAGGGCCTTGAGGTTCGCCGTCCGAAAGATTACATTGTTCCCAACGGAAGCGCAGATCAAGATTACCAGGAAGGTGTCCTCTTGACCGAGGTCCCAGACTCGCCGAACAAGATTTGCGTCTCCAATATCCCCGCCTACATTCCGGAGGACCCTGTTACCATGCTGCTGAAATCTTTTGGCGAACTGAAGTCATTCGTCTTGGTCAAGGATGCCTCAACTGAGGAATCACGGGTAAGTTGCACACCGCGAGGTCTACATGTTCTCTTTCCCCCCCCCCTCCCTCTCTCTTCCTCTTTACTAATCCCGTAGCAGGGCATTGCATTCTGCGAGTTTGTTGATCCTACCACTACAACTATCGCTGTAGAGGGTCTCAATGGTATGGAGCTTGGAGACCGTCACTTGAAGGTTGTTCGCGCCAGTATTGGAACTACTCAGGCTGCCGGTCTTGACATGGGCGTGAATGCCATGTCAATGTTTGCAAAGACTACGTCCCAAGACATGGAGGCTGGCCGTGTGCTTCAACTTCTTAACATGGTCACTGTGGATGAGCTACTCGACAACGACGACTACGAGGAGATTATGGAAGATGTGCAAGATGAATGTGCCAAGTACGGCAAAGTTCTCAGCCTCAAGATTCCCCGACCATCGGGTGGTAATCGCCAGGCCGCAGGCGTCGGCAAGATTTATGTTAAGTTTGAAACTCCAGAGTCTGCCACTAACGCCCTGAAAGCGCTTGCTGGTCGGAAGTTCTCGGACCGTACCGTTGTGGTTTCCTACTTCTTGGAAGAGAACTTTGATGTCGATGCTTGGTAGACGAAAGAGTTGAGTTGACATTGCCAGCCAGTTAATATTGCGAAGCCTAAAACACCCTCAGAACTAAATGTATGATAGTACTTTGGCCTTTCGATTTGACGCTAATTCAGCTTTTGCCGGGCTCCGTGAAAAGGCGGTTCCTCATCCTACACCGCACGTTTATCCTTAAACTTTGTGCATCTGGCGTTAAACTCGTCTGAAACGGACTGATGAAACGGACCGAGCAGATCTGAGTAACACAAGGTTGCCGAACCGCACATTCCAGACTTAATCCAAGCTCGGTGGTATTTGCAAAGGCACAGCAAAAGATCTCATGGGGCAAAATCCTTCCGTATTAAAATATTCCTCTCATTCAAGTCACCAGCCGCAGAAGAGCTGTGGTGTTTCAAGTGCAAGTTTGAAGAGGACTTTCCGATGCACTAGAGTCTCCATTTTCAACGTCAGACAAGGATGTAAGGTTGTAGATAAATGAATATAATCTAACAAACAATTTTCTTGCGTCTAGATGTACATGTCTACGGAGCTCGATTGTTTTCAAAAAAAAAAACATTTTTCGGAATGGGAATTCGAACTAGTATGGGTAATACTTTTCTGGCCCAGCTCGGTGACTCAGTTGTATGCCAGGATCTTGGCCGCAGCAGCCTCCGCAACAACCATGATGGTAGCTTGGATGTTACCAGTGGACAAGTCTGGGTGAATACTGCCGTCCACGATGAACTAGATCGAGATTTACTCGTCAGTATATCTTTTGTCTCTTTTCAAGAATTGCGTGATTGTCTGAAGACCAATCTTACCAAATTATCAGTGCCGTAGACCTTGGTGTTGGTATCTACCACGGATGTACCATTCTTACGTCCGTCATCGACGCCCATCTTGGCAGTGCTCGCGTAGTGAGTACCAGGCTGAAGATCTTTGAGGATAGCAGTGATGTTCGTGTTCTTCACCAGAGTGAGACCAGATCCAGGAGCCTGAATATCCTTGACCAATCCCTGAACGAACGCACGAGCGGCTACGCGGTCATCAGAAGTTTGCATATAGGGTGACTTTTCGATGACAGTGTTTTGCTTGGAGTCGAGACCCAGAACGCCGTGTGAGGTGAGGCCGTGGGTCATGTAGACCTTGATTTCGACGACGCCGTTCTTGGTGGGGGCACAAGAGCCCTGGTAGTAGCGAGTGTGGTTGCTGAATGTGTTCGAGCTGAAGAAGATCATGCGGTGCTTGCCTTGAGTCAGAAGGCCACTGCCTTGTTTGTAGAGTTCGATATCGGCGGTATCGCTGCCATTGAGGATGCTGTCGTAGTCTGGGACACCGAAGGTAGCATTGGTTTGGATCAACATGGTGAAGATGGGGTGATCCATGAGACCAACACCAACGGGCAATTGAATCCAGTCCTGCTTAGCGGGCACGGAGATGCCGCTGCTCTGTGCCATCTCGATTTGCTTAGCAGGGCCGATACCTGAGTTGAAAAGGAGACGGGGAGTGGACAAGGCGCCGGCTGAGAGGACAACGCGACCATTGTGGCCGACAGTGACGATCTCGGTCTCGTTGGAACCAGTTTGTACCTCGACGCCAGTAACCTTGGAACCTTCACGAACAACTCGAAGAACTTTGACGCCCATGTGCAGATCGAAAGACTCGTTCTTCTGGACAAGGGGCAGGTATGTTCGGACAGGCCCAGCACGGACATGATCCTCGATATTCCACGCAGGGTAGGTATACACCTTGTGTTTCTTGTCAGGCTCTTCAATTGAGTCAACCGATTTCCAGCCGAGTCTGTTGAAGAAGTTCGAAAGAACCTTATAGGCACCTTGGTCATATCGCTTGCCGTCGGCGGAAGGCTGGGTTGTGCCAGCATTGCGTTGGTACAGTCGCTCTGCGGCAGGCTTGACATCTTTCCACTTCCAGCCGGTGGGCCAGTTGCTGTTGTGGTCGAAGTCGTGGTCAGAGGGGTGGATGAACACCATGTAGTTGACCGTTGTGCCACCTCCAAGAACGCAAGCCGCCATGCCTGGGGTATCGGTACACATATACCTCTTCCACTCTGGAAGTGCCCCGACATTTGCAGACATGCCGGGCAAGTCGATTGGGGTCAACTCGTTGCTCCAAGAAAGAGTATCATTTGCACCAGTAGTGACTGTCGGTCCGTGGCCACGCTCAAGAAGGAGGACCTTCTTGCCGGCTTCGACAAATCTTTCAGCAGTGATGATACCCGACGGACCGCCCCCGACGACGATGTAATCGTAGTAATCATTTTTGAATGATGAAGCTGAAGCTACGCTACCAGCCGCAGCAATCAATGCTGCTTGGAAGCTTACACGCAGAAGCTGCATTTTTTCAGTATATACTCAAATTCGGATAGAGCTGAGAGCGACGGGGATCAAGGGGAGTGGAAAACGGCAAACCTTTCATTTTAAAACAAAACATGACCCAGATTTCAGGGGACACATAACCATCCGTTTTATGAGGTCTCTCTCCTCGTCATTTGACCAAGTGTTTCCGAAGTCCGGCGCTGCCGTTTGATGAGGTTCCAAAGCCCACATGGTCAAACAGCGCCTTTGTGCTTCCAGGGCAGATCAATTGCCTTGCCAGGCTCAAGCCAAGCATCTAGGCTGCTGAATGTCTGGCACGGTGGATCTCTTCAAAACTGTTTGGAAGCAATCATCGCTCTTTTCTGTCATAGAACCGTAGAAAAAGGGAACACTCGACCCTCCTAAGTAATCTTGCCACAAGCGACAAGGACTTGCACCCATGTCAGACAATTGTGGTACTCAAGGCTGGCTCAAGGATTGTATCAAGAAGCGTGCCATAACTCTACAGTCCACAGTCCACACTCACAGTGCCAGTCATAGAAATAGCCTCGAGACGACCCACAACTCCATTGTTGAGATGACGACGTTTCACTGGGCTGTTGCGGGTCCGAGATGCCAGATTAGGTGGGTCTTTAACGGCCGATATTCCTGAATAGAGTATGCAGGTTTTTCATTCACGAGCCGAGACCCAAAGATAATGACGGGTTGTCTTCTGGGAAGTCACCATACGAATGATTTGCCAGCCATGCGCATCCTTTATCGTACATCGTGTGATGGGGCCAGATGTACATATTCTGTCGTCGAGTTGAGGGTCTTGTGATTCAAGTTTTGCGCTGCGACAATCATCAAGCCACGGCATCTTTTGATATGCCCAAGATCCCCGAATTTTCTCCCTAGGCTGTTTGTGCGCGCGTGACTTAAGGTGGTCGAGCCAGAAGAAGCTCTAAGTGGGTAGGGAACGGGTTAGTCGCGAGGAGTAGGAAATGATCGACCAAGGTAACCTCCGACCCGGATTTTCGGCTCTCTATCGGACTGTTATCAATCTGATCAAATCTTCCGCAGATGTGAAACTTCCATCATGTCACAGTCCGTGTCTGACACACTTTCCTTGGCCCAATACGCTGGGAGAAGAATTGCCAAGCCGGCAATTCGATTACCCAGCGAAAAGCAAGAAACCATTGTAGCTTGACTGTGCGAAAGAAAGACAGAAAGTTCTCCCGGGACGACCATGACTTTCCCCTTAGTTGCAATGACTGGGAAACGCCAAGGACTTGTTTCATCGTGTGCCGATCTCGCTTGCTCGTACCGCGGATGAGCAGCAGACCCTGGCTCGTCAAAGGAAGTCTCAACTGTTCAGCTTCGCCGACCATACGAGGCTGTGCGCGGCTTCAATTTTGTTCTCGATGGACCTGATTTGTATCAAGCGTCAGAGATGCGCAGCAGAGTCAATCATCATTCCATCGGCTTAAACAGATACTGAGACTAACGCAGTGCCAACAACAAGGCTTTTATTCGTCCCGTCAACTCCTTTCTGGTGTGCCATTGAATATCTATCCAACACTTCCGGTGAACACCTTCACTGAAAAATTCATGGGATCTCAGTGACGTGGAGATTGTCTAAAACAGTGCTTGTTGATCAAGCACAGTCATCACAAAAGATGACTGAATGCCAAAATACCCTGATCTGAGCGATTCTGGAACTCCTCATGTCGCAATGACCTGAACCGAGTTCAGAAGGTGACCTCAAGATCTCTGGTTCGTTGTCAGTAGTCAGTGTTCGGAGGGAAAGGTGCCACAATTCGGGCAGTCCAAAGGAGATAAGAGAGGGATAGTTAGAAGTCACAGTCGAGAGGTTCCACCCTCTTCGAACTGACTGGCAGAATCACATGTTGATATCAAGCAATCAGCACCAGCAATCATGTGGCCACCGAAATTTTCTCCCGGGTCTCGGTTCTCGTTACTTTATTTTCAAATTCATCTTTCTCTTCTCCTTGTTCATCGTCGCCTTGCTTTCACCATTTGCTTGATGATCATTACGCCCCGTCCGTTTTATGCCTATGGACTTCCGAGTGTGTCGGTGCCCAGCGTTGCACTATTTACATCGATATTCACGGCTGAGCATAGAAGACCAGCCTTGAAGTCTTGAACGGCAATCCAAGATTTCACGTGGTTCTCAAACGAAGTTTCTGTTGATCCGGACGCAGTTGATTTGCTTCGAGGCAATTCGATCTTCAAGAGTGTGAAAATACAGTCGACCCTGATGCCAAGCATGCCCACTCAGAAGATTAATGACTTAGACGGTGCATGAATGCAATGACGTCGTCTCTGGAAATAGAGATATTAACCCGCACGTTTCGCCTGCTTGGTATACAATCCCTCAGTCGATAGATCCCAACTTTCATCTATCGCTTTCTATTGCGATGGTAATTCAGTCAAGAAAGCAATGACATACGCCCTCAAGATAGCAAAAGGGTCACGTCCAGCTTACTACCTCTACAAGAGCTCATTGACAATCTCGCAGAAACTCAATGGCGTTTGCAAGCTTCGGTCTGTAGCAAGCAAATTCAGATGGAGGCCAAGAGATACCACCGCAGGAATGACTACTTGATCGCGTCACTCATCGTTGAGAAACCTTCCATGCGAGTCATGTAACATGAAGTTAGGACCTAATGATGTCTAGGTAGGCATTCCGACGAATTGCCGGAAGGGACTAAGTGATCAGCACTACCAAGTCAAATTTGCACAGGAAAACCAGGGACCTACATTACATAGAGTCATAGCCATAGACTTACAGAGTAGGTGAGATTCTATGATCTTTGCTGGAATATCGACCTCCCAACCTCGGAAAGCTAAGTGAGCGACAACACACCGGACGGTAGGTCAGTACCAATCTCGTAAAAAATCAATCAATATTGCAATAGTTTGCAGCCTCTACTGCTCCGAAAGTTCCCTCAATATCCGCAGTGTAGATCAGACTCGTCAGACCTGACCAAGCCCTCGTTGACGTACTTGAACCTTGCCAGGAATGAGATCATCGTCAGAAAATGCTTCATTACTCGTCAAGATGCATCAAGATCACTCTAAGTGCAGCTGCCACTATTCTATACAGTAAGATAAACACGGCAACATGATCGGCAAGGAAAAATACAGAGCTATCCTACCTGGCAAAGCCTCGGTCGCAGTGCATCGGCATGACTTGTCATCTAAAGTGCCGTTCTGAATGATCTGCGTGCGGGGAAACTTAGGCTAAGCATCCACCTCAAGGCTAATTTGTGGGGCTCCAGTCCACCTGAAGGATGAGTCTGCAGCAGGGCTGTACCTTAGCCTTGTCAAATATTACGAGGTGAGAAACCTGTACTTGAATATCTTTCTACAATGGGAAAGACTCCCGTTACCATGGAGCATCACGCATGCCCAAATCTTGAGCGGTGATGGCGGGGAGTGGACCACATTGAATGCCGACAGGGCGCGATAGAACAGGTTAAATAGTTGCTATCCACCTACCAACCCTCATCACTTTCATCTTCAGTTGCTGAAAAGCAGATTCGAATCGTGATTATCCTGGCTTCTTGATCCTTTCTCAGCATGCGAGCTCTGTCGCTTCTCTTTGGGCTGGCGGCCTCTGCCTCTGCCTCTGCCGTGACTCTGAGAGACAATCAATCCTTTCAAGCGAAATGTGAGCAGTTTGCCCACAAGATCCAGGTACAGGATGGAAAGGTCCACCAGGTGACTTATGTCCCATCTGGAACCAATGTTTCCATGCCAGCCGTTCCGGCGAGCTGTGGAGGAAATGCGTACAGCGACAAGACACCCTTTGACTTCTGTCGAGTTTCTCTTAATGTAACGACTTCGCCCGAAAGTCAATTCTACATGGAGGCGTGGCTCCCGAGCAACTACTCGGGTAGATTCTTGAGCACCGGCAATGGAGGCCTTGGTGGATGTAAGCCAAATTTCTCTGACCACGATCGTCTGAGGACTAGAGCTGACATTTGAGCCCTCTCCGCACTCAGGTATCCAGTATAAGGACATGTTCTACGCCACGCAGTATGGTTTTGCCACCGTCGGCACCAATAATGGACATAACGGAGATACCGGAGTCTTTTTCTATCACAACAATGAAACCCTCAAAGACTACGCCTACCGAGCCATGCACACCGGTGTCGTTGTCGGCAAAGAGATTACCAAGCAGTTTTACAGCCAAGGCTACCATAAATCTTACTATATGGGCTGCTCAACCGGGGGCCGTCAAGGTTGGAAAGCTATTCAGAAATACCCCGACGACTTTGATGGCGTACTTGCAGGATCCCCTGCAATCAACTTGGTCAATTTGATCAACTGGGGTGCTCGCTTCCTTCCGATCACGGGGAATTCCAGCGCGGCGAGATTTGTGACGAATGAGCAATGGACAACAGTTCACAAAGAAATCCTCCGGCAATGCGATGATCTCGATGGTGCCGCTGACGGCATCATCGAGGATCCTGATCTCTGTCATCCTGTCTTTGAGACACTGCTCTGCAACTCGACCACTTCAAAAGGCTGCGACTCCTGCCTCACAGGCACACAGATCGAAACAGTGAACAGAGTCTTCAGTCCTCTATACGGTAACAACGACACACTCTTGTATCCAAGAATGCAGCCAGGCTCCGAGCTTCTCGCCGCGTTAATGTATTATAACGGTATGTCATTCGCTTATGCCACAGAGTGGTTCCGTTACGTCGTTTACAGCAACCCGAATTGGGACCCTGCCACATGGAACATCCAGGATGCCATTGTCGCGAATGCACATGAGCCATACAATGTGTCGACTTTCCAGGGTGACATCTCCGCGTTTCAAAAACGGAATGGCAAAGTCCTCCACTACCATGGAATGGAAGACCCCATCATCACCTCTGACAGCTCAAAGATGTATTACAAGCATGTTGCCGACACCATGAGCCGAAGCCCCACCGAGCTGGATGACTTCTATCGCTTCTTTACTATTAGCGGCATGGGCCACTGTTCTACGGGTGCAGGTGCTAGCTCGATTGGGCAAGGCCTGGGAACATTTGCAGGTAATGATCCTCAGGACAATGTTCTTCTGGCTATGGTGCGGTGGGTGGAAGAAGGCATTGCACCGGAGTATGTGCGGGGAACAAAGTTCAACGGTACGACTGTGGAATATCGTCGCAAGCACTGCAAGTACCCCAAACGGAACAAGTATGTTGGTCCGGGGCCATATGAGGATGAGGATGCTTGGGAGTGTGTCTAGATCAGTGTATGCAGATCTCGTGTTGACGATGTTGATGATGATGCCCTGCTCAAATCACAATGCAAAAGGGGATGAGTTTTGAAGAAAAGATTTAGCACTTGCAAACTGTTTGTCGCAGCGACAATGCTGAGCATGCAATAGACCATAGCCTCCAGTGAGAATAGCGGGGTGTGATCTCCACGGCGACATGTAAATAACTGAATCCGACTATCATCAGTAAAGTTGTCACGTTGTAAGAACTATTGAAGCTAGCCAAGACCGTCGGGTGTCCATTGTTATGTCTATTCCAGGCGTGAGTACAGTCATCAATGGAAATGGGAGAATACTTGGAAGATGCCTTGAGCCGGGCAATCTCAAGGAGCCCTTAATGTCACCATTGTATTCATGACCTGGAAAGGAGCTCGGGATGCGGCTGACCTGAATCACGGAATAGCCGATGCCAGATGGGAATCGTGGCCCTCGAGACTGCTCAAGCACCTGATTGGCCGATCATCGAGGATCGTCTGCTGGCAGTGATTTTTGGTCGATACGAGATGTCAATATCACCGAGACGTGGAAGGCGAGTGGAGTAAAAGCTTGACAAAGGCAAGCTACAAAGTAGGCATTCCAGTCAGTTGCAGAAGCACTCGACCGAAATGACACAGATCTCAACTTATGGACGCAGTGTGCTAGGCTCGGCAGCGGTCTTCAAACCTATCCCGTTGGCTGGGTCACTTTTTCCCTCGAGAGTCTTTCAGCTGATGACAAAGATGTCTCTCAGATACGAGTCATGAGGGAGAAGAAGCTCTAAATAAATACGTCAAGCCGTACGCCGAGAAAATCCGAACAAGGATAAGGCGGATAAATGTAGGTTAGCTACTCAGCTAATGAAAAGGAGAAGAGGCTAGCCAGGTTTAGAGAAGAGGTGCCTTATGGCGGAGTAGGAGAGTCAATCCGACTACCGAATATTATCCAATCCCACCACTCTTGAATCACGGGAGACCATGCGTTATTCTAGATAAGGTATAAAATACCATTTTTTTCGCTCCCTGGATAAGTCTTCACAAGTCACCAACGTATTCTGCATAGGCATCGGCAATTCGCAGATTCAACTTTTTGTCCTCTAGACGCCACTTCGCAGCTTTAGGGGATTTATACTGGAATCGGGTCGAGCAGGCCGCGGCGGCGGCCGGCCTCCTAGCAGCCTCTAGCGTCTACTAGAACACCTAATAGTGAGACCGCGTCACCAACCGGCCCAGCCCAGATGCAGAGAAAATTCTACTTGTCATACATTCGATCCTTCTGGAAGTCCGCAAGTTTGTTTGTTGTACGTAGAACGTAGCTTGGTCAGGTGACGGGGCTTGTGAGTTGCTCTATCTGCTGTCGTCCGCGGGTTTTGTCTCTACTTGCACTCTCTGCAAGTCTGTCTTTCTTTTCCCTCGGGCCTGAGCAGTATGCTTGTGCCTCATCCATGCCTTATAGACAATGCTGGATAGACCCGTTTTGGTTGACCATCAACCAGCGCCAGTGCTGTGCAGATCGTCTCATGTGTCGCGGGCTTCGCCGCTCAGCCGCCGGAGCTGATGGAGCGCACGCTGCGTCACTAGGGTGGTAACTCGTGGGGACTTAAAGACCGGGACGCGGTGTGCATAGTAATACTAGTCGATGATTAAATGTTTCCGTACCAGTTTACCTAGCTCCTTGGCGGTGTCTGTAGCTGGTCTATGCGCTTGAAAAGGGTCAGTTTCGAGGTATGATGTGTCTCATGAAATTCCCGGATGAGCCAAGTGTCCCAACTGTCCACCCCGGGAAAGGATTTTCTCTGCACGTACTTGATGCAGTGGAGGCGGGAAACTGAAGACGGCATAACTGTAGCTCTGCGATGGACATTTGAAAGACACACACAGTGTTGGGAGGTGGCTACAGTAGGTGTAGCATCACCATAGGAGAGACGGATGAGTGTGAGATTGACTAGGGAGGAAAGATTCTATCCAGACTATGGACTACGGTGAGACGGCAGTATCACATGCCATACGAACACTCAGGAGAGCAGCAACGCAGAAGATGCGGAGAGGATGGGGCAGCATCGAGTTCGTGGATACAGGGGATTATATGTCATATACTCCACGCCAGCCCTTCGCTACCTACTGCCACTCATCGCCTTGATTGGAAAGACCAATGACCAACATACCTATCTGGAGATACCCAGACGGGAGCGACACTACGAGTACGCACACTCCTCCCACTGCCACAAAATCCTACTCATATGGCATTACCTCGACCCAGGTTGCCTCCCTTGCGTTTGCTGCAAGTCCTGCAGTCATGTGTCAGATTACATTGCGCTTTTTCTATAATAATTGAAGGTTTGCCTTCTGTCCTCTCTTCTAGGCGCACGACCAACACTGACAGAGAAGTATTTTGAGCTCTTTTTACACGTTAGGCGGCTACTATCCGTTGGCAACCATGAAAAACCCGCCGTCAAACGCCGCAGGCGCGTGGGAATTCCCCTGCGGGGGTAGATGCTTCCAATTCTTAGTGTTTATTGAGACGGTAGCAAGTCTTTTCGCAAAGCATTCACAAGATGGTAAGACGTCCAAATGCTCCTACACTATCAATCCTCATCGATCGATTCGTTATATACTTCACCACATCGACTTGAGCAGACTCAATTGCATACTCTCCCAGGGCTCTTTCTTTACTTTACTCGAAGTCGTGAATGATAAATATTCTTGTGATTCCTCTCTCATTGATGTGGGGACTAAAAAGCTAATGAGGGCTACCAGATTTGAACTGATGACCTTGTGGACTGGAATCACACGCGCTACCGCTGCGCCAAGCCCCCGTGACAGCTGTTGAAAACCATAAAACATGAATTATCAACAATAATCTTGAAGCGCCAGACGGGCGGTGACCGATTGTCTAATAAGTCGAGCACTATTACTACAGAGTGTAGAGTGTAGAGAGTGTAGTGTAGACTGGTAAAGATGCGGAACGGACACGCATTAGACTCAAGGCTCAGCCGACATCAAACATGATCCTCGCAAGCAGTTCGCCGGCTCCTAGGCTACCTTATCCTAGCGGATTCTTCTCTTTTGGCTTCAATGATTCAAGAGGCAAACTGCCACACCAGCACACTAGCTCTGACTATGTCATATGATACCATTCTGACATTCTACCAGAATGACCACGGGTGAGCAGATTCCAGAAAGAAGACTTTTCCTACTTTTCAGCCTCGGTCTCTCTTCGATGGTCTATGGCTTGTATTCATTATTATTCCAAATCCTATGGTGATCAATTTTGGCTCATGACCATACCACACACTCCTAATGAAGCAGGGATTCAAGATTGAAGTTCTTGGTAGAATATCTTTAGTATATACCTCACAACACCATCCACCATGCGCCATATACGGCATTCAGTGAAGCATGATAGCTGTATGTTCGGGTCCAGTGAGAATTATGCGCTGATTTATGGATGTGATCTGTACATGCAAACGTGTACGATGAAAAACTGCATCAGTTGAGTTCAGAATGTAATACGCTACGTACTTTTCGAACTCTTCCTCGGCACGACAGTGATAAATCTGGGTCTCATTATGCAGAACTTGCATCATTTGTTGCATGTCTACTTGACGAAATCCAGTGCCGGGCTCGTCGTCGATGACACGGTAGGAATGGCCCGGATGGAGGAGGAGAGAGATAGAGTCCTCGGTCATGCTCTGGAGGGGCCGGGTATGGCTGCTGAGGATAACAGTGTAAATCTGGCTACGATGCTGGCTACGATACCGACTGCGATACTGAGGTAGATCTGGCTGCAGTGCTGGCTCGGTGTATAGAATTCAGAATGTTGCTGTGACCTCTGACGAGGCATATTTTCAGTCCTAAGACCACTTTGGTCCTAGGGTGGGAAGTATTCTCTGTGACATGAAGAAAATGTATGTGCACATCACGTCTCGGGCCTGGACTTGACCGAAGAGTAGGATACGTAGCCTGGTCTTGCAAAGGTCTCCGAGTCCTCGAGAGTAACCAACCTAGTAATATAGCGTGCGCTCCAGCAGCTGCAGAAGATACACGTTCAAGTCTACGGCACATGGGACGATATACACACCGCTCGCTCGTGCTGGTCGATGGTCAACTGCAAGGGCTTCGTCTAGTGTTGTTCATGGGACACACCAATGCTCCTTGCTACTAGTGTTGGCTCGGACCTCGAGGAGGACATTGCTAAGGCTAGTCAACCCAATTGACCATCTCAGTCTTGAAGTAGACCAACAGCCTGTTTTGCAAGGCTTATGGCAAGGATGGGGATATACAACATACAACGCTGTTACTTATGTTGATCAAGACAAAGCTGAAAGGTTGTGCTCCAGAGAGTTCCAGATTGTTCCGGGTTGTATCAATGGAGGAAGAGACTAGGCTAGCTGGTCTAAGCCCTAGTACGCAGAGAGGCATAAATGACATCGGCACAATGAGATTGGTCAGCCGAAAGGAAGAGGAAAAACAGACAAGTAGTATAGAGCATAAGGGGAAAGAAAACATTTACACGACAACAGAGAAAGGGGCCCACAAAGCTCGTTTACTGACCAAGCTTATTATTCTATGCACGGGACAGCAGACAACTTTTCGGAGGCATATCCAAACTAATGAAAATGTTCCACGGATGCAGTCCAAAGGTTAGACGGCGATTTGGTTTTTCGATCGACGACGGCGCGCTTTATGTAAGGGCTTCAGGGGTTTGGTAAGATAGCTTGCGAGGAACTTGTAGTAAGATAGCGTATTCCTCTATATTCTGGCGGAAAACAAAAAGCAAAGATGAGGGTTACCAGATTTGAACTGATGACCTTGTGGACTGGAATCACACGCGCTACCGCTGCGCCAAACCCCCACTCATGTGAAAAACGGCCAGTTCTGGATTTATTCCCTTGTAACAAGTTTCAAAATCAAAGATGTGCCATTTTTCACCCCGGTCGCAGTGTATGCCTGTTTAGCACATGCAGACTCCCGTAACGCAAGGGGGCTTGGCACACAGCTAGACCCACAACATTCAAACAAATGAGAATCAAAGTTTTCTAAATATTCCGGGGAACTTTAAAAGCTAATGGGTAGGCATTGCACAGGACGTACAGAGCCTCAGCAATTACTTGATTCCGTGCGGCAAAAATTTCGGATTCTTCTCGCGTTGATAGTCTATGCGCCTTGGCCAGTTCTTTGTTCATTTTGTTGTTCTGCTCATGACTGCCATTGTCGTTTGTATCTTGACCTCGGTGAAGGGGGTGGGTGGGTGGTACATGGACTGCGGTGGGAACTCTTGGAAGGTATAAATATCGATTACTCCTCACCCGGCCACATATCCTATCTACACCACTCCAAACATCCATAATAGGACAGCATCCCACTACCCAAGGCCTGTTTCCTACAGTCTCCAAAACATCAAGTTCTTCACTTCTACAGAAATTAAACACATCTCTAAGGTAGTACTCACCTGCTATTCTTCACGAGTAAGGAACTAACCTATCTGCACGTGCCCCCCTGAAAGTCACTGAAGCTTATCCACGGACACCTCAACTACATACCTGGTGCATCAGCTCAGTATTCCCTGAATTATGACAACCGATACCTATTTGCCTAGGTAGGAGCCTCTACATCCATGTAATAAGTCAAGTTCTACCCTCTACTATAAACGACAGGTTTGGTTTCCCTAAATCATGATCTCCTGAGTACGAGGGAGATAGCCGAACTTAGGTTCACCGGTCTCGTCTCTTGTGATAGTTGTTTGACTTGGGAGACGGCCGGTCTGATTTTGCTCATGACATAGAATCAAGGTTGCCCCGTCTTGTCAGAACCGGCAGGTTGAACCTCTGCTTGAATGAGCACAAGTGGAATGGTTGCAGTAGCCACCTGCGCGTAGTTTGCAAGGCGGCAAGAGTGGACTATAACAAACCAGGTCTACTCCGAATAGTGTACCAACGATCAAGATTCTTCTAGTAAAAGTCACCAACCGTCGCCGTATCTCAATGGGTATCTATTAAATGAGTGTTAAAAATAAGTTCCTGAATCTATCCCTCCTTCTCATAGATGACCGATAGCCTTTCGATGCCCAGGTTTGACCTTGTGCAAACCATCCTCCTCCGCGATTAGTTCAGTAGAATGATGAATGAGACAGTAGAAAAATTTGAGAATCATGAATCATGAAAGGACCTCGAACAGACCGAGGTTGAAAGATTTGCCATGTTTGCCCGGACCAGGCATTGTTCGCACCCATTATCCCCCGAGGTTGCGTGGTCCGGAAGTCGGCAAGGCGGACGAGGAATCTGCAATTTTTCCTCGGCGAAATTGGCCGCAAATGGCGGCATGAGAAGTCTTTCTCGCGTGAGACATGCTTGCTGGCCAAGTGGTTTTGATGCAAGCCGGGCTGCAATAACTTAGGCGATGCGTATTTGCATCGACGGAAACAAAATAGAGCAATGATGGGGGAGTCACACTGGTCTCATGTGCCCGTCGCCGAGTGCAACGGACTCCCTTCCCATCCCCATTCCTTGAGCAGCTGCTGCACACGGTACTCTGTTGCCCATCCCAAATCCGATTCAATAGCACGTAGCAAGCGAATCGCCGTCCGCCGTTCACGAGAATCCGTGAGGCACTGGCCCGCCACAAAGAGAGGCTGCAAGGAATTGATCCGTACGGCACCGTCAGGTCGCGCCAAACCAATGCCCAGAATCTCGCGACTGTGGAAGCCAATTTCAGTTTCAATTGATCGGTATGACTGTAGCCGCAATGTGATGGTATTCCGACGGCCAGTTGACTCGTGCGGCTTGTTGATCAACATCAAGATGCGAGCCATGTGATAATGCTGCATACTGGACGCACACATTGGGATGCTGTGCCATATCTCCTGAAGCGTCACAAGGTCTTTGTACTCATCGGATGACCCAAACTTTGTGATTCGAGATGGTTCAATTCTTGCACATGGCTTGAAGGTATCCGGAAGTCCATTGAACCAAGCGTCAAGCTCGGCTTCAAGTCGGTACCACCGCTCAAAGGTGGCTTGTTGTGGAACGCCAAGCGGGCCACTGTCCACAGGCCGCTTGTCATTGCCGTTCAAGTTCTCGTTTGAACCAATGTGGTTGACAATTTTAGACATGATCCAAACCAAAGCGTTACAGATTTGGTCCTCTTTCATCACATCGCTTCCTTCGGGATATCCGGCCTCGCCGGTGTTGCTGGGTACCACAAAGCCCATGGGGTCGAGGAGGAGTCCTGCCTCAGTCCACATTAATATATCGTCCGTGTTGAGCCGTGTTTGACATTCATTTATGACTGGTCATTGAAAGTCAGCATAATCGGTACCATGCAAAATCTGCACGAGAGAGTCCACTCACAAGCAGCAAGGTAGTCCTGCCTAGCAAAGTTCCAGAATGCGGCCTTGCGTGCTCTCGATAGACGAGATTTTCGATACTGATAAGGATTCTCCGCTTCGGGAGAAAGATGCTCCAAGGGCATGATGCCAACCTCGGCCACGTCGAGCAGGGTCTTGACTCCGCTCAAATGACGATTCCAGGCGGGGCCCGTCGCGTCGAGAAATTCGTATACCGACAAGATTGCAGTCGCCGCCAAGATTTCATCTGAGTGAACACCCCGTGAGAGCCTGCTATTAGAGACTCGTCGCCGCCTCTTGCGCGGATTTCCCGCATCTTGAGCTAGTTCGTTGGCCTGCCACTGACCAAAAGCTTCAGGCGTACTTAATGGAGGCGGAGCCCCTGCATCAGGCTGTAGTTCTCTCATCAACAGCTGGATTGCCTTTTCGTAGTACTTTGCGCCAACCCAAGCAAAATCGCGATCCTTGTCAGGCCACACCTCCATGGCTGCTTGACGAGAGCACACGCCTCCCATTTTAGCCTTGGCACCATTGACTCTTCCCAGCTGTTTCGCTGCGTATGCGCAGGCAGCATATTTGAGCAGAGGGTTTATCCTTGCTCGTACTGGAACGCAAGAAGCGAAATATGTTCCCAAGTCGTACAAATCCATCCTGCAAAAGCCAGTCAGCCGGAGGCTTGATGCTCATCTGACAATAATCTCCGATCACGTACCATAAACCCGGACCTTCTGTATAATGTCGGAGCAGGAAAGCAGCTTCAAAGTCTGTCTCAGCATGACCGTCCGACCTATGTTCGACTGAACTTCTCGATAATATTGCCGGGCGCGACGGTAGGGATGCATTTCTTTGATCGGGCGCGAGAGCTGAATCCAGCGGTGGCGATATTGAGTGTGACGGGTTGAGAAGGAAGTTAATGTTCGTGTTGTTACTAGCAGCAGATATTGAGACCGACGGGGATGCAGGAGGCGGCATCATACTGCTTCGCGACCGGTTCGGTGAGGGGTACGAGATGGTTTCGGGGGTGGACTGGGCCATGGGCGAGTATGCGAAACGATCGTGAGACGCGACGGCAGATAAGGCTTCCAAGCCATGAGAATCTGTGTCGCTTGATTTGGATGTACTCCCCCATCGTTGGTTGCGGGCCTGGGCCAAGGCGATGGCACTGGATTCGGCAATTTCGAGATCCTCGGCGTAGGGATCGGAGTTGTCCACGAAGATCACTATCACGGGGTTCAGCACTCTCAGAACCTCACCGGTAATGTAATAAAGTAGCCCAAGCCAAAGAGCAAGAGGTCATTACCACCTACCGTGCTTTGGGATGTCAAGCCATACGCTGTCCTTGTTGAATGTATTCTTATACGAGTAGAAACCCTTCAACTCCCCTCGTCCTTCCGGCGGCTGCTGTTCGCCATCGTTCATAGAGGCATTCTGCTGATGGCGAAAGACGATCCCCTCACTCGGCCGACATTCGCGACCGCCTTTGCGACATTGAGCGCACACTGGTCTTTGTTCGTCACCTAAAGATCGAAACATTAATTCAGAGGGGGATTCGAGAACGCGCCGCAGGGATGGCCGAGATCTGCATACATTTGAGCTTGCGAGTCCGACATGTCAAGCTAGGAGAGGCCGTGTTGGTCAGTTGGGAACTAGATCGACAATACGTTCGTCGGGCGCATATATTGTCGACTTACCAGCCAGTTCTGGAGCGCATATCGGGCGAAAGCGACGGCACGACATTGGCGTGGGGCAGGTGTTTGAATTGTCAAAGGCCCGAGATGTGGAAGATGAGATCGAAACCTGGAGTCCTTTGCGGGGAGAACAGGTGACCTGCGGCGGCTCACGAGAGTTGTTCCGATTCGGGCAAGTGAAGGAGCAAAAAAGACTGGAATTAAAAGACAGAAAATCTGGAGGAACTTCAGAGGATCTTTTTTCCCCCCACACTTTCTTTCTTCTTACGTCCCTGACAGAAGGCCTCTCTCCACTTTTGTCATCTCGCATCGATCAACAATGCGTACATCATTGCGGCGTGGCCCATCCCACTGAATTCGGCCCATTCGGTCATCGGCAATCAACAATGCACGGAAACTTCATCAAGCCCGATTGTTTGCCATTCCAAGATGGTCGCCACTCATATTCTTATCCAAGTAAACCGGTCGCGGTTTCAAAACACTTGCGCGTCGGTCGCCCCGGGCCGGACAACCTTTTTTTGGCGCTCCTTTGCTGAGCGACTCTCCAGTGAGTTGATTGCGAAGTTAATTTCTCATTCGCTAGGTGGATGCACAAGCGAGGCACTTCGTCATGCCTCTCAAATTAGGTGGTGGCGCCACTGACACCACCGTGCTTGAAATCATCGGAAACCTCTGCGATTTCGATTTGGGAAGAGCCGTGTTGCGGTCTGCACGGCTCAGTCTCCTTGCCAGACTCTACCCTCTGATCAGGGTCTGCGATAGAATCGTTGGGAACACATTCAATAAGCTTTCTCGTTCTGCAGATGGCGACCGAGATTGATCTTTATTGCATGTCAAATATCCACGTCATATCAAATGTCTTGGTTTCAACGACTCAACACTCCGTTCTCGTATTCAGTGGGGTAAGCGACCGTGCACGACGGGCTTCATCCCGTATTCTGAACAGCAGGATCGTTGACAAATTTCATCTCAAACGTTTGGCCATCCGAGCATGAGCATCAACATCGTGTGAAGAATAAAGTATGCTTCAGACTCGGCCGGGACTGCACTCCGAAGTCTATCCACAGAGCTCGAGGAACCAGAGCAGTGGGATTGGTGCTGTGAAATGGGACGGTCGAAAGCCGCCACAACTCAACTAGCTCCTGTCAACGCGTTCACAGTGCAGAACTTGCGGAATGTTCGCCGAAACTTCAAAGAGGACGGCCGCCTTGAGAGCCCCTAGGGCGGCCTCTTTTCGATCTGGCCGGGGACTCAGCTTAGCCTACGAGGCTGATGCTGGTCAAAGATGCACCATATTGCCCGTCTTTCTTATTCAGAGAATTTACCGGCACTTGGCCCTTTCACATGGCAATGTGAGTGCCGAGAAACGTGGAGTCTGAATGAGATTGGCAAGCGTTTGAGACGAGGTTCTCTCACTACCTTGATCTGTACAACTCCGCGAATTTGATGTCGCTCGTGCCCGTCCACAGCTGATCTCGAAGCGCTTGTTTTCCTACACTTCTGCAATCATACATTTACGAATCGCTACGTGTCGTTCAGGAGTAGCTGGCAGTAACGTAGCCGTGGGGTTTCTGAGAAAGGCTCCCTACTTGCAAACGACTGCCTTCCTAAGCGATTTCGCAGCTCTCTCTCGCTATTCATCATCAGAATGTAACGAGAATCACTTGACCATGGCACATGGAATCTTTGCAAATCTCGGCATGGCGTATCTCACGCCTTGGTCCCTGAGCCCAATTCGTGCGAGTCCGCGCACGAAACGAAGACTGTCATGATCACCACTGATATGTGTGACTGAAAATCCTGAGCTCAACGCGTTGCTGAGAGGCTGTCCCTCGAACCTCGATCAAGAATAGGATTGCAAGATATATAAAAAGTCAAAGGACTTTCAAGCCAATCCACAGCGGGGCCAATACTGAGCAGTATCTGACTTGAGAGGTCCCGCGAAGAAGCCGCTGATGTTTGCACTCGCAGATAGCTATACCGGAGAAAAGAGAACTTGCTCGAAGTAAGCTGTTCTCCTCAAGATCTCCACGAAAGCATGTCAGCCCTCTGATGCAGTAGATAGACTGCCAGTGCGAGGTACCAAGTTGTCCAAAATGGTGAAACGATGACTGGACATGAGGTATTCGCGCCTGTCGTGCGACGAAATCCTTGGTGAACCAGATAATCCTGATGAAAACAACGAGCTCGACATGGTTGATATACCAAGTGCAGCCTGTACCAAGATGCCAAGCATAGCTCGTGCAAGAAACAAAAGCTCGTCGATTTGACTTGATATTTGATACAGTGGTGGATAATGAACATTTAGCTCGGGCCAGCTGGAGGGTTTCCTGCCTGTTCGAGTCGGTTCGTCCCAGTCGATCGTTGTACCTTACAACTCCAATCAAGGTACAACTCCAGTCCTCTCTTTTGCGCACCTGTCTCAATACAGCCAACGCATCTGATTGCTGAGTGGCTTGTCCGTGATTACTAGATTCACACTCGGTCTTCTAATTTGCACAGACACGCTACCTACGAAGTTAGCGCACCAGAGATGGCAAAATCGTTGGCGATGAAGAATTTAGCGGTTGAGGGGATAAGCGATCATGCGGTGGAGTAGAAGTTCATGTGTATCGTAGTCCGTCTCCGTCTTTCATTCTTGTTTCTCTCTGTCTGTTTGTTGTGCCGGTTTGCGGACTGTGAGACGTCATCTCTCACCTGGATTTCTTGCGCATACTTGGAAGGAAATGTTAGACCGTGATACCTCGATGATTCGCGTGATTATCCTCGAGGATTGCGTAGCACGTCATGCGTTCGTGTCCTTATGAAATTCAGCGGTTGGTGACTTCCATCAGTGAATCTTTAGCTATCTGGGGGTTGAGCTTGGATCCGGACACATCTTCTTTGCTTTTATTTTGTGTCCAGCCCTTGTGATATCACGAGCGAGAGGGTGACGCAGCCGGTCCAGCGTCAATTCCTGGTGCTCCGTGCTCCGTCCTCCGGTCACTAGTGTGCGCCTTGACTGATAGACAGATGGACGCTGATCGAGACACCTCGAGTGCAAACATCGTTCTGAGAAAAGGCGGAGTTTCCAATTGGCAATGTCGAGACTGTCTTAAGTTGGACAACGTCCGTTTGATTCTAAGAGATAGAGGCGAGATAAAGGGGACTGGTGAACGGGTGTATCTCACGAGGGGATGTTCAACGATTCAGACGTGACATGGACCTGCATCCTCATCCTTGAATTTTGTGATAAATGACCAGAAATCCTTTCCATGGATGAATCCGGGGATATCTTTTCCAGAAACTTATGCAATGATCTCTGGAGAGTCGGCAATGTTTAATGTCTCCATGTCTCTGTGTCTTTCGACATGACGTTTGGCGTGAACATAGGCAGGACAATTGGTAGGACACTGAGAAACACTAAATTTCTAGCTCCTGCGTCGATATACTCAGACCCTGCAGCCAGTCCGTAGGATGCCCTATCGAGTTCTGCCCAAGTGTGACCTGAAACAGCTTTACCTGGGGGGACCAGTTGACTTGAGCGTCTTCTTCTTCTTCTTCTTCTTCTTCTTCTTCTTCTTCCTCCGCATGTGACGCGTGTGACTTTTGCGACGAGAGACAACATCCACATCAAACGCACCGCCGATTTTATCTGAACCTCATCCCTCACTCCCAATCGACGAACAAAGCGCACGATCAACACGCCTCAAATATGCATCATGAATTAGACCAGTCTCGGTCTGCATATCCGAAACCGTGCAGAGTCCATGGCCCGTGTCACAGAGCATGGACACATTCGAGTGTTTCCCGCCGTGGGGCATCTGCGAGAATGTGCTGATCCGGCCGAAAACAAAATGTGGCGATGGGCGTTTCAACAGCCTTGGAGTCGCATTTGAACTCGTACAGTACTACGCTGTTTCTTTGACTCGATCGGATTCTGGCCTATCACATGTACATGTACATGTACATATACACTGGCCGGTAGATCGCCGTTGGATTGGAAACGCCGGGCTTTGGGCCCTCTGTGGCTTTTTGAACAGGCCCAGACGTTGGGGGGCACCTGGGATACAGAAGTGACTGATCAACTGTCACCCAGTCATGACAGCCTCGTGCAGTGCGACGTGCCGAAGTCCAACGTTGAAATAGCTCAGGCCCAGGGTCATTCCGATTGGGTGCTGAAAGGGGCGAATACGGAGACGGATCACAATAACGGGCTGGGTGCGGGCGGTGATTGGGTGAGAATTCGATGCGACAGGACCCTGGGCCCCTTTGACGTTTGCAAAGGAAGTGGACTTGAGGATGGTAAGGCGCTGGGATGGAATGCATCTTGATTTGGATTCAGATAGCCGCTGAGCGATGATGCCAGTCGAGAGTCCAATGACCGATCTCGGCTCAAAGGTCGATTGTGCTGCGCTTCTCGTGAGATTCCCTGCTGTTTGTTTTGTTTTGTTTTTCGTGGATCGGAAGGTGATGATTGAGTTTGGCAGCGTAGTCGAATCACCAGCAGGCCAATAATCATGTGATTCCCATCCGAGGATACTCTGCCTGACGAAACTCGTGAATCGAGTCCATGGGAGTTCTTGATCACCAGTCCGTGCTTTCCACCAGGGCAGTGTCGATATGGTGCGCGACACACGAGTCATGGGCGACCATGGTGAGTACGACCGATAGGACTGCATTAATCGTCGTCGAATAATTGAATCCACCAGACCGATCACGAAGTGGCAAACTAAAGGCAAGTTGCACCTCTATCACGGCATCACTGAAGATTGGTGCAATGACGAGGGTGGCCTCACGAACGGCAAGCTGGAGGTCACGAGACAGACGCAGGGACTCGCGGGGCAAAGTCACGTCTTCCAGTGATGATGGCGCGTTGATCTGGTAGGCATGGATGGCAGAGCCAGACCGCCATGTCTGGAGAGGACACGCTGAAGTATGACTCTTATTGACTGGAGGCAATTCAAAAAAAACAGCCGATTGTCAGTGGGAAAATTTGGAGAGCAACCTTTCAAAAGGAAAACAAATTTGACATTTACTCCGAGGCTGATGCTGCAAGTGCAGAGTGCAGTCAGATTGACAGATAGTCAGATATGTAGAAAGGCGACCGTACAGAACGCAGACGGGATACCCCGGATATCAAAAGTGCTGAACCAACTGATTCCGAAAATTCGAACGTTCCATTAGCGTCCAGAACTTGAACGGTCAAGCAGACGGAAACCAAGAAAACAAAGATTCACAAATAGGCTCAAAAGAAACGTGTCCGTCAGCCATCAGTCCAGCCGTCCGACTGGAACTGGGATAGTACCCTTCAATTGATTGACCGATCGACCTTCCCTAATTGGCTTGAACTATCCGAGCCGGTCCCAGCCTGGCCTCCTCGGGAGTTGTAACTCGTAACCGGCTTCGTTTCCCAACAGAGAGATCTCGAAGCTTCCAAGGTGGGAAACACGAAAATTGTAGTCAGGAAGGATCCAGGTCCTGGATCTGATCGCAGCAAGGAAGAGTTAGTGCTTAGTTTGTTCAACACTGCAATGTGCATTGCCCTACCTTCTTGCAAAAACAAGAAAGACCAAATCTTCTTCATTCTTCAGGAGGCTGAAAGTGGACCCCGGGGAAGCTGAAGCAAACAGGTGAGCTTCATCGTCTGTCTAGGGGACCTGTTGCTGGTGGACTTTTCACACGTGGTTCCTGAGCAATGGGTTTGCAATAACAATCGCCTGTTGAGATTGGAGCAGCCGGCTCGGGAACATTGATCCAAGATGCATGCGCAGATCGTTCCGCAAGTGGAAATGTCGCGTCCTCGATTCCTTTGGATCGTAGTGTCCGCATGGACGATGTTTCCCTGGACAGTGGACAGTGGACAGTGAACACCATCGTCGCACGAGGGCAACAGACGCTGATCTGCTTACAATTGGAGAATCTGCCGCTAAGCTCGGGATTTCGGTGGTCTTGGAAGTCAATAGCACACCTATCCCGTAGTTCACTTCCCCTCTGAGGTGTACTCTATAGTCTACAGTCTACTAGTAAACTTTACAGTTTACAGTCTACACTCAAGTGACTCTTCAGTCTACACTCAACACTACCTGATTTGATGTCAGATAGTATACCACGTTACCCAGTAGTGTAAACTATTCCACAGTCCATACTACTGGACATCTTGTTTATTAAAGGCCGTGCCACGTGCATGATATCGAGTACCTCCCTTTTTCCACGAGAATTCAAATTGCTTCGCTTGGCAAGCGATCTCCGTCTTGTATCCACCGATTGCGAACTCGCGGTCGTGCGCGGACCCAGCCGTGAAATTATTATTAACAATCACCACTACTAATTAGTTAACTAGTTTGGTAGTAGTTAGTCAGTTAGTTACTAGTACCAGTTAGTAGTTACTGCTCCTAGTTGCTGCTGCTACGGTACAGTAGAACTCTTCTCCCTTGGGCAAGGCGGCCCTTGCGCTCCGCTAAATCTGTCACACTTTGTACTGTGCTCGGGCCAGTTCCTGAGACCACAGCTTCCACTTATTTGATGCCTTCAGCTCCGCCGACACCAAGAAGCTCGTTGGATGGACTGGGGCCTCGGGGCTGCGGCCGGATCCCCCACGGTCGCGTTGCGTGTTGCGTGTCTTGGGACGTCCCGCGCAAGCCATTTCTCGAGGCGTCAGCCGGCTTGAAGAGTAATTTCGCCGCAGGGACGCCGCTTGGCTGCCAATGGACAGTCACTTGGAGGACTGCCTAGGTAGTAGGACTAGGCGGTAGTGTGGGAATAGCGCAGCTGAATTGTGGAGAGCGAGGAAGTTGAGATGATTAGGTGAGAGTGACAAGGCGCAGAGTTGGCTCTAACAATGCCCTGGTTTTTGTTTGGCCCCTTGGTCTGAGCAGCAGGAGACAGACCTGCAGTAACTACCGATCGGGACTACTATAGTACTTGACTAGGTTGACCGTGCACCCGGCATTCTAGGTGTTTTTCTCAGCTCTCACGGTTGAATGTAGTCTCAGGTCTGTAAGTGACTATGTGTAGTCTACTAGTGTAGTAGTGACTAGTCTCAGGTCTGTACTACTCTGTAAGTCTGTGGTCTATACAGAATTTGCCAAATAACCTCTCGGACCTCTACCCGACTCAAGCAAGACTGCCGAACATCCCCAATTATTCCGTCTAGTCGAACGACTCGAAACGTGGTTCTGGTTCTGAATCCTGGTCAGCCGCGGGCTGGTCCCCGTACAGGTAGCGCCCCGACTCTTTCAGTGTTTTCCCCCCTCCCTTAGGTAGGGTTCTAGAACGAATACTGTTAACCTTGTCGCGACGGGGGAACGCTTGCACGGTTCTGTCGGGTAAACTTTAACTGCCATCCTTAACGTATGATTGGCTTGAATGTTGCCTGACAGAAGACTCCGGGATAGAGTAGTTCCATTTGTGTTTGTACGCGAAGGGTTATAGACAGCGAGCTACGGTCTTGTCGGCAAAACAGTCAAGAGGCCTCGAGACAGAAGAGTCATTCAGACGGCAGTAGCCCTCATCACTTTGAGCCAGGCCCAGGTTGCCACTTGCCTTGTTGCATCAGGTAGATCAAGATCTGCACCATGCTCTATTTCCCGACAACCCTCTTGGCACATCGAGACTTGAATTCCAGGGCTCAATCATGATACACTGGGGATGGAGTCCATCACAAAAATAGGATTTCCCCTCACCGCTTCTGCTCCCGAGTCTGACATTGAGATTGTCATCATTCACTGCCGATCGCTCTTCCTGCAGAAAGCAGAACCGTGGACTGCATGTCATGGCCTGCCCCCGGCTGAAATAGGGTGCGATGCCGTCGCAAGTTTCAGCATTGCACGGGAAGGAATCAACCCTAATGCGAAGAAAAAAACAAAACGGGTGGTAGACGAGGGGGAACCATGGGTCTGAACTTCCCAACGAGACTCCTGACGAGTTTCGGATTGTCTGACCTTGACGGGCGGTTTCATGGACGTAATTATAGATTTAAGAATGGTCATGTGCCGAGCCAGACTGTGTGGATGTATCCTCCTGTGCTATATGCACTTAGGTACTAATGTAGTGATGTACCTTGGTCGCACCAGTTCGTCCGGACTCGATAGGAATTGATTAGGAGTGGGAGAGCTGGAACTTGCGCCATCTCGCACCAGTCCAGCCGAGAATGTCCATGTTTGTACGTCTGGCGCTCATTCTCATTCTCATTCTCATTCTCAGTCAAAAACTCGGAGGCTCGTGTGCTTTCTTTTGCCTCCTCTTGTCGCTTGATTTTACCGCCTTCCTCTCTGCTTAGAATATCAATTCTGTACACATGGCTTGGCCGTCAGCAGTCAGCAGTCAGCAGACTCAGCACTGCCCTGGTGAACAGCGGTAGTCTCAGCCGTTGACAAATTCGCTCGTGCTTCGTGCGCCCGAGGCCGGGCCACAACCTTGGCCCGCCAATTCTTTGCGAGCTGAGCCGTGGCTGCGCTTAGTCGCTTACTGACTGGGGCGTATTGGCAGTTGGCAGTTGGCAGTCATCTCTCCATGCTTGAATGTAGACTCGTATTTGTGTGTAAGTACTAAAGTATAGACAATGTTGAAAATGAAAACTGCCTCCTATCACCGTGAGATGCGTACCACTCACTGGACAGAATCAATACATCAATCGAGCTACACAAATTCAACGTCATCCCCTGGGTATGCTTCGCTTGCCTTACCAAAGGTACGGAAGTTATCTATCACGATTTCCTGAAGTATTGCCATGATGCCATATGTACCGGAACCTGGAACCTCTTGTTCTCCCGGTCTACCCGTATCTCGTCCCTCCTGGTCGTGTCTCCAACTTGCCCCTCTCCAACTATCAGACTACTGCAACACCGGAGACTTCTTCCACCACGGGTCCTGACAGTTTGACCCACCTGAGCTACCCGTCTTGAGGCGTACAGTCATACAGTCAGACAGTAAATCTGATGATTGGAGCAGAAGGCGGGCGAAGGCGAAGGTTCTCAGCGGCTCAGCTTCACAGTTGACGGTGTCACGGTGGTCCAGTGCGCCCCTGGAATACTTTACCCTTGATCTTTGACAGACATTGGGGACTCAACTGGCGGTGCTAGGCTGCTAGCAATCTCTCCGGGAGGTACCTTGACATCCGGAGCATAACCCAGCTAGTGACTCACAGTCATGTGCCTCGAACGTGACCTCGTCTGCGTCCACCACTCCGCGCTCTTTTCCCTCTCTCTTCCATTGCCACTCACGTCCGTACGACACAGTCCCGACACTCCTGCACAGGTGCACCGTCAAGTGAGTAGTCAACGCGACGAGCGCATTTGAAATTTACGACTGAGATACGAACCCCGTACGAACCCCGTCCATTTCCGAAGACTTTTGTGTGCCGGACTCGAAAGCGGCACGAGGGACCGCCAAATCGCCCCTTTGCGATCGGCGTGTCCTCATTAGCGTAAGGCTCAATGCGCACGGCAGATGTCCTGCCTGGACCTCCCACTCGTCGACCATCTCCTCCATTCATCAGCCTCGAGAGCTCGTGGGCTCGTGGGCACTGGCCACGATGCTGCACGTCTCCACCAGGCCCTGTCGGTCCTCTCACTGGATCTCACTCTCCACAAATGGCAAGACTCCACTGCCGTGTCACAGCCGCTTTCCCTGGTCTCTTGGCTGGTCCGCAGACTCCTCAGTCCTCACTGGTCTTCTCGCCCGCTCGTGGAGAGTTCATCCCGAGAGAGAGAGGGTACACTTCCAGTCTTGCAGTAGAGTAGCTACTGTTACTGTAGGAGTGGTAGTGCCGGAGTGGTCGTGGTACCACAGGTACAGTACGCTACTACGCTTTCTTGTTCGTATTATTTCGCATTTCCCTTTTCTCCCCCCCCCCCCCAACCCGCTGGTCTGAAGTCTCCGGATCCAGACCTGGAGCCGACCCTTTCTGACCTTTGCCCATCATTGACCGAGATGGTATTTGCCCCCCCCCCCAAAAATAAATAAAAAAAAGGATCATTTAAGATAACGAGGGAATTCCTAATTGATCAGTAGGGTCTCCGGTGATCCACCGTGTCGTGATGGCCATTGGACACTCCATGCTGGGATTGAGTCCCAGAGTGTCACCAATAATCTACTACCACACTGTGGTCTAAGGTCTATACTCTTTATACGGGGGCCGATGCCCACTTTCCACCATCTGGAGCCATTTCTTTCTCTTCCTGCTCGTATTGATGATATAGGACCGGACTCGCACCCTATCCCCTCAATTCCGACATTCTTTTGAGAGTTGCTGCCCATTTGGTCTCGTCGCGCTGGCGCGTTGAATCTCTGGCAGAGTGTCCATTCCTTGAAGAATATGCCGATTGCGTCTCACCTGTGAGCCATCATGGAAAGCGCACACGGTTATTGCCCTGGTCCTTTCTACCAGGAGAGCCTATTCCCCGCCACGGGTGGATGTAAGTGAAGTGTGATTCATCAATGGTCCTCACAGGACCTCAATGGCTTCACCGACTGACTCCTCTTGGGGGTATTACTGCAGTCCTTGCGGGAAGATATTGTAATCCCTTCCCCGTCCCCAACTCGAATGGGACCATCGTCAACTGCTGTCTGCCATGTCCTTTTGCGGACTTGCGATATGGTAATGGTGAGAACGCCTCCCATGTCATGCCCTTGATTCTTGTTCATCGGCCTCCAGTCTGACCTCCGTCGACCAATAGACACTGCCAAGCGAGTCGAGATCGGAAGCTGGATCAGTGTCGCCATCCTCCCTCTGTGTATCTTCCTGCTCGTCTCTTATGCCGTCCTGCCGGTCAAATGGACCAATCGTCATTATCTGAGTATCTGTTTCACTTTGGGTATCTGCTGCATGGAGGTAAGTTGCCATCAAGACGCCCCCCTACTCATCTCACTCGGGACTGTGAGCGATGGCTGACCGGGTGCTGTCCTTTCCCGTAGATCGCCTTTATTATTCCTCTTGGGGCCAAACCGGACCAGTGCTTCAACAAAATCACGCCCAATGATATGTACTCGGATCTTTCCTGCGCCTTTTCAGGTGCTTTGCTTCTTTTCGGTGGATGGCTCGTCGTCATGTGGAGTTTCATCCGTACTGCGGCATTTCATCTCCAGGTCTGCTGGGAGCTCGTGCTGGGCCCCAAGTTCATGTGGCTTGCGTTCTTGGCTGGCTTTGGTATCCCTGCCGTGGGTCTGACCGTCATGCTGATTCTCACGGGCGTCTCCTTCCGCTTTGGCCAGATGTGTCACATCAACACCAAATACGGCTCCCAGGACTACTGGTATCCTCTCATCGCCTTCACAGCTGCCGCCCTGATCCTTCAATTCCTCACCATGCTCTATTGTATCCATGTCTATGTGCGGTCTCTCTTCGACAAGTCCGGCTCGGCGACCGATAACTCGAGCAGTCTGCCGGGTTACTCCTCGAGTGTCCGCACCGTCACCGCCCGTCAGGCCTACCGTCGTGTGCAACGAGTGGTTCGGCTCCAATGGCGAGGCGCTGCCCTCGTGCTCATCATTCTGGCCAACGTGATCTTCTTCGCCGTCGTGTTTATCAAGATGGATAATTCCACCGACCCGACTCGGGCAAATATGGAAAAGGCCAAGACCTGGATCACTTGTCTTGCCATCGGGGGAACCAGTCAACAATGCAAACAATATGCTTCTGGGTTTGGTCCAGACGAGGGGACCCTCTTGGCGGTCGTCTACCTCCTCTCGCTGGTCGGCTTCTGGAACTTTGTTCTCTTTGCCCGGCCATCCATGTTTGCCGGCTGGGTGGACTTTATTCGGAATGGATTTTCCTCCACCTCTCACGAATTTGTCTCTGCGGACGCCTATCGCAACGTGGATCACAAGGGATTCGAAATGCTCACCACCTCGAGCGGGAAAGCCGCTGAACCATACTACAACATGCGCTCGCCCAGTCCCGATCAGATGCGAGGCGTCGGCAGCTCCCCACCTCGCATGATGCAGTCTCCCAGTCCCACCTACCATCCACAGGGCCGGCAGAGTCCTATGGCCACGAGTCCCACTTCGGAACGCAATGGGCGCTATGGACACCAGGAAGCACGATATACCCGTCCGTCCCTGAGCTTCAGTGGACCCCGTCCACCTACATCTCCAACCCCCGGAGGACGCGATTGGGATCCCGCCACGACATTTGCACGAGGCGAAGTATGATGATCGTCCGGAGAGTGAATAGAGGAGTCATGCATGTCTGTCTACGGCATTCGATGCAGCCAATCTTCTAAGCAACACGAAATTCACTTGATTCGCCATCAGCTTCCGCAGAGCTGGCATTGAGGAGACTATCAGTTGAAAAATCATCAAGCTGGCAAGAATCGAAATCTCGCCGAGCTGTGCAATGCAACACTACTACAGGCCCATCTGGCCCGACAGTGATCGATGACACACACTGCCACTGCCGCTCGCCTCATACGAAGTACACAATGAAATCATGCAAAATGGCTCCAGATCCCGGACAAGCGCTGTTTGACGAAGAGGAGAATTCTGGGCGTTTTGGGCCGGGCCCAGCTCAGTTTGGCCCCCCGGCCTCTCGTGGGTCGCTCACCCATGATCTCTGCGCCGGGGCGCCCACCGTGCCGGTCAACAATACCCGATGCCAAGGGCAATGTGTCGTAGAAAGACGAGGGGTGGAGAATCCTGGAGAAGACGCTTCAACAGTGAGCAGTGGTGGGTATCTGCCATTGTCACTGGGAGCCCGATGGCTCTAGGCTACAAGTCTCAATATTTCCATCATTTCCCCCCATCAGGCACGATCATTGAAAGCAGTGCGGATGGCGCCGATAGAGTCGCCTAGCCTCGCCTAGCCTAGCCGGTCTTGGCTACCTCCCAATCACCAACCCCCTGCACCCTACACCCTCGGGACATGCCAGGCATCCCCGTTGGAGCTCACGGCCATTGGCATACTCGCCACATCGCCGCCCACCTCGAATCCGTGATCAAGCGTGGCACCATCATCTCTCCATCCCTGACACTCGAGCAGCGACATCAGCCGCTCATCGTCTCTCACACTCACTCTATCAATCATCGAGCACGTGCTCGCAATCCCCTTCCTTCTCACCTGCCACGCCCACGTGCCTCACCTATCTAAGGTACGAGTCCATGAGTTCGCTCGTTTCATGGCCATCTTCCTTTGGACTCAATGTACTGTCTTTCTGGCACGTTTTAAAGTCATGCCCACACATGCTGATCGGATCCTCACGACACAACATCAAGAAGCAACTTTTCATTCCTCTCTCTCTTTCCCTCTTATTTTCTTTCATGTCACTACCATTGTATTGTACATCACATTATGTTCGCCATTTCTATATGAATTCAAAATTTACCTAATCGAGAAAATTAAGTCTCCAGGCGAGTATACATTGACAATGATTGACATCCTTTGCCTCTCTTTCAGCCGCAAAGCCTGTACTGGTACCACTCTCATTCGCGAAACATTTCACTCTGTTAAGCCCAAGCCCAAGCCGCGGCCGTCACCGAGACCATCAGTCTGAAATACCCTCACGAATTTACACTGCTACCATACTTGGATACTAGCGCAGGTGGCGCTTACAACAGTCCACAGTCACAGTCACCCGTTCAACTTTCTTGAACGGCCCCATCCCCTCCTAGCTGACGCAAGACGCAGCACCGGAACGGGCCCAACGGTCGAACGCGAAAAAGTCAGGTACGGTGGCTGCGCTACAGACTCATAGCAACCAAATATTCCGGGTCAGTGACTCCTGTACTCCAGTACACGGGTACAGTCATTTCCCGCCATCCGAGGCGCTGGACGGTTGACCAGTAACACAACTGTACGCACTACGTACCAAGTACTTAAATTACTAGTAGGCCTAATGCCTATAGTACCACTAAGTTCCTAATCGCTACGAACCACGTTATGCAACTGCAATGAGTTTAGTGTGAGGGTTTGAGCGTCGCCTCCAACACTCCTTCCTTCTTCTTTCTTCATCCGCCCCTGGGACTATTCCGAATTAGGCAGACTGCGCCGTCCCTGCATGCGAGTCGAGAGAGTTTGGAGATTACGTCAGATTGATCTTTTTACTGGGTATGGTATACCGACCTGGGATTGTCAGATTGTCAGATTGTCAGACTGATCCATGCATTAGCGCAGGGTCACAGTAGAACAAGGTGAGGGGTTTTCGATGGGCCCACTGGAATCTAGTCCCCTCGTGCCATCGATAACCGGATGGCCATGCACAAGTAACGGCTCTAGTTGGGACTTAGCGATCCGATTGTTTCCTCTTTCATCTTAGAGTGAGGGGTCATGCCGCAGGCCCACCGTCGGAGCACGGCCGTGAGGCGGGGTTGAGTCGTGTAGTTGGTGCAGGTGTCGTGTGTGCGTTTTCTCAGATGAATTGATAGACCGGTTCAGACGAGACGCGACGTATCGCGTGAAATGTTAGATGGTAGGGTGGACATGTTGGATGCCCTTGGACCGTTCGTGCGGATATCTTTCTAGTGAGTAGACCACATGTAGTAGTCAGTGGATCAGTGGCCAGCTTCTAGTCTAGTCATGGTCTTGCATCAAGTCAGGTCGGCTATAGTTCGGCAAAAAATCTAAAAAGGTATTGACAGGGCCAGATCCATGCGACTGTTGCATCGACCGTTGTAGATCGCTTCTCAGCACGTGAAGCAGCAAAGTAAGCAAAGACGTTCGTTGACTCGCAGGGGTTGGAACTACAGTATGAACCCTCTTCATCATTCGTGGGGGCTTGGAAATTTCCAATGCACGAGGCATGACTCGTGCTGCATCTTTAGATTTCCCATGTGAACGGTCTAGTTTGTCATGGTTCAAGTTCGGGGTGAGATTTAGGATGGAGATATAGGTTTTTTGATATGGAACCTTTCGGTGGAGATTCAATTCGTCTTATCAGGGTGGTTCTAATGGTTCATTTGCAATAGGTACTCCTTGATGGTTCAAGAAGTGTCGTTCATCCCGAAATGCGTCGTGTGATTCCTGTGATATGAAATCTATACAAAGACTGTCAGGTAGCATTCTCAAGCAGAGGGAAGAAAAAAAAAATACAAGAAATAAGGGGCCCTCCCCGGGCAATACCACTTACGTGAATTTGGCTGGAACACACCCCTACCAGCATCAACCGTCAACAAACCCATCGGCAGTGCGGGGGATAAGAAATGTCCGGCAATCGATGGATCCTTGACAGTTGGCTCGATACCACGGTCCTATTATCTCCTGATGGTATGCATGAGCTCCAGAACTGACCACAGTCCAAGCCCATGAGTATCACATGTCATTGTCCGGGGTAAATTCCACGTCTAGACCCGCCATGCGAGGTGGCTGAACGCGGAGAATAATACTACTGCGTGGAAAATTTCTTCAACGGGTAGTACCTCACGATTTAGTCTTTTTTTTTTTTTTGCGAGGCAGATCCAGGCGAGGTCTGAGCTTTGATCAGTGTCAATCTCGCTCTATGGGCAACATCGAAATGACATCTCGGAGATAGCCGTCGAAAGTCTTCGCGGGAACTTCAAGGTTCGCGGGGCACAGACGTTGGCAAACCTTAACCGTCTTATTATTTGCGGGGGATGAGGAGGCTCACCGAGGTACCAAGAATGTCGAATTCGGCCGTTCCATGTGAATTTTGACGTGCTTCTCGGATTGTGCTCAGTGGCCAGGAGGATAGAATCAACGTTTGTAGCATGGCTGATAATTCAATCGGACCGAAGGTTTTGTGCAGCCAGTGAGTCCACTCTTCTCTACGCAATATTCTTCATCAAGCATGCGATCAGACGCGTAACAATGAGATATAGGAACAGACGGGGCTCACTACGACGTGGGCGTGTCTGCGTTTTCCAAAGACCTCCACTTTGACTTTTGTAAGACAGCCACTGCGCGATTTGAAGATCCAAGCGAAATAGTCTCTGAAATCGTAGGAATGTTAAGTTTTTCTGCCTTTTCTTAGCATGCTAGTATGATCGCATGGCATGATTCCGAAGAAAAGGAATTTGCGATGAAACTGATAGCAGCTAGACATGAAAGCTGCGACTCTGCTTGCGGTTTCCAAGAGTTGGCCAGCTTGGCTCCTACGAAACTTTGGATTGGCCATAGTTCTGTGGTTCAATTAAGCGTGCATTATCCTTGAATGCCTAGACTGAATGAGGTAGTATGTTGTTCTCTAAGGGTCTCCACGATTCGTGAGTCTATCAGACGGGTAGGTTTCTTGTCGTTACCAAAAAAAAAAACATCATAATCATGTTCATTCGGGTCACCTGCCGTCTTCTGTCGAAACAGGTCTGAGGACGTTGATTGTTTGAAGGGGTATGAGGAATTAACGAATGATTCGCAAGCCATATGAATCAGCCAGATTGATACTTGTACTTGACAAGATGTAGCGAACTCATCAAGTCCTCACTTTTGTCATCAACCTGAATTCTGACGATTTAAGATGCCGCTTATTCGCACCACAATCAGGAGAGAGCGGATCTCATCGACCCGTTGGAACGAGAAAAAACTTTTCCAAGGGTGCACTCTCCATCTACAATTACTGCAAACATCGAAGCTCGTCCGTGATGTAGGAGTCGTGTATCGAGCTCGATACACCGATAGTCACTCAAGGTTTGCTCTACAACATGTCAGCCCAATGGCAAGGGAAGTTGTATACAAAATCAACATCACTGAGACGTAAACAGTCAACCAAGCCGAGGAGATGATGTGATGCAAGGCTGCACTGTGAAATACAGGCCTTCTGCAATATTGAAGCTGGCTCCCATTAGTGAACATGACTGAACAGACTGATGAAATGGATACAGGAAGATCTTCCATGACTAACATTAATCTTCCATTTGATAGGAGCTTTGTCATTAACATGAAGAGTATCTATTTACTCTCGGCGTCTGTTCAAGATCTTTAATTGCCAAATGTGGCGATGTTGTTTGTCGGAAAGTATCTCCGAGTCGAAAGTGTCGGACACCTTTGCGACGAGTGTTTGCCAACACTTTCCTTCGTGCAAGCTGTCGTGTCATGAGAATGTTTGTAGGAAAGCCAATTCCGGCCCAGGTTGATCGCGAGAATGGAATAGAGGACGTGTGACCACAAAGAGTGTCATATATTCACCAGCGAATCTTCACACTTGACACAAAGTTGTCGTCATTATCGATTATCAATCCCCGCTACCCCAGATTATCACCACCTCCACAGAAACATCCCCAACTTTCTCATCCTCGTTCAGATAAACACAAGCGAGGTTCACTAAGATCCATCCCCTCTCATCTCATCCTCACACAACTTCTATCGCGCCATGCCTCTCGACGGTCCCCCAATCTTCGTCTTCGTCCCAGGTGCATGGCACAGCCCTGACACCTTCGAGATGGTGCGCGCCGTACTCTCCCAGCGAGGCCACGAATCCCAAGCCGTGGCTCTTCCATCTGTTGGAGCAAGCGAGCCTTTCCAGACCGGTCTGTTCGCGGATATTGTCCATGTCCACAAGCATCTTCGAGCTTTGGTTGAGCAGGGCCGTAAGATCGTTCTGGTGATGCACTCTTATGGTGGCATGGTGGGATCCGGGGCTGTAGAGGGTCTTTCGTACTTACAAGGACGCCGGAATCATGAACACGGTGGAGTAATCATGGCCGTTTGGTTGAGTGCGTTTGTCACACCTGCTGGCAAGTCGCTTCTTGAGATGATTGGTGGGCAGTGGCTTCCTTGGATGGTCTTGAGCGTATGTAATTTCATCCTCTTTCCAGCGCTTGATTGAAATCGACATCAAGGAGGAAAAGATGGTCTTTCCTCCCTTTTCATCTGATCATCATTGTCCGCTTTCTCCTTTTCTAGTCTTTCTATCCCACACATCTTTTCATGCTAATCGTTACAGGACCCCGACGATGGATACTGTCGCTCGTCAGATGAAGAAACTATCTTTTACCACGACCTACCCCCCGAGGTGCAATTCGCCGCCATTGAACAACTAAAGCCTCATTCCAAGCTCGCCTTCCTGCAACCCGCCTCGTTCGAGCCCTGGCACGAAATACCATGCATGTATCTCTTCTGCGACGATGACGCTGCGCTTCCACTTGCCGTGCAGGAGGAGTTTGCAAAGACGCTGGGAAATCCTTTGACTTATCATGTCAAGGCGTCGCATTCACCCTTTTTGAGTCTGCCTGAGGAGACTGCTGATGGGTTGGAGTTGGCGTTGAAGGTGGGATTGGAGAAATGTGGATGTCGTTAGCATGCTAGATTCTGAATGAAGCCGAGCGTGAGGCCCGAGAGAAGGGGGGAAAAAAAGGGAAGCACAGACGGAAGAGAAAATTTTGGCTGAGCCATCTACATGGGACCTAGCATTCGAGAATCAAGATGGAAGTTTTGATGCCTGAATCAGTCTCTATTATGCAGTGCTTGTGTCTCGAATTCGTCGATAACGTGGCAATACGATCGCTCAATCCAAGGCTTTACGAGACACGGATCGGACCTTGGAATCGGCTCCTCGCTTTATACTCTGATTTTTTTTCGATTCAGAGGGGGAAAGAGCGGAGTTCTCGCCATGAGGTAGCGCAAACCTGAGATTTGTCGTCAATCCGGTCTCTGCGTTTTTGTCACTCATCTCGACTACACGCCATACCACTGTCCCTACATGCAAGGCTCTTTGACATCGGGAGGTATACCTACACGTGCCGGTTCCAGAGCATCGGTCGTCATGTGAGGCTCGTGAGTCCCCATCGGCTCGGCCAGCCCTTGCGGACGCTTACTCCCGCTTGAATCTTGATTGCGGGTGCTTCAGTTGCCATGGATCCCGAGCCGATCCGGGTCCGATCTCTCTCTATCGGACTTGCAAGAGAACTCGAGCGCGCTGTATGGAGTTGGATCCGCCAATTCGGGGGTGTAGGTTACTCGTCACGGTACCGACTACTACCAGAGTAGTACAAGTGAGTAGTCATGAGTACTTGAGTGCTCTGGGACTTCTGTTTCTGTAGGCCTGAGGGTCGAAGCATTTCGACCTCTCCTCATGTGCCTTCTCGTGCCTGCGAGCCTGAGGCAGGAAAGTGATGCACCGTGATCACCCCCAGTGCTCTCTGCCTCGAACATTCTGCAGTTCTTCCCTAAACATTCAAGCGCACCATTCTCTCTCTCTCTCTCTCTCTCTCTGTCTCTCTCTCTTGCCACTGCAGTTCGCCAGATCTCACGTCATGTCATCAACATCTCCGATTCAGGACTATCTCGGCTCTATCGTACTGCTTCCTCGGGCGAATGAGAAGCTCTGCACCGATCGAGTATTGCATCATCTCCCGCGTCACCGCCGTCCGAGAGAGAGCCCAGGACTAGTTACCGGCCCTGGAGACCCGGAGAGTACCTGCCATTTGCACAGGACGGTCACTGTGGGGAAAAGTACTGTCGTCACTCGCGTTCGAGTACGCCTCGTCGCCTTCAATGGACCGGCCGCCTGCAGAGACTCGGACACGGTGGGCTCCACATTGTACCGTCTACGTCAAATCTTCGGGTCTGGATCTGGACGAGATGAACAACTGGACATAATGGAGTCGTCCAGGTCTTTGATGGGCTCATCAGTCGAGTCCCGAAAATTGTGCGACAGCCACAATTTATTCAGAGCTCACTCAAAAAGGTTCTTGAGCGCTCGGCTATGAAGCGGTAGAAGCCTTCGAGTCGTCATGTCCAGCAGTAGAGGTGAATTCTACAGTAGAACCAGAACACAGAATATGTGCTGTCAAGAAGCAGCACTTCAGCAGTCTGTCGTGAGGCCAGGTAGCACCAGCCCTCTTAAGCCCAAAGGTGGGTAACAAAAAAAAATACCAAAGCAGCACAGTGAGCACTGAGCACTCAGCACTCAGCACACTGCCACACTCGCACCAGCTAAGAAGCTACCCGCTCAGCGATCATCCTCTCCCCCCGCTCTTTGCCCTCCCCCCAGCCACCCTCGTAATATCTTTTGCTTCTTCTCGCACCTTCTCTTCCTCTCTCATTCCAATCGCCCGACCTGCAACCCTGTTCAAGCTGTTCAAGCTTCTTCACTTCCATCTTGAGCTTGGCCATCTTGATCCCCACACAGGGTTCCTCTCACCACACGTTTCCCCCATTCTCTTTCGACCCTCGCTCCTCAACCAGCCGCTTCGACCTCGGTGAAGTCACACACACACACACACACAGTCCTCCATGGCTCCTCCTCCCTCTGCAAACATGCCTCTGGCCGAGAGGCTGAAGACCTTGGCTCAAACCCTCCAGTATGTACTTGCTTGAATGACGAGTGCTGAAAGTGGTCGCACCTTCGTACCTCGAGAGTGTCCAGCGCGTGCTTGTGAACTTGAATGCTAACCAGATCTCCTCATTACAGATTTGCCTGGTTTGTCGGGTACGTCAAGATCGACCGCAATTGCCGATCACTGACCGTCCACACGCACGGTCGACCATGCCAAAGAGACACACTGACTTCATTCTCCAATCTAGCCACCTGACCTTGCTGCTGTCCGTCTTTCGCTACATCCTCTCTTACGTCTCCTTTAATTACTATTCCTCCGCCGCTCGCATCTCCTATCGCTTGGCTTTCATCTCGGCCGCGGTGACCTATGGAATTGTCGTCTACAAGGGTCACTTCGCCCGAGGCGTCTCTGGCAGTCCAGCCCAGATCGTGGTGAAGCTTATCTCGGATGAGAACGTACAATACTTGGGTAAGTCGGAAGCTTCTGGACTTGGTTCTTCAATTGGGCCAGCCCCCCGCTAAGTGGCCACCAACGGAGTACCCGAGTCTTTTTTTCTAACATCACCATTTACCTCTAGGCATGGCGCTCGTCTGGCTCTACTCTCGTCAGCTTATACTGGCCCTTCTGCCCTTCAGCGTCTACTCTGTCTTCCACGTTGCGACCTACACCCGCACCTACCTGATTCCCACCGTGCAGCCCCCAGTTCCCAACCCTACAGGTCCCGCCTCGCCCACCTCGGGCAAGCCCGCCGTCAAGCAGAGCCCGCTCGCCGAGACCATCGGCCGCTTCATTAAGCAGTACTATGATGCCAGCATGGGTGTCGTTGCCTCACTGGAGATCCTGCTCCTCTTCCGCCTGATCATCTCTGCCGTGACCTTCTCCAAGGGCAGCTGGGTTCTGTTGGTCATCTACCTGTCCTTCTTCCGTGCTCGTCACGCCCAGAGCTCGTTTGTCCAGGCAGCCGCGCGCCAATTGACTGCTCGTGCCGATGCTGCCATTTCCCACCAGAGCACTCCACCCCAGGTTCGCCAAGGTTGGGAAGCCTTCAAGGGCGTTGTGCGTCAGGTCTACGATGCCACCAACCTGGGCCGTTACATCTCCGGACCTACTGCGGCTAACAAGAAGCCCCAGTAAGTGCGGTCGTTTCGGAATGTCGTACCTCGTAAAGTTCCTGAGACTTCCACCAAGCGAGTGAGTTACGTTTGGGGGCTGTTGCGTCGCCCAAACCGCGGCGGATAGGGAAAGGGACTCACTTCAACCACACGAGAGACATTTCCAATTCTGGCTTGGGATATACGGTGATGGATCTCTTCCCGCTATGAACACACAATGCCGTCTTGATCAACGAGGCGGCTGTTCAGATCTTGCGCCTTGGAAAGAGCGGGAGTGATGTCAAGCAGGGTGCAACCGAGACGGGAATGGGGACGTTGTAGAAAAAAAAAAAAGAGGAGGCGGATAGGAATGCTTGGAGAGTCCGCCTTTGATGACCCTCGACGTAAATGAGCCACGGCAGTCACGGCAGTGCTTTCTTCGTTTCTCTCTTTCTTTCCCTTGTTTTCTTCTCTCTCTCTCTCTCTCTCTCTCTCTCTCTCTTTTCTTTGTACGCGCTCGTTTCTTGTGTCTCTCAGTTCTCTCTCCTCTGCATTTTTTTCTATATTATTTACTTTTACGGTGTCCCCCAAGCTTGGTTATCAGCCATGGCGCTCGGCAAGTATCGCTTGATTATTTTTTTTTTCCGTTTCTCTCTCTGTCCAACGGACAAGAGTTGCAATGCATTGCTTACACAATGACACCGTTTTGCGAGATGACCCCCTTGACACTTGAACATTCAAAGATTCAGGGAACTCGGCTTTGACACTCGACAATGTAAGGGTTCGAGTTCTTTATAAATACTCTATGACAATTTAGACTCCCTCAACGGCAGACTTGTAGCCATCCATCTTCCATAATCTTTTCAAAATGCCATGGACACCTCATGATGTAGATCGAGATGAGACGGGCATCCTTGCAGACGAGCTAAGATATTGATGTCAAGGCTATCCTAAGCAAAGTCTCTTTGCACAGATTATAATCAGCTCGACAGATGATCGATACGACATGATAGAACTATCGCATGTTGATATCAAGACCAGAAGCAAAGAGACCGGAGACCGGACAAACTCCCCACTGGAGGATCACGATACCCCCCAGTCAAGGCCAAAGGTCAGGTCAATCCCATCCATTACTCCGCGCCCGGGATGTGTGATGGGGATGCAGGTAAAGCTGGAGCGCAGATGAAACGTCGGGTGGTACTTTTTGGGGGTTTCGTTCCAGAATGAGCGATAACGAGGACGGCAGTCAGCAGTGTATAAGCCTGAGTGGTGATGGGGATGATTTCTGCATGGGACGTGGAGTATGAAGGATCTGGGCCTTGGCAGAAATGGAATTATATACCGATGATCTTTGGCTGTCTCTACTATCTGGTATCTACTCGTAGATGCACAGATACACAGAGAGAGAGAGAGAGAGAGAGTCGCACAATCAAAGTTCATGGTGACGAACGTGCCACTTATTTCCACGAGTCGCTGGGACCAGGAAATGCGCTGGATGGAGCAAGACCAACAGGAACCAAGAGACTGTGATTCAAACATTAGACGGTAATGTCGCGATTGAACAAAATGACGACAAAAAAGGAAGAAAGAGTACTCAAGCACAACAGATAAGGTTTGCAGGTTAGAATAGCGACAGAAAAAATAAAGGGGTATAAGCAGACCATGGACCATGCTTTTTTTGAACAAAAAAAAAAGTCAAGATCAAAAGGGAGATGACGAAATCAAAAAGGTTTCACCAAAACAATAGGCGACACATTAGATACTCGAATAGCAGGCTTTCTTAAACATTGGAGTAGCAGGAGTTCAGATCGGCTGGGAGAAGAGAATACTGTGCAAGCGGGAGCGGAAGGATGGTGGCGGGGGGTGGTGAAATGGTCGTGGGAAAAATGATGGAAGAAATCGGAGAGAGAGAGAGTGAGTGAGTGAGAAGAAAGAGAAAGGAGGACTTGGAAATCATTAAAGCACGGGTGCACCGGGAGGCGGCCCACGTAAGGAATTGAAGAGGTACTCTGGTGGAACGCGCTGCATGTCGGATGGACGGTCTGTACCAAAGGTTTGAGGTGCAGTGCTGTATCCTTGTCGACGACGCTGGATCTTGTTGGCGATGACGCCTGCGGCAACGATGAGAAAGACGCAACCCAAGGCGCAGCAAAATGCGACTAACACTACGATGCCGTTGGAGTGGTGAGGTTCTAGTTGAAGATAGGAAATTAGTCGAGAGCGCCATAGAACAAAAAGAAACATGCGGAAAGCGAATATTATAAAATATTGATGGGGTTCACACTCACTCTCTGTCGTGAACGGGTTATTGTTCTCCATGATCAAACGCGACATGCTACCGGGTTCACCGTTCTGCTTGGACGACAAGATAAAAGGCGTCACAGCGGTTCCATTATACAGCGCCGCAGAGGCGTTGCCAAAGTCCGGAATGACAAGCTCACCCAGGACCAGCAGAGCTTGGTTGTTGTTGAGCAAGGTTGCTGACGAGTGATCTTTGTTAAGGGGGAGGACCTCTAGGTCACGAATTCGAGTGCCTTCCGCGAAGAGCGACCCCGTGGATTGAAACTTCGACCCATCGTATTTCAGCAAAAAGGCCGACCCGTTGGACGAGCTGCCTGCAATCCAGAAATTCGAGACCTCCTCGTTCGCAGGGGTAAAGGCGGTCACGTTACCGGGGATCTCAGATGGTGATGCGCCACTGAGCACCGTCCAGTCCGAAGTCTTCTTGCTAAATGTTGCAACAACAGTCTTGTTGTTGCTAATTTCCATGTCTCCCACCGCATACAAGGTGTCCGCATTAGCCCAGACAAGAGACATGACATTACCACTGATGGAAGCGCCCGGCCAGCTCCATTGGTTGAGGGAGGAGTCGAGGCTACAAACGGTGGTGCAAGGGAGTGAGCCCGCAGACTCAAAGTTTCCCCCAACAAAGAGCTCGGATGATCCAGGTCGAACAGCAATGGAGCTGACGCTAGCGTTCTTGCCGTTCAGGGACCAAGGTTGATTTTCTCTGAAAGAGTTGCGCGACAAGTCGTAGGCAACCATGCCACTGACACTCGTGCCTCCAATGGTTCCCGTGACAACACCGGCGACGTAGAGGGTATTGTTGTGGACGGCCATGGCGTGGACGGTAGAATTGCTGTTTAGACCCGAAGGCAGTCCGGTAACCCGCTGTTCGGTACCGTTCAGTATGGCGACATTGTGAATAACAGAGCCATTGCTGCCGAGTGCGGTGAAATGTCCTCCCAAAATGGTCAAGTTTCGGTTCGACTCGGTATCGTACGCTCCCGAATTGATGCCTCGCATGGTTGCAGTGTGATTGATGTTCAGCGGAAGAGGAAGCAGGCTCAATTTCTTCTCGTCCAAAAGCGAGACAGCGCTGGACGCGGTCAGTCCGTCTGTGGCCAAATTTCCAGCAAGGATAGAAGTGCCGTTGACGGAGGCCACGGCGGAAACTTGTCCGGCAAATTCCATCTGCGTTGAGTTGAGGCTTTGCAACCAGGTTTCCTTCGAGGGTATCCAAATGGCAAACCCAGCTACAGGCACAGCGGGCTGATCGGCGGTGGCGCGGATCTGATCAAAGTCACCGCTGACCGCGATAATGGTCTCGTTGACGGCTGAAGACACGTTGAGTTGGACTGGGAAGATCGTCCGGACTTGGCCATTCAGCCCTGCACCGAGCGGTGACCATTTCTTGTTTGACATGGAGTATGAGGCGATATACGACAGTCCCTCGGCGCTCCCGTCAGTGGTAGCGGTGAATTGGCCCCCCACATACATAACGTCGTTCAGTGCGGCCATAGCAAAAACTTCAGAGTTCAGACTACCGCCAGGCAAGGCGGTTGCATTGCCGTCTGAGACGGTCATGATGTTATGGAATCTCTCGGTGCTGAAATTCCCCCCAATGTAAACGGCACCATTAGTCTCGAGCAGACTCATGACCACCGCTCCCCTATCAAGAGCGTTTCCCGCCTTGTTCACAGCTGAGCTGTCCAATTTCGGCATGGTCCTGGCTGACGGGTCATAGTCGTAAAGCCCATTTAGACCGTCGGTGGAGGTCGATTGAGACAGGAGCACAAACTCGACACTGCCTGCGACAAAGGTCAGATCTCCCTGGCCCGGCACAGGCTGGATTGTAACGGCGGGGCGGAATGAGCCACTGCTGGCATCGACGTAGCCAGAATAGAGCGTTTCGATTTTATTGTCATTGTTCGTCTGGGTCTTCGTCATGGAGGGCGGTTGTGGGTACTTCTTTCCTTTGGTCACACTCACGGTCACGTTGGCCGAACCACGAGAGCTGCAGCTGTTGTCTTGTACGCATCCGGGAGTGTGCAAGAAAATGGTATAGTTACCCGACTCCTTGATGTTGGGGTACAGAACAACGGAGGTACTGCTGTCATTCGAGTTGGTCACGGACGCAGACAGATATCCGGCGTCCTTGACCGTCCACGAGCCCGTGTGGGTGGATTTGGAGGGAAAGTCCAGTCCTGCACAAGCGGGCTCGTTGAAGGCATTGACGGCGTATGTTTTGATTTGGTCCTGGAAGACTTCGATCCCATTCAATCCTGCACCTTGGCCCCACCAATCGAGGATCTCAATCTGGAACCCTCTCATGCCCACGGGATTGACCAAGGTGAAGTCCCGGTACTTTTCCTGGCTGCTTTCAGGAAGCTGGCACGAGGCGTCGCAATGCGCCACATTGCCCGAGTCATCCGTGTACGTCAGGTTCATGATTCCTGTGTCGGGCAGGGCCCGCAGCAGGAAACTTTTGGTGCCGCGGTTTTCGAAATGGGTATTGTAGAGTCGCAGCTTGGTGGGCTGGAATGTGAATCCGAGATCGGCTCTCCAGAATCCGGGCGCATAGTCGTGGAGCAACCAGGTCTTGCCGGGGCCAGCTTGGCCGCTTGTCGAGCAGATGACATTGCGCGGATCGGTGAACCCGCTCAAGGATGATTCGGCGTCGGCAGTCACGGTCGCAGTCTGCAGATTGAGAACCTGTTGACGTTCGCTGGCGGATGCACTTGTCATGTTGCCCAGCCCATCGAATGAGCCTCCGAAGATGATATGGCCGTCGCTTCGCTTGATGATGGAGTTGACAGGACCATTGAGTCCGTCAAACATAAGCTCCGTCCACCCTTCCGTGGGTGACCAGGAGATTGCATTGCTCGAGTTCTTGTACGAGAAGTCCCCACCCACGTACACGCGATTGGCGTCTTGATCGCAGAGCACCGACGACACCGATCCCTGCAGGCCGGGCAGCGCCGTAACGTCGCTCGTGTTGGGATGGAACAGAGCTACAGCAGTGGACTCGACGTTGCCCAGCTTGGTGAAGTTTCCACCCACAAAGATTCCAGCAAAAGTCCCGTCCTGTTTCGTGAAGGCGCACATGTCTCGGATCTGAGCATTGGCGGATGATAGGCTCGTGAGGATGCCATTGGGGAGTGGAGTGAGGAGCAACGAGCCCTGACGCTGTGTGGTCTGGGTTTGCCCTTCATATTCGTAGAGGGAGACGCCATCAAAGTCGCCAGTGATGGTCACCCGACCTAGCGAGGCGAGGTTGATTTCGGGAATCGAGACCGCGTCAAAGGTCAAGGCGTGTACGGTCGGCCAGGTCGCAGATATACCAGCCGCCGCGAGCCCGTACAATGAAGAAGCCTTCATTGTCGGGAGGGGGTGGGAGCGACGACAGGGAGAGTGGTGGGGGGAGAGTGCGTGGTTCACTCGTCTGAAGATTGCAGATAGAAGAGGAGGGCGAGAAGGGAAGAACGAGAGTGATGGAAAATGAGGTGTCGACCGAAGAGAGTGACGGTCGGCGTTCAGGAGACCACGGGCGTACTGGTGCGGCGTGGAAAGGGAAAAGGAACGTCAATTAAGGAATGCGGGCGCCGCGGAAGGACGACGCGGAAGGGATTCAGAGACGACAAAAGAGTGGCGACTGCATATCGAGGAGCCCTCTACAGTGGATGAAAGATCAAGGAATGACTAGTGTGGGAGTGGACGTGAAATCGAGAGAGTCGAGCCCAGAAGAGGGAAACACGCTATTATGAGAGACGGGGAGGGGGACAGTCTCTGGAGTCTACTGCTGCCTTGCTGGGCTCCGCCGTGGACTAGCGTGATGGCTGGTCGCGAACGTGGTGCGACAGTGCCGGAGCAACAGTACGGTAGTACATAGTACATACTTACTTACATCGTAGAACATGAATGACAATGGCGATCCGATCCATGACATTGAGGGCTACTAGACTCAGCTACTGAGCTAAGCTTGGTTGTAAGCTGTTGGGAAGCAGAAGAGGGTTTTGGGGCCCTCAAGAAGACAATAAACACTCATGCTGGCCTACGGGTAACTTACCATGGGCCGTGGTTCCATGCCAAATCCACCCTGCCTCAGTGCCTACCGTCATCCTGTAGTCTCCTTGTCAATCCAGTTCCACATATCAAAGGAAATTTATGAGTGCTGGTAGAGTCATGGACTGCTGATGTACGCATGGTCTTTCTACCAGAAATACTATGCAATGTGCATGCATGACACAGCCATTCCGACAGCAAGACATCATGATGGACTCTATCCCCCTCGACGAGAACCAGGCTCACTGCCAGACTGCGCAAGGAGGATCCCCGATATCTACTTCTCCGCTTGATTCTTCGCTTCCTGGTCTTTCCTCAAAGTGACGAATAATCTCTCTCTCTACCAACTAACTAGTAACTACCCGTGCTCCAGTTCCGTCAGTCAGTCCAGTCACCAACTAAACAACCCATCTGCATCCAGCCGTGAGCCTAGTCCTACAGCTTCCCCGTCCATCTCGACACATCTTCGTCCAAGCCACGCTGTTTCGCTGAGACACAAAAGGGGCAGCGCAGCCCGCAGATTTAATCTCCACTCTTTAATTCCAGTCCCTTTCGTCGCTCCAATCGTGCCTTCTGAACGGCCAGCCATCCGTCCTGACCGACCCACTCCGACCGTGGGCGACTTGATCCTGGATTCAAGTTCCTGGCGGATGTCCAGTAGGTGGCTCGTTTCCTGACGGCAGCGGCCCTGAGCCTTGTACCTCATGGAGGACGGACTATGGAGTGTTGGGATCTCTTTGGCATAATAGCATTCGTGTCATATCTTTTTCGAGGTCTCTTGTGCATGATTCTGTGAAATATGGATGAGAGCTCCTCTCAAATCCCCCTTGACCACCTCGCGCGACCTAATCAGTCGCCCTAGTACACTGCTGAGTACTAACTCCATCATGAATGTGGGACTGATGACGATGGAATATTTATCAACCAAGGGTTGCGCTACACGTTATTTGAACATGAGCATAAGCTTTGACAGTAAAATGATAGAGTCTCAGTTACGTCGTCATGATGGTCTAAGGCTGGGAGTGTCGGTGATATGATGATCGGCATTTCGAATTACCGAAACTCCGTCGAGTGGAATTGGCCGCCCTGTGAAGCCTCAACCATTCTTATGAATATGTAGTGACTTAGTAAGTAGTTGGGTAGTAACGGAACACCTCCATTCGCATGAAGCTATCTGAGATGGCGCTTATAGCACACTGGAACATTTCCATGAACTTGTCAATTATGTTAAGTATATGTATCTAAAAATTGCGAAGTGTGACACCATGATAACATACCTACTACAGGTATATGCATCATTCACTTCCCCGGTAGATCCTCCAAAATCTTATACACCACGACCTCGAGTACCTAGGAAGTGAAGCTGCTGTGATCTCTCTCGGCCCGATATTAAATAGTACCTACTGTAGTAGGGAATCCGGTTACATGTATATAGAGCGGATAGTCTGCTGAGGTGCGTGTGCCTGATGGTGGCCTTACGGTCGGGAGAGGCTGTTTGGACATGACGAGAGGGAGTTAATTAACTTGAGAACCTAAGGAAGACAACGGGACAATAAGCAACCAAGGGATTGAACGGCTTCATGGGATCCGGGAGACCCATCGAAGAAGAGAAGTGAGAGTTTAGTATAGTCTTTATAGTCGGGTTCCTTTTGTATTGCAATGACACACTCCTTTTGATCTTTACTTGTGCCTCTTGACATCCTACGGATAGGTATTGTACAGCCGGGCTGGGAGATCTCTGGACGTGCGTGCTGGTGGTGGTGGTTTGGTTCCTCTATGACTCGACCTGTCTGGTGAGATCAGACTGCCTTGAGCATTCCCCTCTATACTACATAGTACCCTTAACTTACTAGTAACTACCTACTAACTTACCTACAGTGCTACTAGCTAGCCCCGCCTAGCCCCAGAAATGTCATAACCTGATATTCATAGTGTTAGATCCATGTGTTCTGGACATGAATCCAGTGACTCAGATTAGGTTGGTCTCGGTCACCTCATGACCCGCATAAATACAGTCTCATTCCCCCTCTCATCATGGTCTGTGTCCGCAGCGACCCATTTGTCCACGCATGTCATACGTACTTATCTAGTAGCCTCCCGTCCATCTGATCAATATATACCTAGCTCTGTGGAAGCGGCCTGACGCATAGGTAGTATACATAAATATACCCTGGTACCTGGCCCAGGTTCTCTAGCGAGCATGGTTGTTTTGCGTCCTAATGAGGGACAGCCTTGGTGATGGAGATTCATCCAAAGATTTCCTTGATAATCCGAACGGGCGTGGATAGAGTGGATCAGCCGGTAGAGCGTTTCAGAGGATGCTTGATTAAGCGTCTGTGGTCTAGCACTGCTGGGCAGTATGGGGACGAAACCAGGGTTAATGGAGGATTGGAAGCAGCAACCTTACCTAATATAGGTACATCGTCGTCTAAACTCAACAGACGATCTCGCAAAAGTATTGAAAACAACTACAGCTTCTGTCTTATTCTTTTTTCCACGTAAAGAATATTCACAATGTTTTTCCATATGCAGCTAAGTGACCAAGTGACAGGTGTGGTTAGTTGCATAGTTACAGTGTTCACTGTTTAGCATTGGATGTGGTGCCTGAATTTCTCCATTTACTGCCGAAGAAATAAGGCTGCAAGAGTAGATACACACTAAACTTAATAAGGCGAAAGTGGCTTCTCTATTGCGGCGCGCCGTAACGCGACCTCCGAGAAATCTGAAAGCTTCCACCATCTCCAACTTACTCCTGTGCTTTTCAAACCACAAATACGTCGAAAGGAATCGCAATCATATCTAGCGTCCTCTGATTGAAAGGCTCATTGTCCAACGAGTCACTTCAAAAAGCACATACTGAGAGAGACTCTCCGCAATGTAAGCCCTGATTTCTGGAGTTCGCCGGCCCTCTCAAACAAAGCTGATTCTGATTTCGCCTCCCAGGGAGAGCTTCGATAACATCTACCTGGACCTCTCAAAACAGCCAGGAAAATGCAAGCTGGCTGAGAGCGGTCTCGGCTGGCGACCTTCTGGCGGCGGCGATACCTTTACCCTGGATAGCAGCAATATCGGTCACGCGCAATGGAGTCGCGCCGCGAAAGGATATGAGTTGAAGATTCTATCACGGAATTCAGGCGTCATTCAACTGGATGGGTTTGAACAAGAGGTGCGTGAGACTCTGGATTATTATACAACTCGAGGATTTAATGTCACAAATTGTACTGACTCTTCACCCTGCATTGACAGGCTTTTGAACGACTCAGCAAGGCTTTCAAAATCTGGTACGGTATCAACATTGAAAGTCGCGAGCATGCCATCCGTGGATGGAACTGGGGTAAAGCCGAGTTCACCAAAGCCGAGCTCTCTTTCAATGTCCAGAACCGACCTGCTTTTGAAGTCCCCTACTCCGAGATCTCCAATACCAATCTTGCAGGCAAGAATGAAGTTGCGGTGGAATTTGCACTCTCAGCAGATGCGGCCAACGGCGCTAATGGCCAACCCGCGGGGAGCACCAAGAACCGTGGGCGCAAGGCCGCTGCGGGCCCAGACGAGTTGGTTGAAATGCGATTCTACATCCCGGGAACAGCCACAAAGAAGGAGAAGACGGAAGGTGATGAGGAAGATAATGAGGAAGAGGTCGAGGAGCAAAATGCAGCCAACCTGTTCTATGAGACACTCATGGACAAGGCCGAGATTGGAGATGTGGCTGGCGACACATTCGCAACATTCTTGGATGTGCTTCATCTCACTCCACGGTAGGTCCTCCTCTTTCGATCACTGGCTGCAGCCAAGCCTTTTTTGCTAATAATTACCCTTGCGCAGTGGTCGTTTCGACATTGACATGTACGAGTCCTCCTTCCGTCTGCGGGGTAAGACATACGACTACAAGATTCAATACGCGGCCATCAAGAAATTCTTCCTCCTTCCCAAGAATGATGATGCCCACACCCTCATTGTCCTGGGTCTCGACCCTCCTTTGCGTCAGGGCCAGACCAGGTATCCGTTCTTGGTCATGCAGCTGAAGCTGGATGAGGAAATTAGTCTGGAGTTAAACATGACTGAGTACGTTTGCCCCACGGGGAAAGAATTGCACAAATTCAAGTCTTTGCCTCGCTGACAGACTCCCAGGGATTTGTTGAAATCAAAATATGGTGACAAGCTCCAAGCCCACTATGAGGAACCCATTCATCAGGTTGTCACCAAGATCTTCCGAGGGTTGGCGGGCAAGAAAGTCATCATGCCTTCTAAGGACTTTACCAGTCACCACGGTCATCACGGAGTCAAGTGTTCTATTAAAGCCAACGAGGGTTCGCTTTACTTCCTGGACAAAAGTCTCATGTTTGTGCCCAAGCCTGCTACGTACATTCAGCTTGAGAATGTGGCGGTTGTGACCATGTCGCGTGTTGGAGGTGCGGTTTCCGCCAGCCGAACCTTCGACATCGCAGTCACTCTGAAGGGTGGCCTAGGCGAACACCAATTCAGCAACATCAACCGGTATGTGATGTTTCCCAGTTTTTGTCCCTGATCAACCCGTGTGAACGTCGTCTAATTGATTCAAATTACCAGTGAGGAGCAACAACCCCTAGAAGACTTCTTCAAGGCCAAGGGTATTCGTATCAAGAATGAAATGTTGGAAGAGTCATCCACTCTTCTCAAGGCTGCGCTGAATAACGAGGACATGGGCGAGTCCAGCGACGAGGACGGTGGCAGAGCCGACCGTGGCTCGGCTGACGAAGACGAGGAGTCTGTTGACGAGGACTTCAACGCCTCTTCCGAGTCAGACGTCGCTGAGGAGTATGACTCGGCCCACGAGAGCAGTGGTGATAGCGATGAGGAAATGGCAGATGCTGGAGATGATGAGGGTGATGCTGGGTCTGACGGCGAAGATAACACTCGCCCCAAGAAGAAGAGCAAGACTGGCAACTAGGTAGTGACGCATGTACGACAATATTTTTCTGTCCTCGCTGTCCATGATTCTCAGCCATCTTGGTCTGGAAGCGAGACAACCATCTTTGATGTGCACCTCTTCCTCACGATTTTGATTCAATGACTTCACCCGTGGTACCCGATCACCAGATTTTCCACGCGTGAGTCTCACGAAGTATACAGCAGTACTTTTCACACCTACAAGTGGTTTAGGCCACCGAAGTAGCACTCGAGGTAAGGTACTTTGCCTGTCAATTGACTGAACTAAGTGACCAGTCATCTGCCAGCGTCGACACGGGCTGCGAATATGGGGACCCGCTCGGTGGATCTCACGTGACTAACCCCCCCGTAAACCCCTGATCCTCAGTGTCAACATGGATCCTTCTGCATGTCTAGTATAGTAGTGTGTTGAGTTAGTATCTGTCTACCACTACAAAGTTTGACAGTCCAAGTACACTTGGACGAGGATACTCGCTTGGACTACAATTTGAGTCTGTGCTGCAGGATCCTTGATTGGTCCACATGGCAAGACAGCGTTGTCAGGACGCTTTGCATCGAAAAATAAAGAGGAATCTGTAGTTCTGTACTATTGTCTGTAATTACCACGACGTTGGCGCGCTTCAAACACGGTTGCTTGTTGATACCGAGGACTGCCTTGGACATCTGGGCGCTATCTTAGTATCTACAGGTCACGAGTTCAATGACTTCTCTGTACGCTTCTACTCAGGTGTCTCATGAAGTATATTGAACGCCTTTCTCAGATTTGAGAAAACTGCAGTACCGAGCAGACATGTAAATGTCAAATGTTCAGTGCTTAACAGAGTTATGTAGAGACAGTCCTTTAATTGACGTGTAAGTGCCATGGTCACCAACCTTGCTGCCATAGTCAATAAAGTGATGTATCGTACTGCATGCTGAAGGTCAAAGGCCGACTACTAGTATTACTACTTGGACTAGTGCCCTGTCGATGGAGGTCCTCTGCCGTGCCTGGACGTGGGTCGATCCACGCCCCCAGAGAGTCGCAGGTACCTTAGCTATCCTGCTGCAAGAACCCACCGCCCGAACCCAAAGGCCTAACAGCCCCAGCCCGAGCCCGAGCCATGAGCTCGATCACTGGACCCGAACCAGACAACCTCACACCCCTTTCTTTCCCCGTACCCGATCAGCGCCTTCTTCCTCCCTGAACTTCCTTCTCATCTCTCACGCTCTCCCATCTCTCCTTCGTTTTGCCATTCTTCCGCACTTCAGGCTAGCACAGTCGAAGCTGCTTCTTGTCTCTCGCTAATTGGAAACTTTTTTTTCTCTTCTACATTGCTTTTCCCCCTCCCCGCTCAAGAGTCCACCCCCCTTTTTTGGACCCACGCCAGTTTCCCTAGGTACGACGCCTTGACATTCTCGACCTTGGCTTGAATTATCTCCTCCGATCGAGCACTTGCGACTTGCATCGACCTGCTTGAAGACTGGATCCCGCTTTGCAATTCCCAGTGACTGACCCTACCGGCCAAATCTACAGGGAATCCCTTTCGTGCCGTTCACCGTATCGTCTCACGCACATTCTCCGCCAGTTCAGACTGAAGCCATGTGTAAGCAATCCGCTTCCAAACGCCTGTCCCTGATCCGCTTCGCCTGCCCAATGGTTGATGTTGGTGCCTCCAATGGCAATTCCATCAAGACATGGTCCCCGCCGGCGGATATCGGAAATCCAGTTACTGATGGCTAAACAACAGCTTCGCCAATTTCGAACGGTTCCCCCGTCGCGTCCCGCGCCTCGCCCACTCCGAGCAGCCAGGAAGCTTCTCTTGTTGAGCGCACCAACCCTATGGGCTCCGGCAACGCTCAGACTGTCAGCTCGCGCGACCCCAAGGCTGTCGCTCAGGCTGCCAATGACATGAAGAATGTTGTCCGCCGCAAGTTGACCGGCTACGTTGGCTTCGCCAACCTGCCCAACCAGTGGCACCGCAAGAGTGTCCGCAAGGGGTTCAACTTCAACGTCATGGTTGTCGGTATGTCTACATGATGGGGGCTGGTCTCTCGGGAGGTATTGCTCTGCCCAGTCTCGATTAATGCTTTGCGACAGGTGAATCTGGCCTCGGAAAGTCCACTCTCGTCAACACCCTGTTCAACACCTCCCTCTATCCTCCCAAGGAGCGTCCTGGTCCCAATGCCGACATCATCCCCAAGACTGTGTCGATTCAGTCGACCAGCGCCGATATTGAGGAGAATGGCGTCCGCCTGCGCTTGAGTGTGATCGACACTCCTGGTTTTGGTGACTTTGTGAACAACGATGATTCGTGGCGCCCTATTGTCGAGAACATCGAGCAGCGTTTCGACACCTACCTCGAGGCCGAGAACAAGGTCAATCGCAGCAACATCGTTGACAACCGCATTCACGCTTGTGTCTACTTCATTCAACCCACTGGCCACTCCCTGAAGCCTCTCGATATCGAGGTTATGCGCCGTCTTCACACCAAGGTCAACTTGATTCCCGTTATCGCCAAGGCTGATACCCTGACCGACGACGAGATCGCGCTGTTCAAGCAGAGAGTACGTCCTTTGTTCTGTCGATTCTCTTTCGCCGCTTTTTTTCTCCCCCCCTTCTCTCTCTCTCTCTCTCTCTCTCTATCCAAACATGCTGACGGGACATTTTCTCTCTCCAGATCCTTGCCGACATCCAGCATCATTCGATTCAGATCTTCGAGGGCCCCCGCTACGAACTTGACGACGAAGAGACCATTGCCGAGAACCAGGAGATCATGTCCAAGGTGCCGTTCGCTGTTGTTGGTGCCAACTCCGAGGTGACTGCCTCCGACGGCCGCCGTGTCCGTGGCCGTAGCTATCCCTGGGGCGTTATCGAGGTCGATAACGAGGAGCACTGTGACTTCGTCAAGCTGCGCCAGATGCTGATCCGCACTCACATGGAAGAGCTCAAGGAGCACACCAACAACTTCCTCTACGAAAACTACCGTTCCGACAAGCTCACACAGATGGGTGTGGCCCAGGACCCCAGCGTGTTCAAGGAGGTCAACCCTGCCGTCAAGCAGGAGGAGGAGCGCACACTGCACGAGCAGAAGCTTGCCAAGATGGAGACCGAAATGAAGATGGTCTTCCAACAAAAGGTCTCCGAGAAGGAAAGCAAGCTGAAACAGAGCGAAGACGAGCTCTACGCCCGTCATCGCGAGATGAAGGAGCAACTAGATCGACAGCGCCAGGAATTAGAGGAGAAGAAGTCTCGACTGGAGAGTGGTCGTCCCATCGAAAAGGAGCCCAAGCGAAAGGGATTCTCACTTCGCTAAGCTTTTCGCTGAACCTTCGTCTTCTCAAGTTCTCTTTCGTGCCGTTGACGGCCGCTGCAGAAAATCATCCATCCACCTCATGCAGTCCCGCTCCTTTCATTTCCTCTCACTGTCTCATTGGCCGGTCCCCCTTATCGATGTTCCCAAGGGGGCATTCCTCTCTGGTTGTCCATTCTGTCTGCTCTCACTCACTCACTCACACGTTCTCTCTTCTTATCTTAACCGGGGGCGCTACTCGGCGCCTTCTCTAACGCACATCTCTGTTGCAGCTTTTCTCAGTCTCTCTTGTTTCCTTTTCTTCCACTGGATGGGCTCACGCATTGCAAAGGCAGAACAGGGAAGAGTTGGTTATTGATTAATATGGATTGCGAGGGTGGGACGAATATCCATCTTCCGCGGACTAGTCGGTCGTGACTAATTTATTTTCTCGTTTCTCATTCCAGACCACTCTTCTACTATTTTTCTTGTGATGTACTTTTGTCTTCCCCATCATACTATGCCATGTGTTGTCCTCGTCGGCTTTTTTTCAATGTGCTCTATTGGCCTCACTCATCCAAGTTTCCATTTTTACTTCTAATCATCTCTTCTCTCGTTTTGGGCCGTGTTCATCCGCGCTTCGCATGTTCTTGCGGGCCATCCAGTGCTTATTAGGGCTAATAGTCTCATGTCATTGTTCATTGTAGCGATCCGGGGTTTCCATCAGTCCATGTAGGGTAGATTTCTGAGTGAGGGTCCTAAACTGCAGGTGGCAATGTATCAAGGCGTCAAATTGTAGCTGTGAGGTCGTCCGTCCTGAAGATAGGAAGGCGTCAATGCCTACCTGGTTTTTAAATAGGAGATTTGTGATCTCTCAGCGGTCAGTCTTCCTTTGAAGACACTAGCATTGGCATTGCCCGGTCGAAGGTGGCTGCAACAAACACACATGATGGTCCTCAGAGCAAATAACGCGATACGGCTGCCAAATCGGACTGATCTCCACGGTGCACGTGCAACCTATTTGTGACCACATTAGGAGCGCATTTCTCTGTATCATCTCTCATCGCCCTCAACGACATTTACACCTACAAATGCCAACCATCGGCCATGGAAGGCTCAAATAATCATGTCATCGCTCTGTATGCCTTGGACTGCTGCGAGATTTGGAGGCCATCGAATGTACCATCCATGTCCTTTCTTCGTCAGTTCGGGTGCTAGGTATGTAAACTGCGGAAGCTATCTGCTTACTGATTAGTCTATCATGAGGTGGTACAAGTCTATTTCCAGATGAGGATCTTGGGTGTTGGCCACGGAAAAGGAATATTTCATGCCCATAGCTCAATGTTTGCTTTCTGGTTGAGTTCGGTAGAGGAGTCAGCATTGAGAGAAAAGTCTTATCGAGGTTTGTGTTCATTCGGTCAATTAAATTCTCTGATGACCGAGTCAGGTCCAGGTGAGATGTTGCTGATGGACTGGCAGAAGCACACCCTTTGCAAGAATGAAGGAACTGTCTCAGCGGCCTTAGCACAGGTGAAAGTTAGAAGGTCAGGGGAAAGAGAATGTTCCCAACGGTCCATTCTCAACCTGATATCTATATACTGGACCAGTTATTTCAGCTCCTTGTTTATTGACATAGATTGCCGACAAAGTGAATGGAAGGGATGCCGCATTCTAGTAGACATGGACGGCTTTGGGGAGAATTGCCAAGCCACGACTGATTGCAGCTTAATACATGCCATTCTGACCGAAACATTTCATCACTCCATTATAATTGCCAATGAAATCATCTAGGAAATATTGTTAGCAATAATGCATTTGCTGATGATGATTTTCGTGGACACTCACTTGTGTTGATGGAAGCTTGGTTCCAGCCTCCTCTTCCGTCTCCACAAGTAGCATAGAGGGTGGTGCCGCTCATATGAATGTCCTTACAGCTACCAGAGAAGCCGCCGCTGTAGGTAGTACGTGTGAGCGAATTCAAAACATCAAGTATGGACTAAGCATATCATCCCTATCGGAACAAGACAAGAGATATTCCAAGGAGTACGTCCGTCCTGGGTTCAATTTAAGATAGCGAGGAAGAAGAGGATGGATCTTACTTGAGCTGACCAACAAGTCTACCACCAGAGTTTCCAAAGCAGGAATCCATGTTAATCACGTTGTCAACGTTGTAAATCCCAGAAACCTCCCGGCAATTGGCGAAAATCACCCAATGGGGCGCACGAATTGAATTGTAAGGACTGATGCTGTTGCAAGACCCTCCGTAGCCCGAGTCTGCAGCCACGTCGAGCGCGAAGCAGCTCAATGCCACGAGTGCAAGGTTGGGCAAAGTAATCAACTGCATAGTAGGTAGTTTGGCAACATACAAGTTCCTTGTCGATGAAGGACTTGAATATGCGGAGGACAGCTTTGTTTTATACCTCCAGGCGAGCATGGTCCACCACATGGGGTTTTCTGGCGTCTCCCGTTGTCGATTCCCATTGCATCTGCGTGGCTCACCATGCGCACGTAGTGGCATTGCTAGCGTACGGCCAAAAGCCCTTGACTAGAAAGCCCTTGATCATTTCTTCCATCGATCTTGCCGCGAGGTATTCACCGGTCCTGGGACTCGTTCAAGAAGAACCCCTGCGCGATGAGCTCTGAACAAATTGACTTGGGGGCCAAATGCGTGCCGGCCAGCGAATAGTAAATCGGCCGCCGATACCTTCGCTGTGGCATGCCCAAAGGTAGAGGAAGTTCAGGTGTGTGGTTTGCTTGCAGGTTAATCTCATCTCGGCATCTCTTGCACAGTCGAGAGGGGTCACTTAGGACGTTACATTGATCGTGGCGGATCTTGATGAGTTGCATCGTCTTGATAGAATGGAAGTGGACTGCGCGGGGTGTTTTCAATCCTTCAGGATTAATTTCCACCAAACAAAGGTTTCCGCCCCCATCAAATCGATATCTCCAATAGTAGTCACTACAACTTTAGCCAGTGCACTGTTCGCCTTCATTCTTTTCGAGAAAACCCCTCCGACGCTTCATGTCCACGCAGGCGTTGCTTGTAGCGAATCAAACCCGGTCCACGGTTCTGCACAAAGCCTTTGATAGGTATACGGTCAACTAACAATCGCCTTAGACTCCAGGTTTACGTGCAAAGGACGGGAAGTCATACTACTATTTGAACGCTCAATATCCAAGGTACCCTGCGAGCGGCTAAGATGGAAACTGGGGGGGGTCCAGGGATTGCCTTAGTGCCCATTTTGGTTAAAGGTCCGGTTCATCTATACTGCTCGCTTGATGCTAGAAGTCATTAATGTACTTGTGAGGAATCAGAGCACATACGACCATAGGGTGTGGAGAACAGGGCTTCCCGTCCGCTCAGCCGTACTTAAGCCACACGCCGGCCAGTTAGTAGTATGGTGGGTGACCACATGCGAATCCTGGCTGTTGTATGTTTTTCTTTCTGCCAAGGTTATTCATGTTTTTATTGGACATTCTGATTAGTAATATTGTGTCTCAAGCCTTTTCTTCATGCGCTAAGTATTCCTCGTCTAATCATCATTAAATCCTATTGGATATTCCTAGTATTACCCTAATTTATAGGACAACCGCCTAGTGATCATAGTTTTGGTTTGACAAGATCATTATAATTCAGGATTTGAATTTGAGCCAGATCAACTACATACGACCATAGGGTGTGGAAAATAGGGCTTCCCGTCCGCTCAGCCGTACTCAAGCCACACGCCGGTCAGTTAGTAGTATGGTGGGTGACCACATGCGAATCCTGGCTGTTGTATGTTTTTTCTTTCTTGCAACCTTGTTCCACCTTCCTATGCTCTATAGCTTTTGGAAGAGTGGAATTCCGAACGACCTAGCGACTTTTGATGTGCTTGTTGTTTATCGATTTCGTATTACCCTTTCCTAAGCGTATATCCCAAAGAAGTTAGCCCAAACTACTGTTGTTGTGTCTCTGAAATTCACAATTAATGTTGAAGACTACTATATTCGAGATCAGGTATCTAGATGGGTACATAAATTCATCAAAGTTGCGTTCCCCGAATAGGCCGCCGATGGTCTTACTAAGTCACTGTCAGTGACGAGTCCAATTCGAGCACGTTTTAACCCTTTCAGGCATGAAGAAACTAGTTTCATTTCAGTTTCTTTTCTGTGACATTGCTGACAGAGTCGTGATTGAGGGGGGAGGGGTGTTTGTATAGCATGTGATTCTGATTTCTGCCGCTCACCGTATACCATAGCTTAGGTAGAATCTCTCCCCCATAGCAATCTTACTCCTCATTCCTCTCTCGCGTTCTTCGGCTGCACCTACTACTGTAGCTATAGATCATCACTCACCGACATCCATCCTACCCGATGCTTGTGTATTGATCTGGTGCCCGGAGCAGACTTCTAATACTTTCAAGTTTGTTTACTGATGCGACTTGTAGAATCCAGTTTCCCCTCTCTATTTGTGAAACTGTGGTTTCCTGCGTACCAAAGTCAGCGCAAAGTGTTTCAGTCAGGGTTGCAAAAGTAGTCCTTAGTAGACCCAGATGGACGCCCTTCACAGCGTCAGACATAAGACTGAACTGGAGAAAAGGGAAGTTCGATTGGAAGACACGAATAAGAATTCTTCAGAACGGTCTCATCTTTGTGACGAACAGAGCATCGAACCTTCATCCCTGGTTTACTCAAGGTGGTTATCCTGTTTCCTCTTCAACTATATCCTTTCGTTCAAGCGCGAGTCGGATCTTTGATTCCTTAGACTGAGTATGAAAATGTAAGAGGTCTTTATTATGTCTGAGGAGGTTCTTCAAACACATTGGGCCCGTCTTCGCCTTACATTGGTAAAAGGCAGCTCACGATTCATGGCTTAGAATATATCCAGGATCGGAAAATCGGCTATAGAATCTAGAACACACCAACTCCATGTAGAAGCTATAGCAGCAGTGACAACAGCTTACACGACCAGCCCGCGAGAGCTCATCATTCAAGCAGCAAAACCGTTTTAAAACAGCCCCCACTCCACCTTTTGACTGCCCGCGTCACCATCGCACTCCATATATCCCTTCGCACCAACCTTGCCCTCCCATTCATACTTCGCAATGGACTCAGTGATAATGTTCACAACATCCTGGCTGCCAGTCATGTAAGTGACATCGCCGGTCACGCCAACATTCTGGACGCCGAATTTGCAGGTGCCGTATGTAGGAATTGTGCGCTGGGAACCGATACCGGTAGTCCATACGCCGGTTGTGCCGGCGATGTTACTCATGAGGACCTTGCAGTCGGAGACCAGGGGGGAAGCGGATGTGGTCGTATCCTGGTAAGTGTAGCCGCTGCATTTGGTCACGCCTTGAAGAGGGTTACAGGGGTACCCTGGGGCGGAGGAGTTGGACTGCGCGGGATTTGTCCAGGAGGCCCAGGCAACTTGCGGAGAACAAACCGGCAGACGAATGTAGCCGGGTGTAGTAATTTTCCGATTGGACAAGTCCTTGAGCGTTTGTGAGTCCATTGGATTAGCGACAGGTCCTCCGTTCGCGTTCCCGTTGGCGATGTATGTGTTGACAGATCCCTCGATAAGTTCGGATAGAGTGATGCCTCCCCACTTGGATGGACCGAGAGTGTCCAAGCCAGGTGGAGCAGTGAACAACTTGTGGGTGCATTTGGCTGTATGGTCATTACTACAACCATCCTCTGTGCCATCAGGATAGACTAGATAGTACAGTTTATCGTTGTAGCATGAATACGTAGACTCTTGGGTGGCATTGGTCATATAATCGCCCAGTGGATTCTGTGCACTGCATGGATAGCCCGAGTCGATGACGAAGGCGGCAGTACCGGAGATAGTCCACAAGGTTGGAATAGAGTACCCAAAGAAAGCTTTGCCAATGAAAGCTTCAACATCGGACGATGTTGATTCCGATACTGAGTAGCCAACAGATGGAGAGCCGCCGTTGCCCTCGATGAGTTTACCATCACTGATGAGGCTTGTCAGAAGGGTGATAGAGGGTGCTGATCCGTTGAACAGCGTCCAAAGTTGGTTTGCCGTGGCATTAGACCAGCCCCAGAGTACAGAGCCCATAGTGGCACTGAAACTGTCCTGAGACTGCGCTGTCCATTGACCCCTGCACAGAATTCATCAGCCAAATTGCATTCGTCAACAAAAACTCAGCATGTTCGAGATAGGGATTGCGAGAAAGGGTCATTCGGCTCTTTGATACTATAGCAAACGAAGGAAAGTACTTACGGTGCAGCCGAAGGCAGTGAACTGGTAGCAATTGAAGCTCCGTATGCGATGGCTGAATACGTGACATCTTGAGCAACTTTGGCACCTGCTTCTCCTAAAGCTTCAAGCGCTGGTAGAGCTCCAAGAACTAGGAGACATTAGCATGGGCAAACGTAATCAATGATGGCCTTGTCAAAGGAAGAACTTCAAATGAGGAGGGGCTCACCTCCATCAAAGAATGGCGCAGCGACCACAGTAAGACCGAGACCCAGCAAATCGATAAGGAGAACCAGCCACTCGTCACTCTTCGCTGGAGGAACCGGTGCAAAAGTGTCCTCAAAGTCTGAAAGCTGATTGTCGACGTACGTTGCAGCGATTCCATTGATGGCGTAATACAATTGAGAGTACATCTGGTCGACGAGTTTGTCTGTCAGCTTCTTTCGTCATATGGACACGAGCCCACCTGGGGGCTTGCACTGCTATTCCCCCCATTGAGTCTTGTGCTCAAGCAGCATGTAAGAAACTTACCTGGTTGATAATCACGAAAGAGTTATATATAAGCATTGCCGCAGGACCAGACTCACCGTTGCCGCCAAACCCTTGAAACCAGGCACAGGTTTGGGTGGTGGAGCACGAGCCGGCCGGAGCAATACTTCCGCAGTTCATCGAATCCCCGCCATGGAAGAAGAACATGATGGACAAAGTGAATTTACTTTCGTCATCCCCGATTTTTGGCTCGTCGATAGTGTTCCAGACATTGATGGCATCTGACCACGCATTGGATGCGTCCAGCTCTGACCAGCGCTGCGAGCATGCCATGTAAAGCGAATCCTGCACAGCGGGGTTTTCACAGTTCATGGAAGTCCAGTTGCCTGTTCGGTTGCCTTCAGCGTAAGGATCACGATTCAAAACAGCGTCGCCGATGAAATTCGTCCAGGAGTCCGCGGTGAAAGGAGGATCGTTGAGCTTCTGCAAGTCAGTCGCCCAGTCTGTCCAGCCTCCCATCGAGAGGCTCTGGTAGACCGACTTCCGTGAGTTTTTGATACCGTCGCTCATCCATCCAACCCACTGTGTGTCATCATATACAAGTATATTGGTGTTGCTCTTGATATCAATGTAGTTTTCATTGACCCGGCTGGAGTCTGCGAGAATCGCCAAAATCTCGGCATTGGCGAGGTAGCCTGCAGTCTGGGTACAATTTCCTGGTGCAGCTTGCGAGTCGTCAGCTGATCCCAAAAACGTGCAATCTGGTCCATAGCAACCCGCTTCGGCCATGGCGAACGATCGTCCGTAGCTAGTCACTCCGACCACGACCTGGTTGGACGGAACACCGGCTTTCGTGATCTTTGTACAAGAAGTAAAAAATCAAGTAGATTAGCCAATCAGAACACGTACTGGCCTCCAGTCTCTTTCTGCGCTTCGAGGAAACTCACCATGCTCAAAGCACCCTCTGTTTCGGTAATGTTCACGTCCGAACGTAAACAGGTCCCTGTTGCACACCCTTCTTGTGACCAGTGATTGTTGTAATCCCACTGTGCGGGTGTGGAAGATTTTCAGATTAGTCTTCATCATCTCGTGCCAAGTACCTAATCATCACAGATGCCATACCTGTCCATGTAAATCGTAGGTCATGTAGATGATGTAGTCCACGATCTTAGCCATGGCTTTGATGGGAAAGCCCTTCAAATACCAGTATGATGCTGGCGCCGCAATTGTGATCTCCTTGTCAGGAAGGAAATTTCTCAAGATGGCAAGAAAGGCGAGATAGTTGGTACCGTCATCGGTGCTAGCAGCAGGGATACCAGGGATGTCAGGTGCCTGAACCGTAAAGACCGAAATGTCAACTGAAATTTCCAGCACCAGAGAATGATGAAAAGGCAAGGCGATAGCAATTACGTACTCCTGGATATTCCCAGTCGATATTGACGCCGTCGAGCTCATTGTCCTTGACGAAGTTCGCAATGTTTTTGGCCATGGTCAACCGATTGGCAGGAGTGACACCGTTACGGAAAATCATGTATGTGCTCGGATCGGTGGAAAATGCCCATCCACCGATCGACAAGACACGCGTTGTGCCCACGAGCTGTTTGAACTGATTAAACTCATAGAGGGTGCCCGTCGCGGTGCTGTTGGGGATCTGGACCTCATAGGACGAGGAGAGGACACCAAACGCGAAATAGATGTGTGTGTAAGCACCCAAGTCAATTTGAGAGACATCCTGATAGAGGCAGGGTCGCTTCAAGTTGTAACCCTCATAGAAGCCAACTTTCCTGTATGTGGCAGGTTTATCACTCTGCACGATGGCGGTGCCGCAGTTAGAGATACAGCCGTTGGTACCATTCTTGGCGGTTCCCGGGGCGCCAGTGCTAGTGTTGATACAGAATGCGGATGTTGTGCCGCACTGGAAAGATTATCAGCGGCTCTGATCGATTGCTAACAGAAGTCAACTTGACCGTCGAGTCAGGGGTTCCCGTACCTGTCCCCACTTATCACAGCATGCATTCAGAGGGCACTCGTTGAGTGTGGAAATATTCGTTCCGCTCGCGGGGGTCACCGTCCCAGGAACTTGTGGCCCGCACTCTGCATTGGCAAGAGGCGCCGGCATGGGCGCATTACCCTCACTGAGACAAATAATGGTATGCGCGTAGAGGGGATCACAGCCTCCCCAACCCCAAGTATTGTCGTTGAAATTCTCAAGCTCATCCACTGTGAGCCCGTAAGACGCAGCAATCGTCTTACAGTTATCACCTGCCTTGATGGTGTACGTCGCGCAAGTCCCGTCGGATTGAGGCTGAGGAGAAAAGTCTGGCAATTGACCGGCTGAACAACAAAGGTGCTCACCTATGACCAAGGTAGAACAATCATCGTCTGTGACGTTATTGTACTGAAGGAACTTGGCCAATGTGATACCACATTCCGACGCCAAAGAATCATAGCAATTTCCAGAAACGACTTGGACTGTGGAACAGGTTGTCCGAGGGGCGAGTGCCCTTGCCCTAACAGAGGTCCCATTGCCGGCAGACTGAGTGGCGGGGGAGACTGAGGGACGGGTGGAATTGACAACGGTGGCATGAGAGGAGGAGGCATCAAAGAGGGGCTTCACGAGCGTGACTGTGCCAGTGACCTTTTGAACCACCGGGAATGTCAAACACTTGGCTTGGGACCATGAGGCGAGGGCGGCTTGTACGGAATCAAAAGTTCCATTGCCCGTCGCAATCAGGCCGAACGTATGGTGTGAAGTCTGGCCCGGTTCGCAGAATTGCATCGCTATACTGGCAGCAAGGCTAGCATTGGAAGATTCAATTGAGTCTGATAAAGCAGACAGCGCGTTTCCTGCGATACCTCGACTATTCAGTCCTTGGCCGATATAGAGACCGACCGAGGTGGAGCCATAGCGGGCGAAGAGAATGGTCGGACCGTCCACGGAGCCCAATCCTCCATCCAAGTACTGCCGAAGCTGATGGGTGAGTGTGGCTAGAGAAGACGAAACTGAAGAACCTGTGGTGCCGGGCCAGTATCCAAACTCATAGGTACCATTCACGGGCTCCGGAGCGTTTGAGGACTGCAGGTCAAGGTTTGTGGTATTTGTCGGTAGATTTCCCCAATCCGGGCCATAGGAAGTACAGGCGTAGATGTGATGGCCAGTATGAGCGTCATCAACCCGGTCAAGTAAAGAGAAAGAATAAAAGAGAGACTCTTGACACGAGGCCAGCTGGTTAAGATTGTGGTACATGGACCAGTTGGCTGGGTTGGGTCCCGAGACCGCACATCGGGTGGGACACGCATTAGACCTGCCTTGATACCCGGGACTGGCAGGGAGCCGAACGCGTTCCGAGAGAGCAGTAGTTGGACGGACAGAAAAGAGAAGAGTCAAAAGAGTGACATGAAAGAGAGTGAGGAAGGCACTCCGTGGCTTCGGCCACGAAAGCAAAAGAGACGACCAAAACATGAGCAATAGTGGAATTCCACGACATGAGTCGGGATGAGCGAAAGGAAAAATGAGCGGATGGAAGAACGGGTTGCTTCCTGTTTCTCTCCATGATGGATGATGAGTCCGTAGGCTTTATAGGTTAGTAGACCTCCCATTTGAATCCGATCAAATCTCATCGAAAGTAGCCTGCCTCGCGCTCGCACTCGGTGGAGACCAAGTGCAGAAGACAAGCGTCGCGAAAGGTCCGAGCCGGAAGCAAACATAGCATGACGCTAGTACTAGTGCACTCAGCAGTGGGATGAGAGTAAACTTCCGTACACTCAAAAGATACGAAGAGGGGCACTAAGATAGATGTCGTGGAAAAGTTTTAGCCTTCATGACGGGGACATGGGATTTGGTTGAATCTCAACCCATATTCCTCTGGTGTTTGAATGTCACATGCGGGTAACACCTCGTCATCGGTACTGTACTCGAATACCCAGTGTAGGTGTACACCGCTAGGGGACAGCCTAACCTACCCCTTTTCTCATCCGTCCGGGTCCTTTTCTTTCTTCAAGTCCATTCAATCTTGATTACTCCGGTAGTCCTTTCGTCCCTATGCATACTATCACTAGCCAATCCCGGTCAACAGACTAGTATTATTACAGAGATCCTTGTAAATGTACGCCGTACACATATGGTCACAACTGGGATACCTTATTACCTAATACCTATTACCCCCTGCAAGTAGGGAACCCCGACGTCTCCCCGCCAAACTGAATTTCCTTCTGCGTTTCTCTTCTAACCCAAATCAGTATCCTACAAAGTCCTTCGCAACTTTGGACTCATTAAAACTTGAACCTTACACTTGTTCAACTTCCCTGTCTTGCATCGCAGCATCGATCGCTGGTCTCACGAGCACGATGGGCTTCCCCAGCTCGGGTACATTTGAAGTGGACTTAGTGTTCCCCCGCAATGCTACCTATACCCCCCAGGCACTGATGCCCGTCGTATGGGCGCTGCAGAAACCAAGCATGGCTCCCCCATTAGCGAGCTATATTACCTGGAGCCTATGGGAAGGAAACAACCATAGCTCACCAGGCTCCATCGATGGGGGACTCATTGAGCTGCGTGACGAGGACCCAGCCGATGAACGGCTGATCTCGAAGTTCTTCAACACCATGGAGTACCCAGATGGATATTGGACTTTGACTTGGTCTCTGGAATTGTCCAATTGCTCTCAGTATACGGGCCCATCCCACACCCTCACGCGAAGTGGTTCTACCGTCTTTACGATTCATAAATCGGGCCAGGAACCCGATCTGGTGGCTGCCACTTCGGCCAGTCAATGTGGCGCGATGGAAGCATATGCCTTCAATGTGACATCCTTCGGTTCTGCTTGTGGTCATCTCGGCCTGACGCCAACTACCAATCCGTGTGCCGTGAACATCAGCTCATCAGCCGCCTCCAGTCTATACGCCTCGGCCACCGCATCAGCCTGTGCACCCAATACTCCCGTGAATCCCAACGTGACCTGTCCGACCAGCACCAGCACGTCTTCTGCCAGCAATTCGGCGAGTCGATCACGCATAGCCACTGCACCGGCTTTGTTGATGCTACTGGTCTGGGGAATCAACCTCATCTTGATAGGGTAGATGAATTATCCCATTCTATCACGGAGTTTGTTATCACTTCATCATTACATGTGTTTGATTATACCTTTCTAACATATCGATCTTGTTTGGCGAAATTTGTGCGCCCTGCGTTTATTACTTGTGTCATGTCCCTGGTATTTGTTTTCTCCTCTAGGTAATTTTGCGCGATGTATACCACACGTAGGCAAATGGTCTCCCAAGGCTATAGTATTCAAGTGCCCACGGCTAGGCCTCGAAGGATTTAGTTACCCCCATTTTCACGTTTGTGCACGGCAGTAATTGCAGATGATCACTTGACAGCACTGACACCGTCCTCCGTTCGTCGGTATGCAAAGTTCAGTCTTTCCGAATGAAAGCGTGGGCCTCCCGGGAGAGGCGGCAAGCCCCCCTTCGGAAGAGGCGGCAAGCCGGCTGATATTCTGAGATTCCGAAACTCAGGATCCATGCAGCCTGCTATTCACGACTCAGGTACGAGTCGCCTCAGGCACAGGGATTCAGGGAGTTGCTTTTTTTTTTACCCCCGCTAGCGTTCTGACTAATAGTTAGAAGTACTGAATAACTAGCGAAAGGCTGCAGCACGATATAAGCGACGTTACATCGTGCGATCAAGAATTTCTCTTTCTCTTGACTCAATACAGACTCAGGAGCAGGTACGAAATTGGACTCCGCCCATCGGTCCAGTCAGAATCAAGACGCTGCAGGTAAGCTGGGGCTCCAGGTGGCGCGCTCACACTAGACTTAAGTACGTATTTTAGTTTGAAGAATGAGGCAATTGGATTACTGGACTACTGCTTGTAGTGATTAATCCGACGCTTGTATTACTCTAGTATCATCTCTTTTTCTCGGTGGCGTTCGCCAAGGTGATAACCCCACAAGATCACACCTTCCCACCTGTTAGAGTCTCTGAATCTCTCCACCTGCGGCCCCCATTCTGCATACCAAGAACTGCAAGAGGTCTTCGCAAAGCTTAGCTCAACAAGACTTAACCTCCTCCACAGTAGTGTGTGCGTTTTTTTAATACACTAAGCCAAGTGAGGAACCTCTATAGCACTCTAATTCCCTCAAATGTAGCAGTGCATCGCTTCCGAGGCTTCCTTCAGGTTGCGTGAGAGTCCGGTGAAGGCATGTGAAAGCCATGTGTTGGAACCGAGATGAAAGATTCGGTATACTGGATCCTGACATGCTACTAGCAGTCTAGTTGTGCTAGATGTAATGGGGATGATTACCAGGCGCTGCCCACTTGGCACTATGCCAGGAAAAGACTTTTGTTCTCTCACCGACCGTCGCAGTTGGTACGTCGCGAGTGAGTTCTATAAGTTGATTCTATCGCCCATACCTCCATATCATTCATTCGCCCGTATCCCTCATCCATTTCCAAAGATCAAGAAGCAAGATGGCGCCAACAATTTTCAAAACTGGTCTCGTCTTCCTCGCTCAGCTACAGCTGACCTGGGGAATGGTCATTCTGCCTCGTTCGTCGGTCACTTGTGACTATAAGACCGCGGCGGCTTCTGGAGACACCTGCTCTTCCTTTGCCGCCGAATGGGGCCTGACTGAGGAGACCTTTGGGTCTATCAACCCAGGTATCACCTGTCCAGATCTTGTGAGCGGTCAAGACTACTGTGTGGTTGGCACAGTCACATCTACTGGGCCTACCACCACAGCTTCTTCCACGTTGACCACTTCTACGGTCATCACTTCTACGGTCACCAGTTCTACGTCGTCGTCAACCTCGTCATCTTCGGCTCCATACCAGCCTCAACAGACTGGGACTGCTGCCACTTGCGACCAATACCACCTAGTGGGACAAGGTGACTCGTGCAGTGCCATTGAAAGCCAGTATGATATCAGCTTGACCGAATTCCTGGCCTGGAACCCCTCACTCAACTCTGGTAAGTCACAATCCTCTCATCAATTTTGCACGTCAGCAGTAAAGCGCACAAAAGGAAACCTTTGAGATAAAGCTCTCGTACTGACCCGTGCTGCAGATTGCACTAACCTCCTGGTCGGATACTACTATTGCGTCGATATCCCCGGCGCCACCAAGGTCGCTACTACTACCACGGTCCCAGCCACTACCGCTCCTGCCGACGGCATCACTACCCCCAGCCCCATTCAGACTGGTATGACCGCCACTTGCAATAAGTTCGACCTCGTCCAATCCGGCGATACCTGCGCTGTAATTGCCAATAAATACAATATCCCCCTCGCCAGCTTCTACGACTGGAATCCAGCCGTCGGCTCTTCCTGTGCTCACCTTGATGTGGGCGACTACGTCTGTGTGGACATTATTGGCTACACCGCCACGACCTCAACCACCTCCTCTGGTAACGGAATTCCTACCCCTACTCCGTTTGAGCCTGGAATGGTGAACAACTGCACGACCTTCTACTTCGTCAGTTCGGGCGACACTTGCGCGAGCATTGCTAGTAGCAAGGGCGTGACTGTCGCTCAGATTACACAGTGGAATCCTAAAGTTGGAACCGGCTGCACGGATCTTTGGTTGCATGAGTATATTTGTGTTGGGGTGTAAACCTCTGTAAGGTGATTTTTGGGCTTTGACTAGTGCGAGAGAGGGTGTGCATCTGTAGATTAGTGATGATTGATGATAGATGGATAATTGAGATGGGGAGAGGTCATATAACGAATGATGGCTGGTGTACCTTACAAAAGCATCCTTTAGCTCAAGTTCAAGATGGTTAAAAGAAACTAGCCTGAGACACCACAACAAACTTTCGAGTTTAAATCTGTCGGGAGTCGGGACAAATCCTCCCTTCAGAATAGGCATAGACAACATCATCATCATGTCTTTACTTGGTGTACGTACGTTAGTTAACAGTAGAAGATTCAATAATTCTTACAGACCCCCTAGACTTCAAATTTTTGCCTAGTCAACAGGCTTTAGCCGTCCTGGAATCCGGCCCTAATAATTGGTGAATCTTGAAGGTCGGAGGGGTCCTCACTCCTACGATTATCATTACATGGAGGCCTGAAGTGATTCGGCAACGAATCGCACGTGACTCTTTCGGAGCCACGCCGTGACACCGACTTACTCGGCCCGCCGGGGTTGAAAATAATAGTACCGCTAAACGCTGGATTACTCTCCGCGACCGTAGCGGGACGGGTAGTTATCGCTATGGTGACCCGCGCAGCATCATCCAAATCGAGCCGGTCAAGTGGGACCTCAAGCTTCGTGTAACTATATGAAACTGTCGTAGTGTGTATGGCCTTTGGCGGCTGATTATGGTCTTGGAGGAAAGGAAACGCGGCTCGCGGATAACTCAAATTAGGAAGGTAGAAGAGGAGGGCACGGAAAGAGTCTAGAGCAGGGAAGAAAACAGCCTCCTTTCTTTAGAGCCCTCTCACAACTTAGCGAGTGCTATACTAGACGAAAGTAGAGAAGGAGAGGCACAACATCTATCACAAGTCATCCTTGGTGTCTTGTACCTATTATTTTAACAGGCACCCTATGTCGACCCCCTCAAAAGACATCGACGTTAGTTTGCGTAAAGAGTCAATATCGAAGGCCTAAAGCGCGAGCGTGATCAATCTCGCCCAGTTCTTCGCTGCTCATGCATTGGGGGAGGGGCCAGTGCGCCGAAAGCAAAAGATGGGTGATACTCCTTCGATCTTACGATGGATATTTACCCTTCGGGAGGCAGCCAGATACCTATGTGATTGAGCGAGTCCAAGGGATTATTTCTGTTTTATCATTGAGTTCAAATACATACGACCATAGGGTGTGGAGAACAGGGCTTCCCGTCCGCTCAGCCGTACTTAAGCCACACGCCGGTCAGTTAGTAGTATGGTGGGTGACCACATGCGAATCCTGACTGTTGTATGTTTTTGTCCTATCTTGGTCCCTTATGTTTCAACTCAAGGAAGACTGTAGTGATTGAATAATGGGCAATTTGACTCAGTTTCGTGGAATTCTACCATATATCCAGTCATGAGTATACGGCAGGTAAAAAAAGAGGGAACGGACCGGAGTAAAGCGAAATCTCCTATACTCTTCGGCTCAAATAAAGCCTGGCTGGTTGGTCATTGACTGAACCAATCCGGGGCCCGGCGAACTGAATCTTCCAGCCAACTTAGCCAAGCGATGGCTGTTCCCCGACTCTCTGTCCTGCTAAGGCTGTTGAGTGGATATGGGTTCACCGGGTCAGTACATGACTACATTCATACATTGTTTACATTTTACAAAACAAAAACCAGCAATACGCCAAGTGGCAAGGTCTCAAGTCAAATCGTAAGCAGAAGTCACACGACCGGACAGTTGCTATGTTAGCAGGGGGTCAAACAGCACTAGGCCAAGCCAGCTTCTCCAACGGTCGACCTCTTTCCCGTCCAGCCCTCTCACTCCTCCTCTGCTATTTGTGTGTACCGAGTTGTGTGACTCGGGAAGCATTCAACCACCCTATCCACCATGTCAGGCTCGATTCAGAAAAACGTGATGTTGGCTTCCAAGGGTAAGTACAGAAGCCCGCAGCTTGGGTCACTCGCTTTTCTCCCCCTCACCTTGACGGTATTGGATGTGCACTGATAATCTGATCCCCCAGTCTCGTCCATGCTCGGCCTGCGCCGCGCCGCAGCGGCCTCCCCGCCCTTGACCAGGCCGATCGTAGGTATGGTCTGGCAACAACAAGCTCGGTATGACATATCAATGAACAAAGTCATAGCCACACCTTATACTAAATTTGAAGACTCGCCCTACAGAACGCAGATGACGAAGCCCGGTACGATACAACTCAAAGTCAACAAGCCCGCAGATGGCCTGAGGGAGCTTGAGCGTCAACGGCTCCAGCGCCCTGTCGCACCCCATTTGGCCATCTATAAATGGCAGGTGCACTCAGTGAGCTCCGCCATGGAGCGCAACACCGGTCTTCTTCTCTCGGGGGGCCTGTACCTCTTCGCGGCATCTTACATGGTCGCTCCCTGGCTTGGTTCGGATCTTTCGTCGGCTACACTCGCTGCGAGCTTTGGGGCCCTGCCTGTAGCTGCCAAGCTCGGCATGAAGTTCTTCTTCGCCTGGCCTTTTACTTTCCATGCGTTCAATGGCATTCGATATGTCGTCTCGTCTGCTGGTTACACCTTGACCAGTAAGCAACAGATTGTTAAGATCGCATGGGGAGTTGTCGCCTCGTCGGCGTTGGCTGCTATCGGCTTGGTGGCTTGGGTTTGAGGGCGATCATTCGGCGGTCGTGACCGACCGTTTACCTTGTGTAGCCAGAGAGCAAAGGCATTCATTAGATTTAAATTCATTGAAGTGAACTTGTACATTGTTGTACATTGGTCGACAAGTATCTTAGCGGAGCCGCCATCGGCACCCGTCCCTTCCTAGTCACGCTTTCGCGGTACAGCGAGTCTACTAGTCTAGTATACACGTCGTTATCTATACACAATCTATGTGCAGGTGATTTCCTTACAGTATGTTGTCCGCTGGGCATTTTCATGTGGCTTCAAGTTGCGTCATCTCCTGCCTCTACTGGTACATAAGCTTCGAGAAACCCATATGGCACAATGGATCAAAATCCAGTAGTCAAATAGTGTCACAACAAAGATCTAGTTCGAAAGGCCCCGTTACATTAGGGAGGTCGGGTAGGTATGAATTGATTGGCGAATATCGCTGAATCTCACAGAACGTGCATATGTATGAATCCCATCCTATGATACAGCCTTGACCGTCTCAAATTTCATGGGATGACCACAATTCTCAAGTGATGGTGCAGGGCTGTCGACTCGTCGATGAATATCTTGGCTTTGGCCCCCAATTTGACACGCAGCCAGCTGTGTATACACAAGGAAATTACTGAATGACTGTACCTCAGAACGAAATTACAGCAGATCATTCGTGTATAAGATTGGGTTGACCCACTCTCGCACAGTTCAAGATCCACAATCTACTGGCGCCAACTCCACTAGCCGTGGCGCCTTCCGCTTCAGCCCGATCGACATGGGGATATCCGAGGCTATCGTTTTGAACATTGCTTTCCCTCGTTATTCAAGGGCAGGTCTGATGGAGCTTGCCAACAGAAATCGCATTCTCAACCTATGCAGAGCGTCACAACATGAGATTGCAATTGATGGATGGAATACGGGAAGCTTGATCTCGAGCACTCAGAAATACACTCTTGTGCCGCACAGATTTGTTCATTCGTGGTCCTGCCTACACAATTTGACTATTGAAGAGAACTAGTTCTCGGCGTCCCGTATGATGGATCACTCTTAGCTCAAGGGGATCAGTAATTTCGTCTTGACGGCTTTCAGCATGTCGTCAGTACATCTCACGGATCTGACCCGCCAGATTGAGTCCGTTGTGGCCGCTGCAACAGACACCCAAGCAGATGATACGAATCGTAAGTATCTCCTTCAGGTATGCGACCAGCTGCGCAAGAAGCTTGAAGTTTCGTTTGAGTCCACTCTTCGAACAATCTTCGTAGTGAGTGTACTTCAGAGGTACCATGGTGCAATTAGCATTGTTGTGACTGTAGGTGTCTCCAGGCTAATACACATGACTCATACAGAGCTACCCGGCCATAGCTATCAGACAGGAGGCATTGCCATGGGACTCTTCGATGTGGCAGCACAGCACACTGACGCATCTAATGAGAAAACGGTCACTCTTTCATAGTTGGCCGAAACGACTATAACTAGTCCTCTTCTCGCACATAAGTGATAAACGGGAATTATGTGATGTGCCGCGATCACCTTGCTTAAGTATCGACTGCACTGATGGCCTGGACATTCAAAACCGAGTATTTATTTGAATTAGCTCGAATTATTTGCTTTTTAGGTACGCTGGGCATTTTCATAGAGATTGAGCAAGAAATTAACAGGTCTACCGCGGTGGCAGCATGCTACGTCTCGAGTTCGCCTCTTTCTGCTGCCATCATTCATGTGTAAGGCTCGCGGGCGGGTTTTATATCTTTCTTCTCTCTAGCTTCTACTCTCAACAATCTCAGTGGACGATTTCTCTAGGACCACCATTCGACTGACTTTAGTTTACAGTACGCATTTCTCCATGGTCCTCACCCAACTACCAGCCTATTTCCTCGACAAAAGCTGGCAGAACCCCAACAATGTCCTCAATGGCCCGGTTTACCATTGCCCATATGGCAGTCACATGCACAGCTTCAGTCCTCACGTAGATTGAACAAAAAGTCTAGGTGACTCATAAGATTCTCATGGTGTCATGACAGGACCATAGCTAATAGTGTCGTGACTGAATTGACATTACCAAACGACCATCCTCTCATCGAGATGCCACTGCATGGTCTAGAACTCACGCACAAGATCACGATAAGGATTTTTCGGATCCTGTTCCTCGTCCTCCGCTGACTGAATCGTCTTCTTCACGCGACACGGTGTTCCGACTGCAACGGAAAACGGAGGAATGTCCTTGGTGACGACCGATCCTGCACCAATGGTTGAACCCTGACCGATACGTACACCAGGCAGGACTACTACGTTGGCACCAATCCAGCAATCATCCTCAATGAAGATAGGATGTCCGAATTCAACAAATTTGCGACGTGAGAGGATACTTGTGTCGTGTCCAGCGGTCAGAAGGCTCACTCCGGTACCAATCTGAACTCGGTCACCAATGACGACCAGGCTGGTATCCAACACGGTCAAACTGAGAGAAGAACACGTTAGCCGGCGCCTAATTCTCGATTGGGGGAGTGCGCTCATAGTAGAGCGACGAACTTCCAATTGACAAAACAGTCTTTTCCGATAACGACGTTACAGCCGTAGTCTGGTCTAAAGGGAGGTTCCACGAATGTGCCGTCCCCAACTTTCCCGCAGACCTTGCGGAGTAGTTCCAGTCGTTTGTCGGACACTTGATCCCAGGAAATTGACTTGGTGTCGAGTTTATTGTAGTCGTCGGCAAGGCCGCGGCAAATATGACGTGCCTCGGCCAGTTTGGGAGAGAGTGGGTTGTACCTAAATAGAGTCAGAGATTATCCCAGGGATCCAGTGGCAATCTGGTAACCCGTCCCAGTGAGATATATGGGAAACCTTGCTGAAGAAGTCACGAACATCATTCCTGAAATCATACGCTCATAGTCGTCGCACTGCGGAACGCCCCGCAAATCGCGGGACAGTTGGATGATTTCGGGGCGCTTTGCGTGGGCAGCCATTGCAGTGTAATTGGATGGTTATGAAAATGTCTCTGGTAGTCTGAAATAATGTCGTTCGAGCATTTACCAAAGTTCACAACAAATGAAGAAGTATTTATACGATTTGCTCGCGGGCGACGTATCCTTTACGAAAGCAAGACATGCCCAGTCGGACAAGCGGCGCAGTCATTCCAGTTTCCAGTTGAGGGCCCGGCCAGCCACAATCCCGTCTTGGCTACCCGATCAAGACGCTGGACGGGCTCCGAAGATCTGCCGAGCGGCCAGGCTTTGATTTGAAGGTCTGAAGTGCCACAAGCTGCGTGAGTCGATTCGTAGTGAAAAGATTGACATCATGCTTTACTCAGGTTAAAATTCCCGTCTGGGGGATGCATGAATCCGAGTTCTGCCCCAATTTACCTATCGTTGGTGGCAGGACCTAAATGGCAGTAGTTAATCACCTACCTAAAGTTTACCGCGTTGGAACATCATCAAAGCACTACCCCGAAGGTGCCGCACGTGACACAGGTGGCTAGTGCCAGAATATGCTCCCTTAGTAGAATAGTCAATAGCCGGGGAAATTTGCCGTTGTCCAGATCTATATGACCAGAACGGAAGTATTCTTGCGTGAACGAGGTGTTCTCCCTATTCTCTCTGGAAACAATCCTATTATTTTTTGGAAGTTCTTTCTACCATGTCTTCTTATAGAGCTAGTGCGGGGAAGTATTGTATGCCTCACACCTCAATTGCCTTCGTGGGGCCACCTTGTGCAGGTGCTACGGTGAGCTCCACGTGACCACTTTGCTAGCATCCATGACGAATACCTATAGGTAGTCCCTTTGTTGGGATAGCCTTATAGCACCGTGCGAACAAACCACATTCGCAGTTTTCTGCCGAAATGTCCAAGCACACCGAAAAATGTTTCTCAGATATCTCTGTCAGGACTCCACCCTGAAGTATCAACGAATCTTCTTTTCATTTACTTACTTGGGCGCCTCTCTTGAATGCAGGCCAAGGCCACTCAATGACCATGTTGTCCTACACTCCAAGACTCTTCAGTACGACTCGCAAGAAACTTCCAGACTGGGGATATCACATCTATCGCACTACCTACACTACAGAGTCAGACACTCTTTTCCCGCAAGCTATCGAATACATCGAGGCTGCCATCAAGCAGGACTTTGAAAATGATGGCGGCTGGCCCTCGATCTATCTACAAGGTCCAGATGTGAAACGAAAAGCAAGTGCCAAGTACCAATCTGTCATCCGTGACGACCGCGAACAGTTCAACAACGCGTCCATCCCAGAGATTCGCGCTCACTTTGAGGCCCTGGTGAAAAGCGACGGACCCGAGGTGAACACGAGCAGTCCTGGGAAGTCCGTATGTATCATGATTGATGAGGAGTCACTGCAGACGCTCAAACACAAGACAGTCGACTGTATTAAAACTGACATGCGAGACGATCGTGAGACGGAGACTGACTCATACGTGAAAGTCATCGAATGGCGAATGATATCCGCTTACGATGAGAGTGATGCTGAAGACAAGGTTGAGGGCTTTCAGGGCTGGATGAAATGCTGGACCCGTGCGCTCTGGAATGTGTGGATTCAGCTTTGGAATGAGGACAGCTTGTCTGAGATGTATGAGGATATTGATGAGTCCGAGGGCATCTACCTCGTATGAGATCACCACAGAGGTATTCGTTCAGGCGGCTTGGATACTACTAGACCTCCTGGTCTAAAAAACAATAGTCCCGTTACACCCAGCCATTTCCACTTTCGAGACTGCTCAGAGCATGCATGATAAAGCGGTTTCCAGGAGCCAAACACATTTCACATTGATTATGATATTGGAAGTTGTCCATGGCATCATTAACTATCAAGTTAGAGCCTCGCTCCACGCTTCAGCGAGAACAAGAATCTACCTTCCTCCGAAACTTCTTCACAACGGGATTGGGTGCGACGATGACATTCGACAATTCAATGGTTTCGGGGTATAGAACTCGTCACACTCCGTTTATGCTGAAAGGAGAGAAAATCAAGTCCTTATCCGTGTCCTATGTGTCCTATTAAGATGAACGTACTTTTGCTAACAAGACATAAAGCCCTTCAGCCGAGCAAACTACTAAGCACACGTGGGTACCTAAAGCGGGCACTTCCATCTCGCCAACACATGCACTTGAGTTGCCCTAGTATTTTTGAATCAGGCAATTTCAATCACTTCGACATTGCGCACGAGTCCCAAACGTCCTTCAAATATCCTCCCGCACGTCCATGCACCGAATGAGCTTCTGCAGTTGACGATTTCCAGTCACGACTCCACGTCTGTATCACCTTTTCACTCGAAGCATCGCCAACCTCATCGTGATATTCCGCCTTACTTCCTCGGCTCTTCAGCACGGCGAATATTCTTGGCAAACAATCCTCCAAGCTTCGATAGCACTACGACTTCGAAGTGCTACCGACATTGTAACTTCGAGATCATTGCATACAAGTGATGCCCATCATGAAGTTAGCCAAGCTCCTAACGGAATATCTCCTGATCATCTGGGACCGCATGGACCCATCAGACAAGGTATCTCTGGGCTGTTCATTCTTGGGAACGATGAGCATTTTCACTCGCAGCGGTGTCCTCAAGCTCCTTGAGAACCTTGGTAAAGACAAGGCAGCAAGTACGATTGCGAACGATGTCTCTTCTTGAGAAGAACCGTCGACAGTCCTCTACATGATTAACTATGCTACTACTTTCGAGACTAGCATTCCTCGAAAAGCGTGCCTCATCCTGCATGGGGCAGTCTCTGCTACGCGATCTGCCCAAGTGAAGGTGTTTTCCCATCCATGACTGTTTGGCAGAATCTGGCAGTCCACTACCACCTGGATTTTGCCATCTGTATCTTTCAGCCCCTAGGTCTCCATCTACGTGCCCAGAGTATGATTGTAGGCCATGTGAGTTTTTTGAACCCGCTAGTGAAGAGACATCCTGGTGCAGCTCGGCAATGAAGATGTATGTCACACCCAGTCCGTATATGATCTATTCCTCTTCAATCTCCAAGGAGACCCTGCAGAGAGAATCCATACCCGCCTGGCACAACACTTTGAGCCGCCTACATCACCGGGCTAGAAGGTCGTCGCAGTGTGCAAGCAGTGCAAAGCGCTTCATAATGTTGAAGACGCGTAAGCTCGAAGGCGAAGACTTGGTCTTGATCGTCACCGAACACTCCGATTGGGGGCAAGGCCAAGTTTCGGAGAAAAATTCGATAGTCAGCGACAGCGTGTGGGATATGGAAGAGCCCTCCACGCCAGGTGAGTGGGATGAGGCTGAGATTCACGACCAGTAACTTCGATTTCAAAGCTGTCCAGACAATGGACGAACTGGGGAGATATCGTCGGAAGAAGGTCTCATCTCCCAGAGCATCAAAATAATCGCGGCGAAAAAAAAATATCCCCAAGAGGTCAAGTGAGTAGATCAGAAATCAACAGCTATGGTTACAGTTTCTGAGTCTGCAGCTCTTCATAGTGGCGGCTCTAGGCTGGAGGAACATGACGATGCTTGATCTGCATTGATATATAGCGCAATTACGTCTGTCGAGACAATACATCACGAAGTACCACGTTTATGTGAGCATTGTGCATCTAGGCAAACTCCGACTTTCGTTGAGTCGTTGTCCGGTACTTCATCAGAAGGAACGTGGTTACTGCAACTGAATGTGCTAGTAGGACGGCTTGATGCCTTGATGACTTAATGCCTTACGAAGTCACCTGTGGCGCAGTTAACCCATGACCAATTTACCAATTTGTATGCGGCGGCTCAGGGCAGGACCGCCAGACCCAATAATGACGCATGTTCTGCCCGGAGCGGCCGTAGGCGGAGAGAAGAAAAACACCGCCGGACCAGAATTTTGATTCCGGGCCCGAAGATGCACGGAGATTAATCTCTCTCATCATAATAGCAGCGCATTTTCCTCCTTGTCCCTGTTCCTCACTCGTCTTCTTGACTCTCGCCGAGGGCTGCTTCCCTCTTTCTTTCACGCAATAGGTTCTTCTTCAGTTGACCGGCCCCGACCGTATTCGGGATTCCAGTGTCGGCTCATTCTGCCATGAGCCTTACCTCGCGAGTATACAGCCTGTTTTCGACGACGGCGCAATCCGATTCATCCACAACATCACGCGCGGCGACACCCACCTACAACGATGGGATAAAGGATATTGGCGTCATTCAGGGTGATCGCAAGAATGAAGGTTTCGATATGGAGGAGGAAGAGCCGCGGCCACCGTATCTGCATGTATGGTCATACCGAAGCTGCTCCGCTCAGTGCTGATCCATCGAGGTGCCAACGCTGACAACAGATTGATTGTGCAGGCAATGTTAGCAGGCGGAACAGGAGGCACCTGTGGTGACATGTTGATGCACTCTCTTGATACCGTCAAAACTCGCCAACAAGGCGATCCGAATATCCCTCCCAGATATACCTCCATGACCGCATCGTACGCCACCATCTATCGGCAAGAAGGCTTCTTTCGTGGCTTGTACGGTGGAGTGACGCCAGCTGCACTTGGTTCCTTCCCGGGAACAGTCATCTTCTTTGGCTGTTATGAGTTCACCAAACGGGCAATGATCGATGCCGGCATCAATCAGAACATCGCATACCTGTCCGGTGGTTTCTTCGCCGACCTGGCAGCATCGGTTGTCTATGTTCCGTCAGAGGTCCTCAAGACTCGACTTCAATTACAAGGTCGCTACAACAATCCGTATTTCAATTCAGGCTACAACTACCGCGGCCTGACCGACGCGTTCCGGACCATCGTGCACAGGGAGGGCTTCTCAGCGCTGTATCATGGGTACAAGGCAACGATCTATCGCGACCTTCCATTCTCTGCGCTGCAGTTTGCCTTCTATGAGCAAGAGCAAAACATGGCCAAGCAATGGGTTGGCCAGAGAGAGATTGGACTGGGCTTGGAAATACTGACGGCTGCTACCGCGGGTGGAATGGCGGGTGTGATCACCTGTCCATTGGACGTGGTGAAAACACGCATTCAAACTCAACAGAATCCACCTTCAAAATCCAGTGGAAAAGCAAACTGCAAGTTGTCTGGTGATCATGTTCCAAAAGAAAGTCCCCGGCCTCATGCGCCCACTCCAGCACAAGCCCACCAGTCATCAAAAACTCACTCGCGACCAATCTCAACTTCCTCTCCGTCTACATCAGTCTCTCCTCCTGGTGCCCCGCGACTTGATACTTCGTCGGTCTTTACAGGATTGAAGATGATCTACCGCACTGAAGGGCTTGCTGGATGGTTCCGCGGCGTGGGCCCCCGTGGTGTCTGGACAAGCATCCAAAGCGGAACCATGCTAGTGATGTACCAATATCTTCTCAAGCAACTGGAGTATTACCAGGCTTATCTGGACGCGGATCGACCCTTATAATATCAATCTCAGCCTGCATGCATTTGGAATGGATTTCATTCCATCGAGGTGGCGTTTTTTTTCTGGCTTGTTTTTTGGGGTTTCCACAATCTCTTTCGTCTCCTGATATTATTTGGTCTGCTACACGGGGTGGTTCATGGTGTGTGTGTGTGTGTGGATGTACACTGTACAGTATATTGTTGTTTCCTATTTAATGTTCCGATAGACTAGTTTCTCTAGACCAGCCGAAACGGCTTATTGTACTATACACTACATGTATGATATGTGACTGTCACCTGTTCATAGGGTTCTTCAAAACTGTCTAACATTTCAAAATTATTCACAACTCCGAGCTGGGCAGTATAGATCTGGATGATATCATCAAGAAAGGTTAATGTCCATCATAAGTGGCAGGCGGCACCGGAGTGGGAATTTTCCCCAGAGAACAAAGAGCCGACGCGCTAGTGTGTTTTGTTTTGGCGATCCGCGTGTAAACAAGCCCCAAGTCCCCAGTTTAATAATCCCCCCTCCTCTCCTTGCATTTACACTTACTCTTTTCCCCTCTTCTCCCGAAACATCCGTTACCGTGTTACATTCAAATACCAAGTAACTCTGTCGCGTTTACAATTGTCACTATTGTATCCGTCATTTGCATGGTCGAATTGGTTGGCTAGACTTACCATCTTGTGTTTCATCTGAACGTGCGCGCCCGCTTGGACCCGGATTCTTATCCTCCCGCAATCATCATGTCAAGCGGCCTACCTTATCTGAATAAGCTGCGCAAGCCGGAGCTGGTTGAGTTTGCAGAGAAGACTGACCTCCAAGAGTATGTTTCAACTCGTCGCGCGCTCTAGGATGCGACATGCGCTGCGCTAACGGAAATTTGCATCGTTTCGCGCTGACCTTCTTTGCTCCCCGCATCGCAGTTTCTCTGACCTCAACAAATCTGAACTTGCTGTCACACTGGACAAGCACTTGAGCAGCAACCGCACCATTTTTGCGGGTGAGAAATCTCTGGCTGATTACTATAAGCGTCTGTCCGCGCCGCCTCGTGGAGGCTCGCCCGTGAAGCGCGAGCCTAAAGTCGAGGTCCCTGGGTCTGTGAAGAAGACGCCGGGTCGTAAGCCCGCCGCGCAAAGACAGGAAGAGGCGAGGTAAGGGAGATCCTAGTGCCATCGCATCATGATCGCGTATCCATGTACAGAATATCCCGTTAATCTCTCGCGACAGCTCTTCTGAGGAACCGCCGTCTCGTACAGTCACCAAGTCGCCCAAGTCGCCCGTCTCCCCGACCGAGGTGGTGCGCCGGTCCGCACACCGAGCGCGCGCGGTCCTCGATGTTCCCCCTTCTCCTGCTGTCGTGACAGATGTCATTGATCGACAGACTACGCGCGTGCGCGAGGGAATCGAGCAAGCCTGGACCTCGTCGGGGGTCACTGAGCGCACACACTCTCTGCGCGCAAACTTGAGCAGCCTCTTTGCGATTGAGGCCCTGGTTGTGTTGGTTGAAGCTTACACCGTGGTATCTGATCAGCTGCCCAATCGATTCCTGACCACCATCGATGCCAACCGCACCTTTCACACGCCCGCTATTCCCGTCAAGGTTCCTGACTTATTCCGCCTGTTGACTCCTGGCTTCTGGGGTACCTTCACGCTGTGGCTACTCACCAATCTGATTGTCCCGCTGGTGGCGGCTTATTTCTTCAACTTGAGCTGGTACGCTGCTACTGGCGGCGGTGCGCGTCGAGGTCGCTCATCATCGTCCATCAGCACCTTTGATCCCATCACTTTCAACATTGCCAAGGCGTTGATGGTCTGGAAAGTGTATGTTCAGGGCTTTTCCTTCTGGGGCATGTACAGCAAGATTGCTTTGGAGAAAGTCAACGCCGCTGTTCCCGGCAACTACTACGGGATGTGGACTGGCGCCGCAATCGGTGTGCTTGGCGCTCTGTACGAGGCTATTCTCCGCCGGCAATGAGCATAGCCGATATTGATTAGATGCGGGTTGCTCTCTCACCGGACTCGCTGCTTCTAGTCTCTCGACACAGGTATGCGAGGGTGACGACCCCCGCTGACCGTGCGGTTCGTCGTTGATACACCTGATGTATTTCACGGGAATGTTCACACGTTAATCGTTGGCTGTGATACGTTGACCAGCAAACATGAGGCAATTCGTCTTTCAATCGCATCCTGCTTTTTTTCCGGAGGCAGGGGTTTTCGTGGAGTGATGGACGTTGTGGGCTGTTGATATGGGCTTGGTGCGCTGGGCGCGGTGTTCTTCGACCTGTATCACTTGGTATCTTCTTGGCATGTCTGATGAACAAGGGGAGGCGTATGGTTTTTTGGACTTTTGGGCAGGTGCTTCGCTGGTTTCTCGAATTGTTTGTCCTTGCCTCTTACAAGCTATTGTCGTTTTCACCTTATCGCAATGCTCCTCTTCTCTCTAACTTTATACTGATCACATTGGGAGTGAGGAAGTGATTGTCTGAACCACAAGTCGATAGTAATATGACATACATCCTCCCGCCTATTCTCACGTTTAGCAACGGTGGCCTGGAGACACACAGACACTCGTTTCAGGCTCGTTTTAGCCTTTGAGCTAGCTCCGCTGTGAACAAGACTGGTACATTCGTGGAAACCTCCACCTTGTCAGCCCGAATGTGATTGCTTGTGGATATTTGGCCGCCTATTTCGGTGTGCCAATCTTCAACGTCCCACTCGAATCCCTGTGTGGTAATTGACGCCGGTGCTGAAAGCGGGATAATGCCAATGTTCTCTTCAAAGTAGTATTCCCTTTCTGAGCTTGACGGTGGTCCATCGTTGTCGCCTGCCTCATCAGGGCTCAGGCCAGATCGTATGGTTTCTGATTCCGGAGGGCGGTTCGTGCGTGGTGTCAAGATGATATTCTTGCCCTTCTGGAGTACAAATGAGATGCTCTCTTCGGAAATCAGATACAGATTGCCCCCAGCACCAGGGCTCACATCCTGCGAGCTGGAGCTGGCCTGTAATTGGCGCTGCGTCTGCGTCATCATGTACAAGTGATGAATCTGCGAAAAGGCCTGATCGACTCGACCACCAAGACCACCTAGGATGACGATTTCGAGCTTTGGTGACGGAACTGAGCAGGACTCATTCGTGGAAATGGTTTCCTGGCCTGTTCTTGACGTGGCGACTTTTTGTTTTCGCGGTGACTGAATGATCTCTGACGCGTGGCTATTGAGGTATTTGAGACATTTGGTAAAGTCTGTTGAGTATTGATCTGGGTCCTTGACTACCGATACTTCCAGTTTCTCGTAATGTTGTCGCACTGAGGGGCGAATGGAGTCCAGGTCGCCGATGATTTTGTCCGGAAGCTGAGTGATGTGTAAGTCGGAGTGCTTGACGCCTTGTATCTTTAGAAACACAGGTTTGTCTTTGTTGCCATATTGCCGTGGCTACAAAAACATTTTAAGATTAAATTCGAGTGACGGCCTCTTACTTCAGTGGATTCTTTGCCCTGAGCCTTCATCATATCAAAGAGACGATTTGCCCCGCCATCGGCGCAAATGATGTAAGAAGCTGTACAGATTGAAGATGGTCAGTGAGCAAGTTACCTCGGCGTCAACATGGCCTTACACATATTTGATAGGCCAGTCAATCTGATTCAGAAGCGTCATCCAAGCACTTACCATGTTGACTCAAGACAGTAAATGCTCTTTCGTTGATTGGTTGGTTTAGCATCAAGAGAGCATAAGGGGACGGACTTCCCTCAGGCCGGAAGAATCGGCTTGGATCCCACTCCATTTTGTAATACTCCAGTAGTCTAGTGAGCTCAATTATGTTTTATGCGCTCGTCAAGAGTCCCATGAAATCCAGATCTCTTAAGTGATCTAGCAACAGAAGAGATGCAGTCGCGTGCTAAAGCGGCTCCGTGCAACGTGACTGGTTGACAGGCAAACCTCAGGCCGGAATCCACTTCTCTTTCCACCAACTTCTCCGTCCGCAGCTTCGGCTTCTTATCCTCCGTCGTTTCCGAGTTGCGCCCTGGTCTTGTTCGTCGCGACTGTGGTGCTTTCCTCTTTCCATTTGGTTTTCGGTTGATTCTCCTACTCGTAACATCATTGTCCTCATCATGTTCCGTCCCGCCGCTCGAGCGCTGGCTCGCGCGCCTGCTGTCGCGGCCCGTATCCCGGCAAACACTCGATTGATAAGCACCGCCAATCCTGTCTCCAAACCGCGAAGCTGGAAGAGCATCTTTGTCCGCCTCGGTCTGGCGGGTGGCGCCGTCTACTACTACAACACAAGCGATGTCTTTGCTAGTGAGCCCTCTTGTACGTGCCTGCCAGAGTTAATCCGCCAAATTCCCTCGGTATCACAGATGCATTATGCGGACTCGTCGCATTGATTGATCTCTGGCCTGCCTTGTGTGTTGTACCACCGGAGATGTACTGATTATTGGATCTTGATGCAGTTTCCGTCATGAGCCACCTCAACAAAGAAAGCACCGAAGACACTCCCGCACCCAGCCTCAACTCTGTCACCCCCAAGATCCAGGAAGAGAAGGTTGTCTCCCAGTCACAGCCCAAGGCTGATGCGCCTGCCCACACGACGTCGCCCGCCGATCCTGCCGCGGACGCCGCTGCTGTGGAAATCAACCCGCAGGTAGGCATTGACTCAGAGGAGCCCCCCGAGTCGGCGGCTTTCAACCCAGAGACCGGCGAGATCAACTGGGATTGCCCTTGCCTGGGCGGTATGGCCCACGGTCCCTGCGGCGAGGAGTTCAGGGCAGCATTCTCTTGCTTCGTCTACTCCAACGAGGAGCCCAAGGGTATTGAGTGTATTGAAAAGTTCAAGTACGTATATCTCGTCCAGGAAGTTTGTTAGGAGCAGAGAAGGAAATGTATAATGCTGACTGAATACTACAGGGGCATGCAAGATTGCTTCCGTCAACATCCAGACGTCTACGGCGCGGAGCTGGAGGATGATGAGCCCGAGGGCGAGGCTCCATCTTCGGCTGCCGCCAATGTCGAGCTGGCCGAGGGCGACGAACTGGTTCCCAAGGCTCACCACGATCTGGGCGAGAAGACCGACGCCGCCAAATGATTTCACCCCAACCTCACGTATATCATTCGCCGCTATTCTCGGCACCTCCTCTGTAATATGAGCGTATCTTTGGATTAGGGTGTGTATTATATCAAAAAGCAATATTTGCGCCTCCTCTGCCCTGATTCGAGGAACCCGTGCACTGCATTTATCTCCTTGGTGCGGTTTACTTTTTTCGCAAATTCATCTCTTCTCCTCCTCTTGCCTTCTGATGTTCCTGGCCACCCTCTAATCTTGCGACGTGGTGCATGCATAATTCTTGTGTGCTTTCTGATCTGTACACCTCAAGAGGATGAAATAGAATAGACTTGACAGCATTGAAACACTCCAGACCATTGAAATCCGCCAGCCCCAATAGATGATTCCTCGTATCCAGTGCGTTGTCCATCGATTATTGACCTTCAGCGACGCGACCTGTCGACGAGAGAGCAATGCAGATGGCTACCTTAGGTCTCAGCTAAAATGAACATCATGTTACGATCAATAGAAAGGTTACTGCTACCTACCTAGAGAGGGAGCACTCATGCTCGGTTTAAGCGGGTCGGGGTATCTAGCTAGATGCCGACCAAGAGGTCTCCACGTCCGAGAAATGAACATTGAAATTCGCCTACGTTCCATTTCCCTTCGCGATAGAAAATCTCTACCTAGATGATGAATCTGGACTCAAGTTGGAGTATAAGCTCCATCATCCGTGGCAGTGTCAATATGACTTGTGCCCAGCTTGTTGCTTGTGGAGACTGAATTGCCATTAAACAGTAGCCAAGAGGGTAATTCCAGACGCCAAGAAGACCGCGAATTTGCGATGTTTCAAGTGGCCTCGAGCGTGGCCTTCCGTGAGATAACAGCGTTGGCAACAGGCTCGGCTGCAATGGTGCATGGAGAAACATGTCTATGCATTGAGGGAAGGACAAGACTTTAATGTAGCGTACGGTAAGTGGACCTCGTGTAATCAGCGGTCGTTTCCACTGGGCTAGCAGCCTAGAAGTAGTTAACATTGCCTTGATCATAATGTGTTCAAAGAATGACGACAACCGCAAGATCGGCCAAGCGAATCCTATGCCGTCAACGGAGATAAGCGGAGACGCGGCTGCGCGATATATTGTCGCGAATGAGCATCGAGTCTGCCCGAGAAGCATGTCTCCACTTGTGCCTGCTTAAGCAAGCCGATACAGCAGTTTTCAGCTGTCAACAACGTCCTTCACGAACGTTCGCGATAATGGCAAGGCCAAGACCGCCCGCGGCAAAATTCTCTACTCACGGTACATGTGGAAGTGGAGTTTGAGCGAGGATCTTCAAGATGGTTGGATGAGCCCGGTAGTTTTTGACTCCGATCTAATCTTTACCCTCTACATCGCCTTCACTTCTTCTCGTTTACGCTGAGCTTAATCCTCGAGATTGGCCCGTGAGACATCACAAGTATGGATCAATACAGGGACGTGGCCTCGGATGACGAGGCCGTTTCGGAAACCGACTCCCTTCGAAGGACACAGTCAACAGAGCAATCTGGGACTGATCCTCATAGTAACCTTCCAGTATATCGAAACATTCACCGGTAGGTCCACAAATGACACTCTTATTTCAATCTCTTTGTGGCAAGGTAGGCGCTCTGATACCTGCTACAGAATTCGCCGTCTCATCACACGGAATATAGGTCAGTGGAAGTCGACCCAACGCCGAGCTATAGCGCTAAGCAGAGAACAACAGATGATCCCTATACTTCGGAACAACTCTCCGACCCTCAAATGAACATGCTCATCGTGAGACCGCTGGTTGATCAACTCTACAACCCTGATGATGTATCTGTCGGTATGTACTTATGATGAGGTGCTCATACAGAAAATACCTGCTCGCCATCGTCCCTCTACCGACAGCCAAGTGCAATTCGCGGCTAATAATAGCGCAGTATTCTGCCTACTGGTGAATCGCACTCAGTTCTTGCGAGAACAACACTATGAGGTTCACCTACAAACTGTCAGCATCACTCGCGCAACCCTTTGTGAAATACTGGCAAGCAGAGTCTTGCGTCGATTCGACGAAGACAATCCAGGTCATGCCGGTCTTTTGCTGCTAGCAAACATCTTGGTAGCAGGATTTGAGCCATTCCAGAATGCACCAGAGTCAATCACCATAGCCCAGCCTAATGCGCGCCAATGGCCAATACAGAAACGCGGGGGATACGAGCGCAAGATCACGGCATTAGAAGTGGCGATCATCTCTGAAAGCAAGGCTTTTCTAAGTTCATCGGCTTGTCAAAAAGTTGTGGATGCTGTTTACCGCGGTCAAGTCATCTACACACCTCTCTCGTTCGTCGATATCATTCCTGATCACTACAAACACCGTCCGATCTCGCTATACAACCCTCGAAAAGCATCAATTCTCAACCATCACCGACTGATCGTGCCGCGTCTTCGCAATATCATTGAGATCTTCCAGTTCGCCGTGCTCCTGCTTCTTTATGGGCTGACCATGATCAAACGAGACGGCGTCGCTGTCACCGGTTACGAGGTTGTTTTCTGCACTTATGCAAGTGGCTGGCTACTGGAGGAATTTGCGGCCATTATCGAGCATGGATGGTACGTCCACACACAGAATGTGTGGTCATTCCTCGATATTGCCTTCTTCATCATTTACTCTCTGTATTTCACCTTACGAGCGTATGCTGGATTCTTCGACAGCGAGGAGGTGGCTGCGACCTCCTTACACGTCCTTTGCATCGCGGCGCCATTCCTTTTACCGCGACTGGCATGCAATTTGATGCCAGACAACATGCTCTTCATCTCTCTTCGTGCGATGATGCGAGATTTCTCGGTTCTGACCTTGCTGGCCACGTGGTGTTTCGCGGGCTTTTTCCTTTCGATGACATGGCTTATTAATTCTCGCGCGGAATCCAGTGTCGAGCCGCCTGGCCCAGCGACAATCTCCAAATGGCTGCTTTGGATCTGGTTTGGACTCGACGGAACGGGATTTGAGCGCTCGGTAGATTTTCACGTCCTTCTCGGGCCTGCACTGATGATCGCGTTCGCTTTTCTCGGCAACACACTTTTCCTTACCATTCTGGTGTCCATGCTCACCAACACGTTTGCCAAGATTGTGGAGAACGCGGCTGCCGAAGTTCACTTTCGTCGCGCGGTCCTCACTTTCGAGGGTGTCAAAAGTGATGCCATTTTCGCGTATCGACCCCCCTTGAATATTGTGGCATTAATGATCTTACTTCCCCTGAAATTCATGCTGTCCCCGCGATGGTTTCACAAGGTCAATGTAGCAGCGGCGAGAGTATGCAATGCGCCCCTTTTGTTGGCCATCAGTCTCTACGAGCGGCATCAGCTATGGCGCTCGCCCAACAGAGACACAACAAAGGGGTACAAGCGGTCGTCACTCTTCCAGTGGACCTTCTCTGGATTCTCTCCCCACGGTGATATTCAAGCTGTATTTGACGTGGACCCTCCAAAAGCTATGTTCGAGAATTCTTCTTGACGATAGCTCTTACAGGAGCAATCCTAATAGCGTTTGATTGAAAGCAGCTTTACATTCTATTGCCAATTTTTTCTGTTTCATCCGCCATATTTCGAGCTACATGCACACACGAGCTGAAGGTAGCGAGCTCCTCAAATCATATTTTATTTGATCAGACCGACTCTAGCTCAGGACATAAGTTGAGTGTGCTGTGTAACCTTGAGCTAGACTGCCTCGAAGAGATTAACTTAAACGTCAGTGAAGACCCAGACATTAATTCTGACTCTCATCGTATCCCATCACCCACCAACCTTGCAAGACTCCGTTGAGACAGAATCAATGACATTTCAGAAATCATCGGTTAGGTTCACTAGTCCCTCCCTACCCCCAGGCTGACCAACTCACATTAAAGTAAGGAATGAACCGATTATCCTATGTTGGAATTGATCAATCGCACCCCAAAGTTCCACTCTTGGCGCTGTTTGCGACGGCAGAATGAAGATATTGAAGTAGACAATCCCGCATCTCACGGTCTAACCGAGCCCCTGCCCACGGCCTCGCTATTTAAGAAATGACTACCCACTCAACGATGTGCTGTGGGATTTCTTCTCGATCCTAAAGCTTGCAAGGCAGTTCTTTGGTATCTTGCCTGACATTTTGTGTGGCAAAACGATGGGCGCTCGCCCTGTTCCGTATGTTGTCAGATCCGAGGGCTGGGGATGGGAGCTTCGAGGCTTTCAAAGTTGAATCCGGCGTGGTGAGAGAAACTGAAAAGGAGTTCTAGGACCATCTCGTCCGAGACTTATCGTACTCCCCGGCATGGTATGTCTCTTCCTTCTCTGATTATCTAGTGTTTGGGAAAATGGTATACTGGCGATAGCTGAGTTCAGCCTACGGTGCTGCTCGTCTGTATGTTTTTTCTTGTCTACTCACCAGCCCGGAGATCACCGAGCTTCTGTCTTCCATCATAAAGACTGACCCCTCACTTCCAGTATACTCCCCCAGTTTTGGGCTCACCACCTGTTCATTTTAGCGATGCCGAGCTCAAGCTCATCGGTGAATACGGTCTTGTGAACAAACGTGAGGTCTGGCGTGTTCAGTACACTTTGTCCAAAATCCGCCGTGCCGCTCGGTTCGTGAAACGATATCATTTAGCATCTCCACCCATTTATAAGCAAGCCTCGCTCCCACGATACAACTACTGAAAATAGGATCCTCCTCAAGCCTTGAAGAAAATGACCCCAAACGCCTCTTCGAAGGGAACGCCCTGACCCGCCGTCTCGTTCGCCAAGGTGTGCTCGACCAGTCCCACATGTGCCTCGACTACGGCCTATCTCTCCGGCCGGAGGACTTTCTCGAGCGCAGATTGCAGACAGTTATCTTCCGCCTGGGACTTGCGCGATCGATTCATCATGAGCGTGTATTGATTCGTCAGCGACACACCAGGTGAGAAGTCTTCCAAAGTAGCTTATCGCAGCGCAGCTGGACGCCCTTATCTCAGATTGATGGTTGATCCTGATGGGTTTCGTGTGTAGGGTCGGAAAGCAGCTCGTCAATGTTCCCTCGTTCATGGTACAGCTTGATTCTCAGAAGCATATTGACTTTACGCTCAACTCTCCCTTTGCAGGAGGTCGTTCTGGTCGTGTTGCTCGCAAGAAGGCTCGAGACGGGACAGGGAGTGGTAGAGATGCTGCAGAGGAGGGTTGAGTTTAGTGAATGGTAGCTGTGATACAGGTCGGCAGGGGCAAGAGCAGTTGTACAATGTGCTTATCATGGGCCTCTGAAAGTAGACTAGATATCACCGGGCTGATGGAATAAAAAGTCTTGAGTAGGAGATCGTGCAAAATCCCTGTGTAAATCAGTTCTGGTCGGGTGTCTGTACTTAATTGAACGGCCTGAACGGCCTGAACGGCATGAACGGCCTGAATGGAAGGTCAAAAGTTTCAACCACACTTCATACACACCTCAGCGGCTCGGGTCTTTTCGAGATGCCTGAAGATCAAGAAGAAATGCACCCAACAAGTGAAGACATACAATAGCCGAGGGCAACATGTAGCCACGCAAGCCACCATACTAGTTTTCCTTGCCTTGTCATAGCTGGTCCTTGTAGTGGCCAAGATCAGATGGTTACCTTGCATAGTTACTACAGAGGGTACTGTAAGTTCTCTGAACAGGCTGATCCTATCATCGAGCGCCAGTACTAGGCTAGTACCGGAGCAGGTACCTAGTCTACACCCTAAAGTCTACACCGCGCGGACGGCTGTATCGTGGGATTTGGTCCGGGCGTGCTGCCAAGCTTCCAGTTAATTTCGTATTGGAGACAGTGCTGGATCTTGAGTTTGGAATCGGAAGGCATGAGCGTATACGCATGCTTAGATGGAGACGCCGGAGGTAGGTTAACTAACAGGTTCTCTACCACTACTCTACGGCGTGAAAACAGGCAACAAAGGTGTCTTTTTCTATTTTCATTTTATCGATACGCTATCCGAAATATTCGTTTGCAAAGGTACCTAGCTCCCTTTAATTAACCGTCGGTTGGTCTAGGTCCTTTTACTCGACGTAGATTGACCCAGCACATACTTGACACAAACCTTTGCCCTGGTGCGATAGAAAGATCAGACTTCATCGCCCTACTTGATGAAATTCTTCTCAGTCTGATGTAAGTGTATTTATTCACTTTGGGAAGGTCTCTGCCGAGAACCCGCGGGCGGTCGTCAGATGGGAAGAGGGTTGAAGAGGGAATCCGATTCTGAGAGCGATTCTCGGGGATTTTGACTGCGATGAAAATTGCATTTTAAAGGTCATTTTCAATATGGGGCTAAGATCTCCTCTCATCAGCCACGCGCCCCCAAGAGGGTCTCCCCGCTCCAAGGCAGCGGTGCATAATGGATCCAGTGGCGGTTGCCCGCCGATATGGTTGCATGAATCATGAATGGAGCGCACAGGTAAATTTCGAGCGGAGCTGGAAATGTGGGGGAGGCGCATTGGTGGCCTTGCAGCCTGACGGACTTGGCAGACGGGGCTCCTTATCGATCGATCCTGCAACTGTTGAACTACCCGCCGGGCAACTCAGGACAGAATCAACCAAGCATGCATGCTCAGGACCAGATTCTAGATTGAAAACAGGTCTCCACTCTTTTTGGGGACTGGAGATGCATGCATTCCTTCGACTTTCGACTTTCGACTCTTTCCTATCAGTATCCACTGATTCGAACTCCTTGCAATGCACGATTCAAATCAGACAAAGCCATGTGGCTGGTGGTTCTGAACGACTGCTCCAGCAGATCGTGGCATCTTCCCACCACCATGGGATCGGTCGGCTTTCCAAGATCCACCATCCATCCTCCACCCTCCCACTTTGAGTTGTTCCAATCTCATTCGCCACAAAATAAGTTTTCCCCGTCGACTTGGCCCCGCATGCCACCAACTCGGGATCCTTCATCGCAGATCGAGTGTCTTCTTTCTGCACTCATTGCCTGTGCACCTACAATACATGGTTGGGGCAACAACAATGTCCCAACCTGTCTCTCTTTTGGAGAACCAGTCAAGGCCGGAAAGCTTCGGTACGACCAGGGAAATCGAATTTTTCAAGTCAGTGTTCGCCCAGTTTTTCTTCGTTTGCGGAATTCATCCAGATTATGCGCTGGACAGAGTCTCACTTACATTTTTTTGCCTCTAAACAGATACTTGCCGCCTGTGACAACTCCTTTACACCACGTCGACTGGAATCCTCTCCCCGCCAACTTCACTGCGCATCCATCACTTGATCCCACCCTGTCGGCGTTCGCGCAACTAGGCGCATTACGGCTAGACGCCAAACGAGTCATCATCTCGCTTTTCGGTCGACACGAACAATACATATTGACCGAAGCCACTCGGACGCTCAGTCTGCGAGATGAAGCCGACCATGACGCTCGGGATGAGCTCTGGGTCGGGGCGTGTACCATGTCTTACGACCGCAGTTTATGCGCCTCCATTGCGAATACCCCGTCGTCCGTCTCGCGATCTCTCGCAAAACTCCCAGTCTCCGTGATCCCTGATCTTTCTCTGGACGAGACGTATCATAACCATCCCGATGTCTCCAATTACCCCAGTATCCGCTTCCTAGCTAGTGCGCCGATATTCAGCCCCCGAGGCGTCGTGATCGGTGCCTACACGATTCTCGACGACAAACCTCGGACAGTGCCTGGCCCCGATATTCTGAAGTTCCTGTCGGACATGGCAGCGACCGTCATGGATTATTTAGTCACAACTAGATCGCGTGCCCAGCACATTCGCGGCGAGCGCATGATGGCCGGACTTGGAAGTTTCCTCGAAGGGAAAGGGAGTCTGCGCACTTCCTGGCTAGAACAAAACGGTCAAATCTTGAGTCCTGGCCTGGTCGACGATGTGGAGGGCCACTTGAATACCCGACAGCAAGACAAACAACGTGTGGAAGCTTTGACCAATGCCGTAGGCGGGAAGAAGGGTCAAAGTTCCATGCCATTCCGTCTCAATTCTCACGTTCCTTCGAAGGCTTCTAAGAAGCATGGACCATCAGATTTACCATCACAGTCCACAAGGAATCGATCTAACTCCCCCAAGTCAGCTAGAGTCAAGACCCATACTGAAAGGAAAACGTTGACAGAACAAGTCCAAGCGACATTCTCACGTGCAGCCAACGTTGTGCGGGAAAGCATCGAGGTTGAGGGGGTCGCTTACTTTGACGCCAACTTCAGCGGCCAAGATGCCTTGGTGGCAAGCAACAAGTCCGATTGCGAGAGCAACCCCGGGAGCTCCGCAAGCGAAGAAGAGGGCATTGATTCAGGAAAGACTGCACCGCCCGAGATTGTCGATGCAAGGGCTCAAAATTCCGGATCGGCAACAGTGCAACCCGCCAAGATTCTCGGGTTTGCTACCTCAACTGCAGCCAGTGTCAACCAAGAATTGACGGGAGATGCGCAAATCTCAATATCTGAAGCTTTTCTTGCGGGGCTCTTGCGTCGATATCCTCGAGGCAAGATTTTCAATTTTGGTGAAGATGGTGCCATCTCAACTGGAGACACGAGCGATGGTATCTTCACAAATCCTTATCCTCGTCCGGGGAAAAGGTACAAAAAGACACGAAGCTCGATTTTGCGACAGGATGCTTTGACTCTACGCAAATTGGCTCCTGAGTCTCGAAGTGTGCTTTTCTCTCCGATTTGGAACTCTCATAAGTCAAGATGGTATGCCGGGACAATTGCATGGACGAAATCCCCCGAGCGCATCTTTACTCTCGAGGACGAATTGAACTTTTGCATGGCGCTTGGAGCCAGCCTCATAGCTGAAGTTCACAGACTTGGCGCTTTGTTTGCAGAACAGGCCAAGCGCGATTTACTCGCCAGTCTGAGCCACGAGCTCCGATCTCCTCTCCACGGCATCTTTGGCACAGCAGACCTTTTGAGTGATACAGCTTTGGATGCTCTTCAACGAGGATTTGTGCATACGGTAGCCTCATGCGCCAATACTTTGCTCGGCTCGATCAATCAACTGCTTGAGTTCTCCAGTATAAACGATATGGAGCGAACTCATGGCCTTGGATCAACACCAGCTGCCGAACCCAGTGCCCAATCGAGCCTCCAAATAGACCATGCAGTAGAATGCATTGTCGAAACGGTTTTTTCAGGCTTCGCCTTCTTTGACAGATCCCGGGTGCCACTTCGAGGTGCCCTAGGTGCCAGCGCAGCCCGCAGTCAATCTGCAGGTTTGCCAGGTGCGGTGACGGTGATCCTCAATATTGATAATGCCCCAAACTGGAAATTCACCACGAGCCCTGGTGCCTGGCATCTCATTATAACGAACCTTCTCGGGAACGCCCTCAAATATACTCAGCAAGGCCACATCCTTCTCTCTGCCGAAGCAAAGCCTGCGGATCCAAAGCCGGGCGAGGAGCTTGAGCGGTCTCAAGTCACCATTTCTGTTCAAGACACTGGTTGTGGAATGAGCCCGGAGTTTGTGAGAAATGGATACTTCACTGCCTTTTCACAGGAGGACAATTTATCGCCTGGCAATGGTCTAGGCGCAAGTATTGTTCAAAAGACAATCACATCACTTGGTGGCGAAATCAAAGTATCATCTGTGAAGGAAGTCGGCACTCAAGTCACGGTGTCCTTCGTCCTGGACCATGCCACTGGGCAGGGTTTTTCGGGAAGTGTATCGACTGAAAGCTCGGAAGATGATCTGTTTGCCTCCACAAGGTGTCTAATGGACAACAAACGTATTGGGATTCTAGGCTTAGGCAGCTCTGAAGTCGATGCAGCTTTATCCTTGTCTTTACGAAAAATATGCGAAGACTGGCTTCAAATGGAAGTTTATACAATTGCGCCTTCGGATGCGCACTTCCACCATTGCGACTTTTACATTGCGCCTCATCAATATCTGGATATGGGGAACCTGGAGATAAAGCCCATTGTGCCGGATTCATCCATGGCGAATGTTACCTCACCTGTCATTGTCATCTGCCCAACCCCAAGAATCGCCCATTCGCTTTCCAAGGCGGCCGGACTGCGCGGTGATACTGACGTGCTTGAGTTCATCGCCCAGCCTTGTGGGCCGAGAAAGATAGCCAAGTCTCTGGAAGTCTGCTACAAACGCCAGGAAAGACGGAACCAGAGCCCCCATCCCGGCGGATCTACCACGCCAGAGCTTTCAAAGTGTTCTTCCAGTACTAGTCTTATCGGACACTGGGCTTCAAAATCAGATGCAGACTTGCTAGGACGACCCGCGCCCCCTCCAAATGCCCAAGATTATTTCTCGTGTCGACCCTCCCCTCAAATGCAAGGGCCAACATCCGCACCTACTACCAGAGACGCGCTTGTCATCGACTCCTCGTCTCGGCAGGATTCCCCACTCGTGCTGTTGGTAGATGACAATCCTATCAACATGGCACTCTTGATTGCTTTTATGAAAAAACTGAAACTCGACTATCTCACTGCACAGAACGGGCAAGAGGCCCTCGACATCTTCACCGAGCATTCGTCTCGGGTCTGTCTTGTACTAATGGGTAAATCTCCACTACCAAGGACCCGCACAAGATATGTCAACGATTTTGCTGACCAGCGGTTACAGACATCTCAATGCCCGTCATGGACGGCCTAGAAAGCACACGACAAATTCGTCGTTTCGAGGGGAGTTTGAAGCCGCACGCCCGAGTAGTAATCGTTGCTTTGACTGGCGTTGCCCAGGCTGATACTCAACGCGATGCGATGGCGTCGGGCATGGATCTATTTTTGACGAAGCCTGTGCGACTGCAAACGATTCTCCAGGTTCTTCAAGATCATACAAAATTGAAGCTACCTGAAAAAAACGAGAGAAAAACCGCACTACCATAGGTGGCAGTTTTTAAACGGCAACAGCCATAATGAGGTCATGAGACACGAAGAGACTTTTTATGCGTTGTCGTTTCACGAACACGATATTTTGCTTTCAAAAGGACTGGCGCACTTTCTATAGAACACGGATTTTATTGTATATTGACCTTCTCGGCCCTTTGCCAAATAAAAAGAGGGTCTTATGTTCCTAATTTTTACTGTGATCCCAATTCATACCAGGCAACACAGTGGAGTACTCGAATCGCGCATCCTACTCTTTGAAGCTCCGATGCATATCAGTCTTCAGATATTTTAGATAGAGGTAAATACAATTGACTCTATCTCTTCAACTCCCCAGCTGATTCAGCTTGCACGGGTCCCATGCGTCTGCCAATATTGTGCCCGACTGAGTCGTGGACTGTACCTTAATTAAGGTGGAAGGTAGACCGGAGACCCCTTGAATTAGCAGACTGCGTTAGGTAGCTACTGTAGGATGACCTTGAGCTCAAGATAAAGTGACCAATGTCCAGTATCTTACACCTTTTATTCTGCATCACTTTTCATCGCTCAAATGACTTCTACAATGCACCCAGTGAACGTCTTCTGTGATTAACCTTTCCCAGATCTCATTCCGGTTAATCTATTCAAAGAGGCCGCTTTGCAGAATCTCTCCAACAAAGCCGCATCGAAGCATGGCTTCGGGTACGGATCAGACGAAGGTCATACGCCGCTATGAGAGCCAATGGCGCGCTGACTGACACAGTTCTACCATTTACGGAATTCCATAACTGCCAATTGAATCTGTATAACGGACAGCGCCAGGTAAAATATGTCCAGCACTTAGTCTTTAGTAACCCCCTGCAGACGAAGATGATATGGCTTGTCCCAGCCAACATACCATCTAGTCTTTGGAATGTTTGGGGATGCAGCCCCGTATGGAACCGAATCCGGAAAATAAGCCTGGACTGGTTACTTACACACTCGAGTACGAATTAGCGAAGCTTCCAACGGACGCCGAGGAAGAAAGGAGCTCTGATTCAGATTGGACAACTTATTTCTACATGCTTCTTCCACTTGAGCTGCTTAGGTTTGCATGCTCTTACTCATATCAAACGAAGAAACCACGCAGGCCGTGCCGAAAAGTCTTTCAACATACCATCTACTGCATACTTACATTTTCCAAGACATCCTGAATGTTAATGAATCATCATCGGCGCGAGGAACTGATCAGATTTGTTCGCAAGATTGACGCCCTGCTTATCCGTGAGGATGTCGATGACTTTCTCACCTTTGCTGAGACCACGGAATCATACCCAACAGGTGCCTTCATGCGTCTGATCGACAACAATCCCTCACTTGACAAAGGTCCTCACAGCTCATTCGGGGATTTAGTGAGCAACGAATCTTTCAGCAAGCTTCTAATCCCTGGTTGTCGTGTTGGTTGGGCTGAAGCAAACGAGTCTTCCTTTTACGGGCTTTCACACGCCCAGGTCAATTGATCGTCCTTCCATCTTATCTGATATATTATTGTGCAAACAAATTGATGAAGTTTTGACACAAGTGGTCAAACAAAATCCAGAGGTGCCCCCTAACGGATAAGGTAGGTAATGTCGACTTTTTTCAATAAATTGCTGAAGATAGACTCGCTGCAGCAGCATGTCGCGACGAGGCTGGTTTCCCAAGGCCGTCGACAATGTCTTTCCATGATCTCGTCTAGAATGGGAAAGCACTTGCTTCCACTCGGAGTAACGTTCATACCGGATCCTGAACGCGCCCGTCTGCTTGGCGGCTACTGTGTTCGGTTGAAATTACCTTGGAATCCAACAGGGAAACTTAAAAGTGCATATGTTGAAAGGTACATGGGAGAATCCAAGAACCCGGCCGACTTTGCGACTAGCCATCCAATGGGAATTTCCTTGAAATTCAAACATTTGGGCATATGTGTGTCCATCTTGATGCAGCAAGTGTCCCTGTCTGTGGTAACATGTTGGACACAAGAGTTGAGATGATCCGCTGTATGCTCACGTCTAATGCATTCTTAGAGGGAGAATCGTCGACAAAGCAAACAGATGGTCCATATCGACTTTCTATTCTCGAAAAAATCCATGCTTAGGTGTTAGAAGAGGACTGATAAAGGATGTCACGCGGGCATTACTAAAGTCTCCGCATCTATACCGTTATTCCATATCTTGACACAATAACCTTAAAGTTTGGAGGTGAGTGTGGAGTCTGGGGATTCCACGCATGACTCAAGTCCCTCTCAACTGAGCTGCCGAAATGGGTAATGGACCCGATCTGACCAATCGCCATGTTACTATGCAGGATCCACTGTCATGTCCTCAGGATATAAAGCGGATGGAGCTCGTTACTTACTTTTCTATTACAGCAAGATATTATTCCATATTGTGGTTTACTTTCCAGATTCTGCCTCGAGCCCTTCTCATTCAGCAGTTGTCAATAATGGTCAAAATCGACACGTTTGCTGTGGAGCGAGTGAGACACCCTCTGGTCCCCTCTGATTATGTTCCCTCTCGTACTAACGCCGTCAGTGGATGGACCTGTATGAAAATGATGCCACGCAAAATCTCGCCGAGACGTGTCGTGCGTCTGTCTCTCTGCATGATCTCCAGGTGTTATCTGGCTCTGAAACGGATCTTATAGACTATTCGCAGAAACAAGTCTATGGTGCCATCCGGGGGTCTAGCGTTCTCAGGTCGAACATTGCCCGGCTGTACTCGTCAAGAACCTCCGATCCTCTGCGCCCGGAAGATATCCTTGTCACAAATGGTGCGATTCAGGCTAATTTCCTGGGCTTGTATACAAACGTTGGCGTTGGAGATCATGTTATTTGCCAATATCCCACGTATCAGCAGTTGTACTCTGTGCCTCAATCTTTAGGGGCAGAGGTCAGTCTGTGGAAGTCCTCTGAAGACCAAGGCTGGCAGTTGGATGTGCAAGAGCTGGAATCCATGATCAAGCCCAACACGAAGCTTATCATTCTGAAGTAAGTCTCGCTGAAGGTGGACTTCATTTTCGCATGGGCTGACGAAGAGGTCCAGCAATCCACAGAACCCGACTGGTGCGGTCCTTGATCGAGAGATGCTGCAAGCTATCGTCGAGGTCGCCCGCCAACATGACCTGATTATTCATAGCGACGAAGTCTACCGGCCACTTTTCCACTCTCTTAACTCCAATCAACAAGATGGTCCACCCTCAATCCTTGATCTAGGATACGACAAGGTTGTTGCAACTAGCTCCATGTCCAAGGCCTTCAGTCTGGCTGGGATTCGGGTGGGCTGGATTGCCTCACGAAGTCCCGCAATGATTGAAGAATTTGCTTCTGCGCGCGACTACACAATCATCTCTGTTGGACAGCTTGATGATCGCGTGGCTTCTCACACTCTGTCCAGCCCAACAGTCGACAACTTGCTGGCACGCAATTATCAATTGGCGCGGCGAAATCTTGAGGACTTACAAGCTTTCGTCCGTGAATTTGCGTGGACCGTGTCGTGGACCAGGCCACAAGCCGGCACAACTGCTTTCCTCAAGTTCGCAAAAGAAGGACAGCCAGTGAATGACGTGATTTTGTGTGAGAGGTTGATGGAGACTCATGGATTGATGTTAGTTCCGGGAAGTCTGTGTTTTGGAAACGGACGTGACTTCAGAGGATATGTAAGAGTTGGGTATGTCCCCGAACGCGAGGTCATGCTGGAGGGCCTCAAAGCCCTACGAAGCTTTATGCGCGAGTGGTATGAGCACATTCCGGTGCAATCATCCTCAGCATGAGGTCGGGGCAGAGCGTTCCGTGAGCAATGTGTACAAAGCGACCTTCGTTTTGAGAAAATCAGGATACCATTCCCACATTCAGTGATACATAGAAGCTAGAACAGTATGAGCTGAAGCCCAAGTTGTTCAAGGTGAAGGTCCCAAGGTAGATGGCTACCGAATGTCCAATATTGACGTAAAACCTGTCTGGCCCTGGTAAAGTTACCCATGCCCCGATCCTGCATGTGCCCCATGCGAGTGAAGATTTCATTCTGTACCTCCCACTCTTCAGTCTCACATCCGGCGCTGAATACTGGCCAAAGAAGCAGTACGTTCATAGACGAGTCGGGCTCGATGAAGCGCAAGATATCGAGAATGTTTGCGACATCTGTCCTAACCTTGATATGGGCCTTGGGAAGCAGTTGCACCCGCCGGTGGAGGTGAAGTAGTGCAGCGTGGACAAAAGCAAAATGGGAGCAACGCAATTCAATAACGACACTTCCGCCGCAAGACAACGCGTCGTTCGACGTACGAGGCTCAAGGAATTGGTAAAGCTCCATTTCAAGCTCCTCGGCTTGGATCCTTGTTCCGCGCGGCAGTGCACAATCTGTTTCCACTGTTCCATGGGCGAGATGTCTTACCTCTTTGACCAGCTTTGATATTCTCGCCAGTATTGGCATTAGCCTTAACGAGTAGCCGCTAATACAATCAACATGCCAGCTAGTGTGGTCTGACAGCTGATCCAACGCGCCACTACCCGGACGATGAATGCACTCGCCGTGTACTCCCGAGAGCGCGGCCAGAACATCCATACTTCTGAACCACTTCACCAGGCATTGAACGTATGTGTCGTTCATCTTGTGATATGACATCCTTTCGTGCTCAAGAAACGTCATCAAGAGCCGTAATACCCCACGAAGGTGAGCGCGCCCTACGTCCATATCCCCATTACAGACATCATTTGTGCACAAAGCCATTGCAGTTGTGACAGTCTCGGCTTTCGTCGCCTGCTCCGGATCCAAAAGCGCTTCTCTGAGCCCGGATATGGCCAGACTGGTATATTTCAACAAGATAACCCTTGAGGCCGGGCTGGAATCGCGGACAAGCCGGCCATGATGGCTACATGAGCTAGCCAACAGCGCGTATAGAAGATGTGGCGTCTCCAAGGCGGCGCTGATCATCCTGCGGAGAAAGAACTCAGGTGCTGCCGGGAACAGCATTTGGGCAGTTTGCGTGGCGAAAATGTGCATCAAGAACCGTGATTCTTCCGAGAACAAAAACGGGGAATCATTGAGTAGGGGCTGGCGCACAAACTTCATTTGATCTCTAGCCCCTCGTGTGCAACTAGTGGCAGACGTCGCCAGCTCCACGAGACTTGCATGATCAGACTTTGCTTGCGGTCTTTGCCTCACTGGCATCCGATCGATGATCTTCAAGTCGTAACGACATCCTCGGGGATACCTCTGGCAGCGAGAACAAACTGGCTGATGCATGTCACACTTGGGATTGAAAGGGGACCTCTCAGTCAGCTTTAAGTTGATGGGGATCTATCTCTTTGCAGGCAGGTTTACCTTTACTTTTTTTCTCCGACATTCACTGCAACCATCCCGCCTCCTACGATGAGAAGAGGAGTGAGAATTCTCCCGTTCAGAGAGCAGCGGGATTCCTGGCGAGGTCGCCATGTTCCTTCAGGTTGTTCCCATCAACTGAGCGGAGAAAACACGGTCGCAAATTAAGTGGTACTCTCCCACGATGCGTGCATAGGCCTTCGAGATTCAGCAGTAGATGGCTAGATGCAAGATGCGTTTGGTTGTTTCGTCGTGCCAGATGACATCGAAGCGACCCACCATCTTCCTCTTTAAGGGCATGTAGGCGATCTGACCAATAGGTAGACCCGTGTGGATCCGCGACATGGCCTCATTCTTTGAAGATAAGTACCTCCTAAGAGTGGTAGGCTACAATAATCTGGACTCGAGAGCAGATACTCATTTGTATGAAGATCTGAATATGAGAAATAAATCCCTTCGAAGGTCGGCTTGCTCTTTTAATTCCATAATTACTAACGCTTCGATCAGTCCACTGAAACGAACACATTAAACCATTTGTGGGACGCAGCATAGTGCTAGAATGGGGGTGAATTTTTAGACATACAGGTCAGGTAAGGACGACGAAGACAGGGAGTTACCTTCCAGGCACCTGTCACCTACTTGATCTATTCTTATAAACTCGCGGCAGGAACTTAGCATTGAATACCTACCGCTCCTACGCACATTTTAGCACTTCATGAGGAACTGCTACCGTCTAGGCTTGGTCTTTGCTATATATGCTATTGGAACGGCTGACTAGGTGTGCAAATCCAGAAAAATCACCAAGCGATGTATTGCAAGGTCTACTGGATCTAATATAAGTAGTCAGATCATGCAAAAAGTGAAAAACATACAACAGTTAGGATTCGCATGTGGTCACCCACCATACTACTAACTAACCGGCGTGTGGCTTGAGTACGGCTGAGCGGACGGGAAGCCCTATTTTCCACACCCTATGGTCGTATGTGCTAAATTTTCTATGAGGCATTCCTATGACCCTTGATAAAAAGTCCGAGCCGAAACCAAACTGCTAGGCACTCTAGTAATCAAATTCGTCTCTTATAAAATGATGAAATTTCACGTATAATTCTGATGATCTAAGATAAGTAACGGTAACTAAGCCGTAGGTTTATAGGTTAACGATTTGAATCTGTTCTCATGTAAGTAAATCAGAAGTCTGATATGTAAGGGACCAAAAAAGCTAAAACATACAACAGTAAGAATTCGCATATGGTCACCCACCATACTACTAACTAACCGGCGTGTAGCTTAAGTACGGCTATTAGTAGCCTGGAGTGCCTTTCTGCCTTTGAATGTCGTCAGTCGCGCGACAAGGGGTGCTAAGCGTGGGTGTATTTTGAGAATGGTGCGAATCCCTCGCGAGAAAGAGCGAGTCTCACACCCCTCTCTCACTTCTTGCGCACTGGCCCCTCACTGTTGAGTGATGTGAGGCAAAAGAGATGGATTCTTCTAAGAGAGGACTACGTAGGGACGTCCTAAGGTACATCTGACGGATCACGTGTGGGTTATGTATACATAGTCTTGACGTTGTTCCGCGTCAGTGCCCCTCACAAAAAATGCTATCGTCTGTTGTACGCCAGCTTAGGAAAAGCTTCAGAAGGACTCATAAACTTTCATTCAACTGTCTGCGTGGTGTTCAAGGATCTCAAGAGCTGGAGAAAAGAGAAAGAAGAAGAAGAAGCTACAGTAACATCCCAAGTTTTTTAGGTGGTGCGCGTGGTTAACGGTATCTCCCCTCCGATACTGATTTCTTCTGCAGAAGAAATCCAAGCTCGCAATCCAAGTCCGCTAACTCCCGTCAACTCGTAACAGTACGCGTGGCACACGTGGTGGGTGTGTCCCGTCCTCCGAGACTGATTTCTTCTGCAGAAGAAATCCAAGTCCGCAACCCAAGTCCTCCTGTCATGTTCACAACAATACATATAACCTTGACTCCGCTCCCGCTAGGAGGACTCTTCGGAAGAAGTATAGGTAGCACGAGACTATACTAGTTATATAAAGGAGGTCTTCAATTAAGTTTTGGGTCGTGGCTCATTCCCCACGGATAATCGCGAGCGTGAGGATTTTGAAATCGAGTGTTTACCGTCTAACGCCAGCGCAGGTATCGTGGTACTGTTTCTGAATGACGGTATGTGAATTACTTAATGAATCTTTTCCCAAGTGTTGAAAATAGGCAGTGCCCAGTAGGAGAGTAATATTGTGCGAAGGAAGAAGATTACCAGCTCCTAAAGCTTTAGGCTACTTTCCATGATGTTTCGGCGCTTTCTAGCTGCGATTTTGGCTTCCACCCTCCGACAGAGCTCCTCTTGGCCACTAAATTATTTGGGTGAGTTTATGACATAGTACCGGAATGGAATGGGCCCGGAATTCCATTCACTGTGTGTTGGTAGCTGAGCCCTGGTTATAAGATGCAGGGCATGCTTGCCGAGGAATAGAGCGACGGACCCCATCCCTGGTATTGGAAAGGGCATGCTGGTGGTTGAATAGAATGGCCTTCCCCTTACTCCATAGCACGATAAATCTTTATCCCAGGGAATTCAACTTTGTTTGGTGAGATCGATTGTTGGCGAGAGTTCTTGCCGACAATGCAGAGCATTGCTCAATTTCTACCATGTATAGATTGAGCCAGCAATATGTGGGTTCGTGAGTCGGAGTGGAAAGAAGAATAACAAATGCTTCATGGAGAGCATACATGGATGCTGGACCGGTGAGATTGCTATGTAAACCGCATCGAACACAAATGTGATATGAGCAAATTTGCGCTTTGGAACCCACAGAAATTGGTCATCGTCGAATCATACACGAGACGGGAAGGAATCAGAAGCTTCAAACCTTGCAGCCAACTGCAGACGCACCCTATTTGAAGCATTATTCCAAGTCATGGTGCGCTGACTTACGCATCCTGTGATTGTCTTTGTCTTGGGACTTCACAAGAAGCTGTACTTTTATTCATCGCGTGACGGCGAACCATCCCAGGGCACAATATGAGGTGAGATTAATCCGTCAGAAGGCTCTATGCTTATTATTTCTTATATAGCTTGCAATTTTCCCACTTTTCATTCACTGCGCTCGTGCTAGAACCCGCCCGCAAGATGGATCATGTGAAGGGCATGATGGATCACAGTGAGCGTGCTAAACATGGCACTGGCGACACCGGGAACGGTACATATATGGCCATGCCAATGGTCTTTACCTTCAGCACTAAGGTCACAATCCTATTTAGCTGGTGGTCGACAAGTACGGTTATCTCATATGTCATTTCGCTGTTTTTTCTCATCCTTCTCGCTTTGTTCAACCGATTTCTTGGGATTTTGAAACTTCAGTTGGACAGAACACCAACTCATTCGCATTACAACCCATCCGATGTACCCAAATTAAGTTTACCCTCATGGTGTCGATCCTCATCCCCGCTTGGATCACTCGCTTCGCCCACATAGAAAATGGAACTGGTCGCAGGACATTATAGGTTCTATGCTGGAGGGCGTCCGCGCCTTTACGGGGTATGCATTGTATGTCTATGGCTCGCTAAATAATAACCGACACGCACTAATGATGATCCAGGATGCTTGCTGTGATGACATACAACGTCGGCATTCTCTGTGCTGTTATTATGGGTATCCTCATTGGAGAAGTGTTCCTAGGCCACTTTTCAATGCCGACTCCATCTTCTCGGTGGCAGGATAGAGTATGCCATGATGGTTAGAGCACAAGAGGAGTTTAAGGGCACTAATGCTTCTGGATCCAGAGAATAATTTTGATATCTATTTCCCCCGAATTTAAACCTGTGTATCAAGCTTCTGTGTAGCACCGTACGAAGTACTCGTGTATGGTGAGAACGCAGCGCTAGTTCTACTTTGTCTAGAACCCGCGCAAAGTTCCTCAAATAGGCAAACCAGGCTGACAGCACTCTTCCGATCACGCTCGACCGCCATCACGCATCCCCTACCGTGAATTTCCCACCTCAAAGGGAAATACCATTCTCCAGCCTCAGGTCTATTTAAAATGCCGGGGGGTCCATACTCCAGGGGCTGCGAATTTTCGGGGAAAGAGTTGAACATGTTTTAACAAAATCTGCTCCACTGTTCGCTTGCGTTGGGTCGAAAGCCCATATGCGAAGGTGATCGCTTAAGAGATACTTCGAATCAATCTACGTGTTTTCTCATTGGCCTATGCAAGCAAATGCCCTGGAATATTGAACACCCCATTTCGCACACGCTTCGATTCGCCTTGACGGGAGCGGGCATTGGCAGACAAAGAATACTGAAGATATTGATATCGGCGTAAACACTGAGCTCCTGGGCTAAAACACTTCATCGCGTGTCTTAGCGGCGAAATCACCAGCGGATAGGTTTCTACTCTCTGACTTATAGAATAGCTAGTTAATATTGTTGCGATTATGGTATCTGTTTGGAAATTTTTCAGTATGGTATTTATATCTTTCTTCATCGACACCCAGGTTTCTCTAGTGACCTCGTCTAATGGCTTTTGTTGGCCTCTCATTTCTAGATACTAATCAGAAAATCCGACAATCGAAATTGAAGCTAAAATTAGAATTGCTGTTTCAATGAGAGTTCATGGCTTTATGTCAATTTACCCCAATGGTAGTTCCTGGTTTGTTTCATCGAAATTTTTTGACAATATAGTCCAGGAAAGCATCATCAAGCATCTAAGTTGCTTTATGCGTAAGTGTAGGTCATGCAAGGGCCATCACGCGTCGAAGTTTCCTCAAATAAATTCAGGCAAAAGAAATAAGGCTTATAACGATCATATGAACAAGTCTCTACGGGTGGATGATGTGTATTTATACTGGAATGGGTATCTATCTTTCTCGGTAGCAAAGAGAAAGGTTGATTTTAATCGCATCAATGTTGTTCTTTGAGAGTATTGTTCCGGAAGTATGTGAAATTTCAGACGCATTCGATCAGTGAAACTCGATCGATCAAATAGCATCCGGCTATCTGATATCCCAAGGAATCCCCCAACGGTTACTTCGTTAAGTATTTAGTGGGATAGATATCAAGAACTTCCTGGTGGTTTTGACGGCCACATTGCTGCCCTGTACGGAGCAGACCAGATAGCATTTGATCAAGATTCCCGCCGAGGATTTGAATTTATACTTGAGTCTGACGCGGTGGATTGACGTGGCATACAGCCTGTGGCGGGCACCGATCGATGTTGGGAACCAGGGCCCCGACCACTGGATTCAGATGTTATAGGTCGTGTCATTCATCAAGGATCGTATCGAATTAGAAATAGGGAGATCGATAGTAAAGTTGACGAGCCGTAAGCTCAAAGCTGCCTAGACAAAGGGTGCCGACTATCCATGGTCATCAGACACCGTGTCAATCCTCCTGGATGATTAAAACGTGAACTATTTCAAGTTGACGCTGTTGATATCAGGATGAAAAATCTTTACATACATGCAGCCCGAACTTTATATGCCGAGAGTGGTCTCAATAAGATAGGATCGCTCAATCATATTGCCAAGAAGTAATATTTAAGGGAAAAATTATCGTCTCCTTCATGAGCCGAACCCTTCACCTCTTGGTCACCATACAAAAGTTTTCGTGGCACCTCGATTATGCTCAGCTACTTCACCGTGATACTCACCCCTAATAATCCTCCACCTACGCACGACCACTAATCATATTAAAGAGTTTCAAAGGATATAATAGCAATCCTCATGGTATATGGATTATCTTGAGACGAGAACATAGTAATGAAGAATGTAGGAAGGTTGCATAAAATATGAGGAACCCTCCCACATCTGAGGATCCCTACGTATCTGAGTTCCTCCACTATGCCATGTCTTGGGCCTTCCTCTTGATACTTAGTGCTCAGCCCCTCGCCAATTTTTGCCCACTGGGTAGATATCTGGAGCCGGCTATGAGCGCCCTGATCGGAGCAATCATTATGTCGGGTAAGCTCATTGATCCGCTCACTGGGCGCTTTGGTCCACTCATCGAGCACGTCGTTTAAGATTGGCAGTCAGCACTTGAAAACGACGTTTGGTGACACTTTACTAGAATTTTTCCGGTGAAGCACTCGTCTTTCGGCAGTTCAGGTGAGTTTCGAATGTGGACTATGATTGCGGTCGATGAAAGTTGCTTCACCCACCCAGCTGGGACTCGTATCATTTTTGCGGAAATACATCTCATGTATGTTAAAGAACAAGAAAATTTCAGAAAACGACAGCATAATTTTGATCAACATGGGCAGGTTAATCAACATGCGAATGTTGCAAATCTCCAAATCTCGCGGAATGTAAATGTAACAGAAAGTACTGAATCCATCAAGCCCCACTAAGAAGCTCAGCATACTTTGTAAACTCTCCGTCTGCTTGGAGCATGTCCAATTCCTCGGGGTGGGTACCAAAGACAAGTTCAATTCCCCCGTCCTTTCGGATAGGAAGAATGACCAGGAAGCGGAAACGTCCATTTCCACGCTCAAGCTGTGGTCTCAAGGATTCGGGCAACCCCCCATTTGCAAAGAAGGTATTGCCAAAGCAAACCTCATTGGTTGGAAAAAGCATCATATTCGAAATCATGGCATGCATATGCTCAAGGCCCATATTTGCTGTCGAAAATCTTTCGTGATTTGGCAAGGACTGAAGAATCGAAAAGGCGTCATGAACGACCGAAGGTGTGATGCGTGCGGCAGACTCACGAAGGACGTGTGCGACACGGCCAATGGTGGTTTGATCCGAGCACAGTGTCTCGATGGGCATTGTCGATCGATTGAGAATCAGCAGACTACCCATATATGTCTCGGGTAAGAGTTGAGAGAAGTAAGGGCGGCCGTCAGTAGGAACCTCAAGAATCGAAATTTCATCTGGCTTGAATGTCTCCTTCCGCATCTTGGTGGCGATGTTTCGTCGCATCCGAATCGCAGCCCGCCATAGGAAGGCCTGTACAATATCGCTAATCGAAGTGATAACCCCCTTCGCCTCGGAATCAGATATCACCTCTTGCTTCATTTTTGCCAAATTCTCGGGTCTTATCAAGAACAGGGTAGTTTTGAGGCACCGTTCAGCTCGTGGGAGCGGCCAGATATCGTGCAACTTGAAGTCTGGTGCAGGGGGCAAGTTCCAATCTCCAAGATCATTGGAAGAAGCTTCAAGCATCCTCTCTCGATCATCATCACGTGGGAAAAAAGGTAAATATCCCCATGTACCAGGGTCAATCTCATCTACTGGACGGGCCCAGCCTTCGATTTCGTGGATGATCCCTGGCAGAGCGTGGTTGAAACTCTCCGGATGATACCACTCACAGGTCGCGGCTTGGTCGCCCTGGAGATACCTGCAATTTTCAGCCCAGGCCTTGAGAACGACCATGACCCCAAGACCATCAAGACAACAGTGATTCAAGTCTACTGCAACAACACAGCCGCCGGAAATGAAGTTTACCTGCCCTGAAAAAATTTCAGCGGGGAAATTGGGAAACGGATCATCTCGCAGGACGACATCATCGGGGACAGCAGAAGGTGGGAAGCCGGCATCTTTCAATTGCTCAAACGATGGGAGAATATCCGAGAGGTCTTTATAGATCAGACGGTTCTTGGCAGTGTTTGCCATTGAAAGAGGTGGAACCGTCACACAAAGGTCTCCTTTTTGATATCTAATCTCTTGCTCGGAGCAATGCATCATTTTGCCACTGAGAGCAGGGATCATGTCAAATGTGCGATTGAGTCCTTCTTGGAGATTGGAAAACACTTGTTCATACGAAATTTCCTCGTGGATGGAGAAGTAGAGCATGATGCCCATACCGTGGTTTGGGTTCACGTAATCAAACGCGTTGAGGCGGAAGGACTGTCGTGCTTTATGCTCAGCAATCATGTTGCTCATACGAGAAGCATCGTCGACATGATCCTTTTCGTTCGAATTCCCCGATTCTGCAGCCTTTGCTTCTTCGAATAGTGCAGAAACTGTGGTAGCAAGATCCATAATCGTCGGATTGGCGTAGACGTGGCGAGGTGATATTTCATCACCCAGGCCTGTGGCTGCCCGGATTTTTTTGACGGCGGCGAAGACGCCGAGTGAATCAAGTCCAGCAGTAAACAAATCCGTATCTGAAAGCACGCTTTGGACGTCTAGAAGAGAGCTGGAAAGAATCTCTCGTATGGAGTTTTCGGTTGCCGCAGGCGAGCTCAGATCAAGTCTCACAGTTTGATCAATATCATCGTTGCGCGAGCCGTAGAATCGGTCAATGTACTCAGAATAGAGTTCTGATGTAGCTGCTCGTTTGATCGTTCTTTTATCTGTTCGTAAAAACGGCTTTTCAGGCAGTGCGAAAATGACGAAATCCTTGAGTAGTTGGTTCTTGTGGTGGGACATAGCATTAGCTATCTGAACCTTGGCCCAAATGCTGTCGAGCAGCTCCGGTGTCTTTTGACAAGAATCAATCAACTCAATGAGAAGGCCAGCTTGTGGTTTTCCAGTTCCAAAGATCAAACAGCCGACGATGTCGGGATGAGTGGTGATGAATGCCTCTGTTTCCAGGGGCGAGATCTTATATCCATTCGACAAAACCACAAGATCGTCGCTTCTTCCCTTGAAGGCCCATAGGTTTGGCTTGGTAGGATGTCGCATGTAAAGATCTTTGAAGTTGATCGAATTTTGATCCGGAAAAGTGTGGAAGATTCCTTGGAAAAGTGGCCAATGCTCGTTGCGATGTACCCAGTGCTCATAAACACCTGTTTCAAGCTCTTTGAACTCAAAGCCAGAGTAAGGGTGGAAGCAGAACCAGAACCAGTCCTCTCTCTCGGGCTTTAAATTCCCAATAAAGAGGCCTTCTGTGGTACCCGTCAAATTGAGAACTCTTACAACCTGGTTCACCTTCCCAGCGCTGACTGGACTAACCGGGCCTCCCGATGCGCAGATGAATTTGCTCGGACGTAGCTGTTCCAATATCTCGGGAGTCTCACCCAGTTCATCGACGAGTGAAGGGACCATGCTCCAGATATCGATCTTGACATCAATGGCTAGCCTTTCCACTAGGTTCAGGTTTGTTAGTACACCAACTGGTCCCAAAACGCAGTGGAGGTTGAAAAGTGCAGGCATCAAAATGTCCATGATGATTCCAGCGCCCTATCGACAATCTGGTCAGCTAATTACTACTTCCACGCCACTCGACGTGTCCCAAAACTTAGTAAGAGCGGACTCAACTTACGTGACTCATAGGGAAAGACGAATATATCTTGTCTCCTTCGTTCCAGTCCGAAGTCCAAGGAACCAAATCAGCAGTTTCACCCACCGGTGGTAAGATTCGGACTGCATCCATGGTACCAATGAGGCCATGAGACCAAGGAATGGGTTTGGGTAATCCTGTGCTTCCAGACGTATGCAAATAACAGAATGGGTCGTTTATGGCCTCTTCAAAAGTCTTCGTGTACGGGAAAGCCTCGATAGACTCGGTATCAAGGAGCTCTTCGAGCGTAGGAAGCAGCAGACATTTCATAGGCCGCTTGTGGAGAACATCCTTCACCATGGCGATTGGCGATGCATCAATTGCATTGACCCAAATATTGCAGCCCAACTTGTCAAGCACCGCCAGAATTCCGTCTGCATTATTCTTTGGCGATAGGAAGAGAGCCTATGGTGCGGAAAATTGGTAAATAGATACTCAGGTGGGCGTATTGCGATGATTGGGAAGATACCGAGTAGCCCGCTTTAACACAAGCATAAGTCAGAAGAACATGTCTGAGATCGTCTATATTAAAAAAGGATGTCAGAGACCAAGATCCAAAGACTGTAGGGGTTTCTGCCAACTCTGACATACGTGGACCAATATACGCCATGGGGCGAACAGATTCAGGCGTGCCAACCTGATCTTGCAGCCACCAGGCAGTCTTGTCTACTGCTCGGGTAAACTGACAAGCAGAAATTGGGTTGAGCTTGAGAAGGCCATCCGAGAGTGCGGCGAGAGAGAAAACGGTTGTCTCTGGCTTCGAAGCCGCAAGGTCATCCATTATCTGGGGAAGCAGCCTTCGACCGTATTCCGTCGCAACCTCGATCTTCGTCTCCTGATTTGATTGTATGTGAATCCCAAGTCCAGATAGGGAAGGAGAGGAGTCACACGCTGCCGATATGTTCGGGCTTGTCAAACCACTGTCGGTGTACTTGCTCTCAGAGCCAGGGATGGAACCATCACTAGAAGAAGTCGGAGAAGTTGGTGCATTTTTGAATGCCCCACTGACATATGCAGTGGCATTGATAGACTTGGGCGACTGGAGATAACTTGCCGTCAGGTCGGTGATGGGAGAATGCCCGCCATCGGACATTCTCTCCCGGTAATGACTGGGAACCCCATCGACATGAATCAATTCCAACCGACTTTCCTGATTGAACTCGCCCATCGGAGCACTAACCCATTCTCCATTGGCAAGATGGGCCACAGAACAGTGCCATGGGGTGGTATAGCCTGTTTTGGTATTCAGTAGACTGATAGGTATTTTGTCTCCACTAATGGACTCGTGGATTGAGAGCCGCAGGTGATGTGGAAAGGCGGCTTTGACGGCCCTGGCAAAGGACTATTCCGTCGAAATCAGTCTAGAGACCTTTCTCGTACATTGGAGTCAGTTGGTCGTCATGATAGTACGTACATATCCTCTTGCGAGCATTTGCTTGGCCAAATATTTGCAATCCCGCTTGTAACTGTGGGCAGAGCGACCCTCCCCTCGGGGAAAAATGTGCTGCAGATCCGATTCCAGGAACCGCTTGTAGCCGAGATACGTCAGTTTTTTATCTGGATTCTTGGCAATTTCCTCGTCAATGTCGAGATCCACCGTCCCATATTGGTTCAAGAGTAAGCGACGGAAGTTTGTACAGTTGGCAACATATACAATTTCGGTCAGGTTATCTGGAAGTGAGATACTGAGAAGATCCCGGATCCGCGAGAATAGGATGTTCTGGAAGCCTTTCTCGACAGCCATGCGCCGCAGGGCTTCTCCATACTGCCAAGTTTCTTGGTCTGAAATGCACAGCAAGTCTGTCATCAACCAGGCACATGTCAGCGGTGGTAAATCCCACTTGAAAATATCCACTCACCATTGTAGGTGATGCCGTCTGAGATAATTACAATCTCGGCACCCGGAGCATAGAATTGCTGTATAGAATTGCAAAGGGTGTTCAACCGGTCCAGTGCCAGTTCCTCTGCTTTATCTGGCAATTTGCCGAGTACCTTGTACACCTTGTTGGCAGACTTGAAAGGAAAAGCGGGGAGACACGCCTGCACACGAGCTCCATGGGCGACAAATTGGCCTATCAAAGAAAGGAATCCCTCTCCCTTCCCTTGCACATCGCCCGGTGCATATTCGAATTTGTTGAGTGCATATTGCAGGAAGACATCCAAGATCCGTCTGGATATCTGATCCACGTCACTTGAATATGGCTCATGGTCAATGGCAGGACTATCCACTTGTTCCGTGGACGGGAAAGAAGTCATGCTGTATCGATATACCCAGCGTGTCTGGATATCCAAACAATGTCAAAGTGATACAGAAGGGAGACAGAGATGCGATGAACAACGATAGATCAATGCAAGTCAGGTGGAGCTCTCGGAGATTTATTTACAGCGCAGTCAAGGGTCTAATCCAGCGGCATGGCCCGCATCTCAATCGGAAAGCCATGTGCTGGATGGAGACCCAAGTCCAGCTTTTGCATGCCCACTTGGCTCTTCGCCGACGTTGCAGTCATCATCTGACTCAGAATCAGACCCAGGAACGAATTGAAACTTATTTACTGAGCATAATTGAGCCGGTTAATGGTGAACTGAGAGGGATGTGCCCATCCTCTTCAGGCCACTATCTTTCAGGCAATTGTTCGGACCCGCCGTATAGAGCCGAGATCAGCGAGCCATTCCATGCAGTCCAAAAGGTCTGTGCCAACAGTCGTATGTAGAAAAAAAAGTAGCATTTTGACGGAGATTAGCCAGCCTAGGTGTTCGATTACTACTGTCAGCGTGTAACTGACGACAATTTGCCTGCACGCCTCCACCTGGACACTAGTACCAAAAGGAAGAAATTCGTCACGCCAATTCATACCTGCAGAGCTACATAACGTAAAAGGAAGGTGTATATACTTTCCTACAAAAAGTTGTGGAAGATTCGAGAGCCTGGAGCTAAGGTCTTTTAGTTTTCATCTTTGCTTAGAGGAGCAGGTTTGAGGGAATTTCCGCTGTTTCGTTGTGATCTTTGGATTGTACACTCCGAGGACCCAGACAAGAGAGTAATGAATACCATCAAAGTCGTAGGAAGGTTTAAATTGGAATATATTGGGCCCGTGCAGCGGAATAGTGCTAGCTCGGTGAAGAATGTTATATGCTTTTCAGTTTGTCGGTTCTCAACGAATCTCCGAAGTCTTATCGAAACGCATTCGACTGGCGTGTGGTGCCTCTGGATTGTTTGCCGTTCGAGGTACAGCATTTCAAATTATAATCATCACTTCAACCCTACCTCGTCTTCCCGTCCATCTTCCATCATGGGGAAAGCTCCCGCTCTTGAAGATCTCACAGCCAACGGGGACAAATCTGCTCCACGGGTAGATCCCGACGTTAGTAGTGTTGAAGCTCCAGACTCCAACAAAGAGTCGCAGTTTCCTCCTCTGGGTCAGGTCATCATCATCGTTCTGGCAATCTACCTAGCTGCCTTCCTGGTAGCTCTGGATCAAACTATCATCGGAGTAGCGATTCCAAAGATCACGGATCAATTCAAGAGTCTTCCAGATATTGCCTGGTATGGCAGTGCCTATTTCCTGACTTCAACTGCTCTGCAGCCCTCATATGGCAGAATTTATAAGATTCTCAATGTCAGTCATCCTGCTGCAGATTCAGTCTGGCAGTTATTGGGATTTCTACCATGCTGCTAAATATGAAAACAGTCTTCTGACCTCTCTTAGGTGAAATTGTCTTTCTTGACTGCAGTGGGCATCTTCGAGATCGGATCCTTGATCTGCGGCGTGGCGCCTTCCAGCCCCGTCTTGATCGCCGGTCGTGCAATCGCAGGAATCGGGGTTGCTGGCATCTTTTCTGGCGCTTTGGTCATCATCTCCATGACGGTGCCTCTTCCCAAAAGACCCCTTGTCTTTGGTATCTATGGCCTTGTATGGGGTGTTGCCTCCATTGTCGGTCCTCTCCTTGGTGGAGCGTTCACGGATGGTCCGTCGTGGAGATGGTGCTTCTACATCAACCTTCCAGTGGGCGGCATTTCAATGGTGGTCGTCCTTCTTTTCCTTCGCTTGCCGAGCAACAATCAGGCAACAACTTGGTCTCGCATTGCTCAAGAATTGGACCTGATCGGTGCGAGCTTGATTATTCCAGCGGTCATATGCTTGATTCTCGCATTACAATGGGGCGGAAACTCCTACGCTTGGGGGAGCTCTCAGATTATCGGACTTTTCGTCGGATTCGGCCTCTTGATTCTTCTTTTTGCGGCCTCTCAGGCTTGGATCACTCGGCGAGACGAGAAAAATGGGGCCATTAGCAAGAGGACAAGCGCAACCTTGCCACCTTCGATCCTTGCGAAGCGTTCCATTTGGTCTGCTGGACTATTTGCGTTCTTCTTTAGCGGCGGATTTTTCCTTCTGGTCTACTATCTCCCTATCTATTTTCAGAGCGTCAGAGGGTCATCCGCAATGACCGCTGGTCTTCAGCTTCTGCCATTCATGCTTACGACAGTGCTGTCATCCATCATTGTGGGGGCGATGGTGACAGCAGTCGGTTATTATACCCCTTTCTTGATTGGCAGCACTGCTATTTGTGCTATCGGAACGGGCCTGATCACCCTTTACGATGTCGATATGTCTACAGCCAAATGGATTGGCTACCAGATTGTCGTCGGGGCGGGTATTGGTGCGGGTCTCCAGATCCCAATGACCGCCGTGCAGACAGTATTGAGCCCTGAGGACATCCCTGTGGGAACTGCCAGTGTCATGTTTTTGCAAACTTTGGGGGGCGCTATCTTCATCGCGGTGGGCCAAGCAGTCTTTCAGAATGGCTTGCAAGCTGGTATTCGCGCATACGCCCCCCGGGTCAATCCAAGCGCCATTCTCAATGCGGGAGCTACCGAGATGAGGCACGTGTTGGCAAATTTGGGCCAACTCGATCAGCTGGACGGGGTGATCAAAGCTTACATGAACGGATTACGGGATGCTTACCGCGTTAGCCTGGCTTTATTACTTGTTGCATTTGTGACTAGCTGCTTTTTGGAGTGGAAGAGTGTCAAGAAAAGCGATGCGACTTTAAACGACGATACAACCGCTGTGTCTGCCTGAAATGGTCGCGAACTATACATATTATAGGCAGTCATTCTATATTTTGATGTCGATAGTTCGTTGAAATAGATTTAAAACATTCTTTTCCCGGAATTAGCTAGTCTACCTAGAAAAGAAGCACCTAAGGTATAAGAAGACCAGACAACACAGATCGAGCATCTCGTCATCCATCAAGGATGCGATACCAAACCGAATACATAGTTCGAAGAAATGAAAGTGGGGAATAAAGAACATGTGATCCATATTCTTGATTTGCCCCATATTCAGGATGGCTCTCTGAGCTTTCTAGGCAGTACTTTTCTTCCTTTTGAATTATATTGAAAGGATGTGAGCGAAATTGAGCAGATTTCTGCAGGTAAGTGGGGCCAGTTTCAGGGACAAGGAGAAAAAAGCATTGACACTAGACACGAGTATAATTCCGCCGCTACTGTAGAATTATCGCTAATCTGAATGGGAACATATTTACCGGCTGACAAGGTTTGGGTGAGAAAGCATGGGCACGAAGATGCGCCTCCATTTGTGCTTGCTTTGTGCGAGGTTACCCAATGTATGGCCGCGTTGGGCCAACTAGTAAAGGGAGTACAAAACTGCCAATTACCCAGATGGTGAGTTAAGTACTTAATTTAGTCACTTGCATTGTGATCACTTTTCAAGTTGCAGTAACCATGTACACGCGTTAAAATAAGCTATGGACGATTCTTTCGCAGTACCAACTTTGAACATTGAGTGTAGGAGCTCAATGCGCACTGTGCTCTGATAAACGCGGTACCTTCAATTCTTTCTAAGACGAAGTCATCTATTAGAAAGCAATATGCATGTGGCCTCAATTGACATTCATTAATACTGCACTTCTCACAACTGGTCCATGCAAGTTCCTGAATGGCTTCGTCGAGTTTTCGCAATGTCTTCCTTCTCCTACCCCATCCATGGTACTCCTAACCACGTAACAATGATTCAAGTCTTTGTTTAGATAACGGTGCCCTTCACCTGCTTTCTGTCGACATTATAATTCTTCCAGATGGCAATCGCGGGGAAAGCAAGAACGACGAGACATGCGGCCGTGATGCACTCGTACTTTTGGCTGTAAGCCCAGGCGTAATTAATCGCATCTCGCGTCTCACTGCCCGGAGGATACATCAGCTGGGCTGCCGATCCACCAGCGTAGATAGTAGCATAATTCGCCTTGGCCGACTCTGGAAGGGCTCTGAGCAAAGCTTGAGGGAAAGTATTGGCATATATGGCACTCGCCACGGCATATCCGATGGCCCCGCCAACACTCGAAGACAAGCTGATAAGAGCAATCATCAATGGGACGCCGTTGCGGTCAGCGGCAGCCATGACAGCCATCTCATCTCCGATCACGAGGGTTCCACCCCCAACAGCAATGAAAATCTGACACATCACTAGGTAACCAATGTCACTTTGGGAGCCTCGGAAATGGATCATGAGAGCTGCGCCAAGCATGAGGAATGGTGCACCGAAGAAGAGGCAGACATTCTTGAAGTATTTGGTTTTGCGAATCCAAATGCCGAACAGCACCGCCCAGATGGTCGATCCAACGCCGTAGATCTGCGTCATGTATCCTGTCTTGGAGGTATCGAGGTTGTATACTACCTGAACGTAGTAGTAAAAGTATTGATCCCACGTGTAGTAGTTGAAGAAGATGATGGCTGACAGGATACAAGCTCCCAGAACTGTGCGCTTTTTGAATAACTCCCATTTGATGAAGGGAATTCTGGCAAAGTGGCACTCCCAGACAGCGAACACTGGGAAGAGCAGTAGTCCGATAACGACCATGGCGATAAAAGTTGCTGAAGAGTACCCGGTAAACCCATATGTCTTGAGGCTGAAGGGCAGGAGGAATAGGATGAACGCCGCCATGAGAATAAGAGCCCCGACAATGTCGAATTCGTGCACATAGTGAATGATTGACTGAACCTTGGACCGGTCAGTTTTGACATGCTGGAAAAGTCCCAGCTTCTCGGCCTTGCGTTGGTAGCCTTTGAACACGACAGCGAGCGGGACAAAAACAGTCAAGGTAATAATAGCAAAACAGCCATACGACCAGCGCCATGTCGAGTGAGCGACGAATGCCTGAGCGGCGAGGGGCCCAACAAAGGCGGTACAGATAGTTGGCGTGCCAATAAAAGCATAGACAAAAGCACGATTCCTCAATCCGGACGCATCGGCGACGAACACGGTTAAAATGAAATTCAGAGCCGTATAGCCGATCCAGTACAGAGTGTAGCCAGCCGCAAAGCCATTGGGGCCGTTGCAGGAGGCGACCACGATCAGACCAAGGATGAAAACCATTAAGAATGTCAGGAAGCCCTCCGTACGGCCCCAGAGGTTGAGAGTCTTCGCAATGGGAAGTTGAAGAACTCCGCCCACGATTGTCGACACAATATACGCTTGGGAGATTTGAGGGGCGGAAGCAAAGTTGGCGTATGCGTAGTAGATCATGTTATTGCTGACTGAGGATTGCATCGACAGAACGAAGAAGCACAGCCAGATCCTGCAAATTGAGACTCGGCGTTAGAACATGGGCTGTGATAGCATTTGGGAAACGGTTACCAGGCATATGTGCTATAAAGGCCCTTCTTAGACCACACCAAGGCTGCGGCTTCGGCTTTCTGAACTCCAGCCTGAGCGTCATGGGTGATCTGATCAGGATGCTCGAGCACTTCTCTCTCGTCCCTCTCTTCTAAACTTTGAGCGTCGGCATCCGCTCTTGCCTCCGCGGTCGCCGTGCGTATGTTGACATCGTCCTTCGCCTTGTCTGAATTGCGAAACGCCATTATGTTTGGCTGGGTTGTGGCAACCGTGAGGACAGGGTAAGACAATGGTTGTAATGACAGAAAGAAAGAAAACAGCGTGCAAGCGATCAAGAACGCTTGGCTTGCTGTGAAATAAGCGCACATAAGTTAGGGAAAGTCGTCCATATTGGACCAAAACGTAACTATATAATCCAGGATTCCAGGGCTAGACTTGAAAGGTCGCCAAGTGGGGACAATGTGGGTGATTACTTCCTAAGTTCATGCCACTTGTCGCAGGTCTGATCCCATTCTCCGGCGTGAGACTGCAATGCACTCAAATTCGCGCGGACACTAGCCTTGTCCGTTTTTGCACGGCATGTGATTCTGCCACTCACCACAGTCCATAGCTTAGGTAGAATCTCTCCCCTTCAGCAATATCATTCCTCATCCCTCTCACACATCGATACTGCTGCCTCTACCGTAGCCGTATCTTATCAGTCCGGATAGGCTATAGTGACTCCAGCCTCTTGAAAAGTCACGTCCTTCCCTAGGCTCGTTCTTTTGCGCCTTTGTTTTTTCTTTTTCTTTTTCTTTTTTTTTTGAGAAACAGCGTTCGAACTCGTGGAAAACGTGCGAAAGCCAGGGTTGTTGATTATCATTGGCTCGATTCGCGTTGGAAATGGCTGTCCAATGGTGCATGCCAGCATGGCTTTGTGCACTTTCAGACAAGCGGGTATTTCCGTACACTAACACGGGTGGATATAGAGAGGTAATCATCCTTGAGTCAATTTAAGATCCTATTGTGGCGTGATAAATCGCTCGTCGACAGGATCGCGAACCTGAGGATGTACTTAAGGAAGATCACGCGGATGCGGAATATTTCGTCACTTCTCTTTGAAGCCGGTAATCCTTGGATTGACAGTCGTAGCTACTAGTGGTAGATTGAAGTTGTGTATCTCGTGCACCATGACTTTAGTTACGATTGGAGGACAATCTCGTCCTGTCGCGCCTGCTAGGATTTTTTTACTTAGGGATGGTCTGGGTTCTGCAGTTTCGATATGTACGAGAGGCCCGGTGATTCTAGATTCTCTGGCCGTGAACAGAAACTACGTACCGTGTCTTGTGTCATTTTCGACGTGAGGCATCGACGCAATATCACAGTCCATGCAAACCAACCCAGATGTTGAGAACATAAGAGAGCTACGGACTGATTTCTTCTGCAGAAGAAATCAGTAGCGGAAGGGAGCGACCGTGATCACGTGACCCCGGGTACAGACTTGGATTTCTTCTGCAGAAGAAACCAGTATCGGAGGGGAGATACCTGTTGAGATAGCTTGGTGGTCAGGCGTGTCACCAGCGTGGTGCGCGCCCACGCACACCACCTTCGTAGCTTAGATAGGCACCTCTTACTAGATATAATCTCACCATTCCTTTCTCCCCTCTTTTAGGTCTGCTACGTTTTCCCAGTAGCCTCTAATAGGTTATGAGCCCTGCTTAGCGTATAAAGAGTGAGGTTATTCACATTTCCTTACTACCTAGGTATAACTTATATAATAACCTCTTTTTCCATCGTTTTTCGGCGCGTTTTACGCCTTCTCCAGAGTACAGACTTCGCACCTCTTTACGACTTAACGATCCTTACGCATCGAATACGGCTACCGAAGCTATCGTATCGAATTATCGCTAAAAGTCCCTCCTTCGGCTCTAACGCCTTTTAAAAATATACAAAATCCTTCTAGCTTCTACGCTATTTTTAGAGCTCTTACGCTCTTTACCTACGTAGCGGTATATCGCCGTAGCAGGCACGCCTATATAGCGGCACTTCGCCGTAGTAGGCTTACTATATAATATACCTTCGTTATAGTAGACCTTATATCTTCCGGCTCTTACGCTATTTAGAGCTTTTAAGCTATATATCACCTATGTAGTAGTACTTTATTATAGTAGGATTAATATATTTATAATATTTAATATAGTTTCCGATCTCGAGGCTTATAAGGCGGCTAAAACCTTCGCCGAATTAGTTCCTACGCTTAAGGGAAGAGCTAACTTCGAGAAGTAGAGATAGGGGCTTTAATTTGTTACGGATAGCCTAGACGAAGACCTATAGTCTATTATTACTAGTAAAATAATATACCCTATTTAAGAGCCTCGTAATACTCCTATAGAGGAAGCTATTTAAAATATTCTTTTCGCTTAACTTAGACGAGAGCCTACCGAAGAGGAATTTAATAAGTAGATTAATAAAAATATAACTTAACTAAATAACCGATTTCACTAGTTTCGCCGTAAATATACGCTTACGAAATACCTTATCTATTATATACTTAGCGATTTAGCTCGTAGCTTTATACGCGATTATAAGGATTCTTATAAAATATTTCTTCGAATTAGTAATACGTACGGTACTAGTAACTATACTACTTTAAGCTATAGGCTATCTTCGTTAATTAAGCTTATATATACTAGGGGTAATCCGTATAATTTCGTTACTAAATAGTAAGCTGCTCTAGACCTTACGAATTTAGCCGTTCTAAATATCCTATTACTACCTAAATAGGCTCTGGCTTATTTCAAGCTTATAATTAATAGCTACTAAAGTATAAAAGGTTTCTTAAATATATATAAACCTCTAACTAATCCGGATAGTATAACGCATAGGCAATAAGTCAATAGTCAACTAGCTAGTCGGTTAACTAGTTCGTGAACAGACTTGGAGTGTGGAGTTGGTTAGATAAGTCAACTAGTTAGTCACTGTGAACTGGTGAGTTCACTGACTAGTTGGTCAGCCGACTGGCGAGTTGGTATTAACTAGTAGGTTGGTTGGCTAGTTGATGGATGTGGACTTGGGGAGTTGAGGAGGGGATCATATAATCGATGTTTGCGTTTATAAGATCAGATATTTACCTACGCGTTATTAATAGAAGCCTTACGCGTATGTGTGCGCTGGAGCCTAAGGATTGTTTGCCTTTCGGTTTACTTCTGTAGAGGAACCTTCTATCCGGGACTTTCTATAAGGATTCTGCCGCCTTATTATAGCCCCGCCTACGATAGGTATTTAAGGTAGTACTTTACCTTCCTTATTTCTTCCTTTCCTTTTTCCCCTTTATCTTAGTTTTCTTCGTTATATAGGATATAGTTACTTTACCTTCTTCCTTCTATATATAGGTTCTCGTAGCTATACTGCCTAGGAGTTATATAAAAACTAAGACCTTTAATATTCTTTTTGCCTTTATACGATAGACCAGCGCTTACTACGAGTTATTAAGTCTTTATATATTACCTTCCCTTATTTTTCTCTTTTCCCTTTAAACGATCGATACGGTAGTACCTATTAATATAGTATATCTAGGTATTAATAAAGAACCCGGTTAGGGAGAGTCGCGTAGTATACGTCGATAGAGCTCCTTAGCCGGATCTAACGATCTTCCCCGTGAAGACTATAATATACGTTTTATTTAGATTACGCCTTAGCTAGATAATCTACTCGAGTATTTACGCGATAGAAAACTTAGCCGTAAAAATTTTATCGACTTAGTATACGACGAACCTAGGTTTATATTCGACTTAATACGGGATATATAGCGAGCGACGGTCGATTACTTATATTATCTCGATAACGAAGTAGAGGAATAACGCGGATAGCTCGCTATAGCTACCGCTAAGGTAGTTAAACTAATAAACTAGAAGATAACGAACGACGAGCTCCTCCGTAAGTCCGAGAAACGTACCGATCTTAACGCTACTACTATTAAGCTTTTATAGATAATCCTCTAGTAGATCTATACCTCCGCCGATCGAATCGAAACGAGCCGTCCTATACCTCCTACTAACTAACGCGAGTAGCGTAAAGCTACTATAGATACTACTATAATAGGCTGCTCCGATTCTATATACGCTATACGTAAATTTAAGATCCCCGATCTACCCCTACTTACCAATAGAAAGGAAATAACTTAGGAAAACTAGAAGATCGCGATAGAGCGTAAGCTATATAGTATAGGGCTAGATCTTACCGATCTCTTAGCTTTAGACTATACTTGCTCTTAATACAGAGGTATAGCCGAATAGAATATTAATTAATATATAATAGATATAGCCTCCGAGCGATACTAGAACTATAACGATCTCTTTAAGTACCTTAGATCTATCTTCGGCGACTATAATAAAGCTATACGCTCTGAATAGGATTTCCAAAACTTAGAGATATAGGGTAGCTAGTTATTTAGCGACTTCCTGTCTTAGTTCTCTTACCTCTTCGACGCCGGCGAACTTATTATAGGCGAGCGCTAGAAGAAGTACGCCCTCTGGAACCGCTTAACTCCCCGACTTCGGGAGATTATCGATATCGACTTAATCGATAAACTCCTTATATCCTTTACCGAGTTTAGCTATAAGATTAGAAAGAAGTATAATACTCTTTATCTAAGTAGCTAGATCTCCGCTTAGCGACGTAGCTAGACTACTAATAATAAAAGTACCGATCTATCTAGAGCGTCGAAGGCGCGTTTCTCTAAGAAGTCTAATAATAAAACTACTACTATAACTTCGGTATCGTCTAGTACTACGCCTCGCGAGATAAAGGTAATCCTAGTACCTAACGCTAAGAGTCTAGATAGAGAGACCCGTACCCGCTATATAAAGGAAGGATGATACTTTAGATACGGATAGACCGGATATATATCTTCTAAGTATCCTAGTAAGGAACGCGCTACTTTAGTAGCTAAGGTATTAGTACCTAACCCTAGTTATATAGAAGAGATCTCTGAACCCTCCGAGGCGGGAAAAGCCTAAGCCTAGAATAAGTCTCCCTTCTAGGTATAAGTATTACGAAAGTAGTTATATCTTTAGATTTATATACGGTATTAGGAAATAACGAATAATTTACTTTTCTAATTATACTTATATCTAATAGTTAGTTAACCCGTATAACTACTTTACTCGATACTAGAGTAATACCCTATACGGCTATCGATAAAGGATTAGCCTATACTATCCGAGATATTTAGAATATTCTATAGATATCTTTACCCTAGCTAGTA